TGCAGTTGTGGCCAACGATAAGGGCGCGAGAGACACAGAGCTCAACCTTCTTGCCGGAGAAGGTGCCGCCAAACTTCATCATACGGTGAGCGAGGCGGTACATGTTAGAGAGGTGTTCGTAGACGAAACGGCGTATGGCTGGGTTTTCGGGAATGGTTTCGTAGGAGCCGTCTTTCAGTTCGTAGCGAGTTCGAGGACCTTTAACAGGGACATCATCAATGTAAGGGTTAGTGATGTGGGGGATTTCGGAGCGGAATATGAAGGAGACGTCGCCTTGCATAATTTGCGCAGCATTGGTGTAACCCATAGGAAGTGAAGCGAGTCGTTTGGCACCAAGGGGCGTCTGGAATGTGGTAAGGTCTCTTGATCGTTCATCGAGGGCACGCTGATCGAAGGCGACAAAGGCGTCGTAGAGCCCATAACATCCGCAGCCGCCAAAGTCTTCGGCGTAGGTTTCCATGCGAGGTGGGAGAGATGCGTCCTTGATGGTGACCGCGTTGAGTGGTTGGAGGTCATGAACAAGCTGTAGCGAGGAGCCGTCCTTCTTGAGTACGCAGAACCATCGAGATCGGTAAGATGAGCTTGAATCTTCATAAACGCCGGATGCAATTTTGTCCTTAATGATGTCGATAACGCGGGAATAGATGCCAGGTGGGATTGGGATGTTGCGAAGTGCCCATGGTACATGTTCGACTGTAGGGATAATTACTGGGTCAAACCATTCGGATGAGAACCTGCCTTTCTCTGGTTCCTCCCATGCGAAGGCGAACTCTTTATCTCGCAGAATGAAGTGGGCGAGCTTCTTTTCTTCGGGCCAGAGCCAGTTGGTAGGGTCGATATTCTGCTTTTCGAAGCGTTCTTGGGTGTAGCGTTTGCCAGGCGAGAAGTCGGGAGGGTGTGTAGGAAGTGGGGATAAATCGGCGAGGATGTCAGGGGGATCTCGTCGTACGATGCGGTATTCAGCAGGGAGTGTTGTCGCGACTGGTTTAATGCGGTTAGCGACTTTCTTGTAGGGCTTTTTCTGAGATAATAAAGACGTAGCAGATGGAAGCGGGGGATCGGTAGGTAAGAAAGAAGATTGGGAACCATGAGACAAAGCGAACGAGTCAAATGAAGGTGAAGTAAATGGAATATCATAGTAGTAACCGCTCAGAACTTTTCCCTTTTCGCAAATGCGCACATGGCCACTAGGGGACATAGCGTTTGCAGGGAGGTCATCATTCGCGGCAAAGAATATGGAAATATTAGGTACGGAATAATTGTCCAGGGGTTTTTCAAGATATACAGTAGAGCGGGGGTCGGAATGATAAAGAGACGGAGTAGAAATATTAGAAGTATAATGAGATACATAAGAAGAGGGCAGAGGGGGCGGCGGAGTATGGGGATCAGGCAGAGAGAGCGCGGGAAGTATAGTATGAATTAAGGACGAGACCGAAGATGGTTGCGAGACTGGTTTAGAAAACGGGGAGGGATCAATGAAAGTGGTATAAACGGAATAGGTATTGGAGAAGACGTCTCCCCTTACTGGCGGATCATCGACGCGTGAAAATGGTGTGAGCCTTGGTGCATGGGGTGCATGTGGCCTTTCGGGCAGCGCTTGACTCATCGTTCGGTCGTGGGGACAGAGATGCGAAGGTTGGAGTTGGGGTCACGAAGCGAAATGTCTTGTCGCCCGTCAGGATAGTCTTGGGTTACAGCCGAAAGTAGGCAATGGAACGGGCGTCCAAGGAGGATGTCGTACGGAGCCGATTCGACAACCTGAATCTGCAGGTAAAAGTCAAGTTCGCCGATGCTTGCTTTGATATTGCGTGCAAGGCCGAGCGTCTTGTTTGTCGTGAGGTTTGCTGATTCCATAACGAGGCCTTTGTCGAGATCGAGGGGAATGGCAAGTGCTTCCCAGATGGCGCGTCGCATAGAGATGATTTGCGAACCTGAATCAAGGATACAGCTGACGAAATGAGTGTCTTCTAGTTTGAGAGTGACGACACGTAGGGATTCCATGTCGTTGGCCGAGACGAGCTGTTCGCGTTCCTGTACTAAGAGAGATAAGGCATGTTCCTGCTCGAAGTCAGCCTCGCTATTGAAGAAAGAAGAAGCCTCAGCGTTGCCGCAATCGGTGGTGCATTCTTGGTACAAGACTTTGGTGTCGCTTGTCGGCACTCGTTTCGTCATAGTGAGGTCGCGAATGTGGCGCCGTAATTCCGGTGCGAGTGCAAGAAGTTCGCGTTGAGTGACAGTAACTGGCGCGTCGAGAGCGCGTTCAATCACACTACTTGCGATCTTGGGATCTTCCGCGTTTGATTGGTAACGATATTGCGGGTTTGACTTGATTTGGCCAGTCTCTAGTGCTTCTTTGAGGTGGTTTACTGGTGGCGGGGGCGGAGGAATGGGGGTAGAAGAGGACGGAGTTCGTTTGGCGGGAGTTGTCGTAGCTGCGGGTGGAGTCGGAGTGGTGGTGGAGGCCGTCGATGACCTGGTTGCGCGTTTGGGTTGTTCGAATCGGACCTCTTTCTTAGTCGAATCAGGCTTCTTTTGCTTGAACAGGGTTGAAATCACGTTCTGCGCAATGGTGAGTTGTTCTTCCATAGGTATATCATACGGCCCATCTTCTTCGTCTACTTCTTCTATGCTAGCTGATGGATCTTCGGCTTCACTCCAGTTGTAGTTCCCGACGGTGATGAGGTTTGCAGAGGCGACTGGTGGTGGCGCGGGAGCAGGCTGGTGAGGAGGGGGATCACGGATGGTTGTTTGCGATGCGGCTGGATCGGGCGTGTCCATTGGGTAGTTGTTGTCGCGTCGCCAGTTCTCGATTTGCTCCATAAAGCATCCGCCGCGAAGCGCTCGCGTTATTTCCTGACCATTTGGGAGCACGAGACGGCCGTTCTCGTTACGGTAGACCCAATTCTTTCGTAAGGCGGCGTGGTAGATCGTGCACTGCTGCATGCGAGTGTGAGAGGTGGTTTCATAGCAAAAGGGGCAGCGGGGAGGGAGAGCTGGGCGGAGTGGTGTATTCTGAGGCTGAGCTGGTGCTGCAGATACGGGCACCGTGGGTGTGTACGTGGCAGGAGCAGGTGGTTGGTAAGGCCTGTAAGGTGTTTGTGATGCTGCTAAATTAGTGGCTATCGTTGGCTGGAGTATTGATGTCGCAAACTGCTGCATCATTGTTGTCATGTTCTGGGTGGCGGCGGTCATGGCTGTCTGCATAGAGGCCGTGATTGCTGCTTGTATCGCTGACATGTCAAATGGTTCTTGTTTCACTGGCGAGAGGGCGGGAGCACGCTCACGCGAAGGCATGAGATTGCTGATAATGGTAGGGACTGGTGCATCAAGGATAAAGGTCGCAACTTCATAGATGTCGTTTACGTTGTAGAGGTCGTCGGGGTGATGGAGCGGGTTGCGTAGCTGTAAGTGTTCGCGGATCTTTTGCTGGAACGCGCTGTCAAATCCCGAGAAGTAGAGTTTGTTGACTTCGCGTTCTGAGATGCGGCTCTTGCCTTTCAAGAACGTGGAGATCGTGAGGAATTCACGATGATATTTGCCAAGGTCCTCCTTCGTGCGCATGACCTTTCGTGAGTGGAGTTCGCAGAAGCTTTCGAAGTTGCTGACGGTGTAGCGCCTATCGTCATCAGAGCCAGGGTAGAGCCGCGTGACGGCTGTCTTGAATGCGATCCAGTTTGCGCCGCTGGCCTCAGGTAATCCAGTGGACCAGATCTCGTATTCAGCATTTTCGGCGTAGCGTAAGGTCCAGAGGATCTTGTCTCTGTCGTTCAGGTTGGCTGCCACAGCTAGAGCCTCTATTTCGTCGAAGAACCGGCTGAGAAACTGTCCTTCGCCAGTGAATTTGGGTGCAGAATGGTGGCCGCGCGTAGGCATTTGTGCTGGGGTAGCCATGATCTGTGGAGGGGCAGCGGGAGGCGGAGTGTTGGTACGAGGGGGGAGAGATTCGTGGTTGGTGAGGGGAGAGAGCGCAGGGGATTCAAGCTCAGGTGGTTCGAGATCTAATTCGAAGAGCTCGGGAGATGGGGTGAATGAGTTCGCAGCAGGATCGAGGCTTATTGGCTCAGAGATTGGGGTGAAAGGCTCGGTAGAGAGGGTGTGAGATGGCGAGGCAGAGGCAGTTCCTGACAGGGACTCGCGTAGTTCGTTGATAGAGGGTGCTGGGGGAAAGCGGAGTCCCGTTCGAGTGAATGGGAATGAACCAGGCGGCGCGGGAGAGGCAGACGTTGAGGCTTTCGAGCTGGAAATGAAGCGGCCGGATTTATCGCGTGGCGGGAGCTTGGGAGGCGTGTTGGAGGTGGCCGCAGGAACGCGGATGGGAATACGGGATGGTGTCAAAACAAAGGAAACCAGAAACCCTCGCGGTGGGCTCCAGTTGTAATGATCCTATCCGGGGTGGAATAGGTTAGTTAATGCGAGGGAGGCTGCCTCCGGCTAGCCGATTCTGATTCCTTTGACCGGGTGTGATGTTAGTTAGATAGATATTGGAAGGAATTGACCTTTTAATAGTATTCTTTGTTCGATGCGCGCGAAAACAGGGATTGGTTCTTGATAAACTTGAGGACTTGAGCTAAGGGCTGGTTACCTTGAGTACTTTGCTAGGGCGGGAGAGACGGCCGGTTCGAACGAGGCTTGAGGTGAATCTTCGGTGGGAAACTGACTGATCATTGAGAGTGCGTATGACAGGGTTAAATAGTTGACCGGTGAGTATGGTATGGTCCGAGGGGTGAAAGGGAGTGAGGAAGATATATGGATATGAAGGGGAATAAGGGCATGTTGTACGATGAAGGGCTCGTCGTGGAGACAAGGGTGAAGGGGGTTGTTCAACGGAATCGTGCGAACCCGGGGTAAGTCACCTGATTTAGAGCGCGTACGCGTTCAAACCAAGGCGAAGCCTTACATTATTATGACTGTACTACTGCTTTGTGCAATGTTGGATACATACACACATCTCTCGGCTTTTGCAGGTACCGCATCTGCGCTCCAAGAGCCTCACCCCCGACATGTTCTTAGGTCTTCAGATGGCCCCTCCAGCCAAGATCCTTGGATCTCTGCCGCCACGGGCGGGGCACACCGACGGCCAGCCGTACACATTCCGCCGCCGTGCACCCGTCAACTACCAGATTCCCCCACCACTCAGGTCGCGTGTAAAGGCACCCGTGTCAACGGTTATGGTGGCAGTTTGGGAGGCAGCTCTCGCACAGGAGAGTGACGCGCGGGTGGGGTGGCACGCAAGGGCAAGCAGTTTGGATGGAGTGCGCCGGGTGCTGAGCTTGGGTGGCGGATGGGCATGCCTGGAGATGACCATGTTACGTGCACGCGGCGGCCGAGGAAAGGACTTGTTGGGTCAATGGGCAATATGTTTGGCACGGGTGCGGCGGCGCGCCCGGTTGGGCGTTGGATCAGTTGGTGTGTTGCCAGGTGATCTGAGTCTTGCACTCTGTTGAACCTTGGTCGGGTACGTGGGGATGCTGCTCTCGCAGATGCCGGCCCGTTGGGCCCCAACCAGGCGGTGTCATTTGATGATGTTGGTGGATTGGATGAACGTATGTTCCCTTTCATTTTGCTTCCAAATATGCCTTTTTAAAAGTAGTACATACCCTCCAGACATTCATTCACTGCGAGTGACGCTACTCCCACTCCTGTATCCCGAAGTGTTTCAAAACTTTGGGATCATTCCTCCGCGCGATGTTCCTTTCCATGGACCACCAGGAACAGGCAAAAGACTCCTTGCCCGTGCACTTGCATCCAGCTGCAGAAGCTACGGCAAAGGCATTTGTAAGCACCCTCCCCATACGCTATCGCATTCTTCCCCCACTCACTCCCACCTGAGGCCACCTCAGCCTTCTACACGCACAAAGGCGCCGACTGTCTCTCCAACTGGGTCGGCAAAGTCGAACACCAACTCCGGCTCCTTTTCGAAGACCTTGGCACTAGCATGATCATATTCACACATAGAGCTTCATTACTGTACAATTCTCATTCTTCTCGAGAGTTTCCGAGTTCCTTCATTTTTTTTGCTGTGTCGTCCAGGACTCGTCCTTATCATACATCACTGATACTAACAACCGACCCCCAGCCGTTCACAAACGACTTTCCGCGGGCCGATATCCACGAGCTGCTCTCACCAGATATTCTTCACCAGTTGATCAAGGGCTCATTTAAAGATCATCTAGTTACTTAGGTGGAAGCATATTTGGTGAAGACTCACGGACAACAGCAAGCGAATCAAATCCTCGCTGATATAGATCGCCGGTAAGCCTGGTCGAACTTAACAGAACACCTTATGATTGCTGATTGTGTCTTGTGCCCAGAATCAGTGCCACCCCGTCATTCCCTGGCCTGCGGCGGTTTCCTCAAGGACGTGGGTTCAAGCAATGGACAGGTGATGACTCGAAGGCTTTGATGAAAGTAAGTTGTCTTGTTGATGCTCTTAAATGCAGTGTTTTCCAATGCCCTCAGGTTTATCTCCCTGCACTTTCCGGCCACGTCCCCTCTCGAATGGTGCAAGCCATCCGAGCTTTTCTCGAATTTTGCTACCTCACAAGACGTAACGTTCACGACGAGGCAACACTCCGCGACCTTGAGAATGCCTTGAAGCGGTTCCACGCTTTTCGAACGATTTTCCAAGAAACTGGTGTGCGACCTGAAGGATTCTCCCTCCCTCGGCAGCACGCACTTACTCATTACCACACCCATATTCGCCTGTTCGGCGCCCCGAATGGCTTATGCTCTTCGATCACCGAGTCTAAGCACATTAAAGCGGTCAAGGAGCCCTGGCGACGATCCAACCATTTCGAAGCAATCATGCAAATGATGGTCACCAACCAGCGCCTGGACCAACTCTCTGCAATGCGTGTTGATTACATGTCCCGCGGCATGCTGGATAGCTCGCAGGATCCAGCGACTCAAGCACCGCTATGTAAGGAGTATCTGAAAATCCTGAACTCTTAAACATGCTGACATATAGCTCACAGCTCAACGCGGCCACGAACATCATGGTGTACGGAGTACGAGTCCCACTCCGCCTCAAGAGAAAAGCCAGGAACCGGTCCCCGGTGTCAGTGTATCCGAGCGAGATGATGACGGAGATGTTGATGGGCCATCTGTCCTTGGTTATGTTAGGCTCGCTAAGAAACCAGGTGAGCAGCAAGACCCTCAACGGATCTCAAAGACTAATTTTCGGAGCAGCGCAGGGGTATCCCCGGGATGTCCAGGCTCTGGGGAATCAAATCGAGTGCCAAGAGCTGCAAGAGCTCATTTGCCGCTTTCTTCACAGTGTCTCGCATTCTGAAAATGCCGACATTGTTCTTCCTCTAGAGGAATGCCCACAGTTTTCAGGGCTTATTCAGGTTTACCACTCCGCCGTGGCAGTGTACAGTGACTCAAAAAACCCTTTCTATGCTGGTCACTTTTGCACAAAACACTGAATAATGGAGGAACTACTGAGAATGGTAGCTCAGGGTCAGTGTAGCGTTTGTAGTGCCCCTTCTCAGCTAAATGACAAATCTTGATTCAAGTCAATCAGATAAGTCTAGAATATTTTACAGAATTTCTAATCAAGGGATGCATTGAAAGGGTTTTTTGAGTGTGGTTCCTGAATGCCTTGTTCCTGGCTATTACTCATCATAAAGTCTCAGTATCATCAGGATGACACATATGATGTCATCTACTACTCATCCAGGCACAACCGGCACTATATATAAGCTCTGTCAGTTGTTCATCTTCCCTACAACAATGAAGTCCATTCCCAACTCCCTTCGCACCGATATCACCTCTGCCCTTCTTAATACCAGCCATTCTCAGGCCAAGATTGCTCTCAAGTTGGGTTGTAGTGCAGCTACTGTCTCTAGGGTAGCTTGCCAGGTAATCCCTAACAAGGAAAACCTGGTGGGTGGACGTCCTAAGAAGCTCACTATGGCTGATGAGAGGGCAATCATCAGCCAAATCAACTCTGGAAAAGCTGAGAATGCTGTTCAGGTCACCAAAAACTTGAACAAAGTCCTCAGTGACCCTGTCTCCACACAAACCGTGTGCAATGTCCTCAAGAAAAATGATATGAAGGCTGTGGTGAAGAAGAAAAAACCCTTTCTATCGGTCAAACATCGGAAAGCATGTCTTGCTTGGGCTTTGAAGTACAGGAATTGGACAGTGGAGGACTTCAAGAGGGTATTGTGGTCAGATGAAACTAAAATCAACAGATTTGGGTCAGATGGTAGGAAATGGGTGTGGAAACAGAAAGGGGCACCTTTGCAGGACCGGGAGATTGAAGGAACTGTCAAGCATGGGGGTGGAAATATTATGGTCCGGGGGGTGATGGGATGGAATGGGGTGGGGAGAATGGTTGAGGTTGAGGGGAGGATGGATGCCCAGCAATATGTGGACATTTCAGCTGATGGTCTCCTTCCCACCATTGAGGAGTGTGACATTCCTGCAGAGAACGTGATCTTTCAGCAGGATAACGACCCCAAGCACATCTCAAAATTGGCACAGAAGTGGCTTGAGGATCAAGGGATTGTGGTCATGGACTGGCCTGCCCAGTCTCCTGATATTAATCCCATTGAACACCTCTGGGAGCACATCAAACACCAACTCAACACCTACAGTACACCATCTAGAGGAGTACATGAATTATGGGAGAGGGTTGCAGAGGTATGGGATGGGATTGATGTGGGGGTATGCCAGAACCTTATATCAAGCCTTCCCAGGAGGATTGAGGCCGTTATCAAGGCCAAAGGAGGGAATACCAAGTATTAGATAGTACACTCAAAAAACCCTTTCAATGCATCCCTTGATTAGAAATTCTGTAGAATATTCTAGACTTATCTGATTGACTTGAATCAAGATTTGTCACTTAGCTGAGAAGGGGCACTACAAACGCTACACTGACCCTGAGCTACCATTTTTAGTAGTTCCTCCGTTATTTAGTGTTTTGTGCAAAATTGACCAACATAGAAAGGGTTTTTTGAGTCACTGTATTATGCCCCGAGTGATCCCTCTGGTTCAGGTGGCATGCACAGGGAATGGATTTGTGCGACTCCTCGCTGGCGACGCGGTCCGCGCCGGTACGACTGCATCTTTGTCCAGAAGGATCCCACCCTCCCAGGCTTTCGTGGCCTCTACACTGCGAGGGTTCGGCTCTTCTTTTCCTTTCGACACCTTGGGATCTCGCATAGCTGTGCACTTGTTAGCTGGTATGTTCCAGTTGCGGAATCACCAGACGACGATACGGGCATGTGGATTGTGAAGCCACTCAAGCGCCGTGGACGGCTTGTTCGTTCCATCATCAGCCTTGACACCATCATCCGGGGAGCACATCATATGGGTGTCGCTGGCCGCCGCTTTTTACCCCTCCGCTTCTCTCCTTTAGACACACTTGACTTGGACAAGTTCAAAGCCTTTTATGTGAACAAGTTTGCTGATCATCATGCATTTGAGATTGCTTTCTAGACCCGCTGTATACTCTTGTAGTACAACTCGCCTTCTATTTTCTTCTGTATCTACAGTACTGTACTGAATCTCATCTTACTGTCTTGATTTCGACACCATGCTGAGCTCGACTCAGAACTCAAGTTCTCAAGACATCCCAAGACACGTCTTAAGGGCCTCAGACACCTGATTAAGCGCCTCAAGACGATTAAGATGATTAGCCCTTTTGCTGATGAAATAAAAAATTACCCGTACTTCCTGGATCTTCACGCATACGACGCACTGTACTTCAACGCCTACAGCCTACAGTTTAGAGCCAGGGGAACTCAAGCAAAGATAATTCAGGCTGCGCCGATGATTGACGACGATTGACCGATCGGTCATGATCCCGTGACTACAATATTCCCCTATTTTGATTCAGGATCCTAAAGAAGCATCAATAGACTGCGTCCTGGTACAGCACCCATTCCTATCCCAAGCGTAACTGTAAACCAAGAGCAGCTTGATAAACTCATATACGTGACTGGAACTACTCTCCCGTATATTCTGATAAACCAAATAGCTTCGCAACATGACCATCGTAACAAATCAATCCGAAGTACTCGCCTCCAATTAGTGATAGTGATAACGGATACATTCTATTCCATAGCGCGACGCCGTCTGTCATCTGAGGATACCGACATACAAGATTGTTTAGACCGTCGCTCCTAACGTGTATGGAAATATATATTCACTTAAGCACTACTCTCTCGGTCATGGTAGACACGCAAACTTGATGTGACTACACCAAGGGGATCGGTCCATGGTCAGCGGATGTTGCAATATTCTCCCCTTATCTTCTACCTCTCTATCTTGCCAAAAAGTGACCACTGACACTGTCACTGTGGCCGCGTCGGCGATCGTGCCCATCACGTGAGGAATTTTCGACACATGCTCGCGTTCCATACCGCATTTACCAAATCCGGTAACTCTGTACTTTTTGCTATGGACGATCGACCACACAAGGCGCACAGACCGTCGCAGTCTGGCGCGAAGGTGGAGAAGAAGAAGGGAAAGGAGAAACAGCAAAATTCCTTCAACGAGAAGGTAATCCAACCCAGAACTCACATGCTACGAGAAGCTCACCAAGTTTTATCGCTAGGCTTTCGCACCCAAGTCTGGTCGACGAGCAGAACGTCAAGGTCGACGCAATGTCGAGAAGGACCAGACTCGCTTGCATGTTCCCCTCGTGAACCGAACCCCCGACGATGAGCCTCCACCAGTCATCGTTGCAATAGTGGGTCCCCCTGGTGTGGGCAAGACGACGTTACTCAAGTCTCTTGTAAGGAGATACACGAAACAGACCCTCAGCGAGGCCAAGGGTCCCATTACGGTTGTTGCGGGGAAGAAGCGACGGTTGACCTTTATCGAGTGCAATAACGATCTCAATTCCATGATTGACATTGGCAAGATTGTAGACTTGGTGCTTTTAATGATAGATGGCTCGTTTGGGTTCGAGATGGTGCGTCGGCAACGCTATTCGTTTCTACACACACTGATATGTCGCTCATTAGGAATCATTTGAATTCCTGAACGTCCTACAGTCTCATGGCTTTCCCAAAGTGATCGGCATCCTCACTCACCTCGATCTCATAAAAAAGGCCGCCACCCTCCGTGACACAAAAAAGGCTCTGAAAAAGCGATTCTGGACGGAGATATACCAGGGCGCAAAACTCTTCTACCTCTCGGGGGTGCTGAATGGTCGGTATCCAGATACAGAGATCCTCAATCTTTCCCGCTTCGTTAGTGTCATGAAATTCCGCCCCTTGGTGTTCCGTAACACCCACCCGTACCTTCTAGCGGATCGACTGGAAGATCTTACTCCCCGTGAACTCATCCGAACGTCTAAGGGAAAATGCGATCGGACAGTCACCGTCTATGGGTACATCCACGGTACGAACCTTCGACTAGGGACAAAAGTTCATATACCAGGCGTAGGGGACTTGGATGTCAAGAGCATAGCTAAGCTCGGTGACCCTTGTCCCTTGCCCGATATGAACTCAGAGAAGCGGCGAAAGCTCAGTGAAAAGAAAAAGCTTCTTGTTCATGCACCGATGAGCGATGTCGGTGGGGTCGTTTATGACAAAGATGCCGTCTATGTCAACGTCCCGGGTAGTTTCACCAGAGGTAACGCAGATGGTACGTTGATGCAATACTTTCCTCCTTTATATATGTTTACTAGCATCGAGGGCAGTACCTCAAGGCGAAGGTGAACAGATGGTTATGGATCTCCAAGACGTCAATTCGACCCTGGAAGATGGTGTTGCGCGAAGCTCAATAAAACTATTTGGTTCTTCATCGAAAGCGTTGGTCGTCGAAGACAATACAGGTCGCGTCGAGTACGAACACGAGCAACAAAGTGATGAAGAAGAAGATGATGGTGATGGTGATGACGCCGATTCAATCATTTCTGAGGATGAAGGCTTCTCTGAGGATGAGGAGATGGAAGACGATGAATCTGACCCTTCACCAGGTACCCCGGCTCATACTGGCCGCTCCCAGCGGCGGCAGCCTACTCGTGTTCTACCCTCTATTGGCAAATCAAGCAAGCGCGATATTGAATACGCCGAGAGCGACTCCGAATTCGAATACAACGAAGGAGACGACAACAAGAGGGTTCGGTTTGATGAGACTGATGATCATATCCCGTCAGACGAAGATGAAGACGATGAAGACGGCGACGAGCAGGACGCCGACAATAAGGAGAACCTGCCAAAATGGAAGCGCAATATCTCCCACCTCCTTGAATCTTCGTCATCCCAGCGACCACGGCGGCGAGACTGGACGAAACTTATATACTCGTCCGATCTTACCCCCGTTCAAATTCTATCTTCCAACAAAGAGGAAGACTCTCGCGAAAGCGAGAATACATCCACCGAGATCGACGAGTTCTTCCACGTCAAGAAGAGCGACAGCACTAACGACGATGAAATGTTAGATCAGACCAAAGATCCTCTAAATCCGAAAGCCCTTCAGCAATGGGAAGACGAGGAGATGCTTGACTCGATTAGAAACCTCTTTATCACTGGTGCTTCAGCTGAAGACGCAGATGAAGAAGGCGAGGGACAAGGAGAAGGAGCCAGTTTCGAAGATCTTGAACCAGGCCCCGTTGATACAACCGACGAGAAAGCCCGCGCCGATGCCCTTGCGGCCAAAAAAGCTGAGCTCAAACGCAAATTTGACGAGCAATACGACGAACCCTCGTCTTCCAACGTTGACTTCTACACCGAAAAGAAAGATGAAATGGCTCGACAACTGGAACTCAACCGAGCGGAATTCGCTGCAATTGAAGATCCAGAAACACGCGCGCTAGTGGAAGGATATGCACCAGGCGCGTATGTGCGGATAGAACTCGGCGACGTCCCATGTGAGCTGGTCAACCATTTCGATCCGACGTACCCCATCATCGTCGGGGGCTTGCTTCCTGCGGAGGAAAGGTTCGGGTTCGTACAGGTTCGCATCAAACGTCACCGATGGTATACCCGTACTCTCAAGACGAACGACCCGCTTATCTTTTCCCTGGGGTGGAGGCGTTTTCAAACTGTACCGATATATTCCCTCGACGACCATTCCATCCGCATGCGCATGCTGAAATACACCCCAGAACACATGCATTGTTATGGCACCTTTTATGGACCCGTTACTCTTCCTAATACTGGCTTCTGTGCATTCAATACTCTCACTAGCGATGCTCCGGGTTTCCGGGTCGCTGCCACAGGCGTCGTGCTGGACATCGATCGCTCAGTGAAGATTGTGAAGAAACTGAAGTTGACGGGAGTTCCTCTCAAGATCTTCAAGAACACCGCCTTCATAAAAGATATGTTTAGCAGTGCTCTAGAGGTCGCCAAATTCGAGGGCGCCAATATACGGACTGTGTCGGGCATACGGGGACAAGTTAAGAAGGCGTTGCCAAAACCGGATGGTGCATTCCGTGCAACCTTTGAGGATAAAGTCCTCATGAGCGGTAAGTGTATTGATCAAATCGAGTTCACGGTCGCCCTAATAGCCTCCGTTTCTAGACATTGTATTCCTGAGGGCGTGGTATTCCATCGAACCACGCAAATTCTACAACCCCGTTACGTCACTCTTGCTCTCCGACAAAAATCAGTGGTCCGGTATGCGCCTCACTGGGCAGGTGCGCCGAGATGAAGGCCAAAAAACGCCTCTCAACGTCAACTCCACCTACAAACGCATTGAGCGTCCGGAACGCCGATTTAACCCCCTCAAGATCCCCGCTAAACTGCAATCCGCCCTACCCTATGCCTCTAAGCCAAAGTTGATGAAAGCCCAATCACGACAGACGTACATGCAAAAACGCGCGGTTGTAATGGAGCCAGAGGAAAAGAAGGCCGTGGCGCTCATGCAACAGATACGAGCACTCCGGAAGGACCAAGTTGCAAGGCGGAAAGAGAAGAAATCAGAGCGTAGGGAGGCACAGCGCAAGAAAGCTGAGAAAGAAGAGGCTAAGCAATTGGAGAAAGACAAGGAAAAACGGAAAGAACATATGCGGGCGGCTGGGCAAAAGAGCAAACGCGAGGCGGAGGCGGAGGAAGGAAGAGGCCCCAAGCGGCGCAAGACGTAGACGCTACGCTCCATCGTGTATCACTATATATGCCCCTTGTAATTCGTTGCCAATGAGCGTGCATCGTCTTCCGTCCCAGGTGTAGGTGGCGTTGCCCAATTGTATGCTTACGAACATCACTCGTTTCAACGCAGTGATGTAAATCTAAAGGCGATCGCGATCTGATTTGTGAATTTACATCTAGTATCATAACGTTGGGCATCGAAGTATAACGGCAGCAGCAAGAGGGTGGATTCAGTTCTTCTCAGTGGGATCTTAATTCGGCAAGCATTGGGAATACCCTTGGGAAGTACCATCAGTATCGAAAGTAGGAAGATAAGAGTGTACACACATTGGCTTGAGGTTGTGCATGTGGAACCTGTTGCACAAATTGTGGCTCCTGTCCAACCTTCACCTATCACCAATTCAATGATTCACTAGAGGGTGAAGTACGGTTAGTAACTTACCACCACATTGACCGAAGACAGCTGCGGTAGCGCCTGCGAGCGGTGCGCTGGTACTGGAGGTTACCGGGACCTGAGAGGTAGCTGGAGCACTCGTAGGATCCGCAACGGAAGTTGTTAGGATTATCGAGGAAGTCACGACAGCTACAGACGACGTCGGGGCGGCCGTCGCAGTGTCAGGCGGTTGGGCCCCGGCGGTATCGCCGTAGAATATTCCGCGTCCGTTCGTCCCAAGGTAAACCCTGATTCATGCAAGCAAATAGTCAACAAACGATAACGTTGGATGCTCGTTTGATCTCACCTGCCATGAATCCTGGGGTCACCTGTTAGGACGTTTCCACTAATGGCCCCAAATCCATGGGCAGCATCATTAATCTTTACCCAATTGACTCCCGCGTCATCGCTTCTGAAATACCCAACTCCATCGATGTTTGCGGCCGCGAAGATTGCGGGATAACCCCCTGTAGTGACAGGAGCTCCAAAACCAATGCTCCATGCCTGTGTTACGCCAGAGATACTGGTGAAAGTTGCACCCGAATTCGTTGAGTGGAAGAGGCCTTTATCTGTAGAAGCCCAAACATCTCCAGTGAGGCCAGGGTTGACCAAGACGTCGCTCACGCTGGTCGATGAGCCGAGCGACCCACTCGCGGCGAACGTCGCTCCGTTGTTGGTCGATATATAGAATACATTACCAGAGGCCCCGTAGAAGATGGAATTGTTCTTTTTATCTGAAGCGATGGCGGCATCGGATGGAAGTGTGGTTACTGCGGTGAAAGTAGCTTGATTGCGTGAAACTAGAACACCACTCCCGTCTGTACGCCAAAGAATAGTATCGGCGTCGGCAGAGAAGGCTACTTTGCCGCCATGAACACCATCTGGGGCCCCATAATGTATTGCCCTGTAGTAAAGGCACCTTAGTACCTAAGCTCATGTTTGGCGGACAGGTAAAATGCGCACCATGAAGAGCCGGAGTCCGAAGAGAATGCAACTTGTTTAATCTCTCTGGCACACATTTAAGAGCCCAGTATTCATTGAGAGTACCATAACTCACTCATCACCCGCGCCAATGCGAACTATGTTGGTAGGGAGATTACCGGCGTAGTCAATGTCTTGACTGGTCATCCACTTAGGGTTATCATAAGACTTGAGACGAGGCGTGTCGAGGTTGTCGTGTACGAAGCCTTCATAAGTCAGTACCACTCTCTAGAAGCATTAACGACAAGACGTACCTGTGATATCGGCTACCCCAGACAAGAGATTTGGGCCAGTAGGCGGAGATATCAACCCGCGAACGGAGGTTTCTTCGATGCCGTCAGCGAGCATCCTAAGGGTGACGTTGTGTGCTGTATCCCATTTCTTAAGGTCATGGCTACCGTATATTGTTGCACCAGTACCGTAGAGCCAATGGTTGGAGTCGAACGGATCAATCGCCAAAGCTGATACATTCGAGTCAGTGTTCGCCAAGTTCACGAGGACACGAGGGAGCGAGTCATCACCTTCCATCATCCATCCAATCTGCAGAGTGCCTGGGGTGGTGTCGACGAAGTCAGAGCCCGTCCATGGTGCCAGTGAATTATCGAAGGTGTAGTATTTCTCGAGATTAGGATATCCATTCCATCCCCACAAGGGACTCCAAGTAGCGCCACTGTCATTGGACCGGAATATTTGACCATCTGGCCACCAACTGTTGAGAGCAGCTACCATGACTGTTCCCGGTGCCAGCTTATCGACCGCGAGCCCGCCAAAGCCAAAATATAGATCACTTCCAGAGACAGGGGTGATATCCGTCCCTGTAAAGGGGTAAAGAAGTAACTCTTGCGGCAAATGCCCGCACACTCACAAGTAGATGTGGGGATGTGATACTTTTTAACCGCGCCATTGGTTCCATCGTAAGGTCCAGCTCCGTCGCTATAAGATATATACAGTGTATTCTCAGATGGAGATAGAACACCTTTATGAGGGAGGAATGTCGTGTTTTGACCCGCGACAGCAGACCCTTGTCGAAATATCAGCAAAATGGAACTGGTCTTCAAAACGGTCGCAATCACATACAAGTAGCTCCCGCATCCTCAGAGATGAATATGTTGCTTTCATCTTTGTTGGCCACCCCTACGAACACACGAGGTGTCGCGGCACCAGCGGCACCCGATGTAGAGTCGAAAGTGATCCAAGCCAACCCGACGATTTGGTTGTTATAATCGAAAGGGTCATCAGGATCTGGGATGAATGTGCCTATGGTAAATGTTTCAGATACAATGTACGCGATCATTTGAACAGATGAACTCGTTTACCAGAACTGGGGAAGTTGGCGATTTTAGTCCAGCTTGCACCAAAGTTTGTCGACTTGTAAAGGCCGTTTCCATTGCGCGCGCCAAAGTATAGGATGTTGTTGCTGTGAGGGTCGATGGCCAAACGCTGGGCCACAAGTACTTAGCGATAAACATACTATCGAGATAACATGACCAGGTGTCCTACCTCGCCCCTGATGAAGATGTGAAAATCAGTAGTCAGTAGTTGTTATAACATGGGGGAGACATACATTCCACGCCCAGCCATGTTTCCTCCGACTTTGAAGGGTAGAGGAGAGGAAGTAAACGTGGCGCCATAGTCATCGGATATTAATATCTGGCCATTATTAGGATCCCATGAATTGGTGTACATTCCAGTTGCCTGAAAGTCTATGAGCGTACAATACCAAAACCTCGGAAGCTCAATTACCATGTACAAGCGATTAGGCTCGACTGGATCCGTTGCCAGAGCGTCGACTCCCCATGAATTCCAGTTAGCGTCTCCGACGAAGTCGAGTAAGGGTGTCCAAGAATCGTCGTTGTTAAGTTTGTAGGCGCCCCCGATGTCTGTTCTTGCGTATGCGAGCCCCTTTTGGGAGTTGTAAGTGAAAGACGATGGGTCTGTTTTACATCATCCTCACCTTTTCCTTTTCATTGAAAATGATACCAGGGATGAAGCCACCACCGCCGCCAATCTAGTACTCGCCGTGGGATAGCGAACCATAAAAATGGTGATAGAGACAGACCTTGACATTCTTCCAGGTATATGTTTGGGAATTGATAGCGCAAACTAGGGGGGCAGTGACAGCCGCTATTAGCCCAGCGATGAGCGTTCGCCTCATTGTGGGTTGCAGGTGAAAGCCTTGCCGAAATGTCGTTTCTGATAGGCATTTTATACTTGTAGCCTGTATGTCGACAGGCGATTCAGCGGAGAAATACGATGTACAAAAATAGAAGCATTGGAGCCAATATTTTGCCGCAATGTAGTAGTGTTGCGACGAGGAGGATTTACGAGTTGCGCCGCAGAGCCGCAGAAAGTTGTTGGCTTGACTAAGGCTATGCCTACAGAGCGAGCTATAGGTTTTACAACCAGGACAATCGCAGCTAAAGCTAAAGCTGAGACTTGCAAGCGAGGAGTGCAAGGCCTTTACCACTTGGAATGACGGTTATACATATTTCCCGAGGTTTGGGCTGCGCCGACAGGAGACTGACATGATGCATCCATCCCCTTTAGTCCTTCGAAGCTTTGCCAGCCATGGGGCAGAACATATGCGGCGATAATTCCTCGTATCATAGAGATAGAGAGAGTAAATTTCCAAATGCGGGCAGCTGGTCATTGGAGGTCATTATACAGTAAAACATCCGTGGAGAGTGCCAGGTTGTAACTTGTATGCGTTGGCAAAGTGCGACCGCAATACAACCGCAACACGGAGTATCTTAATTCGTGGCATAAAAACCATCGTTAGCTTAAAGGAGGTCACTAACTCCCGAGGACAAACGACTCACGTTCATGAGTGCTCATGGAGGTGGAGAACCAAGCAGTGGGCGTACGAATAAGTAGATTCCTCTCACGCCATCTCTTTGGCGCCCGTCCGGACTGGGCAACCCGACGTGTCCAAATCCACACTCTAAACTTCTCTTTGTTGCATTTATGTGCTTGGGGGCTTGGGCAATGTTGGTTTTCGCTGGGCGAGGGTGGCCGTGCCTTCGTAGTTAAAATGTCAGCATTCCGGGCAAATACAGTTGATGAAGCGGAGGATGGGGTCATAGCAGCCCCGGTTACGCAAAGTGAGTATTCGCCCACAAGCTTGGACTACTTGCCACTCGATACTCTATCTTGAGTGCTGATTTTTTGAGTCGTCACGCCTGAGAGCGGCTCTGGAGAAGGCTCTCTCGCTATCAGGACATGATCCCCGTCGACAACGTTGGTTTTGCCTCTCTATAGGTTGAAGCTAAAGACCTTTTACGAGTAGGATCCTATATCCCCGTAATGGCTCGCTTCACGCTCAAGGTATTCGAAACGACATGTAAATTGTTCCTCGCTACGTGACTAGTGGCGAGAGACTAACGACCGGCATCGAATGGTGATTGGGTAAAACAGCACTTGTTTCGCCAAGCATACCCAAGTGTCGTCCTTTGAATTCGATACCTTGCCAAACGTTTTGGAACCCAGCTATCTAGCCAAATGGATCGCGCTATTTTGGAAGCATACCGCCAGCTACTGAGCACACTATCATAGCCCATTATCCGTAGAGGAGCGGCGGTGTTCTTCACTCTTCATTTAGGTATATAATAACAGATGGCTGTTGTCAAACTTCAGAAGATCCAACAGGTAGGTTCTCGTTCTACGTATCGCCTTTGACGTTCTCATAATCCGGCGTTGGTTAGGGACTTCTGCTTCGTAGACGGCCCAGTCTGTGACAAGTGAGTGATCGAGCTCTATTTTCTGTATGGAAAGGCTGATATTGTTTGCTCGCGATAGCCGCAAAGATGGGACGATTCCTAGCATCGCTGTCTATCGTTGTGACATATGCAGTCCTCTCTCTGGGGAAGCCTGCTAATGACTGGAGCAAGCCGTGCTTCCATGGCGAATGTGCCTATGATATGCCCGAGCATACTGGTCATTCTGGCGCTCTAAAGATCGTTAGTCCCGACATTTATCAACGAAACGAACTGCTTACGCAGGTGCCTTTGTAGTTCGGGTCTCCGCGTGCCATTACGGACGTAACGCCTGCTGCAGGATGGGTGATCCTCGACTGCGACCCTCACTCTCTGGATCAAGAGATCCGTCTTGTCTGCGCGAGTGATGACGCAGATGCTTCGGGTTGCAACCATATCTTTGATCATGGAGGGCCAGAAGACAAGCTCGTCCGCCTCCCTGAAAGCGTAAGCCAATCATCGAGGTTACCCATCACTTTCCAACCTTTGTATAGTGTGGCGGCGGCCCTTTCTTGCGTATCGCCAACGCCCGCGTCTCAGAGGACCAGTCTATTCCCCATCATGCTGCTGGGAAAATATCCAGACGTGATGGTGCATCACCGACCGTTCACGTTATCAAGATCGATTCCAACCTTGCTGCCATCGATGCTGCCAAGTGAAGACGCCTTTTACACATCTGCGTAATATATACTGAGATTCAATACTTGCAGAACGGGCACCGTCAGCTTTGTATTTGCCGGCGCCAATGTACCTGGCGTTGATGGCTCTGCGGTTGGGGAAGGCCTTGATGCTCGTGGCCTTTTCGATTGGATCTCCAACGCGTTCAACACTGTCAAAAATGCGGTCGTTAACGCTGCTAACGCTGTGGCTGATGCTGCCAAGGCAGTGGTCAAGACTATCAAAGGTGTGTAGCGTATATGTTTCTCACTTCTGCCCTCTGATTATAGTGCAGAAGCGACTTCTTTCACAATCAACCCAGAGCATCTCCTCAAGCTCCAGCACCACACCGACCACGACGTCGTAGTATTCCAGGCGCAGTCTGAATTGCCACATGGCTGTGCCAACGGCGTAGAAGTAAGCCTTAAAGTAGAGGCCGGCGGCTCCATCGATGCCGATGTGAAGCTTGGCCTCGTCGTACATGGATCGGTTATACCTCCCCAAGTGAACCTATCACCTAGCTGCTATGAAATTGACTAATCCCCTCGTAGCTCGGTGATTTCGCTGTATATGCAAGTGAGTGCTAGACAGCGCGGAAGGGATTGTATATATAACCCCCATCGCTGCAGTTGTGGACGCCAAAGTTGATGCTCATCTCCATGCTCATGCCTATGTTCATGGCCACCTTGACACGGGAAGAAAGGAGTTGTTGAAGTTCCCAATCACGCCCATCCAGATCCAACCGTAGGTGTCGACCTTCACCCTCGACGTTCTTCTCTCAATATCTCCAGGATATTCTCTTTGGGCCCGGAAATTCGCCTCGATGCTCGCGCCGAACTCGATTTGGCTATCGAGGTGGACATTGATGCGCACCTCAAGTATAATGTGTGCGTATTACTCTTATCATTATATGCGGAGACTAATGTGATATCTTCGTATGTAGCAATAAACGTGAGTCCAGACCAGTATATTGGACATTGGGCTAACGGTTTCAATTCCAAAGTTGAGTTTTGGTATCCAAAGGATGTCAACCACGAAGTCAAACAGGCAGTTGATGGAGCAAATACTATCAAGTCAGAGTCAGCCCGTAAGTCGAGTTCATCGAGTTCCAGTTGCGCATGACACTCACAATTTCATGCCGATAGCATTCAGTATCTCGGCGACAGCTGGCTTGGCAGCGGAGGCAAACATCAAGGGGTAAGTGCCAACAACCCCTTCGAAGTCGTCTGGTTTCTTAATTGCCTATAGCCATTTGATACCTCAGCTCCATCTGGGTCAGGCGTTTCATCATAGCCGGGGTTAATGCTCTACTCATTCTTCTTCATAGGCTTCAAGCTCTTGAGCGGAGCTGTTGCCGACCTGAGCGCATACGTGGAAGTGGATGTTTGGGCTCAGGCGGATGTGGTCGCTCAAGCTTCGGCTCACGCTTCGCACAAAGCACGGGAAATAGGGGGGAGAAGTGTCTCTACACGCGATTTTACTCCGCCATACCTGAACACGCGCAACAACAACCTCGATGCTAGGAATGCTGGGGCCCAGTTTATGGGATGTTTGACTCTTTCTGCTGGGTTGAGTGTCGAAGCAGGCGCCAAGGGCAGTTTCATTGGTGGTTTTACCGCCGAGACTAAGCCGTGGACGATATGGCAAACAAAGACTCCAATTCAAATCCTTCACGTCAGTCCCACCCCTGGTGCCCGTGTTGTAGTCGCTAACTTTGTCGTAGAAATGCTGGGGTGGCGCCGTTGGCTCGGCCAAAGTCCCAAAGACTCTCCAGAGCAAAGGCACGGCTTTGACTTGTGGTGCCGGTAGCGCCCCAGTTTCTGTCCCGAAAGAACAGACGGAGGCGAAAACGTGAGTCTTGTCAACTCTGTTTGACGCACTATATCATGCTGACCTACGACCATGTGATAGGCTTGAGACTGCCAAAGCAGGCTAAGCTCCTTTGGCAGCATATCAGTATATTTGTATACTCCTTCTAAATAGCTGTCTGAAAAATGTCAGGACGTGATACTTTGTTTGTCTCGCACTACGTTCCAGCACAAGAGTATCCATTCTGGTTATAGACAGCTTCTGTGTATCAGGATGTTTGGACAACCTTCAAAACAAAACTGAGAAGCATGCATCACGATCTTTGAGTCATCTGCAATGGGTCGACGGCAGATCTCTCTGTCTTGTAATATTCTTGTAGGCAACGTCAATCCTGCGATTGAAAGATGGCTCTGTTCTAGGACGTAGCCTTTTCAACCCATATTTGAAATGCGGCGCGCAGTGTACGTAGACAAATGTTATTACAGTGATTTAGCATTAGCATTACATTATCTAGATAAGTTATCATCTACACAACAACATAATTACCATAGGCGACCAATACAGTTTACAAGTATAAGTTAGCAATTCATCGTCCACACTAGGAGAATTCGTCGTCCGGTTCGGCTGTGACACCATCTTCGTTCCATATGTCCAAGAACTTAAGACACATCAGCAATGAACCAGCAGCACATGTCAATTTCCACTTACTCTTGCTCGTTGAGCAGCCATGTCTTCGCTTGTCAGGAGTGGCGTCGATGCAAAAGGCAGACGCTCCCATGAAATAGGGGTTTCGTGCCGACGCACAGCAGCCTTGTCGCCAAGCGCACTCTTTTTGCCGATGATAAATTTGTTACATTTACTTGAGAGGGATTGAGAACACCAAGTCTCGCATGATGGCAGAGACTTACTCTTCCGATATTCCGTAAAGGCTTTTGAGGTAGGCCTTAAGCAGCATCACCATCCCAATGATAACAGTTGCCAACATGGTTGGAGGATCAGGGGTCCCTACTGGAAGCGTGCGTGGTGAGTGGGGGGAAAGGATCTCGCAGGAGCCCCTACCGTCATTCATAGATCCAGGCTGATTTGACTACGTGCCAGGCGTGTTAGGAATTATCGGAAGTTTACTTACGACAGGCCACTCACTGGATCAGCAGGAGCCTTAAGTTGCGATAGCAGATGCGACGGGGAAATTATCTCCAGTAGTTGGGTGCCAGTAGTAGATAGAATGGCGGTCAAGGTCTTTATCACAGTCATCACTTCCTCCTGCGTCTTGTAGTCCAAGGATGCAAAGTTCTCGGCCATGAAACGCGTGAAATCGACGTCATCCTATTGCTCAATGAGAAGGATAAAGGGTCAAGCGGTTGCGGACTTACCTGCGTGCATTGCTCAGATGGTCGGCCCTCGAATACTTTTACCAAGGATCGCAAAAAATCCTGTCTGGAAGCACGCTTTTCTTTTACTAGTGAATACCATCGCTGGAGAAGGGCAGTGGGAGTAGGTTCCATTCGGTAACCTAAAAGTCGTGTTGGGATTTAAGAGCTATCGTGAGAAGGGATGTATCACCTTGGATGGGACCAGATGCTATCTTTCGTTGATAGACAAATGAAGCACGAGCACTATCGACGTAGCGGGAGTTCAGCAGGGACGCATGTTTACTGTGTAGGATCGCGTGCAGTGCGCTGGCGCGATTACTCAGAGCAGCATTGGAACTAGTCTCCAATGCTACGATGACCGGAACAGACTGATTTACGTCAGCGACGAATTCCAGGCATACGGTATGGCTGAAACATACTTGAAGGGGGTGGGCAAGGCCTTGTTTAATGGTAAAGGTTAGGATATCTATTGCTGCCGCTTGGATTTGCCAATTCTGGGACAGAGCAGCCTCAAGAATTTGGGATAGGTATCGTTGGACGACGGCGGAGCTTACGCTATGCGATACTCAGCAACATGCGAACTATGGAAGAGACCACTCACCCCGAGTCGGCGAAACCATCCGTGTTACCAACAAGTTCTTCCATATCGACGTCTTGGGATTTGGATTTGCCCTTGGTGGTTTCTACACAAGGGAATCAGGCTGCAAACACACTAGCAAAGTCTCGAAAATTTGCCTTTTTCTTTGTTCGAATGTTTTAATGATTCGGATTCCAGGAAATTTTGCATGATCTTCAACAATCGAGCTCTCCCGTCCTCCTCTGGGGAGGCAAAGATAGCATCCATAACAGCAGCGGAACGCTCTAGGGTCATTAGCGTTGGCTGCGCCCGAAACAGAAAGCCTGACACATCTCAAATGTCAGTAACGAAGTCATATCATTGCATAAAACGCACCTAAACACTGCAGAATCCTTCCACGAAGGGTCGCATCGGTATACTTATCATATAGCTTTAACAGGCTGGCATATATGTGTTCCATGATAGAGCCTTGGGTGACGCTATTCAGTACGGACGCGAGGCCTATATGGCTGTTAGCTATCTGCCGAGGGGATAATATCCGCACGGACGACGAACTTGGGTTACTCTCACGGAGCCGATCGAAATTGCAGTGTTCGCCGAGAAGGGAAACAATGAATATGAGAACAGACTGTGCCTTGGCTTCATTGGGCGTCACTGGTTTATCACTGGGTTGCTGGATGGTTTGCTGTAGTCGAGCTGAGACATTATAAGAATGTATGTGAAGAGTGATTTAGTTGATGTTTACCATTGCATGATTTCAACAACGCGGCCAGGCGGGAGAAATCGTGGGTGAGGTGTTGCACAACGGTACACATGCATGCAACGGTTTCTTGCAAAGCCTTTTCTAAACTCAAGCAACGTCGAACCCAAGAACTTGACGACGCACCAGGATGCCCCCTGACGGCTTAACAATCATGGGTTGTAGAGTTATCTGCAATTCAGCGCCAAACTTGGCCTCGGTCTTCGGCATGTGCGGGATAGAAACGCGAAAGATCTTGAGAAGGTAGTCGGAAGTAGCCTGCTCTTCGGCCTAATGAACCTGGTCAGCGGAGGAAAACTGTGAAATAGAAAGCGTAGCGCACTGAAGTGGCATTTTTTAGGTATGGTAGGAGGGTTGATGCGTGCGAGCCGGAGAGTATGGCAGGATAGGCCAGGGTGAATAAGTAGATGGTTCGTATGCAATTAAGAACCGTCTATGCGCCAACATCAAAGGGCGAAAGGAGGTCAAAGAGAGAGGACTCACGAAGCCAGGCAAATCGGAATCATCGACCAAACCATCTATTAGTGCCTCACATATTTCAGAGTAATGTGCATGAAGAGAGGCCGCTTCCGAATCTTGTTTGTCGGCCACAATTCTATGTAATGTATCCTCAAGCGGCGACTGGCGGTCCCTGAAGTTGGCGGCGACACCCATGACCACTGACACTCTGTTTAGAAGCGGTGCTTTGGTGCTTGCATTGTGGCTTGAACCACCCTTCTTCAAAGCAGATGGCGGAAGCGGATTCTGAAACCACAGCTCTTCAATCGACTTGACCGCAAGATCCTTCACGGTGTCGTCTTCATCGAAATTGCGCAGTACTAGACGGGTAGCGATGTCAATACGCCTTGGTATGTCCTCCGTAGCGCCATAGAAAGCCTTCAGCAACTTGATGACTCTCTTACGCACAGACAATCCAGTGTCCTATAAGCAATGAAGCAATGGAACGGATAGCAAGCCGCAAGGAAAACAAGGCTTACTGCAATTCGGTCGGCAATTTTCGGATAATAGTCGCTAGCGACCTCTGGGGAATCCACCATATACTTGCCAATAAGTTCGACGGCAGCGTCACGCACAGCTGGTGAGCTGTCCAAAAGATGACTTTCGATAGCACGCCGCACATTTGGCTAAAGTGTTATACTCAGAGATTGCGGTCGTTGATTAGTCCAGATGAAATACGGACCGCTGATAAGATGTTAGCATCGCTGGTAATGATTTGTCCAAGCGCCCGCAAGGCCTTCGTCCGCATGAATATAGCTGGTGCGTCGAGAGACGTCAAAATGATATTGAGAATAGGTGTGAATGAGTTGCGTAGCGCCTGAATCGTCCCAACCTCTTCGGACATTCGATCGACGCGGGACACTTCGTCTTGCGACCTGTGTATGGTCACCTTGTGGGTGAATAGTAGTAAACTCGAGGAGTTGCACCTACCCAACGTCAAATACGTCTGCCCCAGCATCTTTCCAAACATCTCTCATCGCAGCCTTGATGCTCCCACCGAAGGTCAACAACCGTTTACTATCCTTCAGGTTGAGGTCTCCATCATCTTCCTGCTTCGTCACCCAAGCGTTGATTTGTTCAAGCGCTCGTGAAAGCTCTTGCCCCAAAGTTGCCGCAGTTAGTTCGCGAGCACTCTGCAGCTTGAGGTCAATAAGGAGGATAAAGTCAGTCGCTCCCGGCAACGCACATCATATGCCTGATCCTCGGATGCTCGCTTGCTGAGGTGTGAAGCTACATCGCGGTGAACAGCGAGCAATTTATCTAGATGGCGCTGGCTGAGATCTGCAACAATCTGTGCGCCACTTAGTGAATGTCATCATGGTTACATGTATCCCTTACCTCGTCCAAAGGCTTCAAAGCCTTGACCTTTGAGTCGGGATTGTCTGACACATTTTGAACTTTGAGCGCACTTGATCGAATACGAGCCGCAATGACGCCAAGATGGTCAAGTGCAATGGTTTTGGCCGCATTCGTATCCGTTTGAGTAGCCGAGTTTACATCGTCAAGTGATCCAACCTAACATGCAAAGATCAGGACGGAAAGCCCGCACAACAGCAAACGAACAGACCATGAATTTACAGGCGATGCTGAGCAGCAATCCTGCCGCAGGCCATTCTGGCCAATACAAGACAACAAGTAAATCGGAGATGAGGTTATCGAAAATGGTCCTATATTCGGCCTCGTTGGAATTCTTGGTGGCTTTGCCCTTCCCTGATCTGGTGGCGAGATTTGCGGAGCGTCCAAGAAGCAGATTAATAAACCCACCTAGTAGTTAAGAAGAGCACGATAGTTTTCGCGGACTTGATGGCTGACTCTAATCCGGTCGTATATAACTTGATTTCCTGCGTTGAACCAGTCAACATATTAACACGAATGCCATGTTCGACGAGAGCCAACGAACCTCGAGATCATGTTCATCAAGGAATGGCTCTTCCACTGCTTGCTGGCTCTCCGTAAAGCTCTCCTGCCGTTTCATGGCAAAGCTTTGCTGTCGGGCCTTTGCAATTCTTCTTGCCTCTAGTCTGACATCATGGGCCGATGTCTGGACTAGTTGAAGCAGGAGAGCAGATACGGTCCTAATTGAACGACCATCCCGAAGACTTGAATGCTGTTAACGTGCATGCCCCCAGAGGACAGATAAGAGCGTACCGGAATTGCCCTGCCTTCTGCTTAGCATCCGACAGCTTGATCAACGAGGACAATATCTCCTCGATTATCCATGACCGTTGTTCTTCGTGGTTAGCAAAAATCTGCACAATTTCGCTTACTCAGTGAAGGTGTGGTGATGCGAGGAAAGGACCTACACTACGGATAAGAGCCAGAGCATCCAACCTCAAACCCCTCATAGCACTCTTTCCAAATGTGTTGAGCACAACACTGTCCTTCTTGCCTTTCGTATCCCCTTCTCCGGAATCAACGACAAAGAAAGGTCCGATTGCAATATACACCGCCTGGATGATGATGGAATCGGACATTGCAACGGTCTCTGCATTGATCAGTGAATTCACTCGGGGTAAGATAGAGGAGAGGGCCTGGAATACCTCGCCCAGAAGGCGACGATTGTTCTTGGCCTTCGTGGAGGAGGCGGTGGTAGATTTAACGAGATGATAGAGGGTTGGATGAGTATGACTGGCGTCGAGATCTGTCGAGGCTTCAACGAAGGGATAGATCGCCTTCGTCAATTGATTCTTGACTGTCGAAAGGCAGGATGTGATTAACTCCTCCGAGTAAATCTACATAGAAAGGGATCGAGTTAGAGGAAGAATCAGAGAAGCTTTCGCTACGTACTTGTTTCGGCAACCTATCGCTAGCTAGCAATGCCATGCAGCAGTCCGCAGCAAGGACACTCTCTTTTGCCAACTCCAGAGTTCTAGCCAGTTTCTCAAAATCAACTTCGACATCTGCAGCGTTAGAAGACTGCGGGGCGGAAGGTGGGAGTGGGTCGTCACTATCTACAGGCGTCTTGGATTTTGAACGCCGTTCAGAGACCTTCTTGGATTTAGCTGTAGGTTTTCGAGGAGAGGCTGTCTTCTCTCTCTCCTGCGTCTGCTTGATCACCGGCCCACCGGGGAAAACATCCAAATCTTCGCCCGCATGCACACTCCGCTCTACGATTTTCAGAATGCGTGATAATATACCTACGTCGATACCAGCCATCCTACCCTTCACCCGTGGCGTTCCAGGCCCACCGCTGAGTCCTTGCATACGCTTCGGCGGTCGTGCAACTTGGGTGATGTATTTGGTGAGCTTCCTTATAATACCTGATTGCAGAAGGGGGTGTTGCGGGTCGACTGTCAGGGGAGAGAAGAATGCTGATGGAAGATCGGTGATATCAACGTCGGTAGGCAAGGAATCCTCTGCCTCGAAGATGTCCTCTATGAGAGATATCAGTCTTTCCAGCGGAGCCCTATCGTCCCTATCACCAGTGCGTTTGGAGGAGGATACAACATGGTCCTGGGATCGTCTGATGCTTGTATCGTCGACAGAGCCGTATCCACCAAATTCATCACCTGTATCTTCTTCACTGCGCCTCTTCTTTGCGGGTGTTGCCCAAGGTACAGTAGGTATCTCGACGCACTCCATCGTAAACTGGCGCTTTGGAGTTTTAGGTGCAGTGACAGGAGTAGGTGGGATAGAAGGAGAGCTAGTATGAGGCGTCAGCGGTAACTGAGGTTTACTGGCGAGCATGCGTTTGAAAGCAGGAGGGGTTACAATCTCTATTACAGGTTCAAGCTTGCGTTTCCGGGGAGTGACAGCCTTGAGAGACAGTGGATCAGGGCTTTCAGGTGGTATCGACTGCGGCTGTTGTTTGATGCTCTGCTGGGGATGGGTTGTGTGCATTTCGCGCGACTTGTCTTCCAAAAAATGATTGAAGAACTGGGTGGATTGCTGGGGGCGGTGATTGAGTTGGTTCTGTGAGTTTTGAGACAGAGGTGCGCCGAGCGCATATGCTAATGAAGACGAAGCGGTGCTAAACCCTGGTGGTGGGGGAGTTGGGTATGCATTGGAGGGAGCCATATGCTGAAATACAGATTGAGCAAAAGGATTGGTCGCTTGTGAAGTATGTGGCTGCCACGCCGAAGGACTATGGTGCATATATGCGCTGGAAACCATTACTGACACCATACAAACCGCATATATGGAGTACTTACGGGTCAACCTCGTTCCGCAACAATCTGACTGCATCGTTCCTCGTCCTTTGCCAGTAGGCGGATTGGGCATCGGCGTGTTGTGGAGATGAAATATATTCGAATTCCTGTGAGTACTCCGTGTATTGATTTGGACTCCCCTGAGGAACGTGGCCGTACGAGTTATAATACCCGGGTTGAGCGAACGACGGAGGGGCGGCGGTCATGCTCATGGTCTCAAGATGTCTCGCAACTATCGTAATCGTTGTTATCGTCGCCATTCCCATCTGCGAGAGAGCTTACCATGCACTGAAGGGGTTGCTGAGGCAGTTGGGAATACTGCCAGGAGGCGATGAGCGTCCTGTACCGAATCCGCTGCCAAGCGATTCACGGGAGCTTCTGGGGAAGAGTGATGACCATCTGTGCGTTGGTTACTCCTCTGTGGTTGTCGAGGGTACCAGTTGCTGCTGCCTTGCATCGTCGCCGTCAACGATGAGATTGTCGCGGTTGAGTTATGGGCGCCTCTCGCGACGCGCTTTCCATGGTGTTACGGTCACATCATGTGAGCATCACGCTTCCCCTGTGATACCCCTAGGTAGACGAAACGTCGCACATATTCGTACGTAGACCTTGCGTTGACGAAGACACGCACATGCGGAGGGCTGAGGCGTTGTGAGACGAGGCACTCTGACACTTGCTTATTTTACCAGATTCCATCTCGATTCCAGCAAGAACTCTCGTGTACATTGCAATGGTCCGTACTGTGATTATTTTCCTTTTCTTTACGCTTTCCCCTCGATCTGCGACATCCTCTCGGCGGCTTCCAACGCGTCTTTTCGTGCAAGTTCATCGATGTTTTTATCCGTGCTCAACTTACTGAATTCGCGCTTCCAAAGAGCCCATCGCTCTGGATCAAACCCGTGCTTTCCCTTCCACTTTGGCCCTCCTCTAGCTGGCGCCCCAATTTGCGGCCCCGAGGGAAACTCCTCGGTCGAGGTGTATATCTTCTGCCCAGCGTATTTTATCCACTGCGCCGCTGCACGAACGTTGCCTGAGTTCATGGCCACGCTGGTGGAAGCTTCCTCTTCCAAAGCATCACGAAGCGACCAGATGGCGTACAACATGAACAACCCTTTAGCTTCCGTTAGTCTAGCGAGGAATGCGTTTCTCAGCACCCAGCGCTCCACTTCTTCTGAATCCGATGGATCGAAACCTATGTCACCCGTATTTAGTTAGCTGCATGATAGCTTGATAATGATGGATGTCATACCGTTGAATTGTTCGCGAGCCGCGGCTCCTATCAGCGGAAGGTCTTTCCACGCCTGTTCTTGCCCCCATATCCTCCACGTCGGCTGGGCCGATCCTCTCTTAGAGAGCTCGACAACGAGCTTCACAAGTTGCCCTTGAGCGTCTGAATTTTTCTCTGCCGCATCGATGATGGCACCCCAGAGACCCCAGAAGAAGCCTTCGACCTCTACCGTGTCTTTTCCATCTGTTGGAAGCCTGGTCGAAGTGATGGAGGGTGCAGCGCAAATTTGGCTGGCCGCTTCGGCGGGAAACGATGAGCCGTCGATCAACGCAGAGAGGGTTGTCGAAATATCGAAAGTCATTTGTGTTAGATGTGAGATAACAAATTGAGGGGATTGATGAGGACGTTCGTCGTCTCTGGGGCTTTAAGTAGGCTACACTAGTCCGGAAGTTACAGAACGTTGCCAATTGGAGTTCTATTAGCATAGCCTAATGGTTCCATATCGTGATGCACCGCTGGTGATGGATTGGACGAAGTGAGTGCCTTCGCAGCGAGCTGTCACTGCCATGTAACAATCATTGTTTTATACTACTGTACTACCATCAGATTCAATTCCTCAACCGGAAGTGGGTGAACTGCAGAGCATGGACTAATTTCTAATCAGATTAGCGCTTGGCTAAGCGCTGAGTCGTTACGGCCTAGGGAGAACGTTTTAGGTCTCGCAAAGGAAAGATAAAGTGAGAGATATATTTTGCGTAGATTTCAGTTGAGACGAAGACACAAGGACAGCTTGTATCTTTGGCCTGTATTAAGCAACACCGTTCTCTCCTTCGACTTTGCCTCATACCATAACTGATTCATTTTAGGGTACCGTGAATAATTCGACAGCAAGTTAATAACAATGTTAGTAACTTTGCACCTGTTGGACCGATTGTTAACACCAGTTATTAACTAATTAGTTACATCGGGGTTAATAACATGTTAAATATTGTTAATAACCTATTATTTACATGTTAAAAAATTTTGGCGGTGAAAAACGCGAAAAAAAACGATGCTAGGCATGTCAAAACTTCCACGCCTCCTCTACAGTAATACTAGCACAGGTCTTTGCAGCGGGAGGTTGTGACGCTGACTGTGCAGCAGGGGTTGCTTCACCTCTAAGCAATGCCCGAAGAACGGGGGCGTTAAGGTTAATCTCGCTATCGAGTTCGAAGTCGTCGTCCTCGGGGTGAGGGCAACTTGGCAAGGCACTACTAAACTTCGTTTGGAAAAGAGCCTCATGGGCTGCTGGTCACGTGTATTTCTCACAATTTTTAACACCCGCCAGGAGCTCTACCGATGTTATTAACCTGTTATTAACCTGTTATTAACACTGTTAATAATCCGTTGTTAAAAAACACCCTATTTTTCACGGTACCCTAATTCATTTGTAGCTATAGCAAAGTCAAAGCCTCAGTACCCAGAGGCAACAGACTTGATCCCCCAGCAACTCGCGAAGATCCACTCGACGAGTGTGAGCACGCAGACTCAGGCTTCTATGATCACTATCCACGCAGAACCGTCTAGGTAGTTCATGGATTTGGTCGGGTCCAAACTGCTGATGCAAGCCGCATCTGAAAGGACCTTCCGGGGAAAGGGTGCGCAGGGCAATACGTCTGTGACCAGGGCGATAGAATCTGTATCCTCGGTCATTGGAAACCACTGATAGTAACGTTTTACAAATGATGACACAGTCGGCCTAACACCGCGATGCCGAACAAGTTGTCTTGTTCTTCGATAGTACAAACCAAGTGCCAGCTGATATGATAGGCGATCAAGGCAAGGAATTCATCAGCTCCCGCAAGTCTTCTAATGCCACTTAGTCCATTTCCTCCCTCAAACCCACCCTCAAGGGGAAATCCATACCAAGACCTTTGTGCAATGAGTAAGTATAACGGGCAATATGAGCCGTCCGTTACCTTCTTTCGTAGTTTGATTGCTAATCGAGGTACCAGGCCTGGATACTCGTCCGAACTCTTCTCGAGCGGAAATGGGGCCGTTTTCCAAGGATTCACAACACTCTTGAGCCACGGCTAGGAAACAAGGAAATTGTTCAATATAAAAGGAGTTTTACTACACGGGGTTGTCTTACAATTCAACAATACACAAACCTCACATGGCCACTGGACATAGCCCAACCATTCTCCGCCTCGCCGTGTGTCTCTTCGAGGATGTAACATCTCTGGATTACCAAGGCCCCATCGCGCTCTTCGGATGCATTGAACCAGAGTTTGCTAACAAATACTTGCAAGATCTGCCGCTAGCATCCGCCGGTTTGAAATATATGTTGGAGATCGTGTACCTAGCGGAATCGCTCGATCTCGTGAAATCTTCGCCGGGACCGCTGGTCGTACCATCAAGAAGGTATGATGAGATTGGAGACAGCGAGCAGTTTGATATACTGCTGATTCCTGGTGGTGAGCAACACTTGTGTAGTCTACGGTTTGATAGAGCTGATGTAACGTTACATGTAGGTCCCGTCGCACGTCCAGAGAATGTTCCCAGATCTCTCCTTGAATTCGTCCAACGCCAAGCGCTAGGTGCTTGCACGTTCCAACCGTTTGCACGGGTTCCTGGGTTCTTGCAGGAACGGGTCTCCTCCGCGGTAAGAAAGCGACCACAAACAAAGCTTCTTTCAACATAGTTGTGGTCAGTCCTTCCCTCCACCATACGTGGCTGTCTGGGAAACATATGTAGATTGGATGTGATGCTGAGTATGTATCAGGACAATACAAGAGGAGAAGAGATTGAATGGATAGCCAAAGCGCGGTGGGTGGTAAACGAGGACGACGGCAGAAAGATTTGGACGAGCTCCGGGGTGACGGCAGGTGAGTGTTTTGACGCATCGTACATAGCACCAGCTAACACTTTGATATGGCCAGTGCATTCCTAGACTAATTGATAGGAAAAGAAGCTATGGCCTTCCTTAGAGGAATTGTCGAGTTGACTGCGAAGGGCGAGAGCGAAGACGACTTCGCGGCGTATTACGGTCTTGTTTGATCGGGGCCTGCAGTAGCACGGGGTATATAGACTGATACGGAGACATTATTTGCGAGGCGTTTCCGAAATGAAATCCGTGATGGAGCGCACAAAAGAGGAAGGTGCTCCATGACCGAGTCCCGAAGACCAGAATCAATTCGGAAACCACAACCACGGCTCCGGGCAAGTGACTGACTTGAAGTATATACTGAACCAGCCGTGCTTATCGGTTGTCGATGTTGCACTGTTCGTGCGAATGTAAGGATCACCGTCCGTCGATGTTCGAGTCGGGTGTAAGAAAAATAGCCTATTTAAGCAATTATTTGGCCCTTATTTGGCCGACTCGCTCGTTATCAGATAGTACGCAGGCTCGATTGTGATTTGTGATTGATACCTGCCACAATGGATACAAGTCCTGGACAACCCGAATACTCAGCGGAACCTAACTTGAGCTGGATCAACGTAGGACTGGCCCTATCTTTTATACTCTTCGACGTCGCCCTGTCCTCTGTATTGCGACTGGGAATTGAACGCCCATTGATAACATCATCAATAAGATGTGTCATTCAATTAGGCCTTGCGTCAACTCTGTTACAAAAGGTTTTCGATGCGAAGAATCCATGGGCTGTGGCAGCCATTGTGTGTAAGTGCGATCGAGCGGGACCCTGACTTACTAAGGGGCCCTACATCTTGGTTGACTGATCGGCATTACAGGCCTTCTGAATGTGCTAGGAACCTTCGAAGTCGGTGAGTATGATCACAACTGCACCCTAGCCTCCATAGTGACATATTCATAACACGACCCTAAGTTGTTAACAAGTCAAAGAAGAGGCATCCTCACATGGTCAGTGTTTGGCAACACGCGATTCAATGGGCTTGGTATGACCATCATGTGATATGCTAGTTCATTTCTACACTGGTAGGGCTCGCGCTGTCGAACATACCTGTGGGTGTCCTTGGGTCTAGATTTGCCATGTCCAATGATCCGTTTTGGGACCCAAGGCAATTCAGTGAGTTGCACCGCACTTGCCACCGTATTCATGTTCATCACGTTTCACCAATTCACAGTCCCAATCGTCGGCATGCTCTGTGGGAGTACCATTTCAGGAGTTGTGGTATCTAGTACTTACATACTACGTGAATTTAGGCAAGTGTCAAGTATAGAAATCTACACCGTGACCTTATGACACCGAAAAAACAGTGACAACAGTGATAAAGTCGAGATGTATCTCGCTTTTGGCGCAACGCGATGGGAAGCTTGCAAGTCCATGTCTGTTGAAACGCTCCGCGTCTCTCTAATGCCGACTATCAACCAAATGAGGTCAATCATCTCCTTCCCAAAGTTTGAGCTAGTTGTTGATTAAGGTCATGGCTCCATGTTGCAGCGTGCTTGGAATCATATCCATCCCGGGGATGATGACGGGAGCTCTCCTTGGTGGTGCATCCGTGGAGCGCGCCGCGAAACTGCAGATGATCATCATGTTTATGATCTCCGCCTCCAACGCGCTTGGATGTATTCTCACTACTGTCATGACTCTCAGCATCCTCATAGACGGCGATTCCCGTGTAAGGGCTGATAGGATTGACAGTAGGCCACATGCCGTGTGGCGCATTAGAAGCGCTTTATGGCTTAAGGTGGTGACTTTGGCCAGGGAGAATATCCCATGGATGGCCACGCCTAAAACCGTTGCACCAGCATCGTACACCCTTAGCTGAGCCCAATCTATCCCACACATTGTAACGATTCCTTGTAGGGAGAAGAAATGTGCATATTATGTCTTCTTATTTCTACGTTATCTTGACGTGGAGCGCGGTGGACGTATCGTAGGCAGCAGAAGTCTATACATATGGCGGAATACATCAGTGATCTAAATTCAATCTATATACACACAGAAAGATGCAGCAACCATCTTCTCTAGGCCGCGATAAACTCTGTAAGACAAGTTTCGGCCAAGTCCCATACCCTCACGAATTTTAGATCTGCTGCGGCGCTACATCTGGATTTAGAGAGTGCAGCAAAACTTAAATGAAGAATAGGCTAACCAAAGTTCTATGAAATCTTCGAGGGAGCGTTCCCTTGCGTTGCACATAATCAACATGCAGAAATCCTGAGTGTACGTTCTGGATTGTCCTTGACCGAATCCCGGGCTCAAGGGGCGGGGCGCCTATCGCCGATACAGTTAGATGTCCAAACGACAAGCATGTCCTGACATACCCGTGACATGGATGTGTGCTGCTTCTCGATGGAGGCAGGGTCAAGATGAACGGCTAGATAGTCATCTGTTCGAAAGCGACATCAGACATTAGTCACGATTCTCATCCTACCAACATACCAATCAACATCCGACTCCCAGGTACCATTACGCGTCGGATGTTCTTCAGAAGTGTCAGACTGTGTTCATCTCCCCAATTGTGAAAGATTTGGCTGAGCTGTCAAATGATCATTTTCAGTTCTGAAAGCCGGAGATCAGGAATCGGCGTTGGGCCACATACATAGTATATGTCTTGTCCCGGAACGGGAGATTCCTTGAAGAAATCTAAGGGTGTGAACGTCACCCGCCCCTCGTTGATTGCTTCAGGATATTCCGTCTGCCAAAACTGGTGTTGATTAAGATCAGTTGCGCCCGCCATAGTACACTTGGAGGACCTGCCTTCCGTGCTTCTCGAATAGTCTCCGGAAGGTCTTGGAGGGTTATTTTTAACTGGGGGAAGTGCTTCGATATCTCAATGGAGATATTCCCATTACCCGAGCCCAAGTCGCATACGCTAGTGCTGGGAGGGAGTGTTCCCCAAGGGAAAACTAGGCATTGGGCATTAGACCATTGATCATAAACGGAGTTGGTGGCGTACCATTCAGGAGATTCAGATGTCCTGTGGCGCTTCTGTATCCAACCATGGCGTTCGCGAAGCTCTGATCATGGAGTGTCAGCACAAGAATTAGACAGCAACTGACTCCCGGTTCCATACCTCCACGACGCCCGGCTATGGAGCACATAGCTATGAGTAAACAGTCAGGACAGAATAGACGCATAGCTTACCTGCGTATTCAAGTATTCATATAGAGTCCCGCTGTAGCCTTCTTTGCCGAGGGCGTACATCAGGGGGGAGCGGGTCGCATTGTACGTCGGCCCAAAGTCAGGGTCTGTAAGAGCTTCATACAACCACATAGTGGCTTTACGATGCATCTCTCCTGACTTCAATTCAAGGATATCGCAGACCTTATTACCATTATTGGGTGACATTGTCAAGGACAAACGGTTGTTGGCGAAGACATTGGACGAAACTGCATAAACACGTAGAATGATCAGCATGTCTCCTCTCAAATGAACGCTGCTTCTTTCACCTTCCCGGAAACAGTGATTCGTAACGAGAAGCCGCATAAGCGTTCCAAGCTTCTGGGGGTGTATAGAAGTCTCCTTGGCAAGGTCATTGACATGAAGCCCGTTGGGATGCTTGGATAAGCGTTCAGCGATATCCGCCCTGATCGCTGCGTTAATGGCTGCCGGCACAAAGGCGTTCATGCTGTACTGTGGGAAGCGAAGTCAGATGCGTCCCTGTTTATGGTTAACGTGCATGCAATAGTAACGCACATTAACCATTGTGTGACTGGGTTGGGCGAGCGTTGCGCATATTTGCCCGCATGCTCCTTCGAGAGTACGAATCGCGTGCTTGAACTTGAGCGACGGTAGCCGTCCATCCATAGGGTGTGCGTATCCATGATCTATAGAGGGGACATCGAGTCCCTGCTTGTCGTATTCCGCGATCGCTTCCTCTACCGCTGTATTGAGGAGACCGAGGAGAGCACGAACTTGGGCTTTGCCCGTAGATGGGATGTGAGCTGCCATGTTAATGCCTGAATGTGCTGGGTGACTGAATATTGTGGAGTTTTCTGTCGATTCGTCGAGTGCTTTTATAAATTCTGAGCGAAAGGTCCTAAAATAGTCACCAACGGTTAGCTTCTATCAGCGATACATTATTTTCCTAAAGAGCTATCTCCTTCGTAGGAATGGTTGGATCATGTGGGTGGACATTGCGTTTGCCTCCAGCCGAGCCCATCATGACGAGTTCCGGGTGGGTTAAGCACAACTGCGAAAACTAGAGCATCAAGGGGATCAAAGTACGAACTACTATGTTCACAAAATGACGGCGCTCTGGCTCGAATCATGATTTTGCGGAGTATGGAGTTAATTCATCCTAATGGCCTAAGTCAGCTACAATTGCTGCTGGGATGGGCGGGTCGGCTGTCGGACGGCTATCGAATCAGGTCTTGAGGTGCACGAATTGCAACGGACGTCCATATTCCCTAGTATAGGCTCGATCCTTGAGCAACAGCGTGCGATCTTAGTAAACAAGGTGTACTCAATGTTGCCCTTGTGTCGGAAAGGAAAGTTGAAGCTCACCAGTAACAACCCGCATCACAGTATCTAATCAAGCCTACACCAGACGCGCCTCCATGCTGATGCGCCGGCGCCATAAATCGTACCACGGAATTCCGAGTCAAGTGATGGTACCTACATACACTATAGCGGAGTCGAAGCGAACACCGTGGGGCGTTGATGACGCTTCATGCTCGGCTATTAACTTCACAAACTATAACGGAGTCGGGGCCGGCATCATGAGGCGTTAATGGCTCATCGTGTTCGGCCGCTAACTTCCACCAAAGAAGTGCTCTGTTTTGCACACTGGATCCGCTGGCGAACATGACTATCCGGACGACGTGCTAGCATCGATGGCGGGAATCCTACCAATTTGGTTAGCTATGGCCAATTGAAGTTGAAGAATAAGAAACGACCTAACCGGCGTTCTCTAATCAGCGAGCATTCTGAGATCATATCATTGTTCCGGATCTCGCCTCCGTAAGAACGTGGTCCCGCGCGCGACCGTCTTCAGTTCTGTGCTTATAATAGTCGGTTTCGCCATGATGATTTCGGCGGTGGCAAGGTGGGTCTGTCTTACGGAGCCTTGTATTATTCTTGAACCCTTACAGCCACCTTCGCGAATCATGAATTGCGGGCTTCGAGCCACACTAGACGCGACTTTGCGGTTCTCGAGCACCTCATTTGCCGACAATCACTAGGCACCAGGGACTGGGTCTCCATCGAGTTGTCGAAATTAAATATGGGGCAGTGCCGTTCGTCAACTCCGTGAAGATAGGTTTCTACCGAGTGTGTGTGCCCCACAAAGAAGTGGCCTGACCATATGGCCATACGGCTCCTGTCCTAGCTGAAAAACCAAGCTTTCTAGGAAGCACGAGCGATATTTTGAGAAGCTTTGGCATGCATGCTGGGGTACTTGTAATGAGGCACCATCCTTTGTGATCGTCCTACAGGTAGGTATGACATGATATAAACTCGTAAAAGTCGTAATTAAGTAGGTCAAATTCAGAATAAATATATAATTATAAATATCCAATGCTCACTCATGGAAGTCGTGAAGGGCATAGCTCTACTGTCGAGCTTTATCGTCAACTTCTCTCCAAAAGTCCTGCCAGCGTCCGGTGTGTACGGCTCGACCTTCCAGGGGGAGGTGATCTGCAGATGGTGGCAGACTGGCTCGCGGAAGGCCGTCTGCCTTGGGTGTCGGTGAGGTCACATTGCCGCCAAATGCCTGTCTCTGAGCAATAGCAACACGGTCCAGCGCCATGATCAATGATGGCGTCGCAGGGACTGGTGCAAGTGGTGTGTGTGCCGGATGCGATGATGCCGACGGCGATAATTGTGCGACCGCCGTATGTGACGTTGCACTAGAGGCGCCAGTGGACTTGGCTGGTTGTTCGTCTTCATGATCTGAGTACTCAGGGATCGAGCCTTCCTGGATATCCCGCGCCTTTCCCAAAGCCTGCAACTTCGCAAGCTCTTCATCATAGTCCAAGCCCTTTGGATCGAACCCCCTCGACTTACTACCACCCTGCTTTGCATCCACGAGCGTAGCATCCGTAGACGTAGTCGAATTGTGCTTTAGCCATGGTCTACGGGGGAAGCTATCTCCTTCGTGCTCAGAGTCCGAACTCAGTTCCCCCATTGGTCGGAATTTCACTGCCTCGCGTCTCTTCGCACCGGGGGAGAACCGCGTTTGCGAGCGTGCCTTACGGAGGAAGCCAGGGGATTTGGGGAGGGACAGTACGTCATCGTGTTTGTGCAGTGAGGGGACAGACACGTCGAACCCCTGCGGTGATTTCAAGTCCGGAGTGCCAGATGTCGGGGGAAATATGATCTCGGGCTCTTTCTTTGCACCAAAAGTTCGTTCCCAGAATGTTGTCAGTGGCTGGAACGACCCGGCGCGGTCCGCGCGATTGGGGAGGTTAGAGGCGTAGTCAGCGAGATACGAGTCCCATTTCTACTTGCAAAGTTAGTGTGCGCGTGTATACAGTATACATAGACGTACCTCGTCAGGACATTCACCGAACTTGCGCCTCAGGAACCAATCGACGACCACACCTATCACGATACACAGACAGAACATCGCACTCAGCCCCTTCTCATGACTCGTCCCCCACTCGATATCAGCATGCACCCACAGCCGTTCCCAACAATTCGCCCACGCGGGGATATGTGCAAGGAGAGCCGTGGAGAGGGTCAAACCAAAGGAGCCTGCCGTGGCTGCACAGAAACGAAGGGTTATCCGGCGATGGCGCGGCAACGGGAGGAGAGACGAGATAAGCATGAATGGGGTAAGAATCCCAACGAAGATCTGTCGCGTTACGAGGTTGGGGTGGATAATGATAGATAGTCCTGTTGCAAGCATAGAACTGGTAGTAGATCTGGTCAACTGGGACGGTCGATAAGATCTGCAAGCACATACCCGCCGGAAAGGCCTATGAAAGCGAAAGCGCAATACCTCCAACGACCAGCCAGGAGAGTCGTGAGGACAGATGAAATGATCCAGATGGCCAGGAAGCTACCATTTCCCAAGCGGCTCGACGAAGTTACCGAAGGGATCAGCAGCGCAAGGAGTGTCGATAACTGGACTGTGTGGCATCAAACAATGTGTAGCACGGCCAACAAAAGAATGGCTTACCCCCAAAGAGGAAGCCGATTGCCAATCCCCCAACTCCCCCTTCGAGAATCCAGAGTTGTTTACGAGAGTTCTGCGTCCCAAAGGAGCCTGGAATAGGTTGATATTTCTGGGGGAATGAGCGCGTGCGGTCGAGGGTGAGAAAAGACCCAGTAAATGTCAAGATCAAGGAAACGAGAAGGAGCGGCAAAGAGTAGGCGAGGAGAAACGGGGTATTGGGGAGTAGATATTGGAGATTGTAGGATTCTGAAGACATGTCGATGTTGCTGTCGTGGACGTCGCGGTCATAAAAGTGGCGGATACAAGCAAGGTACGAGGAAGAGGTCTACACCAAAAGGGCAGTTGCTGTAAGCACAGCCACAACGGTCTTTCACAAGCCCTCTACAAGACTCTGTTCTGCAACTCGTGGTTCTTCTCTTCTACACCCAAGGAAGGCCACTGCGTAGAGTGAGTACTGAACTCGGCGGACTGCGCTTAGCAGATATACGGGAAGATTCGATAAAAGACTCTGGCTGCTCCCACTCGTCCCTTCAATTCCTGGTCCTCTGCCTTGACCACGAAGACGAAGTAAATTAGTATCGCCAACTCTACGAGACACACCCAAGTACCCTGCCCACTGTACGCTTTAGTACACACTGAGAAAACCAACGATCCTCCGGAAACATGACCAAGGACACAGCGATCCACGCACTCTTCCCCAATGTGTAGGGCGGATGTCGAACGGATGAATTACTATGGCCCGCTGATCACAAGCCTATGCGTCTCCTTGACGTTGATTCGGAAATCAAAATGATCTCTGAGACTCCGAGTATCTGATTCATCGCCATCCCTTTGCACAAATCGTACAAGGCGCGTGCAGAGCAGAGTCCGGGGTCATCCCCAGCAAAGGAGCTCAGGATGTGCAGTACGCAGACGGAACAAGCACATATCTGCATTGGCTTAGGTGGGTATCTCGAAATGTTCGCACTACTGTATACTGATCAGACCTTGCGCGCCAGAGACGTAGCAGGAATTCTTGTATGTGGATTCGATTATCTGTCCACTTTCAGCGAGAGGACGGTTCGGAGGAGTGTTTATCATGTAGAAGGAAATTGCATTGACTACCATGAGCCAGTTGTTAATGTCGGGTGGGGGGAGTCCATGATCATCTCTCTGCGAGTTGTTGGTTTGAAATCCATGTCAAAGCACAATTACACTTATCATCTTGCAGGTAGTCTCGTGGCTAGGGTCATGAATTTCGGAAGGTCGCCTCCCCGCGGCGGCGGCGCACTTAGTTCATACGATCCCTCTAGGAATCTTCTAGAGTTCTGTGACGACCCCAGACCCCTGACTGCCCTTGGTGCATATTGAAGATCCAACTTCGGGCCCCCGCACTGGTGGCGCTATCTGCACAGATAACGGTGCTAGCCTACAAATTGGTTGAATATTTATACGGCAGCGAGTCGTCTTTGCAAGGGCCATACCTTTGGTTACTGCATCATGTCAACTCTTTTATCCTTGGATTCTGATGCCAATACCGTCAATTTCTCCACCATTACATCCTACCCCATCCCGCATGCCTCACTCACCAACAAACCAACCTTCCCGATACGCCCACTTCTCCCGGTAAACCCACCGCCGATCTCGTTGACCACTACAGACCTCCCGGGCTTGCCATCCCCCGAACGCGACTCGACTAACGAGCCGTTTCTTATTTCCACCCATATTATCCCCGGTGCTTGGCCAAGGAGCACTCCGTACGTTCCAATCCCCTTCACGGGTGATTATGGCGGCTCCAAGGAAGGAAAGAAGCAGGCCGCGATAGAAATGCAGAAGTATATTGCCAGAGTCCGAACTGAGGTTGCTGCCCCGAAGCCCGAGGAAAACAGCTATCAAGGACGTGAGGCATTGTTGTGGATTGTCGCTAACCGCTACGTCAAGAAGGGTCCAAAGGATGGAAGCGGATTGACTCTCCTCTTTGTGCACGGGAATGGATTCAATAAAGAGGTACTTCTCCGCACTATTTACGAGACATTACTAATTTTGAATTTTGTACAAGACATGGGATGCAACTCTCCGCTATATCTTCACATCCACTTCGTCCTGTGATATTGCCGAAGTCTGGTCTTACGAAGCCGTTCAAACTGGCGACTCCGCATTGCTGAACAAGGGAAAGGTCGGCCTAGTCTGTAGGCGTTATCTCTACGACTTCATATCATTTGCTGAATGAGTTGCATAGATGACTGCAGGGACAATTCCCGCGATATTGTCAACTTCCTCACGTACTTCCTAGCGGAGAGTCCTTTGGACACCCCTCCAACTCACATACCACAGGTCAGTGCGGCAGAGTCCGAATATCGCCAGAAGTATGGATTCAAGCATCGCAAACTTGTGGGCGTCGGCCACTCATTCGGCGGGTTGACCATGTAACTAGCTGCCCTTTCGTGCGGGCGTTGCAAACCTAACGACTTCTTGCGCAGGACACTGGCTGCGTTGATCAACCCGGCATTGTTCTCTTCTCTCATCAACGTGGACGCGACTATAGTCTCTCCACTGTGCTATGAATTGACCAAGAATCCATACGTCCCCGATACGGCTTTGGGAATTCTCCTCAGACGCGACAGATGGGACTCCAGGTCTGTGAACTTCACTGCGGATCGGACAACGGCGCCAGAGCTCATGTCCTGATTTAGGGAGGAAGCGAAGGCTTTGATGCTCAAGAACCCCTTCTTTCAGTCTTGGCACCCAGATGTATTGCAGTCTTATGTTGACCACGGGCTTTACACATACGCCATCCCATCCTTCCCAGGTAAGCACCTCACACCCACTTGTCATGATGCCCCTCTCTGACCTCGAAGAAGGGGGCAACCAGAGGGCCGAACGGCAAGTATTACTACTCAAGATGCCGCCCGTGGAGGAGGCGTCAACATTCACTGATGTCCCTACATTCTACGAGGTCTGGCAGAGGATGAAAGACGTCGACGAAAGGATTCCCATGTTCTGGATTATGCCCAAGCCAGAGACGACAGCGCAAGTTGATCGCGTGTTCGTACGAGAGTGGCTGCTGATGTCGGTTCTCCGTCCGTAGTTTCGGTGGTCCTCTTGAAGCCCAATTACGTGTCTGGCGTCGCAGAAAGAACTCCTCAAACGTCATTATCAACTCGGATGGTCATTTTGTAAGCTTCTCCACTCGTTTGTGATTCCCCCTCCCACTGATCGACGAATTACTTGTAGGTGCCTCAACAGGCTCCTGGAGAATGCGGTAAGGTGACAATACTTCACCCTTGTGCTTGCAGCTCAATCTTATCTGTTTAGCGGATGCAATAATGGGCTTCTTGCAGAAGCAGTACTATTCCGCCAAGAGCAAGCTTTGAACACTCTGATGGTAGCATTCCGTAGGTGTAAGTTACGTGCGTCGCGACGGTTGTCACCCATGTATTTGTATCCTGTCAAGAGTTTTGAATGAATCGATATCTACTCCATCACCAAGCCTGAGGTACTGAATACTGAGCATTCAAATTTAGTGTTCTGAATGCAATCTCTCTTTGATACTGCCCAGTCGCCCGCCTGCTGTATGATGGTAACGTGCACACCGTGCGTTGCCCCCCCCTGAAGGGGGGGTCATTGATTAACTTGTGACCGAAAATTTCCATTCTCGCTGACGAAGTCGCACCTAAGTTTTGATCTGAGCCAGCACCATTATACCTAGGTAGATGGAACGTCTAGAAGGATATCATCGGTGGATTAAATTTCTGTCCACTATCAAACTCAGAACCTCGAGTGACGCGAGTCTTTGTCTAAGGATTTGGATAGTTAACTACCTACCAATGGCACCATCTGCGATATGGAGCCCCAACAGGCGGGCCATCAGCATGAAGCCTTGGGGCGATATCAACAGCTACCCAGTAAGTCGTGCCAGTGTCCTACGAGGCGGCCTAGACACATCGTTGGAGTAACTTAGGGCTCAAAATGATAAGCACCACGAGGCCCTAGTTGTCGGGAGTGGTGCATCCCACCGTGCTGCTATCACATCGTTAGTAGGTAAGTACTATAAATAGAGGGTAAATTAGAACTCGCAGTAGGCAGTGATTCCCCAGGGTCCTGACAATTATCCGTTAGCACGATTCGGAGGCGTTGCTAGGGTCAGAAGTAGGGCAAGAGGAGATTTGAGTAGCGCTACGGCCTACAAAAGGCACCAGTGCCGGTGATCCAAGATGTAACGCACCGCCACACGGGACACGGCTTCTGCCGGGACAGGTTCATTGTCAGTGCCACTGCCAAGTTCAATACTAGTCCCTACTTCCAGCCCAGTAGCGGGGTAGCGATGATCGTTATCGTTAGAGCCTCTCCACTGGCACGATAGTACAGGGGTCTGCGTATCCCCGATACCCTGAGTTTTGCACTGAGTATTGGTAGTCAGAATTTAACTCCTATTATTCAGTGGAAGATAGAAGAGTTCTGATCCCCAATTCTTCGGTACTACAGTCGGCTTATAAGCACTCAGCATCAGACGCTAAGCGATTCAGACCGTGACTATGTCCGACATTGACTACAACTCCCTCGATTTATCCTTTATCCAGGTCTCGTTCGACGATGGCATTTTGGTCATTGTCAACAAGGTTAACGCGTAAGTGGCACCTTTTTGAATAAGTACACCGCTAATCAGGCAAAATTCTGTGCAGGCGGAATACCTTTGTCGCGTCATTGATCCCAGAGCTTGTACAGGCTTTGGAATACGCAGATAAGGATGACAGAGTCCGGGTCGTGATCTTTACAGCAGATCATACCGCCCCTGCCTATTGCTCAGGAGTAAGTCACCGTAATATACCCCAAGATTGTCCGACACTGACATACATGTCAAATCCTAGGCCAATCTATCCGACGCATGGCACTGGAATGGCATTGATCCAGACACCATCGCAGACCACGGTGATCCTTGAGTCCCACCATAGTCTCAACTTCATTCTGATGCACTTGAAGACTACCGGGATGCCGCAGGCCAGGTTTCTTTGGCCGTCCTTCGATGCCGGAAGATCACCATTGCAGCCATCAACGGCAACGCAGTGGGTGCTGGTGCGACTGCCTTGCAACTCCCTTTCGACTTCCGCGTCGCATGGGGAGGTGCGAAGATCGCCTTCCCGTTTGCAAGCCGCGCGGTATCGCCTGAAGGTGCGTAACCTGTGATCCAACCACTCTTGTGAACGATATGACACTTACTTCTGCTTGATAGGAGCCACGTCCTTCCTCCTCCCTCGCCTTCTCGGGTACTCTGCAGCGACAGCACTCCTCCTGTCGGGACAAATATTCCTGCCCACCCACCCCCTCCTGAACCGACTCTACTTCACCATCCTCCCCAAACGCGAAGATGTGCTGCCCGCAGCCTTGACATTCGCCAGAGAACTAGCGTCCTCGACTTCGGCACCATCCATTGTTGCCACAAAGGCGCTGCTGCTCCACGCCCCATCGAGCGCAGAGGATGCTCATATCATCGAGTCATACCTTTTCAAGAAGATGATCACTGGGAACCGGCATGATCTCGTCGAGGGGACGCAGTCGTTCAAGGAAAGAAGGTCAGCAGTGTTCACTGACACGGTGGACCACATGAAAGAGTGGGCACCTTGGGTAGGCTAGCACATTTGTCTCTCTAATCGCTGCTAATTATCATGTCGCTTAGTGGACGTCGCTGAATGAAGCGCCCCGAGCGGCGAAATTGTAGTGTTTTTGAGACAGTACACAGCTGACACTGTAATGTAAATAAGTTTAACACAATGCAACGTTGTCAATTTTTAGGTAATAGAAAGGCTGAGCGCCGATTGATGCAGTGGCTGTGAGGATCTGTCCAAATTAAGCGCGCGACCCTCTACTCATGGGCCTGCTACCCACTGCACGGAGGCGGGCACGCGTCAGTGACCCCGTCCCGGTCGCGTCGACGTCTCGAGGAAGTATCACGTCAGGTCCTCGAGTATCCACGTCAACGACAGGAAAGAGACGACTCTGCCCGGCCAGATCGACGGATAAGGAAGATGCTACAAGAGCGAGTGGCCAGGGAGTGGCGACGCGTAAACGACGACGCGTATCGTCGCCACGCCCCGATGTTTTATTCCGTCCGAAAAAGAGGCAAAGGGGTGCGTGGAGACCTTTTCGCCTGATACTCTCAACCCCATAGTTATTTCTCTAGCACGTGTAACCACTGATCCAAATGTAATCGAAATCCCTTCCTCTCCCAGCCCGCCCCCAAGACCAATCAGATCGAAAGGTCAGACGGGGACAAGGGAGGTGATTTCCCTTGTCAGTGACTCGGAGGACGACTCGGACCCCGTCTCACATTCCTCGAAGCCTGCCAGCCTGCCGGTTTCGGCCAACGACGTTCGTGCGCCCATAGAAACTCCTTTGCGCGGCTTGAACGAGATTGGTGGTCCGTTCACCAATGAAGATGAGCATCTCGTCGCAGAGCAGCTCGCTCCTTCAATACCTTCTACCCCGGATTCTATACCGCTCCACTCCCAGGTCGCCCATGCCACCCCCTCCGCCATCGAGGAGTGTCTTCGGGATGGCCGTAAGACAATCAAATCCGTTCTTCACCTCCTCCCCCATCATCTACGGAGCTCTCTGCAGCCGTTACCCAGTTTAGTTTCGAGACTCACGACTCCAACGCCTGCGGTAAACGCGTCCGACAGTTCACCACAAGATTCACCCCGCGAACCGCCCCATCCTCGTCCTTGTCCTCGACCCCTCAAACGACCCTCGGTCCCGCCCGATACGCTAGGCCTTTCTGACCTGCCAAAAGAACTACCAGTGCCTCTGGTGACAGGAGACCCCAATCCTATTTCTCTAAAGACCTCTATCAAGTCTCCTGGCGCCGACGATATTGAATCTCCCTCGTCCCCTGCTCGTAAACGACGCCGGTTGAACAAGCTCACGTCAAGTCCAATTTCTCCTTCGGTACGCTGGATCCGTCCCACCGCCGTCGAGAATATGGGTTGCCACCACTCACTGTGGTCCCCTCGGCTCGTTAGAGAGGAGGAGGCAGCGGTGGTATCAGATAGCCAACGGGAAGTCAAGGGAGGTAGGAAGGTGGTGCAGAATGGATATGAATCAGAAGAACCCATGGAGGCGGAAGAGGAAGAGGTGGACGAGCTAATTAGCAGTGATGTTGAAGGGAAGGGAAACAACGCTGACGACGCACCACAGTTCTCTCCTCTGCTACCTGATGCCCGCCCAAATGAAACCACTTTACCTTCTAGGCCATCCTCGCCGACCAAACCTCGCCCTAAATCATCCTTCTCACCCAGCTTGTTCAGTAGGGTGCTAAACCTTCAACGGTCAAATACGTCGTCAACACCCCCTTCGTTGCCGTTCCTCTCACCGTCTCGGTCCTCAGCAAGTTTGTCCTCAGCAACTCCAAGATCTCCTCCTTTTGACAACCTTCCTTCTCTTGTCGGCGCAGTCAGTATCACCGCGTCACCAATCCCCAAGGCGAGCAGCATGCAATTCTCATGGGCGATGGATACGGACCCGCTGGATGATATTGAAGATGAAGATTTTGGAAATATGGTGCTTGCCTACCCTTCCTAACGGTAGTATACTATACATTTCTCTTCTATTTGCCATCCGTGCTCGTTGGACGTCCCATCTCTTTATGCCTTCGTTGTCGTTTAACTTCTCGGAAATGCCGTCTCCAACCACGCATGATCACAACGTGCACTGTATCATCATTTGCAATTCAACAACATTGTTCATTATGTACCATAGGCATGTACACCACTCTCAACTCCCATCCTTGCGAGCATTACATAGATGCATTGTAATTTGTACTACGTAGACCGACCGAATTAATCAGCATGTCACTGGCCGTCTGTTGCTGTACAGATTAAGCTACCTCGCCCCACTCGTCTCTTTGTTTAAAGATTATATAGAAAACACGGAATTATGGTATATAAATACATATGATATGATAGACATATTATTCATGAGATCAGGAGTCTGAATCAGTGTTGACGAGAAATAGCTTAACCCATAGCGCTTCCTCCAATCTTGAGGCATCCTCGTAGTTTGTCTTTGATCGTCTCCTTAATGGCCTTCGCGGTGTAGGCGATTTTGCCGCAGACGCTCATGTCGTCTGGGGGTGGTGGGCCTTTGATGAGGCTGTTTTCGACTGGGGCGCCGGCAACGCTGAGCGCGAGGGCTGCGATGACAACAAGGGCTGGGAAGCGCATGGTTCTATGTATAAGTATTAGTATATGACTTCGTCGCTGTGCGTTTGAGCTAGACCAACCGAATGTGGTGAACGAGTAAGACCTTCTACACGAACAAAAAAAGAAGTTCGAATCAGCCATCTCCGTGAAGTAGCGAGGTGTAACAGTACTCACCAGGTAAGAAAGGTATTTGGAGGATGAGGAAGATAAGCCGCGCCGTCGTTCATTTTATATGCTGCAAATACACTGGCATGACTTCGTTAGACCCCCCATGATAGCGTCTGTCGCAGCGCTAGCAACTGGGGCCATCTGTTGATTCCGTTCTTCTGACCATGCACTAGGAGCGTACTAGGGAGCTGATTTCGCCAACTGTCGAACTAGCTCCAGGACCACTGACTTTAAGTTAGTTCACTCTTGTGGCTTGGGCTTGTGACAAACCAAAAGTCAGAGCCGCCCGCGTGACAGTGGACCTGCGCACGAACTTGATTTTTTATCTTTGCAAAGGTGGCTCCCAATTCCGTGGTGTGGTACGTTGGGCCTCGTGACAGTCGCGAAGAGCTCGCTGATCTATGAAGTCTAGACTCATTCAACGCAGAATGTCTGGTAGCGACTTTGATCTATATGTTGTGTTTGACGCGACTTGTGTGAACTGGCCTTTGATAGTATGTCAATTCTGCCCTCTGGCCCACGACTGACGTTGTCCATAAAGCCTGGGCTGCGGGCACTCGGCGAATCAGATGGTTCATCCACTCGTTGACCCGGCGACGACGTTTAAATCCCAAATTCCGAGTGCGTTTGAATGATGATAACAGTCGCGAGGGAACTGGTGGCGTTTACACCAGTGAGCGTCCAATATGTTTCAACTTTGATCCTCGTTCTGTCGAATAGTGCCTCGGCGCGCAGTGTGGCGAAATGTCGCAAAGCGAGTCCAGAATATATATTTCCATTGAATAGTGATGTCGCCCTATTTTTAACAGTGCGCTCTCTCATCTACACGTGGAGGGTGGCTGGCGTTCTGATGTCTGTAAACGAGGATTTTCGTCGATTACGGTACATTGGGTGAGTCGAGATGAGCGTCGAGGAAGAAAGAACATCGAAACAGTTCGAGTTTTGACGATCCAGGCAACTCGAACAAGCGCAATTCCGCAGGTCGCCCACACGAATCTTCTGCGTATAAATATATCTGCGCAGAACACGGAAGCTCTTCCATCTTGAGAACCGGGTAGTGAAACTCGCGTAACGGCAGCGAAGGCGCCCACCTGCACCCACCTCCAACACCGACTCCCGTGATCTCACTGTAAGTAGCCTCGCAGTCCAGAGTAACCCCGCAATTTACGAATTCCCCTCCTCCCGTAGGTATTGCTAGTGGCACGGTTGGGATTAGGCTTCTAGTCGACGTGAGAGGACGCTGATCCACCAACTCCGCCGATGGGTAAGCTCATTACCGCCAGAAGTGTATGACCTTCCACTCCGTTTGCCATCGCCGGAAGTTGAGATGTGGTAGTAAGGGATTTAGGTGACACCGTGTCCTGTCTTGCCACCCTACCACCGATCCTAGATGCCGAAGCCAAATATATAAGTGCTTACATGCGGCATACCCATCGTTTCCAATTCTTCAGTCGCACCGCCCTTCAACATGGCGCTGTCGGCTACCGAGTTAACTGCCATCGCAATCACATTCAGCTTCCTGGCTGTAGTCCATTACAGGAGGAGGAACTCGTCTCCGTACAAACTTCCTCCTGGCCCCAAGGGCATACCTTTCTTCGGCAACCTCTTCCAGGTTGACGCCCTCCGCCCTTACCCCAAGGTACGTCCCCGCCGATAAATTATTAAGTATAACCATTCACAGTTGGCTCCAGTTCCGAGAATGGGCGAAGGAGTATGGTGAAATCTTCCACCTTCGCCTTGGCCCGTGGCAAGACGTCGTCGTCCTCAACACTGCTGAGGCCGCCGATGAACTCTTCCTCAACCGAAGCAAAGACTTCTCAAGCCGATCACCCCCGCACGTCGCACACGATATAATGAGCGCTGGTCAAAGACTCGTATTCTTACCCTACGAGAAGGAGTGGAAGGTGTGTTCACTCGATTAGAATGGTGCATCATGGGCTACCCTGCGTCTTCCTAGACCGCGAGACGATCTCTTCAAAGCGCTATTGGTCCCGGTCCATCTAAGCGCCTGAGGCCTGCCCAGGAACTCGAATCAAGAGTCTTGCTCTACGACCTCGTCAGTCATGGGGATCAAAGCATTGTCGAGGAACTCAAGGAAGGGCCCAATGGTGAAGTCCCAGAAAGGCATTGGTTCTCCTTGATTCGACGATACGTAAGTCCGACTCCTTTGTCTTTCTTCGGCAGCCATTAAGGACCCTTGCAGACCACCAGCATCGTTATGTCCGTCATGTATGGCAAGCGAGTACACAAGCTCACGAACAACACGTATTTGTATGTGTGTTACTTTTATCTATCTCTTCTCAGCACTTATCTGCTCTCAAAGGAATATGATATACGAGGTTCTGGCCAACTTCACTCATGTCGCTCAGCCTGGAAATTACATGTAATTCAAGTTCTTCTTGCTGCGGCCTATTGTTCGCCTGACGTTCGCTTCTAGCGCCGATGCCTTCCCTGTCTTCAGAACGCTGCCAGATATCCTTGCGCCGTGGCGTGTAGCCGCCCGGAAGATGCACGAATGGTGCTCATCCTTTCATATCTGCTTCATTTGAGAAGATGCTGATATTCGCTAGGGAAATGAAACTGTGGGGTGGCCTCCTGAAGGACATTCAAGGCGATATGAGCAAAGGAATCGCAAGCGATTGCTACGTTGGGAACTACTTGAAGCAGCGTGCGGAAGCTGGGCAGGAACAAGCGCCTGGCTGCGGTCTGACTGACGACGGGTGGCTGAAGGATACGCTTTTGGCTTACACTGCTGGGACTGTCCTTGAGGCCGGTTCAGATACCACTGCTAGCACCATGCAATGTACGTTTCTGATTTTCCCATTCATCAGAGCACGTCATCTTATATCCCCCGAATAGCTTTCATTCTCATGATGCTTGCACACCCGGAAGTATTGCAGAAGGTTCGGGCAGAAGTAGACCGAGTAGTCGGCTCAGATCGCATGCCTACCTTTGAAGATGAACCAAACCTCCCGTATCTCGTTGCATGTATCAAGGAGACTCTCCGTCGCCGACCCCCTTCGATCATGGGTAAGATACCACTCATTGTACATATCATTCTATATCTGAGCAATCCACCCTAGGTATACCTCACAGCGCTCACGAAGATGAGGTGTACAAAGGTGGATAACCCCATTTTAGCACACCCCCTCCGCTAACCATTGACAATCTATCGCTAGGATACCTGATACCTAAAGGTTCAACAGTGATAGGGTGAGACCATATCATTTAGCGACATACCCTGCGAACTTACCCTGGTCTGACAGCAACATCTGGGCAATCCACATGGACCCTGTCCGATTCCCTAACCCATTCGCATATCAACCAGAGCGGTGGTACACCGAGGGTAAACCCACCAGATGGGGCAGTGGACCCGATTCAGACAGGGACCAGTGAGTTACTCGCAAGGTTCTCCCGACTTGCTCCAATTTAAATGACATCCGCATCATCCAATAGCTACGTATTCGGATGGGGTAGGCGCTTCTGCCAGGGAAGCCACATTGCTGAAGCTTCGCTCTTCATCGTCCTATCACGCCTGATCTGGGGTGTTCAATTCGAAGCCCCCAGAGATCCGAAGACTGGATCACCAGTTATTCCAGACATTAACGACGAAGCTGCAACATTTTCGGATGGCATCGTTGCTGTACCGTACATCTACAAAGTTGGCTTCAAGTCCAGGTCGGAGAAGCACGCGAGTATCATCAAGAGATCCTTTGAGGATGCTCAGGCGGAGTGGCAGGTCCTTGGTCTGAAGACAGATGAACGTTAGAAAGGATTCTGCAATACTTTTGGATTGTATTCTCCAACGTAGTGCTCATCGTTTGCCTTACCTTTGTTACAAAACTTATCGCCAATGAACTAATAGCATGGTCATCTCTAAATTTGTGGAAAACACCAACTTACTACTTGCGTCTAAGCGAAGGGAAATCGGAACTCGAAATTTTATCTCCGATTCGGTTACGACCGCCCTCCCCTATTTTAATACCTGCGCGCGCTGTGAAAGCTGTAGCATCGATCTCATCTACAACCATGGCCAACGTCTACGTGAGTTCATCTCTTTCAATATTTGACTCAAAGTTTTTGCGGCATACTCTGGTCTACCTTGATCATGAGGATCTGCCCACGATCGCGCCGCCGATAATTTCCACCAGGGATCGCGGCTCACAACATTAACTGCCTCTAGTTCGATATCACAATTAACAACCAGGCTGCGGGACGTATTGTCTTCAAGCTATTCGACGACGTCGTTCCCAAAACTGCCAGAAACTTCCGAGAGCTCGCCACTGGCCAGAATGGCTTTGGATACGCTGGCTCTGGATTCCACCGTGTGATCCCTTCATTCATGCTTCAAGGTGGTGACTTCACCAAGCACAACGGCACTGGCGGAAAGTCCATCTACGGAGAGAAATTCGCAGGTTCTTAATGAATTAATATATACAACGCGATCGTGACTAATCGATTAATATCGTAGACGAGAACTTCCAGCTTAAGCACACCAAGCCTGGTCTTCTTTCCATGGCCAACGCTGGCAAGAATACCAACGGCTCCCAATTCTTCATCACCACTGTCGTTACATCTTGGTTGGATGGTGCCCATGTTGTCTTCGGTATGATCATCAGTTCATCGCAGATCGTACCAGTGAGACTGACCGACCCCAAGGCGAAGTCGTTGAGGGCTTTGACATCGTCAAGAAGATCGAGGGCTACGGCAGTCAGTCTGGAAAGCCCAGTGCTACTATCAAAATCTCAGCTAGTGGCACAGTCTGATTGGAACCTTGTAACAATAAATTCCACCTGTAAATACACATCGAAGGACTTCGAGATTCCTCTATCTACGAATTTTCTCCAGCCTCGAAAATAAGCCTCGTGAACCCCCGCATGTGTTAAAAGAATGGCGTCAACACTCAACGGTCAACAATCGATGTCTAATCTATCATTACAATCTCTCTAGATATTCACAGCCTATAGCGATACAGCGGGAAACTTCCGAAATCTGAAGAAAACATTATTAATGATCATGTTTGGAAATAATTCAGTAACGCACGTTTTTAGGGTGGAAAGGTTCAAAGTGATTTCCAGGAATATCAATGACTTTGATGGGATCTTTCGAGAGCGTTCTCCAACCCTCGGTGGCGAGCTCGGTATTGTGGCGATCAGCCAGCCATATAGGCACGTCCGCCACGCCAGGTGGATTAAAACCTTCACTAGACCGGAGCAGCGCAATGGGAGGGCAGGGAGCATTGGAAGCTAGTGGATCGTATCGCCCAAGCATGCGGGAGTTCGTCTGGAATTGCCTCTTAACAAGCCTTGCCAACGTCGACTTCGATTTAGAGGTCTCAAGACCGACAACCGAATCGATCAATGAGTCGGACAACGGAACATGCGCAATCGGCCCAGGAGAATCGATGAGCAGGATCCCTAGCACTTTCGACGGGCATCTAGCGTTTATCTGCCGGGCAATCTCGTACGCCAAAACTCCACCAAAGGACCAACCTTGGTTACGTAGGTGAGCGTCAAAAAGTGATCATACAAAAGAGACTCTCACCCCCTATCAGGATAGGAGCGTCCCCTGTGCTCGTGTTCAGTATATGTTTGGCATACGCCTGCGCCATTGGTACAACACCATCCCAGTGTTTGTTTTCAAAAAAGAGAGGGTTAAACATGCCCCAAAGTCCGCGATCTATGTTTCCAATACGACTGTAATGCGTCACAATTCCGCTACCATCGTGAACGAGGAACAAGGGTGGGCGCCTATTCCTGGAGGTTTGTAGCGCAGCTGGAATGGCCTCCATTCGCAGAAGTTTCTTCATCCGGGCTGCTTCAGACGGTTGCATGGAGATCTGCTCTGGGACGAAATCATCTTCTACGTGGTGAACGACCTTTGGTACTTTGTTTACTCTTTGAGCGTTGAGAAGTGGGATATGGTCGTCGGCAGCCGGTGGCACATCCTTCCCTCTAGCTTGATATGATGCCTTCCCGTAGGCTGCCTTTGATTTCTCCACGGGTTGGTCATGATCTCCTGAATCCAGGTCGAAGGGGATTGGTTCGCCCAATTTGCCACCGGGGACTGGGTCGTCCGATGCGTCGTCGGGGACAAGTGTGGGAGACGAGGAAACGCTAACTGATTTGCTGGGAGGGGACACCGGTTCGTCATTAATGATCGTTTCGCGGGAACGAGATGGCCGCTTAAGTGGCAATTTCAAAGATGTTGTCGCCAATACAGACAACCCTCTGCGAAGGACATCAACCCGGACACGACGGAGCTGAAGCCCCTTTAGATGCGCCACGAGCTGTCTGGATCCAGATCCTGTGTCGGCTATGGCATATACGTCAGCGACCATCAGTCTACCGTCTTCCAAAGATGCAGCGCTGCAATATAATGTATGCTGGGCGGTGGCGTTGATCTGGCTCGGGATGGTACGCAAGGAGCCCAACTCGCTGCAGAGAAAAGCATCCTGGCTTCCACTGCTAAGGTCGGCTGTGAGGTTCGCCACCTGGACCAGGGCTTCGACGAATGCCGGTTGGATGAAATAGCCTTCGCCTGCGCGAACCAGGGACGCGGGAAGCTTAAATTGAGCAACAGCTTCCATCCCTCGAGGCGAAAGGGTAAAGGATTCCAAGGTACGGTATCGCTCTCCGTACGTGATGATGCGGCGGAATAGGACGTCGAACACGGTGCGCGACGAAAAGAATTGAAGTTCGTTGTTGGCGGACATGTCACACAGGGTGTCGACGTGTCGCTCTATGCTAGCCAGTGCACGGTTGAACTTCGAAGCACGGAGATGGGTGGCTTGGAGGCGGTACTCCCCATTCATGTGTATATCCTCAGCCTGAAAGCTCCCTGACCTTGAATGGATACTAAAAATACCGAAGCCGTTGTTGAGCGTGATACTCGTGATGATCGTTTGCGATGCGTCTTCGTTGAAGATAAACGGCCTGCTAAAGTGCATTTGTCGAAGAAGGACATCAGAGTCTTGATAGCTGATTCCCAGATGCCGTTTAGACATAGATATTGCCGAAAGCACCAATTCGGAGAAGACAGAAACGGGGCATACGGCAGAAGAACCACACACGATGTGATCTTTGACGTAGTCGACGAGTCGAGTCGCAGGAGTTTCGAAAACGGCGACAAGGCCGTTATCACTAGATGGAAACTGCGCCCATGAATGGAGGAATGGGTGGGCTGCGATCAGCGCTGGCTCATCGTGTATGGCCGATAAACGCTCGGATGGTTCTTCGTCTTGGAACCGAACAGAATGTTTCGCTTTTGGCAAAGAGTTGGAGGGCACCTTCGAACAGGAGGAGGAGGCAAGTTGGCTGAATACGTCCCTCCAGCGGATGTTGACGTTTGCCACGTAAAGGTCGGATAGCGTTGCCGCAAGTAGAGACCATGCTGTTTGTTGCCGTCGTAAAGACTCCAAAGATGCATCCTCAGAAACACTGGGACTGGACTCGAGCATAGGGAAGGATGTCGCATGCGGGCTGATATCCACCCAAGCGTCCATGTGTAGACTTGCGTGCATACATAGACTTTGGAGCGTTCCTTTATCAAAGGGCATGGGGTGCGCGGAGTGCCTTGCAAAGTACACCCCGTCGAACGTCGACCTATCTCCAGGCATGATCACCTCCCCGAATTGATTTGACAAAACAGGAATAATCGGTGCAAAAATTTCAATCCTACTCGTCGTGATATTGATATCATCGTCTAGTGACTTGAATGCCTTCGAGCTTGCAAAATCGTAAGGGATCGTGAGGAATTTAGATCGGCAGTGAACCTCAGCGTCGAGATAGTCTTTGAGCGCCTTGAGTTGCCACAGCGGCCCTGAGATGACGCAATCGAATGCACTGTTACAACAGGAGATAGACAGCAAATCGAAGTGCTCGGACGTATGGAGGGCTTCTCGTACTGCGGACGGAGCAAGCGAAACTACGAGCATTCCGTTCGAGTTAGCCACGCATTCTCTGATCAGCAGCTGTACTCGGCTGGCGACGATGGTCAACGCCCCTTCAAGTGTCAGCACACCGGCAACGACCAGGGCCGCATACTCCCCTAGACTGGATATACACACGGTTAGCCTTCTATTAATATGACAAACTGCCTTCACACTGACCCCTGTCCAGCGACCAGCGCTGGCTTCAATCCCCAAGATATCCAGAGTTTAGCGAGAGCAAATTCAACGGCAAAGACACCCGTCTGATACGCCTGGAACTCCTCCAAAGGCGACAATCCACTTCCTTCCGCGCCTGCAGTGACGACGGGGAGCACCCCTGGAAGCCCCATGTCGATCAAGATCGCATGACACTGATCAATGTGCTGTCGGAACAACGTCGAAGTTTGATAGAGTGAGCGCCCCATTCCCAGGTATTGACTTCCCTGGCCCGAAAACACGAAGGCCACGCGAGCTGCTTCTTGTGAAGCCTGTACCACCGTAGCTGAGCGAAGTTTCTCTACAAGCTCAGGCTTCGTGCTAGCTGAAATCGAAAGGCGGTGAGACTGGACGGGCCGGTGGGCAATGGTAGTGTAGACGACATCCGCAAGTCGGATGGATTCGCCTTGGGGAGACTGTAGCCAATGTACATATTGATCACGAAGATCAAGAAGTGCGGGCTCGGTCGGCGCAGAGAGGCCAAAGATGTATGGCATTTCCTCTGGACAAGGGTCGACGAGGAGGGTGAAATTAGCGGAGAATAAATGAAGAACCCAGCGAGAGGACCTTGTATATGTACTGTCGAGTATTGATAAGATATTCGGCGAGCGTCCTATGAATCTGCCCCTTGGGGACGTCGCTCCATGAGGAATACGCGGGTTCGGACAATACTGTGCGAGATGATCGATGAGGCCCAGTAGAAAGTCCGTCGCTCACCGGCAGCTCTTGCACTCGAACCACTGTTACCATCTCGTGGTTTCCCACGGTTCAACCTAAGTTGTCGCTTGAAAAGGAAACTGTCGACGGACTTTTCACTGCTGACGGCGCTCCGACTGTGACAATCAATATTCGATAGTCGACAAAACAGTCGAATCTGGGAGGTGCGGTTACCCGGGCCCGGGTAGTGTCTGTATTGCTGGTTTCTGATGGCAGTTTCCGACCGTCCGTATTCTTCTGCTCTTACGTTTGCTGGCCAGTTAAACGCAATATGCTGTCATCTCGCGCGCGGCCCTCAGCGGCTTATTTACAAGTGACCGCTCAACACATATTCACAATTAACGGTATCTTCTGCTTTCGGCGGGGAACCGATATCGTCCACGATTGCGTCTTCGTCGCTCCTTGAATTCGACGGTGGTTGAATTTAGCGTGAGTGAACCGTGACTTTAACACTTGCCTGTCAATCAACGTGGGGACCATTGGAACGTTCGTGCTTCTTGATGCTCCAAAAAGAGCCGTATTCAAGGGATTTGCGGGGATGTATATCCTGTAGATCATTGGTCTTCGTGAAAATGCTTTGTCACGGGTCCGGTAAGTTCATTTCGACGTTGTACTCACAACAGATTGCTTGAGACAAACACAGGCCGCATAGTAAGCTTCTGGCGATATAAGATTCGGGGTAAGATTCAGAAATCCATTCCCGTGCGATCTCTAAGGGGATTTTACATGAGTGGCTAGTTCGAGAAGAATTGTGACTTCGCTGAACTGATCTACTACTGGTCAGGTTTAAGGTTACAAGTCACTCCAGTTGTATGTTTGGTTTTCAACAAGCGCCGTAATATCACGTGACTGATCCAGGGTTAGTACAGTCGACAGCTCAAACTCAGAGGGTTCTGGGCGGCGGCTAGGCTGTCTTTAACTCTGCCTCTAACCATGATATATTCCAGGCTCCTCAGCCTGAGATCTGTTCGTCGATTCCTATTATTCTTTAGTATCGCGCATCGACGCTGCAAATTGATGTTGATGTACAGCTGCGAGGCCGCTGCTACAGGCACTGCAACTGATTGCCATGTACCACTTCCAATTCGTACCGGATTCAATATCTTCTCTGACAATTCATTTGATTTCAAGAGCCTTAAAGTGGGTTCGGGAGCAAAACTCTCGGGCTCCGTGGATTCGTCCCCCGAAGCCATCTGTCACCGAATATTCGGGTGATATTGTTGCATCGTCCCCTGCAGTTGGACAACGATCGTCCAACGAAAACGCACCTACGACTGATAGCCGCAGTCACCTTGGAAGTCATCCGACCCATGCGTACAGAACATTGCAACATGACTTACCGGCATCTTGCTCATCCATCACTCTTCTGCAGGCACATTGAAATTTGGCAGTCGAATACGCCGATCTCTGCCTGCTTGCTGGGAAATACTGGGCGGAACACTGGAAGACCTTTGATCGCATGGCTGGTTTTGACACACGCCCGTAGTGATTGCTGGGTATTGGAGACCGTGGCAGACTGGCAGATCAAAATGTGTGCGTTTCGGTACCAATCGGTACTACCCCGCACGCTATGATTGATTCTCAGTCGACTGCTGGGAGCCATCCTCGTTCCTATGCGCGTGACATTGCCAGCCATCAGGTGCGCGTGAACTCCAAGGTGGGACGAACAGAGGAACAGGATGCTGAATGCGTATTGCCGGCGCCATCGCGCGTCTACCATGTTAACGCTGTCACTTTGTGGCGTATGCTTCTTACCTCAGCGGCACTCTCCGATGCTGAACAACATCTAGCGGAGGTCGCTGGTCGTGGTCAGTCTGGAGGCGTATGGGAAGCCATCAACCACCTGACCATCTGAGCCCCTGGGCCCTGGCCGACCTAATGCCCACCTTGAGCTTCGCTCATCTGCCCAGAAGTGCAAGTGAAGTTTTGCATGACTGCCACTGTAAACGGGATGGCCTATACTGATGCTTTCTTGGCCAGGCTTAACCTTGATCCCCTATAGAATTGGCGTTGCCGTCCGTTAAGATATACAAGGGGATCCGTGAACGCCGGATTTCACTATATTTTTGGCTTTGCCGATCTCGAGCTCCTGCACCCATCTGCAGCTTCGCATCTTATAGGATCTAATTTGCCGGCGCGTACATGTAGACAATGGCGTTTGATGGATGTTCAGATCTTGGGTTTTGATGCGTATTACATGCGAGGCCAAGGCTATAAAGCCAATGGACGGGATAGCATTCTCGACCTTTCTCCCCGACCCCGCCAATGGCCGCCCCGCAGTTCGAAATGACCTCCCTGTCGAGAAACTCCATCGACTACAAGGCTAACGGCGAAGTATCTAGAATGCGATCTCACAAGGGTAACATGCCCTCTCTTCCTCAAACGAAATACTGTACTTTATGTCCCGCGAAGTTCACCAGAACGACGCACTTGAACCGCCATTTACGATCCCGTAAGTAAAGTTCCCTTTCGTTACTCTTCCTCCACGGAGTTAACCTTCATTACTAGACACCAACGAGCGCTCACACCGATGCGATGTCCGTCATTCTCCTAAGCATCCGCTTGATGTGGCTAACAGCTCGGTCATAGACATGCAATGCAGAGTTCACTAGGAGTGACCTCTTAACACGCCACAAAAGGACCTGCGGGGATCTGTAAGCCGGGCGTTGATGAGTATCAGTGTTCCACTTTCTAATATGGGACTTCAGTCAGAACACGAACCGCTCGAGGCGAAAATCATGCCAGGTAAGTTTGAACTGGTAATGTCTAGTCGCCGTTAATAACTTTGACATCACACCCCAGTCTTGCGCTGAATCCAAGATTAAGGTATATCGAATCTTGATAACTACCGCTCCGCGTATCTGACGCCCGGTTTTAGTGCGACCTTCAATATCCTTGCTCAAAATGTGCTTCAAGAGGCAGGGAATGTATATTTATCAACGATCCAGAAACTTCTCGTAATAAGAAGCTGGCAGCGGCCCAACGCGCTGCGATGCGAACAACCCCTCGGTCTACCGGGTCCGCCACCCCTATCGTATCACCCCTGTCGTCCATGCCCACAACTCCATCCAAGCTTTTCACAAATTTATCCTCCTCTGGCTATTTCTCCACATCCGTTTCCCCAACACGCCCTGGGGTCGATTCAGATTCTATCTTGGATCTCCCCCAGTTCGCCGCTTCGTCCAGCTCTTCTTCCGCGTCGTCAACATCGTCGCCGCGGTCGGACTTCTTCGATAATCAGCTTAGTTCATATGACCTTGGCTTAGACGCTCTCACCCTCGACTCCCACTTGAACAAGCTTTATTCTACCAACCTCTTTGAACCATTCCTGGAACAATCATTTACCTCGCCCTCGCCTGAACAAAGTTCTGGCCTTCTGAGCGGCGACTTCGGTTGGACTGAGGGACAAGACTTCTACGCCAACTACTCGAATTTAACCGCAGACGAGCTCGCGTATGTATCTTCGCTCGATGCCGGGACTCAACAATATCCTACCCAGTTCTCGGATACCATTCTACTGGCCACTCCCCCGGCACCCTTAGATAATATATCAAACATCAGTCTATCACACGCTCCTTGCACGAGTATTGAATCCTCCTCGGCTCCCTTCCCGACAACACGTCCGTCTCCCTCGGACCTGCAACAGTATCGTAAGTATCACTCATTGACTTCTCTTCGCACGAATGGCTCACACATGTTTGACCAGTCTACCTATTCTTCTCAGCATTTTCGACGCAAGTCCCCATACTGCATTCGTCGACGTGGAAAGTCGACGGTAAACCGCCTATCCTTATTCTCGCTATGCAGGCATGCGGCGCACTATTCGTGAAAACTCGGACCGCGTTGAACTTCATCAACGATGTACTGTCATCAACTCGAGACACATTGATACAGGAGTTTGTAAGTACCCATGGTTATAAATGACAAACGAGGTCTCACGGCGAAATCTCAGACCAAGAATCCTAGCGATTCCAATGAGCAAATGGATCTGATTATGGCGGTGGTGCTACTCCAGACGATTGGATTATTCCATCAACAAGCAGATCAGAGGGTCTCCTCCAATGTATATCACGGCATGCTCGTCATGGTAAGCAATTCTGGCAAATTCCGCGGCTGCTTGTTCTCACCATTCGTCATAGATGATCAGGAGATCAGGTCTATTGAACCGCGTTGCCTCCTGGACACCTGCAGACTTCAATGCTTCAACCTCATTGGACACTGCTTGGAGGGAATGGACAACGTATGAATCCATCAAGCGGTGAGATTATCCGTTTTCTCCGAGGACCAGCCAGATCGCTGACTCAAATTCTCTAGAGCCTTATTTTTATCTTATCTTCACGACTGCTGCCATTGCATGTATTTCTCTCTTACCCCATCCTTCCAGCCTACCGAATTCGATATTAGCCTTCCCTGTGACGACATCCTATGGCGGGCTGGCAGCGCCCAAGAATGGATGGATGCTCTACGCACTCCTTCCCCTTATGGACTCGGTAAAGGGAGGCTTACTGGAGTCGGAATGCAGAATGCGCTCGCTGCGCTCACGGATGGGCGCCCGATGGCAGCACCGTTGCCACTAAACCCGTTCGCACACTTCATCCTCATACATTCCATCTTACGAGATATATACGCCTATCGCGCCGAACAGCAGTCAAGGGGATCATCGGACTTAATGACCGGGGGGTCGGATGGTGGAGGAAAGCAGGTACTCTCTGATGCGATGAAAGAAAGCATAGAGAAAGCTCAAATCGGACTGCAAAACTGGCTGCACTCGTGGTTGACAAGCCCGGAGTCCATGCACCTGGAGAAGAATCAAGACGAGCCCCCCTTCGTTTGCAACGCGTTACCATTCTACTGGTTGGCACAGGTATCCCTGCTGTCCATGCAGGAGGGAGCGTCCCCTACCAAAGCCTTGAGCTCAAGAGCCGAGGGACGATATCGGCTGATGAAGCAGTGGCTTGACCACATTCGATCCTTCCTCCGCCGTGGGGACCAAATCCCTTCGCATCTCTGGGAGGAATTGATGAAAATTCGGCTACAGGTCTCACAAAGCGAGGGCAATAGTGCGGCGGCAGATGCCCAAGACGGATTGTTGGGATTCTTTCCTGGGCAGTAATCTTCTACACGAGGGTAAACTTGTATTGTATTCTAGCTAGCATTATCGTAGATCATCCCATCTTAGACTGGACTGTTTGCATAGTTAACATACTAGGGCTTGTATTCTATATTAATTTATTTCGCATTGTTGATTGAAAAACAGTTTGTCGCTACTAGCCAATACCAGCGCACGTCAACCATTTCGCTCCATTTACAGTGGCCTAAAGTAAAACCGCCATCGGCGTAGTGAAATACCAGTAACGTCGGTCTTGGTTGCTGTCAATCAATACAGATTCTTGTTAAACGAGCTAGCGCCGGCTCTCTCGACAGGCGAATACCGACAAGGTTCTGTGAGCAGCCGTTAGAAATGTTCAACAAGTCAGATCACAAACGGAAACGAAGAATAGAAAAGCCTCATCAACAAGAAAGGTGACAGCATGCTTGCGATAGCAAGTCAGGCTCATTAAATCAGATTTTGTTATAACAATCATCGGCGAAATGAGGGAATGACTTCTGTTCGCACCTTTGGGCCGATAGAAAAGTATTATCGTCGCCGTCATGTTGATTGAAGATGTCAAGAAGAGTCTGAAGATCTGACCCCCCAGTAAAATTGTCGTAGATTAGTTGCGAAAATAAGGTTGCACCTCCGACAAGCCTCTGGTCTCAGGGGGCTCAAGCAGCGCTCAGCGCTCAGGCCTCAGGAGTCATGCTCCCTTGGGTTGAGCAGTGTGAGTGAGGACTAGAAGACCAATGCCAAATTGCCTGACGAACATCCCCGGTCCCCGAAGGTTGAATCAGCTATGCAGCTATGCAGCTATGGATAAAAGAATAGTCCAGTCGACATGTAGATAACTCGTGAAACACCGGACAGTTTTAGGAGCAAGGAACCGGCGTAACACCTACTCTGATAAGGCTGCCCATGGAGAATGGTGCAGACGGCTATCGATCTCATCACAATCAGACGTTTATTTTGCGGTTGTAGACATGTTCGAGAGACCATTGATGTTTTACGTACGAAGAACGCGGGTGCGTACATCAATTGTTCCAATGGGCGGTTTCTTGGCGAAGGTCTGTAAGCTAGATAGCTGCGGGCTGGAGACGGGCTGGATGATGCCTGTTCAGTCCATTAATAGAAGTCTCGAGCACCTTGTTGCATTTGGAAGAGGCGGTATTAAGTGGGCAACCCGATTTCTCTGACTTAACCGCGAGGCTGTAGAAGCGGGTTTGAGAAAGTGGAGGTTACGTTAAGAATAAAGGGAAGGATAGATTCGACGTGATAGCTCGAAGCACATACATTCTCTTCCATGCGGTCTCACGTTTTTCGGTGCGGTTATTTGAAGCTTCACTCTACGTACAGACCGTTTGCCTTGTGCCACTCCTCCAAAGACTGTCGTGGGTAAGTTTTGTAGTCTTTTCTTGAGCCTTCAGGCAATCGCACATAATCGGGCTTCGAGTTGAGCATCAAGCAGGTCTGGAGCAGAAGCGTGACAACATTAGCGCTTCGAATTACATATGTACAACGATAATTCAGTTGACTCACCAAAGTCCCCGGCGATTGGAGTTCGGGTGCATCGATGGCCGACGCGAAAGGATGAATCAATTCAGGCCTGTACGACCATTTAGCACGATTGTTGTGGGTCGGCTATACCCGTAACCGACCGACCATGTTTCATCGTACAACCACAACATGGCGGAGCACTTGGAGCAAAAGCTTCTTTCAGACGAGGCAACCCGCTCCTTCGGGGTGTCTCTATCTATGATTGCCTTGTAAACACTTGAATACATCCATTAGAATGACATCTGATAAGAATCACATTCAACTTGTTGAACAGTTACCTGACATGCTCTTTACCATCGACCTTCAACGTTTTCGAATGTCCTCCGAGATTGATGGAACCACCAACTCCGCCGACCTTTCTGCAAATAGAGCACAGACAAAGCTGTTGCGGGCATCATCGCCATCACTGACAGACTGATGTTATGCGGCAGTTGAACTTACTTGATATGGCACTGGGGTACTAGACATGAGACTGAACCTCACTGCGCCGCAATGACAGCTTCCTTTTAGTTCAACAGGCATGGTCTCGAGATAACAACCGCTGAGTTCCCCAAGCAAGGTGCTGCGTTACTGACAGGACAAGTAACCAGAATGGGGTGATTAGAGGAGTACAAAGTCTCACGATTAACAAGTCCATATTACTTTCCCACGGATATGGGGCGATCACGGCGCTCGAATTGCGCTTGAAATAGCTCCGTACTACTCCGCGTCAAAATGTAAATGATGCACTGAAGTCTATTTCAGCTCGGAATAGATTCTAGCCAGCAGCGACGATATAGTTTGTGCCACCCGTGATATCCTTCGGCCAATTGAATAAATATGCACGCGTTGATACCATGCCGTCAATTGACGACTCAGAACCTAATATTCTGCCAGAGTACTGGTTAGAGTCCAGGATCCAAGGAGGAACCGTACCTTGATGAATGCATCGCCGCGCTTCCCATACGTAGGTGACCGACATATCCTTTTGATCGGATCGTTGTCAGTATGCCAAGGACACGAGCGTAACTGATGAGATCCAGAGAGAGGACAAATGGGACCAATGAAGGAGTATTTACTTCAGTGTCGGAAGTGCTCGCAAGGTCTTGCAGCAAAAATGCGGCATAGCTACCCGTTGTACCTGTATGGCTGTGTGGCTTAGGCCATTGATATATTGATACCCCATGCTTGCGCGACACCGATATATCGACATCTAGATACAACCCAGTTGGCCCGTCAATGATGAGAAGAGTCAATACGACGGGCAGTCACCAGAAGCGGAAATACAGTTGCCGGGATTCTTAGGCTTCTTCAGGAAATGAGGCTGACGCGTGCTGATTTTACACTGTCCATAGCGCCGCTCGCGTCAACGGATGACTTGGACCATCAGCGTAAATCCAGTGATCCAACGGCGTACCTAGGACAGGCGCCCGAGTTACAATGACAGCAGCGCTATACTTGAAGCTCATGGAGCAACCCTTGGATATGACCATGTCGAAGGTGAGAGTGGCTTAACGTATTATTCGCGACTGCAATACGACACGAGCAGATTTTAATCCTCCATCAATATCGAGTAGTCTTCGAGATCGGGTAGATGCTTACACTTCCATTGCATAGACGTATGCATCGACGGGTTTGTATCACGACAGGCACGCTGAACGGTGATGCATAGACTGAGTTCTACGGAGACGTCGCAAGTAGCCGAACATGAAGATTACGAACCTTCATAGCGCTAGCTACACATCGGAGTGGATGACCCAGAAATGCTCACCAGGTAAGTGATCCCATGGATGAGGAAGGGGCAGTGTCTCCGCCTCTCGCGGCATTTGATCTCGCCTGAGCCAGAGCCTGGGGTGTCCAGAAGTCGAACGCAAGACCAGAAGCGCTGGGTAAAGTTGGGGTCAAGTGCATTAATTGGGTCGCGAGTGAGATTCAGAAGACGACAATAGACGAGGGGCGTCCTCTAGCCAGGACATCAACACTTCCGGTCTATTTGGGTTGCAACTTGTGATTATCATTTATCAATATTGTAAAACGAGGATATAGCATAAGGAAAGCATCAATCGTATCCTCCGGTTGACAGCGAAGGGGGAAGTGCGTGGGCTCCCTCTCCACATGTAACATTGATGTTATCGGTAAGCGTCAACTCAATGAGAGAGCCCGCAACAAATACGTCCCAGTCGAGATAGCAGTTAGATTTGTATGGAGTTCCGTTGACACTGACGCTCTATCAAAAGAGAAGTTAGGCGTGTGATGACCCACTACCCCAGTCACCGCACCTTGATGAATACATTACCACCGGTCCCATTGGGTGGGTTACCCACGAATCCCTTTGATCGGATGGTTGTTGTGGTATCAAAGAGGGGATTTCGAAATGATACTTGGGGAAAGAAGGGAGATGAGAGCAATATTTGATTTGTTGCAGGAAGCGGGTAGAGCCCAGCCAAAAGGAACGCGACATAGCTTCCCATGGCACCTATAGGTAATGTGTAGGTTCTGTCTGGTGTATATGATAGAACATCAACGAACCAGAATCTGGACGCAATGGTGATCTAGATCAATGTTGGGACGGAGTCAACCGTGACTTACCGTCATTACCAGGAAGGCCGTTGCTTGAAGTGTTAAAGAATTCAGCGATGACTTGCCTGGACCGTTGGGTACTGAGGCCAGGTCGATTCGCGTAATGATACATGAACGGCATCTGTAACGAAGGTTCATCCGTGGGCTCAAAGTAACTCTGCGCAACAAGGTTAATATATCGATTGACCGGTTCAGGTGTATCAACTGACTTGGTTAAAGATAAAGTCAAGCCTCGATATGAATTTCTCGTTTCCACCTTGTAGTTCGATTAGTTTCGCAGTGTCGTGGGGAACATACTATGTGGTTCAGTCAGAGACAAAGCACGAGAAGCGATGGAATCATATCACCTCAGAGTACTTTACGTGAGGGCTTTGGTCAATTTGCTATCGTGTATCAATAAGCACGTTGACCTACAACTATGGGAGAGCCTTCGTAGAAGCCGTCCGTATTGACGTAAGAGTCAAGATAACATGTCGAGTGGTCGGGGTCATGAATACTGCAGTGACGAGGGTCGGTATAGTCAAATGCTCCGTTGGAAAGACGGGGCTAGCATTACTGTGAGCGTTGTGGTGTGTGTTTTTGTCCCAAAGGACATACCTGCATCATTCCTCGGATCTCTGTCGCACCTGGTACCGTTACATTTGGGTTCCACACATTTAGGAAATTCGAGGCGCGGCGAGAATACTGCGTCCGTTAGCCTGAGAGTGTCATACCAATGGGAGTTAGGATGGTGCCTCACCTTCCGATGGTCGTCCTCCTTGCCCAAAAGCTTTGAGACTTGCGAGATCGTGAAGTCATCGAAGGCATACTCAAGAAGGCCTCAGAATCGTGAATAGCGACGGGGTTGAAATGTATACCTCTAATGTCCTTGAGACTTGCCTAGTGTTGGCTTCCCCATCGTATTTGTCACTTGGGATATAATCTGGCACAAGTGGTATTATAGAACAGTCCCCAAGAAACACGATTGACATACTGAGAAGCTTCCATGGTTTGATCTGCCTCCCCTGAAGTTCCCAATCTAGAGGCAAGTTCTCGGCGTCTGCTAGGAGTGCCTGGTACAAGTCCGATGAAGATACATTGAGAAGTGCCGCTCTATCGGAGAACCTTCGGAAGATCAGCGATAACAGTGTCGAGCGTTCAAATCACCTACTTGACATAGAATTCCGCCAAGATAGGATCTCCATCTGAAAAAACGAGAGTTGGTATATGCTTCAGCTGGTACGCAGATGCTTTGGATACACGCACTACTGCCCCCTTGGATGTGCTGCATAACGGTGGCGCTTCTACATTCCGGGAGAAACCCTGTACGAGTTGCAAGTGTTATATTACCGCAAAGAAACTTGCCCACAATCTACCTTCATGCTTTTGGATATCAATCATTCCCCGCACGATCTTTGCGAAGCTTTCTGGGTCGTGAAGAGACATCAAAGGAAAGAGGGTTCTATATGTGTCCCACTATCTATTGTCGATGTTGAGGGACACTAGGTGGGCTAATGAGGAGATACGCACGTTGCAATAGAAGGAGTCGTAGTACGGTTCGGTCGAGTTCCATTTAGGATTTTCTCCAGTATCTAGGCGCTATGAGGAAGGATTGATATCAAGGAGGGAACGACATACAATCGGCTGGAACAATGTGAGTCCTGTAAAGCTAGGAAATCATCCCATTAGGAAGAAGTACGCAGGTAGGTGTTGCTAAACTCACCGAAGAATAAAATAACTCGACTGAGTCTCTCGGGACGCCTACTGGATCAACGCGAATACGTTTTAAAATATCATTCCACTGTGACCGGGAGGCCTTCTTGACGGCTTCAAAATCAAAGTGAGGAATCTCGGCTTCAGCATTAGCGCAGGCTTGCTTCGTCGATATCAAAGACACTCCAACGCGGGCCAGAATGGACGTAGAGCGACCAGCTGAAGAGCGCGGGAAGGTTAGGAGTGCGCCAACCTGACCTCCAGTTGCTAAGAATTGGTCAGTGCCAAATAACAGAAGTCCTTCTTCACGATCTTACAGATGTCGAATGAATTTTCATTCGTGCCCTTTTTAGGAGTGTCTCCTGACCATGCGCCATACTCGGTTGGTACCACGTATCCAGCGTTTTCGCTCTGGAAGTCGACACAGGTGTAGACACGATATGATCCAGGACCAAATGAACCGTCGAAGGTTGCTCCACCTATGACACGATAAGTTTGGGATCAGGAGACTTGTTGGAGACGATATTACCAACGACCCGCCCAGTTGTTCCGTTGATTTTCATAACAACTTCACGGGCACTCATTTTACCATCATTGCTGATGTCGACAATTATACGCGGATGAGTACTTGTTGCCGGGAATGTATATCTGTGCAGAGCAGTTCGTCGCGTGGCAGTCAGTTCCACACGAACCCCAGTCGTCTATTCCTCCGTTAACGGTGAAGATGCGAGTCGTTGAGATGCCTTACCAAATTCGTCGCGAAGTATCCTGGTGAAGCCTCGTCATCTGGGGAACCTATAAACGATAGTTCAGAACCTGACAAAGCTTCGATATACATCATGTTCTACCGTCTAGCAATATTTTCCGAGATATCTTCCTTTTGTCAAGGGAAGTATGACATCGATCGAACGAGGGGCAATCTGCCAGGGGCCAGAGCTTGAAATTCGAAAGCGGTATATCCTATTATACAGTAGTTCAGGTAATGACCAAGTCAGGTAGATCAAAGTGCCTACCCCTCCCGTCCCAGTTTCGTGAAGCTGGGAGAACCCTGTTGCGAGATACGCAGGGTTGGCATCATATCCGGCATGCTACACTCAGCTATCAGCAGGGCTTATATCACGATATACAAGAAATTCAATGCACGTTTCCTGGTGAATCGGTGTCCATTCCCGCCTTCACCATTCCATGCGGAACGGTAGCACCTACCAGCATTCAGGATAAGTGAGTAGATATTGAGAGAACAATAGATACCCGGAAAGACATGTCCGCCTGCAGTCGTTCCAATGAAAAGGTTTACGAACGCTGCAGGATCCGAGTCGACGATTGCTTCCCAAGCACGAGAGCCCGGTGTTACTCGCTCGGCCGCCCTGAGAAAAGATCATGATTATACCCAGAATGAGGAGATATCTCCTTACTTTGTTGACGCCTGGCGGGCAAACCCAACGTGCAACAAACCGAGAGCCACAATGCGGAGGGGAAGGGTCCACATTGGAAGGGAATGCTACCGGGCACCACGGGTAGTCTTCAGCGGAGCTTTCAGCCATGGCCTGAATATGTAAGTCGCACAAGCGCGTTACACGTCTCATCCTTGCTGGCATTGTAGCAGCAAGCTGTCTGGCACTGTCTGGTCTAGAAGCGAGTTGCGGAGTTACAATGAACGATAATTTGGCCTCCGCGGCTCTGCTCTGCACTCTCCGAGAATCTATACGCCATCGAGAATGGATTTGTAAATGAGTACTGAGTGCTGGAGTACATGCGATGTTCCATTTCATGAGAGCATATACGCAGAAACATTCAGCAGTCCAACCTCGAAGGAAAGCGAGCATCTAGTATGCCAAGTCCTTTGAAGCTACGGTAGGACAATAGCGGACGGTTGGTGGATGGGTTACTGAATGGACGCAGAGTTTGCCAAGCACGCAACCGAATGCACAGAAATTAAGTGTGTAGTGTTAAGGATGTGTGGGTCCATGCACAGCAGTGCTGGTAAAAGCCAAGTTACTCTAGATACATCACAAATAGTGGTTCCCCAATGCCTTCTTTCGCTTGGAATCTAGTTGTAGCGCCTTGCGTTTCAGAAAGGCTTCCAAGTGGCGCAGGCACTTAGAGCGACATGTCTGACGAATCAAGAATTTGTATACGATAAGCAACGAAGAGAGTATGCCAGATGAATCTCACCCTTCAGAGTTCTCATTGTACGCTTTCGGTGTATGATCGTCGTCATTTCTTCCGCGAAGGTGAGTCTGTACTATCCGCTACAGTTGCGTCGCTAGTCGTCGCCTTGGTGCGTACCCGACGTCATGCTGCTGAAGAAACAACCGCCTCGATTTCCAAGACCCAGTAGTCAACCGACTACAAAGTATGCATGGATGATCGAGGGACTGTGGCGCATCGCATTGAGAATAAGAGAAGCAAAAAACATCGGTGGATACCGCAAGATCTTCGTACAACATAAAATGAATATCGGAAACACACTCGAAGAGGACGTAGCGGCTATGGCTTCATCATCTTGATCTCAGCAGCCACTACTTTAGAGCGCTCCGAGCGTTCGTGCTGACTGGGGATAGTCTGCAAGCGAATCATTAGCAGTGTCTTCCGGAAGGATATTTGATATTGACCGTACCTGAGACAGCTCGTGCCCAATGGCGGAAGCTTGTTGGGCGGAGGATTGTATGTTTGCATCATGTATCCCATCGTCTAAAGCAAGTTTCAGAGAACCCTCAAGGTCAATTTACTAGCAACATACCTTCCTCCTCGCCTCCTACGTGTACAATTGGGGGAGGTGCCTGAGCGTCCTTTTCCGCTTGTAGTGCAAAACTATCCCGTATAGCCGAAGAAATAGCGATCGGCTTCGTTCGACGAGCTGCTGCGATATTCGTGTGCCAGTTCAAGCGATTGTCTGCCAACGACCAGATATGTCTATCAAGCGCCTCGTCAAACGGTTCGACATCTAACCCGAAATCAACGCTGAGACATATATCGTGATACGCAAAAGGGTCACACGTACTTTCATCAGCCTCTACATCTTCGTAGTTCCGACCATTCACTCGGAGGTTGGGCTTTGCAAGTTCGAATGCGCGCTCAATATACTTTAAAGATTAGCAACGCGTCAGAATGCACTGGTACCGCTGCGAGGGAAGCGCACATCCAACCCGGTTGAGGTGCTCCGTCAACGCGTCTCGCTGGCTTGCGAGTCCTTGAGATCGAATTTGCTCTTCCAGTTGAGCCATTGCGGTTAGTCTGTAGTCATTTTTAACGCGTTCCCAGTCTTTAACGGAGTGGATTGTCAATCTCTCGCGCGCGTCCATGTCTGTGGTGGTGAAGAGAGGGATCTCAGACATGTGATGCTGGCTAAATTAGGGAATAGAGAGATAGGAGAGAATAGGAGTCACGAACTGAAATACTGCGTTAGTGAAATACCACACCATCCTCTATTTTATGTAATGCCGCAGACTCAGCATGGAGGTAGTAATCAATATGTATATCTAAAGCTACCGAAGCACTATGCTTACTGAGATTGTGACTCCAATGTTAGATTATGTCGCGAGTTGCGTTTTGAAGCATACCTAGAGTAACAAATGTGAGAAGTGCCCAGCTTTTTTCCCTGACGTGCTGAAACCGGATACGCTTTTCGGGATCCCAAGAGGACCGCCAAACCTGATTAAAAAAGCACGGATAAAACATATTTTACATAAGTCGTCATCGTCATTCGGCTCAGCACCAAGGAATCTTGAGATCGAGATTTTTCACCCTCGACATATCATTTCCAAGTATTGTGGATTTTATTCCTCGTATGTGAGGAGTGCTCGAAGAAGGGACTATCATGAAGCAAGTTCTAACTGAAGCTCAAGGATTGTTGGCCCAGAATCATGTCACCCGCCCCTCGAGGATCGCAAATCTAGTTGGCCGACCAAGCGTACAGTGCCTAACTAGTCTTGGCCCTTAGGTGTCGGTGGTCAATAACACCGGTTCGCCTGTTTGAACTGCCCCGAACAATTATTTTCTACAACCCGCAATGACGTTCGCTACAGCGAGTGTTCTCATGTCTGTTCAACCCTTTGCTACTATTTAATGTTAGGATAGCGGAACGAGAAAGCCACCAGCATGAACGGACTCACCCCAGTTATAGTCGAACTCCTCCTGGTTGTCGTCACCGCAGCCTCATTCAATCTGGTGATGACACCACCCCATGCCGCCGTCCCAAAGGATCAGTTTGCAAAGCAGACCCTAACTGACAAGACTGGAAGACTCCAAGCGATCTTACAGAGGGTACGAATCCATTGTCCGTGTACGATGGATAGTTGCTAATGTTCGAGCTGCAGATCTTCGTAGGCGGCGTCTCGTCGCTGCACGTCGCGACCATCATTTACTCGTACAGAAGTACTGAGACACACGTCGTTCACCCCATCCCAAAGACGATAATCATCGGTACCGTCATATGCCTAGCATGTGCATCCTTCCGATTTTGGGCGTTCGCAACACTCGGTCGGTTCTTTGATTTCCAAGTCAGAATCCAAGAAGACCACAAGCTTGTCACTGGAGGGCCTTACTCATATGTCCGGCACCCAAGCTACACTGGATTATTCTTGATGTATATCGGGGTCGTGATGGAGGTGTTCTCTCCGGGGCACTGGCTGAGGGATTACGGGCTTCAGAGTGTAATAGGCCGAGGAGTGTGTTGTCTGTGGGGTTTGCAAACCCTTGTCTTGTTTGCTGGGCTCTGGAAGCGATTGGATCTGGAGGACGCAATCCTCAGGCGTGAATTTGGGAAGGATTGGGAAGATTGGGCTCGACGAGTGCCGTCCCGCCTGATACCAGGGATTTATTAGACCTGCGCAGAGTTGTAGGACCTGTGCGCTAGCATCGAGAGCGTGAACCTTTAATGCGAATACTAAACTTCCTTATATTGTGCCAGAAAAGACAAACAAAGATGAGAAGCCGCAAGAGTAACAACAGTAAAGATATGGAATTACCGACACCGTCTTTATTACCCGTCATGGTTGGGCGATTCTATAGAGCGCAAGTCAGTGTGACTTTTATAGAGGATACTGATAACTTAGCCGTAAGCTCTATGTTGCATTCCGGACGCCTCTAGGTTGTCCAAGGGCAGCGCTTTAATGCTTGCGCAGCAGTATCAAATAAACATGGCCTGTCCAGACAATGTGTGTGTGTGTGTGTGTGTGGTGGGATGCTGGCATGACGCTTGACTGACCATTGGCCAAGTCTGCCGTAGACGGATGCACCCCTTATGAATGTCATTTGATACTTTCAAGTCATGGTCAGTACTCTTCGACACATCGACAATGGTGCGGCGATCACCTCACTCAGAATAAGCCAATGCAACCAGAGCAGTATGGAATAATTTCGATGTTGGAGTGCACGTCGCCCGCGTACCCAAAAACCATATTGCGGCGGACAGATATTCCCTTTCCGCCAAATCTTCAGCAATAAGCTCTTCTGCGCACCTGAAAATCTAGATGTAAGTCACTTAAGGCCGTCCCTTGAAGCTTGACGGGGAATGAAGCGCTCGAGATGTTTGTTGGTCAGTTTTTGCCGCGCAGTTTAGCGTGGTTCCCCCTCTACTCCCGGAGTAGGCATCTGATCGAACGGGCAGAGGCCAAGGAGTATGGTAGATAGATGAATGCACGTCAGGCAGTGCTAGTGAAAGGAAAGCGTCCTTGGATACATCGCAAGTAGCGTAGTTGGAGCATCGGGCTTGTCATTGAGAATCTATAAAAGTCGCGTTGCTGTTTAGGTCATAATACAGACTGTGCTGATAAGACTCCGGAGTCCCAGAAAGCTGTACTTCAATCCGGTGACAATCTCTCTCCATAGGCTACATTCCAGCTTACCGTTCGTTAGCGCAGCATCATTGCCCACTCTCCGATTTCCTACTCGTGGACGCGATGACATGTCCCCCAGTACCAGGTAAGCCATGCACTTCATTATCGTGGCCTTGACTGGTGTCACCGCCAGACTCATTCATCAGCTTGTAGAAGCTGTGCCACAGTGATGCGATGGTGTCGTATTCCTTCGTCATGCCCAAGACTTCTTCGAGTTTCCTATTTGCGACATTTGATGAGGAGAGCAGCTCCTCGAACCCCTGGAGCGGCTGCAATGACATAAAGCGCAGCCCATGGAAAATCGGCGCGTACTAGTGTAATTTCTTTCGCGAGTTTGTCGCGCTCGCGGTCGAAGAACGAAGGCTCCTCGTCGTTGTGCATTGAGATTGGTTTCAGCAGATCGTATATTTGTGATGGAGTGTTGTGACATGCTTGACACCGGAGCTGTAGCCGTGTGAATCAAGCTCATTCTGTCATTCAATCGACTCAAGTTCCGTTCGACCGCTTGCCGCATTCACTTGTGCTGCGTGATGATCATGACTGACCTCGACGACGATATCCCGTACGGCGACATCAGTTTGAATCAGAGCGTCCTTTTAATCTCACTTATACCCATCTCGGAAGATTAGACAACTCATCGAGCAACCGGTAAACGAAGTCAAACCTATTGGCCTGAAGCCAGATGCTGCTGTGGCTCGAGTTCCTCTGACGATAATCAGTGGATTTCTGGGTGCAGGAAAATCTACGCTTCTTCAGTGAGCCGCCCTGTACTCTCATCGCTTACATTGAGCTGAAAGCCTGGCCTCTAATGTAGGAGGATCCTTACTGAACGACACGGATATCGAATCGCTGTCATCATGAACGAATTTGGGGATACTGCAGTTGAGATCCCGGATGCCTTTACATTCCATAGCAACCGCTGACTACAATAATGAATGCATAGGATATCGAATGTTAGTCCAAACTACTTCATTGAGATTACTTCACTGATTCATATTTATATACAGCAAAAACGATAAATGTAGGGACCGGGGAAGATCCTTCTGAAAGGTCCGAAGAGTTCCTTGAATTAGCCAACGGATGCCTGTGCTGCAGTATCAAAGACACCGGGATAGCAGCCATCGAGAGATTAATGCAGAAGAAGGGCGCGTTCGATTATATTCTACTCGAGACAACAGGCTTAGCTGATCCTGGTAGGTGCCTGTATACTGGGTCGACAGAACTTCTGACACCTGCGTAGGTCCAATCGCGTCGATGTTCTGGTACAACGAAGAGTTTGCCATGGGTCTAGGAAGAGACATCACCCTCGACGGCGTTGTTTGTGTAGTAGACGCAGTCTTCGGAAAGAAGGTTTGTGATCTCATCCAGCATAACTCCATACGACTTATGTAATTACTACCCAGCAAATAGAGGAAGACCATGCTGTTGACGGGATTGGTGAAAGCTTACGGTCAGTAAATTCTATGACTTCATGCTCACAGTGGTGGCAATACAATAGTTTATAGGCAGATTGGATGTGCAGACGTTGTTTTATTGAATAAGGTAGACTTGGTTTCTGAATCGGCCGTTACCGAGCTCCAGGGTATTATCAACGGCGTCAACCCAGTGGCCCCATTATATCAAACCATTCGTGGCGAGATCGACCTCAAGTGCATTCTTGATCTCAAGGCATTCAGCTCCGGACCCGATGCTCGCAATGCACCGATCGAATCATCATACAACACTGGTGCTGGTCACGCTCACGATCATACCGATAACCGTGGACCCCATGAAACCCACTACGAGATGCGGGGGATATCAAGCCTTCAGGTCTCTTGCCCCCCGTTGAGCGGAGGCCAATTCGAAAGGTTCGATGAGTGGCTGAGAAGCGTTCTATGGGATGGGAAGCTTCCATCTGGGGAAGATAGAAAGCTGGAGGTTCTTCGCTGCAAAGGGATGTTTACCTTGGATAGCGGTGAGCAGTACGTGCTTCAAGGTGTTCGAAACCTATATGAGATAGACGTGGTCGGGAGGAAGAGATCCCTTGGTGTACCGGAGGACGGTAAAGTAGTTCTCATCGGTAAAGGACTGGATGAGGGGGTTAGACGGAGCCTGATAGAAATCCTTTCGTAGTGGGACTTGTAATCCATTATCTGATCTAATCTAATCTCAGTGATGAAGTTGAGTCACTGTTGTGCGTCATCCGAGTCCAAGATGTGAGACGGACCCGAGATCGCACTCTTCCACCAACCTTCACCATCGTGCAAAAGCAATGGAGGCCCCAGATCCCTCGTTCGTTCGTGTCATCACGACCTTGGGCCACGTTGATCATGGTAAAACAACCCTCATGGACGCGTTGCTTGCTGCAAACAATATTATATCCCATCGGATGGCCGGCAAGCTCAGGTTTCTGGATAGCAGGGAAGACGAACAGGAACGAGGTATAACTATGGAGAGCAGCGCCGTTACACTCAAGTTCCAGGTTGCTGAGAGGGGCAGCGATGGGGAGAGGTGGGTCATACTCAAATCTATGCTGCTTTACATTTGACGGATATCGACTAGGAAGATTAATGAAGACGTACTTTATTAATATGGTTGACACCCCAGGTCATGTGGACTTCTCTAGTGAAGTGTCTACTGCATCGCGACTATGTGATGGTGCCCTTGTCTTGGTGGACGTCGTTGAAGGCGTTTGTACCCAGGTGCGTAAATTCAGAGACAGACTGACGAAGTATGGGTTACACTGACCACCCATATGAAAGACTATAGCTGTGCTGAGCCAGGCCTGGCAGGATCGCCTGCGACCCATCCTCGTCATCAACAAATTTGATCGTCTGATCACTGAACTGAAATTGTCTCCAATCGAAGCATACAATCATCTTTCCCGCTTAGTTGAGCAGGTAAATGCAATTATGGGGAGTTTCTTTGCGGCAGAGCGAATGGAAGATGATTTACGGTGGCGGGAAGAACGAGAGAGGCGCCTTGCCGAAAGAAGGGAAGCAATGGGTGAAGAAGCCGATTCATCGCTCGTTGAAGAAGAGTTCCAAGAGAAGGACGACGAGGATATCTATTTCGCGCCCGAACGGGGCAATGTCATATTTGCATCAGCGATCGATGGCTGGGGTTTCCGCGTCAGCAAATTCTCGCAGCTATATTCTACTAAACTTGGCTTCAAAGAGCACACCTTGCGGCGAGTGCTGTGGGGTGATTTCTTCTTGGATCCGAAAACGAAGAAAGTCATAGGGTTCAAGCACCTCCGTGGTCGATCGTTGAAGCCACTATTCGTTCAATTTGTCTTGGACAATATTTGGGCTATTTATGAGGCGGTCCTGCTGAACCCGTGGGTCGATTCAGAAAAGCGGGGTTCATTATGCCTAATGATTGCTTAGGAATCCCGATAAAGTCACCAAGATAGTGGCTTCTTTGGATTTGAAGATACTTCCACGAGACCTGAAAACGAAAGACTCGCGTAATCTCGTTGGCCTTATATTGTCTCAGTGGCTCTCTTTGTCAACATGCATCATCCAAAGCGTTATCGATGTCGTACCGGCCCCGTCCGTTGCCCAGAACACCCGCGTGCCAAAAATCCTTTATCCACAACTTCATCGCGACGAGAAAGTAGAAGCAAAGAACAAACTTGAAGAAGACTTGTTTTCGTGTAACTACTCCAGCGATGCCTACGTCTCTGCGTACGTCAGTAAAATGTTTGCCGTCCCCGCAAAGGACCTCCCCGAGAACAAGAAGAAGGTCATGACCGCCGACGAAATGCGAGCGAGGGCGAAGGCTGCGAGAGAAGCCAGACAAACTGATGCTCCAAACCCGGAACCTCGAGGTGCTTCTTCATCAGACCAGAACGAAGGAACCGACCCGCAGGAGAAGGAAGGGGAAGTATTGCTAGGATTTGCGCGACTATACTGCGGAACCCTTCGGCCTGGTATGACGGTTTATGCCGTTCTCCCGAAGTATGACGCTACACTAGGGCCCAAGCACCCTACCAATCGAAAGTACATAACAACAACAGTCGTCGAGTCCTTGTACACCATGATGGGGCGTGAGTTAATAGCAGTGAACAGCATACGCGCAGGCAATACATTCGCTATACGAGGCCTTGAAGGGAAGGTGTGGAGAAGCGCCACTCTTTGCGCGCCAAGTGAACATGGCGTTTCACCAGAGACCAGCGACTCTCCAGAATATGTCATCAATCTCGGGGCCGTCAACCGCACTGTATGTCGAGTTTACTCGTCTTGCAAGTATTCACTCTCATAATTGGCGTAGGCACCTCCAATCGTAAGAGTTGCGCTAGAGCCTGAGCGACCTGCCGATATGCAAAAGCTGTTGGACGGACTGAAGCTCCTCAGCCAATCAGACCCCTGCGTAGAAACCTTTCAACAATCCACGGGTGAACATGTTATCGTCACAGCTGGCGAATTACACTTGGAGGTGAATCACTCCGTCTTGTCCTGTGGCACGCTACTTACATGTGATCTAGCGATGCCTCAAGGATCTGCGGGAGCGGTTTGCTCAAATTGATATCCACGTGTCGAAACCAATCGTTCCGTTCCGTGAGACAGCTGTCCGCGCTCCTGGTAAGGATGCCCTCCTTTGGGTTGCTTCGAGTTTGATGGCGAATTTTGACGCTAGACATGGCGCCTCAAAAGACTGCTGGTGCCCCCCGGGGCACTATCAATGGAGCCATTTCGCACGACCTGGTCAAGTTCACTATCCGCGCTACCCCATTACCACCTCCCATTCTTGATTTCATTCTCCAAAACCAAATTACGATCCGAAACCTTGTCAACGACGAAGGATCTAAGCAACATGGGGAAGATGACAGCGATGGGAATATTGATCAAGAACTAGCTGGCCATGTCCATGGTGACGTTGATCGCACACCCACTGTGTCGGCGGACAAGTTCTGGGAGACGCTGCACGAAGTATGCCAGAGTGCCGGAGAGGAATGGAAGGACCTTGATGAGCGGATATGGGCGTTTGGACCTCGTCGGACTGGCGGGTGTGTGCTTACAGATGGAAGAAAAGGTTCACGTCCTCATTCGTAAGCTTCTGGTGGTTGTCGTCCCTTTATTCGCTGGCTTGACTTGAGTATAGAATCAGGAATCTGGCGGAAGACCGGAAGACCGCTTCGACGCAGGATGAGTTGAGTAAACTGTTGGAGGATCTGGAGAATCACATCGAAACAGGCTTCCAATTGGCAACGCTCCAAGGGCCTCTGTGTGCAGAACCGGTAGAAGGAGTCATGTTTTGTTTAGAAAAATTAGAGATCAGCACAGAGGACATCAGTCAAGAAATAGGTACGACCCGTTCCCGTGAGATGTTGACGGACTTGAGACTTATCCAATACTAGAACAAAATCGGATGGCTCAGGTTGCTGGATCGCTGATCTCGGCCGTTCGTGACGCATGTCGAAACGGATTATTGGATTGGTCGCCGAGGTTGATGTTGGCCATGTACTCGTGCGATATTCAAGCGTCAAGTACGAACTTTAGCCTTATTTTCGACAATCACTCACAGTTTGATGTCAGCTGATGTGCTGGGCAAGGTTTACGCTGTGGTTGCCAAGCGACGGGGGAGAATCGTTGCGGAGGAAATGAAGGAAGGAACATCATTCTTCACAGTGTCTGCGTTGCTTCCTGTCGTAGAAAGCTTTGGTTTTGCCGATGGCAAGCCGGTTCTCTCCCGTATGCGTCAAAAGCTAATCATCGTTTCTAGATATTCGGAAACGTACGTCTGGTGCTGCAAGTCCACAATTAATCTTCAGCGGGTAAGTCTGTGTCTTCAATTGTACCGGCGCGATAATTATCGGTTTAGATATGAGCTGCTTGATCTCGACCCTTTCTGGGTGCCTACGACCGAGGAAGAGCTAGAGGACTTGGGAGAGAAAGCTGACAGGACAAACGTTGCTAAGGCTTACATGGACGGAGTCAGGGAACGTAAAGGGATGTTTGTTGACAAGAAAATCGTGGAGTTCGCTGAGAAGCAGAGAACTTTGAAGAGATGAACTATTAAACGTACAGCGCCAGTTCTATGAATCTTAATCATACTCTTGTGCGGGAGTAAACTGCCTATCATCGACAAGCGGCCCCTGCATTTTAGGGGCCTATGGTCTCACGTGCCAGAACTTTGTGTCCCGGCGCCAACTTCAATTTAATTTAGCGCTGCGATCATTGCTGACATAATATACAAGCAGTCCTCCTCCTCCTCGTACCTGGTTTCAGCAATTTACCTGAAGCCTGTATGGCCACGGTCGCCCAACCCATGTATGGCGCTCACCATAATGGATTCATATCCAACACCTCCGTAACGTCGTCCCAACAGCACCCTGTCAATCTCCATCAGCCGCAACAGCCGCCCGATGCAGACCAGCTCGACGACGAGTTTCCCCTTTTCTGTCGCGCTCTTTACGATTACCAAGCTCAGGACGCCTCCGCACTCTCTTTCCGTAGGAACGACATAATAGAAATCTTGACCCAGCAGCCATCAGGCTGGTGGGACGGTCTTCTAGGTGACGAGCGTGGATGGTTCCCCTCCAACTACGTGACCATAATATCCGAAGACGAAGCCGAGGCCGCATTCTCCTCCACCGATCGGACTCAGCCAGTATCTGCTGCCACCGTAGAAAATGAGGAGTGGTTGGAGAGGGAGCTCGGTACTCGCGATGGCATCCAAGCACTCGCGAATGCCACCATCGACAGCCCAGCTCAGTCCAACGACTTTTGGATGCCCCAAGTGACGGTAGACGGCCAGGCAAGTACCTGTTACTTGAACCAAGTGTTAACCACCATTCATCCCGCTTTAGATATACTATGTCAATACACAGACTGGCCAGCACTCTCGAGATCTACCACAAGAGTCGGACGACCAGATCTCTGACAGTGAGCTGGCGGGCCTGACGTCCCAGTCGAGCTCCCGTTCAGGGACAAGTGCTGGGCTTGGCCTCACACCCAGTTCTTCGACGTTGATAGAATCGTCGGACGGTAGCGCAACGCCAGGTTTCGGATTGCAACGGCGCACAGGTACACCGGAACCATGGATTCGGAAGTTAGCAGATGACGGCATGTCGTACTACTACTGGAATCCCGTCGATAATCAAGTGCAGTGGACCCGACCTGAAGCGGAGGCCTCCGTTGTTTTGGGCCGAGGGCGATCCGACTCTCAACCAACGCAGCGGAGTGGTCAGTTGAGCGTCTACTCGGATGACTCGGATATACAACCCAACGAAGGCAATCGAACGGCACGCTCTCAATGGAACACAGAACTCACACCCGTCGATGACCCCACGTCAATGGAACTCACCTCAGCCGAGCGACTCGCACAAACACTTCAACAAGCGCTGTCTCCATCACCGCCTGAGATCATCACCGATCTATCCGCAATAGCTCGAAATTCCATACAGGCAGTCGTAGACAGCATACAACTGAATGGAGTCACCCGGCAGCCTGAGGAGGACGAGAAGATGGATGGACTCGTTCGCCATGTCGTGCTTTCCGTCCGCAACCTGCTCTACGTTGCTGCGATACCTACTGGTCACATTCCGAGCAACGTACTCCCCCCCGATTTGCGCAACTTACGTCCGAACCCTACCGTTCACTCTCAGTTGAAGTCAGCCCAGAGGAAAGTCACCGCCACCCTTTCCAAATTAGTCCTCTCGGCTCGGGCAATGCAATACGACACCGGGGGATCTATTCATGATACACCTAATCGAATAGAAGGTGACGCGGAGGAACTAGAACGTGCTATTGTTTCCTTCGTGCTGGAAGTTCAGAGGTTCCAACACCAGGAGGATTCTCCTCAGCAAAAGCATATTGTCAAGCGACTGCATGGCGTATTCTCAACAGCTAACATTGGCTTGGGACTAGTAGGCGCTGGCGCGGCTGGGAGTTGGAAGGGTTTCGGTTGGGTGTCCTTGGATAATGAGCAAGAGGTTCCGCGCCGCGTACTAGGTTCTGAGGTAGTGAACGAGTTGTCTTCGTTCCTATCACAACTGGACGAGACGCTGAGCGCTATAAATACCACGATCAGAAACCAGGACCCTCATAAAGGTATTTGTTGTTCTGCTTCCTATCTCCCATTATCAAACGTATCAACCTTAGGTAAAGACGTAGCCTCTCAAGGCCAAAGTCTTCTGAGTAAAGTCTCTGGGTTCCTTCTGTTTATCTCGCACATTCACGTCGCTCGGCATGTCGATATCGATGGAATCCGACAAGAAGCGGGTGCCCTGCCGAACGAACTATACACTGGATCAGTAGAAAAGGCACGTATACTCGTACGTGCTCTGGAAACCAGTTTGCAGTCTCTCTACGACGACGCTGCCTCGATTGTGCTTGCAATGCAACTCTTGAGCCCTCTTCACCCTACTGCAGACGGCATTCCACTGGAGTTAGTAGATACCCTTGTCTCATCTTTGAAGGCAAATTTGGGAGTTGTTAACGAAACGCTGGGAGGACTACTTGCTGTCGGTCACGAGCAGGCAGAGCTTGCCCAGGGCGACTACACGGGTTCAATTGAATGGCGTATGTCACGTCTGAGCATGATCGACACCCAGTTCGGCGGTGCGTTGTCACCAACATCACCTTCTATCCTTGAACAAGAAGACGTGGTCGACATGGACTTCGCATTCAGCAAACAAGGCAGTAAACTCCAAACTGGGGTGCCACCGGTATACGAGGACCCCTCGCAGGAGCAACCTAAACCGAACCGAAGCATCGTTGCACCCCCTCCGCTGCAAGTGAACAATGGCGCCCCCATGGCACCACTTGATCAAGTGCTAGCATCACCTGTATCGCCTGACGGTCTGATGGACCAGGAGACAGCCACCTTATTTGAAGATGAAGGTTGGTATATGACCGTTACTTAAGGTTGCCGGAAAGTTCTGATTAGCTTTAGTGGTTGGTGTAGCTTCGCCGAAATCGCCGCCAAGAGCGGCAGGGGCCGAGAAGCTACGGAAGCTACTTGGGGACGATGCACCGAGGCATTACTTGGATACAGTCAGCGCAGACTCAAAGCCATGGTACCTACGCCCAAACTACGATCAGACAGAGATTCAGATGGATCCCGATGGTTCTGTGAGAGGAGGTACCGTCCAGGCATTGGTCGAGCGTTTGACGGCGCACGAACATGGAGGTAGCGTGTCGTCCTTGTTGACCGTGCATATCTCCATTCACCAACATCTTCCTAGATTCTTCATTCATCAAGACATTTCTGTTGACCTACAAGTCATTCACAACCCTTGACGAGTTGTTCAACCTCCTCGTTCAACGCTTCCGGATTCAGCCTCCACCAAACCTCTCACCGCCAGAATTGGAGGATTGGGGGAAGTTGAAACAGCATGTGATTCAGATGCGGTGAGTATCACTCATAAATATTCTTCAGCGACTAATGAACGCCGGGATGTTCAGTGTCTTGAACACCCTCAAGTCTATGATCACGGATGAAGACGTGCTGGAGAGAGAAGATTACCATATCTTCGATCGAATGAAAGAGTTCATCTCATCTAGCGAAGTTTCGCGGTTCGCCGCCTCGAAGCAACTTTTGCTCCTGATCGAACGAGCTGTGCGATCCTTCCTCTCCCTCTGTTGGATGGCTTTGCTTACCTTTGGGTGCATTAGCAAAAGGGTGGAGATAACATCAAGTCAATGGTTAGTACGTTGGCGCCGGCTCCTCCCCCGATCTATCCTAGGATAAGCTCTGGCCGGAAAGTCAAGTTATTAGACGTCGACCCACTAGAGCTAGCGAGACAATTGACAATCCTAGAGAGCCAGCTATACCAGAAGATCAAACCTATGGAATGCTTGCAACGCTCGCGGGAACAGAGCATGGAACATCACGACAATATAGCCATTGTTATCCAAACTAGCAATAGGGTGAGGTCTTCTATACACGCTATCCTGCAGGTACTAACGGCCGATCAGATTGCAGATTGGGTTGCTGATTCTATTTTGAGTAAAGAAGATTCGCGGCGCCGCGCCGCCGCCGTCAAGCATTTCATTAGTGTTGCAGACGTAGGTTCTCGTGTTAATAAACAGGGTACCTCTTTTTACCTTCTCTGTTTCTAGCGCTGCCGGACACTCCATAACTTTTCGACGATGGTGGCAATCACTTCCGGCCTGAATACGCCTCCCATTCGACGGCTGAAGAGAACATGGGAGCAGGTCAACCAAAAGCTCATGGCTCAGCTAGGAGCCTGTGAGATGACCATCGACACTACAAGAAACTTCAATAATTATAGATCGACTATGGCCACTGTAACACCACCATGTGTACCATTTATTGGTTTGTATCCCATTTCATTTTCTCGTATCTGCCAAGTCTAACATAGTCTTGTTTCAGGTGTCTTTTTGACAACCCTTCAATTCATCCAGGACGGTAATCCTGATAATCTTGCTGGCAGTCTAGTCAACTTTCGGAAGCGTCAGAAAGCTATGGAAGTAATCAACGATATCAAACGTTGGCAGGCCCAACCATTTAACTTTACACCCATACCCGCAGTTCTTCAGTTTATCGAGGAATCCCTGAGTCAATTCAGCGAGACGGTGGATGTTCGCGAACACTTTTGGCAACTCAGTCTGGATCGGGAGCCCAGAGAGCGGGAAGATGAGAAGATGGCGAGGCTTCTCCAGGAGAGCGGATTTCTATGATCATTTCTTGAATCCCCCGGGACTGTATCATTCATGTTTTCGTTTCGTGTACATTACTTTACTTATCAGAATGGATTCCTGACAACCGACGCAACTCCTTTGCGGCCTCTAAGCGCCTTACATTTACAGCGTGACCTGGGCTTATAATGAGCTTACCAGTGAACACTATCCTTTCTCGTCCTCATCCCGGTTTCCCTCATCGTTTCACGCCTCAATGTTTCGAGTCAAATTGAATGATGAGCAATTGCGCAACGTTGTAGCCGGCCCAGGCGACGTCGAGTGGCGGTGAGCGATACATTACTCGAGTCACAGCACTGAATCCATATTCCGCCTGCCCCAGATACGAAATGCGGCGGGAATGTCAAGAAATCCTCCCTGGGCTTCTTCTTGGGCCGTTTGTCGCCTCCAAGTCGCTCGAAACGCTTCAGTCGCTCGGAATCACCCACATGTATGTTCCTCTGTTGCGCGCCGAAACCCAGACGTTCCCGCATGCCTTGGGTACTCACTTTAGAGAATCGTTAGAGTATGTATACGAGATGCGAAAGAGGCATTCTCAGTCCGACCACGCTTTCCGCAGCAGTTCACGTATATGACTCTTGACGTGGAGGACAACGAAGAGCAGAATCTCATCCGTCTGTTTCCTGCGTAAGCACCTCTAGTTTCACACAATCAGGAACTCTTCTGTAGCTCATTGATACGTAGTGCGAAGAAATTCATCGACGACGCAATCAGTCGCAATGGGCGCGTCCTCGTGCACTGTAACGGTGAGGCTCGTTACGCGTCCTGCACGCCCCTGATTCACCAACCGCCACCCCCCAGGCGGCATAAGTTTGTCTCCAGCATTTGTGGTCATGTTCGTCATGCAATATTACAACATGAGCTGGGAAGACGCTCTGCATACCGTACAAAACCGACGTTACTGCATCTCACCGAACGGCGGATTTCTGACACAGATCAAGGTCAGTTGCTTTTGTGTTCTTGCGATCTTGTTTGCTTAGTCGACGGCAGGAATACGAGGCGATATATAAAGCCAGTTTGGCTTTGGAAGAATCGCCATATCAGAATTCAAATAATGTTTCTAGACGGAAGAGGGACGACGATGACGACGATCGGTATGCTCCCTTTCTATACCACGTATAACCATTTTCTCAGCCTTGTATCCAGAGCGGAGGACCGCAAACGACCGCTAGTTGATATGGACGGGGATGACCCAGATGCTATGCAGACATGATTTTTCCTGATTATATTGCTGTCTACTCTATGATATGTTTGCATTATCCTATATTGATTTAATTTTAGGTTTTTCCTTTTCCTGAATGACACGTTTTGCGTGCACATCTACGAGCGGACATTGGTCAGTTAGCGGTAGCGGACAGTAGACCAAGCAAAGTATACCCTTTCGTTTCACCAACGCTTCGACGGATATACCCGCAAAGACCACGGCAGCTCCCAGCCATTGACCCGGAGTCAGCTTGTGGTTGTACACAATGACAGACAGCAGCATCGTAAACAGTTTGCGAGTTAGCGTTATTGTGCTACAGAGGGAGTCAGCTCGGAGATACGAGTGGGGTTTGGGTGGGTACTCACACAAGCGTCAGCGAGCCGAAATGTTGCAGCGTCTCGAAAATGAATAGTTGACCCAACGCGCCTGTCAAGGCAAACTGTGCCAAGGGTGTTATTATAGACGGGTGGTTGCGGATGAATGTCACCGCGCCCATCAACTCCGTCTGACCGTCGGTGGACGGGTGGATAATGGGGATGTATGGGAGCGGAAGGACAGAGAGGATCGACGTCAAAACTGTACAGAAAAGGTTGATCCAGAACATCATTTGCTGCCCCGTGACCTTGTGTCTCGCAAATATCTCGTCCTGAGTCGAGTTGGTGGCGCCGTCGAGCGCCAAGTTGATTAATAGATAGGTAATCCCTATCAAGTTAGCGTAAGGCGCGGCGGCGGCGGTGTTAGAGGAGTGCTTTCCCTTCTTTGAGTCGTTGCCAAAGCCCATGAAGATGGTTATGCCGAGGGTGACCATGAGTACTACAAGGTACTTATAGGGTGCAAATTTTCTGCGGTAGAGGAGGACGTTCATGATCATGACAGGAACGAGCTTGCACGATTTTCCCAGCACCATGGCGGGATACGAGATATACCCAAGGGCAGCGAAGCCGAAAGGTGCAGCGGACGTTATGAAGACGGAGCATTGGAGGTATCGGAGGAGTAGCGCTGACGTGGAGAAACGGGTATCGACTTTGGGTTTGTGGCTCGAACCGTTTTGTGCGATATGAGCAATTCCGTTTCCGTTCGCGTGGCTGATCGCGTTCCCGTTCTGCGCGTGTTTTTCGTTGTGTTCGGTCTGGTGCGGGGTTTCGGACGTCAGGTGCAGACCGAGGGTTTGGGAGAAGGTCGCAGTAGACTTGCGACGTAGTATTATGTATACCAGAGCTGATATACAACTGAGGGCACTCTGACATGTGCCCATGAACAGGGGGGACTTGAATTTATCGGATGTCTTGCCATCTATCGACTGAAACGGTACCGACACTGTAGTGTCAATGATTAGCAAGCCCTCGGTGCAAAGAAGACAAGAGTAGGTAGCTACATCTTTCCTGTGCTATCGCCCATAACTATGGAATTGTTCCACCGTTCAGCAGGGATCCTCGGCGCGAAACTTCATGGCTACTCACCAGGAACATAGAGTACACTCCGCAAACGCATAGCGCGAGTCTGCGGGAGAAATGGTGATCTCAGCTGTAATCCTAGCAAGTACAGCGTGCAACGATCTTACCGGAGAAGCGACATAGTGGATTGAGACAGAGAAACGCGACGTGGACGAAACTCTTCGACTCTGTGACGTGGAAACTTGTTGCAGCGTGTAACCCTAACCACATGACATAAACCATAACCCTACAATGACTTTTGAGTCCGAGTCCGATCGGAGAGGGTGCTTTATCTTTACTTGCTTCCAGCCTACATGGCGAAATCCAGAAAGCGAGGGAACACGAATACGTCAAGACGAGGCCCGGTATGATCTTCTGAAAGCCTTGTGACATATAGTGGTTCTTACAACGGGCCAGGCGCGCTCGCATGTTCTATTCGTTTCCATCCTCGCTGGCGCGGTTGGTATAATATGCTTCTACATATTCAGATATGACTGGGCGCGAAAGTTATGGTCGGAGCACTCAGTAGAGGATGGAGGCTTTCTCGAAGTTACGCAGCTTCCGGGAAAGGGCATGGGTGAGTTATGTGGGCGACATCTCATGCGTGGATCGGAAGCTGAACAGTAGTTCCTTAGGTTTAGTCGCTTTGAGGGACATCGAAGTACGTTCCTTGCACGTACAACGATTGCGAGTGATGTCTGACATACGCAAGATAGCCAGGCCAGCTACTCATCCGCGAGAAGCCTCTCTTTACAGTCCCCTCTCAAAGTAGGCCTCTTACTACATATTCAACACATTGCGTCCTAACGCAATGTTTTACATTAGTCTCTTCATCGCCGGCGAGCTTGATCTGGACATCTCTCGCCCGCGTGACCCCCTCTGAACGCGATGCGTTCCTCAACCTCTCATATGTGCACTTTCCCCCTCACTTGAGCCCCGAAGACCATCCCGAAGAGGTCGCACTCGCAATATTTCAGACCAACGCAGTCAGCGCCGGCGATAATGTTGGTATATTTCCGCAGATGGCTAGGTTGAACCACGGCTGTTCAAGCGCTTTCAATGCTGTTTACTCTTGGAGAGAGTCTGAAGGAGTATTGGTTGTACATGCATTGAAGGAAATCCGTAAGGGCGAGGAACTGCTGACGACGTATACGGATACAAAGCGACCCCGGCGTCACCGAAGGTATGTTGCCTTACACTCGAGACTAGAAACTAGATTTAAAGTAAATGGGACATTGCAAACGATAGAGAATATCTCTCAACGCAATATGGCTTTTCGTGTACCTGTGCTGTGTGCTCTCTTCCATCTCAACAATCTAGGGCATCCGATCGACGCCTAAACGCGATGGTTGATAAGTATCAGCGACTGTCGACATGGGCTCAAGGCTCCATTGGCAAAGATGAAGCAATCAAGCTAACGAACGAGATCTGGGCGCTTGGAGAGGAGGAGGGATATTGGAGTGAGCGAGGGAGGTTGGCAGCTGACGCCGCTTGGGTTGCGGCGGCTCATTCTGAGTGAGTTGATGACCGTAGCAACGTCGGTGCTGTTGGAAGGTACTGACGCTAGTTTGAAGCATCGACGCAATGAAGGCATGGGCGCTTAGGGCGAAGACATGGTATTCGCGAGAGCTTGGCAGTGATAGCAAGCAAGCGCAAGAGATGGAGTCTATTCTGGAACGACCACAATCTCATCGTGCTTGGGGGACGCGTTCGTCTACGAAAGGTTGATGTCGTCGATGGTAATACGTCTCGGTCAGTCTCTGTTCCAGCATCCACCCCACGCTTACCTTTGTCAGTGAAAGTAATTTTGTATATAAATTGGTAAATGAGATTACCGACAGTTAGGAGATATGCTCGGATGGGCGAAAGCAGTAAAAAGATCCGGCCTTTTCCACTCCACTCACGTTGCGCTCACTACCGTTCAACGACATCACAAGTTTGGTCACATCCTCTCATCGCACGAACGAGCCTTATAAGCTATACTGTGCCCTTTCCAAGAGGGGAAAGACAACGCAGCGCTGGTTCACGTCTCTTGGATGTGTCTAGTAAATACCTGGTATCAAGCGGGATGGCACTCGGCGTTTCCAGTCGTCCCAATCCTTCCCGAACTCGCGCCTGAGAACTGCGTCACCCAGGTCCAATCGCTTCTAGATCCCCCGGAGAGAATGCCTCTGTCACGACCCCGATATACATCAAGTAAAAGCCAGTGTAGCTCGGGTGGCGGGCGTATAAGTATGGCCCCTCAGTGATGAGCTTGTGGTCTGACTGGATTCTGACTTGGAAGTCAAAGAATCGACCGAGTGCTGTGAATGCCTAGAAGCGAAAGGACCCCATGCCAAGGAGATGACGGTACCGATGATGATTGTGTTTGTGATGGTGTGGACGACCTCTGCCTCGGGACGCCTGAACGAGGAAAGAACGGCCGCGAAGCTGAGTGCAAGCGCCGAATACTGTCTTTGGCTGAACTCAATTAGTGTCCATGGCTACGCAAATCCATAGGTGTTCCCAGTCCTGATGGGCGAAATAGATGTGGTTCATTGTCCAGTGAAGGGACAACCATTTGGCAGTCTTGTTCTTTAACTCCTGGAGGCTCTTGCCGATAGCTCAGTAGCAGATTCGGCGCGCTACTCATGACTAAACATCTGGCACTGCCATTCGACGTCTCTACCCATATTGTTCCTGCTGCCTGGCTAAGGATCACTCCACATATACCGCTCCCTAACATGCGTAACCAACACAGCAGAAAGGAAGAATACAGCAGTCGAATTACAAGCGTTTCTCTCTAAGGTCCGGTCTGAGGCCTCGGCGACGATACCAGGGAAGCGAAGATACCAAGGGCATAAGAAGTTACTGTGAAATGTCGTCAACACTTATGTCCAATGGCGGGAGTGCATTGATACTCTTCTTGGCCCATGGGAACGTGTTTAATAAAGAGGTGAATCGTTCTTCTTGTTTCCCTACCCTCTCGTTATTTACGGTGGATGTTGGCATAGACATAGGAATCAACTCTACGCCACATCTTCGCATAACATTGCGGAAGTATGGTCATTCGAAGCAGCTCAAACAGGTGACTCGGCGTTGTGGAATGCAGACGCCCGGGGTGCTATGTGTAGGCCTCGTAATCCATGTAGATCTGTGGTATATCTGAACAGAGGATTGCATAGATCACTGGGCAGATAACTCTCGTGATATCCTCAAATTCTTAACGCACTTTATGCTAAGCACCGTTTCTTCGAATCCCACCAACTTGCCTGCGCCAAGTCACAGCCGCAGAATCGGAGTCGCGTAGGAAGGACGGGTTTAAGCATGGGACGTTGGCTGGGATTGGGCACTCGTTTGGAGGATGTACGCTGTAGGTCACCACTTCGCCCTCTTGCGTAGGCGACTAACTCTTGCTGTTCTGAAGAACATTGGCGGCATTGACGAACCAGTCGACATTCTCCTCACTCATTGTTGTAGATCCTGTCATCCCGACGCCCTTGTACTATGAAGCGCAAGACCCCTTCATCCCGAAGAATGACCTAGGGATCCTTCCAGACGCTATCGATGGGATTGGAGGTACGAGAACATCTTTACCGATTAAACAGTGGTGTCATTGATAATAGGGACGAAGCAAAGGCATGGCTGCTCAAGAACCCGTTCTTTGCAAATTGGCACCCGGACGTATTGCAGTCATACGTTGACCATGGGCTCTACACTCGCAAATCTGGGCAGGAGGTATTGTTGAAGATGCCGCCAGTGCAGGAGGCGATCGGCTTTTCTGAGGGTACGAAGTGTGAGAATGAAGGATCTTGACCCAAAGATTCCGATGTTCTGGATCATGCCTCAACCAGAGACGAATACGTATGATGCATTTCCGTGCTCCAAAATGAAATCACCCCTTCACGAGTTTATAGGTTCGGGGGCCCCTTTGAAGCCCAAAAGCGTGTCTGGCGTCGTTGTATAAACACAATCATACACAAAGCTGGGCATCTTGTAAGCTTCATTTTCAGGCTGCCTCGATTTATTAGACGACGATGCTTCCTAGATACCCCATGAAGGATCTCAAGAGTGTGGTAAGTCCTTTGGACTCATTTCCTCTCTAGTAACTGATGTTTGGCCCACAGCTAATGGTATCATGCGCTTCCTGTCTAAGTGATCTCGTAGGTCGTTGTGGATAGAACGTTTTGATGCCGCAGTAAATTAATGGACTAGAAGTAAATGAAATAACACATGAGTATATTTACTACAAATGAGCCTGTGACGCTCTGAAAGCCTTTGCAACGGTGATCTAACCAGTAGTAAGGCAGTCCGCATTATGGAGTTCATAATAACCTGGCCTGCTAAAATAAGTAGTATTTTAGTGTCCATCGAGCTGACTGACATCGGTGAAATTGGGCTTGTTCGAAACGTCCAGGCTCACAGCTGGGTAAGATAGCCGCGCTTTCCTATTTTGGTAAGTAAGTTAGATGGGGTCAGGGACGCATGGCCCGAATTAGGTGATTCGGCGTCTAACGCAAATTCTCAGGCAGCCTACACAAACACACCAACGCTCCTCATCGCCCCCCTCGACGTCAAGGTGAGTATCTCTACGCCGAGTCTATGAAGCATATCGTCCCCTTGCGGCCCACAAAACCCATTCAAGCAGCTGAAAGGTCCAAATCACAACCGGATGAGATGGATTGATCCCTGTTGAGTTGGATGCACTTGTGATGTGGAAATTGTGGATGTATGGGGTGCGCTTGTGGTGGATTGGGCATACGCACGTTGGGGGAAAGTACTGGAGCTCACATGCTAGAATGCTCTTCCTAGACTTTGCGGAGCCAGAGGGGACGATATGTTGCTTCAAATTTTGGTTTTGAGTCGCGAGACTATCGGAATTCCTTTCCTGACCGGTTTCTCCACTACTCAGACCCCCCGGATTCGATTCATTAATGGCCACAACAAAAACTGCCAAGGGCAAGGCTGCCCAATGTGCGTCCTCTCACATTCATGCAATTGGTAGAACTGTATCACTGACCGGTGTATCGCCATACGTTTCATTCTCGAATCACAATGTCTCGGAACCTCACCTATGGGTCTGCTCCGTACTCCCCGACTTTCTCGCCTTATCGAAAACATCTACAGCAAAAGACAACAAGGCTAAGGCCGCGAAGAAGGCCGCCCTCCAGGGTGCCCACTCCACCTCGTCGCGCAAGACCCGGACGTCTGTCTCTTTCCACCGACCGAAGACTCTGCGATTGGCCAGGGACCCCAAGTACCCCCGCAAATCGATTCCTCACGCCCCAAGAATGGACCAATTCAGAACTATTGTATCGTAAGTGCCTCGCTTCTCTATTAGGACTACGTCGGTTTTGTTCGGAAGGCGTTATTCTAAACTAAGCCTTGCTGGCGGTGTTTTATATTTGCACCTTGCGATTCTATGATCAGTATGCTGATTGCCGTATTGCAGGCCTTTGAACACAGAATCGGCAATGAAGAAGATTGAGGAACATAACACTTTGGTCTTCATCACTGATATCAAGGCGAACAAGAGACAGATCAAAGACGCTGTCAAGAAGCTGTATGATGTCCAGGCCGCGAAAGTGAACACCCTCATCCGGTGAGTTTCCGGGTACTATTTGTGCATATCCGTGTGCACATCACGGAACTTCCGATGATGCGCATGTCCGGTCGTCGTTCTTTGATTCATTGTATCTGACTCCGGTTGCCATTTTCGCAGACCCGATGGCAAGAAGAAGGCCTACGTACGACTGACATCTGACTACGATGCTCTGGATGTCGCTAACAAGGTACGTTTTCTGACGCAACTTATCACGAACTCCCTCGAGGACTCACCTGATATATTGTGATTGATGCAGATTGGGTTCATCTAATCGCTTGACACATACATATGCACCCATTTTTATGTTGATGGAAGTCTGTGCAAAAGATGCGGCGGGGCTGTTCTTCCACGTCTCCCATGCTGTCGGTTCCATTATATAGCCACTATGTCTTCATGCAAATGTCCCTCCAAGCAAATCCATCTTGTAGTTATGCAACACCTTCCAAAATGCCCTTGAGGTTGAATCGTGCGGTCAATCGTACCTGAGCACGGTGAGATCAAACGGCGCTTGCATGGTGTGATTGTTTCACTGATCTCGGGTGTGTCGTTCCACAATTCAGATGGGGAAGAAGACCTACTGATGCACGTGAGGGTGGCCGATGGGGCTCGTTTTCCCATAGTTACTGCGCTTGTACTCTAGAGGAACTGTACGTTGAGCGTAAGTCTACCTACTACACGTATTACAAGGCTATCGAGCCTTTGCGGTACTTGTCGGACGCATTGTACTCGTCGGGGGGCGCTTGAGGTGAAACACAAGACGACGCCCGACGTGTTTGACCTGGCCATTGACCGTGGGAACATTTCAAGCGAAGATTGACCCTGGAAATAGAATCCCAAGTGTCCGCCTTTTATTTCTCTCGCCCACACTCTCTTCTTTCCTTCGACTTTCTGTCCAGCTGTACTTTGTGCGCCTCCTCGTACCAGTCTGTTCTTGCACTGAAATCTCTGGTCTGCAAAGATCAGCCGCATTTCAGTCTCATAGCAACTGGTTCTGCTCGTTCCGCCAAGTACAACCACGCTCTTTCGCCCCACTTTTCTCAAGGATTGGCAGCGCACTCCGTGCTCGCCCCCTTTCGCTGAATTTTCGTCTCTGAAACGACCGTTTCGACGACCAGAAGAAAATATAATCATCAAATATGCAGTTGTCTGTTGTTCAGCTTCTGTCCGTACTCGTTGCTTTGGCTGCCTGTCCGAGTACAGTGGACGCCGCACATTCATCGCTGGAAAGGTCGTTTGCGCGACGATCCCTGACGAAGAAGGCAATCAATCTTGACTTGAACTTGCGTGAGTGTCTTTCTTTCTTTCGATGAAGAGGAACGAAGGGGACTGAATTTGTGGGTCCGTAGCCAAGGTAGTCTCGTCTATTCTGGGTAACGACGAGGACGACGATGAGCCTTCTCCACCGAGAATAAGCTCCCCTTCATCATTGCCAGACGTGACCGCCATTCTACCGCCGACATCAGTCGAGCCAACGACATCACTCACATCATCATCTACCCCATCATCGTCTGTTTCCATTTCGTCTGTTTCCTCTAGTTCCGTAGTCTCATCATCGGCCTCACTTTCTACCCCTAGTGTATCCCCTTCTATATCTTCTGTATCTTCAAGTTCTGTTTCTTCATCGACCAGCAGCCAAGAGCCGTCTTCGTCGCTGTCTAGCGCTTCCTTGACTTCGAGCAGCTCCATTTCGACTTCATCATCGATAGAGCCATCAACTACACGAGGAGGTGGGATTCTAGATCCAATTACCTCGGGACTCGGTGGCATCACATCAGTAATCGGCGATGTAACGTCCATATTATTGCCACCGCCCCCCGTGTCAACATCTTCGTCCGTACAGCCTTCAAGCTCGTCCGAGGTCGAATCCACTCCATCTACGCCACCGACGTCCGCCAGCGAATCGAGTACAACTGCAGTCTCTGAGGCTGAATCGACCTCATCCGCCACGCCAACGACTACTCGAGGCGGTGGCATTCTCGACCCGATCACATCAGCACTTGGAGGGGTCACGTCAGTCATAGGAGACGTGACTTCGATTCTTCTACCTGCGCCCCCGAGTTCCTCAGCATCTTCAGCACCTTCGAGTGCAGTTGAAGACCCGGATACGCCATCAGCATCCTCGTCCGCAGTAATCACGTCCGCGCCAGAACCTGAACCTACGTCGTCTCGCAGCGGTGGCATTATTGATACTCTCACCTCAGTCATTGGGGGTGGCATCAGCTCTATTCTCGACCCTCCACCGCCTTCTTCTTCTCGTTCGTCTTCAGTACCGCTGATCACTGATCCTCCTACGATCACAAGCTCCGCTGTGGAAGACCCTATTTCGTCATCTCCGAGCTCACAACCCGGTGGCATATTGACTAGTATCCTTACGAGTATCATTTCTGAGGTCAGTAGTGCAATCGGCGGCGGCGAGAGCTCTCCCCCGATCACCAGTTTTCCCCCTATTACGACGAGTGTCCCGCCAACCAGCGAACCACAAGGCCCTGAAACTAGCGTGCCCCCAACCAGTGAACCGCCGATCCCCGACACCAGCCTTCCGCCAACCACTGTCTTCCCTCCTCAAACAAGTGTCCCACCAACTAGTGTTCCCCCCGTCCCCGACACCAGCGCCCCACCAACGACCGTCAGCGATGGCGGTGCCACTGCTACCAGCGTCATTATCAGCTTCCCTTCTGGTAATGCTACTACTGGTGCTTTGCCCACCTCACTTCCTGATCAGACTGTCTCTGACGTCGTGACCTCGATCTCGATCGACTCGGAGCTTTCGGGTATCCTTACCCAGACGGCTTTGGTGTTCGCCTCCCTGTCCACTAGCACTGAGCTCCCCACACTCACAGACCCGGACCAGGCAACGACGACAGTTACGCCTGTACAACAGTCCGCTCAGGCTGATGTTGCTCCTACCGCTGCGCCGCTACCTACTGGTATGCCAGCTAGGATTTATCCAAGAAACGGCACAGACCCAACGACGGAGGATTTGGGCGACTACTCTTTGATCAGCATCCTCTTCACCCCCGAACTGAACTGGGAGTTTGTTGCGACCAATCCATTATCCCCAAGTCAGATCTTCGGATATTTCCCGGTTATCCTGCAAACTGCCCTTGTATTGCCACGTGAGTTTAATTGTCAAGCGTAGCGTGTGGTTTGGGTGTTGACAATCCGTCTCTTTATAGCCGATCAAGTTAAGACGTGGGTTCTGCAAGTGTACGCTTCGTCTGATTACAAAGGACCTCGAGATGCCTCGAAATTGCGGACAATGTGGTTGGGTTACATCCCTCGCGACGAAGTCGATAACCTCGCCGCCCAGATCAAGGCGCCACAATCCAAGTTCTACACTGGTATCGCAGATCCAGTTGCCAAGGACCTTGCCCGTCGCGTCGACTCTGGGTTTGCCATCAACTCTGTTTCTCAAACAGACCCTGGCACTGGTGGAGGACTCGGAGGCCCTGGCAATGCTTCGTCTTCGAGCGCGTCGTCCAGCGATAAAGCACGGCAGGACGCGATCATTGGTGTAGTCAGCACACTCGGTGCCATCGCACTTATCGTCTTGGCTTACCTCGTCTACCGTTCAATCAAGCGTAGAAACGAGCTCAAGCACCGCAGACTCAGTGATGTACCTGCAGAAGACATGGCCGGCTACCGTCCAGATGGGAGGGACTTTGACCAGGACAGCGTTGGCGGCGCACGGAGGAGGAGCTTCTACTTCGCAGAGGATTCGCTACGGGGATACCAGGATCAGAGGATCGATGATGGTGGGATGTCGGCGGCGGCAGGTCAAGGATACGGATACGGTGGTGCCGCGGTTGCTGGCCCCTCGCAGATGACGCAGAGGCGGCAGGTAATGCCCGCTGCTATCTCCGCACCGATCCTAAGAGAGAACACGATGAACTGGTAAACCCCCAACCTATCCATCCACCCACCCTATCTCCACCCATACATGGACCATCTAAACCCTTCACCACACCTCCTGGAATCAACCACTGAACTGTACTCATCGTCTCCTTCTGGGTCTTGTGAACGCTCTTCGTTTTTTCGACGATACCGACATGATATCCCTACATTTTTTGCTCGGCATTGTTTTTCTTTTCCTTTTCGTTGTTTATTCTTTCAGCCTATTGCATGACCCCCCTTTGGTTTATTCATTTACACGTTGCTTGTTTGTTGCTATATTGGGTGAGCGTCGATGGGCACCGACTCGAACCATGCAGTGCAAAAACGGAGGGATGGATTAGGAAGTGGTGGGTTGCGAGTCGGTGCCCTCATCAGATTCATCATCGAATCCCGTTCGACTCTTTCCTCGATGTACTGCTATCTCGTACACTCCCGTCGCTGTGCGCGGTTCGTTCTATGCTCTAGCTCTTTATTTGTCCTTAATTTCGCGTAATCGCTGCGTATGATTTTCAAACGCTTTTTCATGCCCGTTTTGCGTAGACAGTTTAAATTATGATCTATCCTCCAATCCATACCTGCAGAATGCAATGTGCATTAGGTAGAGTGTTCTCTACCGAATTGCTGAGGTAGCTACTACTTTGTAGTAGTATCAGTAAAGAGATGAAGAAAAAGTAAGAGAGTTGGCGCAGTCTGGTTATCTCCTTGTTTACTAATGAATCCAGGGGCCTTCCTTGCCGAATATCTGTACGCCGCAATCACCCCAACACATTCCACGGACGGGTTGGTGAGGAAGACGTATCGAAGAACGACACGTTCCATTCCGGAATTAAATCTCGGCTGAAGCTGGGAACACCAAACCCTAGGACCATATGCATCATGCATCAAGACCATTGGATGAAGCCCTAGCGCCATGATGGGCGCGCAGCTTCCGGCCCATTGATCGTATATGATATCGTCATCATCGTTCCGGACTTCGATGTGGCCTCAACGTTAACCTAGATGCAGATGCGTAAGGACGAGAAGAAGCAATGCGGCAGCAGCGCGGATGAGGGAGACTGCGCCGTGTGACCCACGTAGTTACGGTAGTATATCTTCAAGTCCACTATGGATGTTTGCCTATAATCGCCCTTACCTCCACAAACTTCACGACGACTGCTTCCTATTCGACCGGCTCCCCGCCTGGGATCCCCTCTCAGCGAATACTAAATGGCGGGCTTGAAATCCTTGGCATCCTCTCTACGCAAGAAGCTCCATCTTGGAGGTAGACAATGCCATTCGACGGATCCTTCCACGAGCAATGGATCAGTTGAGCCTAAGGTCGAGCCTAAGGCCAGCATGTCGCCAGCTGAACCCACTTCGGCCCCTGAGGACGCTCCGAAATTGCCAGAGGTAGTGCCAGCGGCAGAAATGGTAGTGTCTACTTCCCCACAGTTGCTTTCTACTTCATTGGAGGGTAAAGGTCAGTATGACGCTAATTTCTGGGGATCCTGAACTCACGACCATGTATGTGTTTATAGTCGCCGTTGTCACCGGGTCTTCTCGATCAATAGGTGCAGCAATCGCCAAAGCTCTTGGGTCGCAAGGCGCGAAAGTCGTTGTCAACTACGTCAATGATTCATCCGCAGCCCAGTCCGTCGTGAACGAAATCAAAGCGTTCAACACTAAAGAGTCCAAGGGATGTGATGCCATCGCCGTCCAGGCCGATGCATCGAAGCTCGAAGGTGGACAGAAGCTCTTGGCTGAAGCGACGAAAACATGGGGACAGGTGGATATCTTGGTGCTGAACGCAGGAATCATGGGGAGCAAGCCGCTAGCCGAAGTAGATGAGGACTTCTTCGACAGCCATTTTGAAATCAACGTCAAGGTCCCAGTGTTCTTGGCCAAAGCAGCCGTCCCCTTGATGCCGACGCGTAAGTTGAATCGCTTTCTTTCCACCTGGAGAGGGTACTGATGAAATCTGAATAGCTGGAGGACGCATAATCTTCTTCTCGTCGAGTTTGACTGGCCTGACACCTGTTCTTCCGAACGCTTTGACGTATGTCGCGTCAAAGGGGGCCATTGAGCAAGTCGCCCGAGTCCTAGCCAAAGATCTTGGATCACGAGGGTTAACGGTCAACACGGTATCCCCTGGCCCTGTCGACACCCCGCTCTTCCGAGCAGGCAAGCCGGAAGAAGTCATCAAGAAAATTGCCGCCCAGAATCCAAATAACAGAGTTGGCCTCCCCGAAGGTACGTGCAACAGATTGCTCCCTTCAATAGCTATAATGACTGGTTCCGTAGATATCGCACCGATGGTCGCATTCGTCGCTAGCCCTGCTGCTCAATGGATAAATGGGCAGAACTTACGGGTCAATGGGGTACGTTGACTCTTTGTGACCTTGCATTATGGTATTCACCGGGAGATGTTATAGGGTGCTGTGCTTTGATTACCGTCTCATTTCGACGATTTCGGTCTTTGGACTTGTAGATTTGTTTTATCGGCAGACCTTACTTTCTGAATCATAATTATCATATTCTACTTCAACGACCCCCGTAGTATCACTCACTGGCTCGATGTATATTCACTTCCATTGACGCTCACGCAAGTGGCCTAGTGGGCTCACCAAGTTCGCGACGCAAGACCTCCATTATTCAGACGAAATTGGCAGTGCACGAGTGTACCCTTGTGCTTCATATACGCTCGGTAGGCATCGTCAACCTGCTTCTCGCTGGCAGCTGCGAAATCGAGAACTTGCAACCACAAGTAGGTGATTCCGACCGCCTTCAAAATGCCCTGCTGAGCTGCGCTATATTGTACGTAGTTGAAGCTGATGAGACAATCGATGCCGGGTTGCTTCAAGAATTGAGCCCTCTCTTCGGTCATCTCCTAATCTTTATCGTCGCTTTCGTAGGCGGGCGCTGAGGAACGAAAGAGCTTGTGGCCTTTCGCAACGTATTGGTTGACCTCTACAAGCCTATAGAACTTCAACTTGCCAGCGGCATCCGCAAGCTTGGTATCCCTGTTGGCCACATCTTGTTGTTCGGTAATCTAGAAACCATAGTTGTCGATCCAAGCGTCTGCTACAGAGTTAGCGATAGATCAGGTATGCATTGAATGTACGAACATGATGGGAGTTTGCTTGCATAGTATCATTGGTCCTTGAGTGGGTTATATACATAGAGTGGTCACCGTCACGGATGTCTCCAGTCACTTATAGAACGCCATGGTCACTGGAGAGCACCGTCAGCGTGTCGAATGTAAAGGAGGTACTCGCACAATTTCGGAGGACTTACGCTGACTTGGGTGTGGCGCGGAATCAAAGTATATGTCGAACTTGTCTAACTTGACGTCTGACAGCCCTTCGTGCGGATCCATCTACGCCAGTGGCACGAATGGTCCAATCCGGGCAGAAGATTTAGCACTCCCCGCTGTGGCCAGCCCAAGGAAGTAGAGAAGATAAACCTCCGTCGTTTCGAGGCATTTTCTCAGCTGCTTGAGTGTTTACGATGCCAGTGAAAGTCCAGTCCGATGAATAAGATATATGACGAACTTCGACAGGTGCGATCGAGGACAGGCACTGATACTTGACGTGAACACTTCAGCCGCTAATCATTTAGCAAGTACCAAGCGAGCACTAGGGAATATGACACAACAAGCCCGCGCTTTAACGTTCGGTATGTTGCTCAACGTGGTGTCTACCTCTTTGCGAGGGCTAACCTCATTGTAGCGGGACATGGGCTCTGTCCATCTTTCTAGGTCTATACGTCGCAGATCACCGCTATAGTCGTCTTCTCAGTCTGAACATGTTGAAGAGGTTGTTTATATGTTTTTGGTCACTAGGTCTTAATTATATCCAGACAAAAATCAGAAACAATAGCACAGATACCGCTTTATGATCATGTCATTTCTTCTTCAGAATCTCCTGGGCCGTCCTCTGCGTACGTCATGGTACCGTCTGAATTATGAATCACCGGGGGTGCTGGCACCGAGTCTTCGTTGGGCTCTGGTGGCTCATCGCCTGTTTTCTTCTTCGGTTTGGGCTTCTTTTGCATCTTCTGCCGCTGAAGTTCTCTCTCCTGCTCTAGCACCAGGGGTAACCATTCAAATATTTCTTTGCAATTTGTCAACGAAGGGGGATCGAGGTGCAGAAGACCCACGCGTACCTTCGAGGAAGCGGAACTCGTCCTCCCGAGCTGCCGATGCTGCAAGTTGTTCATAAGCGCATGACGTTCCAGTCATAGCTATGTCACCACGCACTCAGGTCGTGATACATGATCGTCGAGCCTGTTGCCTTTCGGCGAGCTGTCTGGGTAATCCGTTTAATGAATTCCTCCGTAGCGAACGCTATAAGTTGTGTCGCGTCTTTCGCGACTATGCCTATTTTCTAGATTGTTTCGAGCGTAAGAGCAGAAAAGTACTGCAAGGAGCTAGAAGGCATCAGGCTCACTTTGTCCGCCTTGATTATTCTTTGAACACGCGCGAAAGGTAGGTGTACGTCGTCAGCAGCTGGAAGTTTCTTTGATGGTCGGCCTTCAGCAGTTTCGGGGGCCGTTGAAGGAATAGATTCGGAAGCATCAAGAGTTTCTTGCTCAGTAGCATTGTTTGACGCGTCAACCTGCTCCTCTGCGTTGTCGGCGACGTCGTCGACGATGGTGGTTGGCGCGATTGAGTGCATCCCTGAATCGCGCCAAAAGTGTAGTTTCTTTGTGCTTGCCACGCCCGTACAAATAAAACCAAGCAATAATCACGTGACCTATTATCCGTCGCGTCCTTGGACTGGTTCGTTGTATCAAGCACTCAAGGTTTCTCTCATTCTCTCAAAAAAGGAACTTTCTGTCCGAAATCACCGATTCCGCCTGGTATATATATATATTAGGTAATCGCACTAGATCGTACACTTCGCGTATATGTGAGGCCAAGTCGCCTCTTCCTTCCTTACCACGATGTAGCTACGTCGCACACCCTATGCGACCTTATTTTCCTACATTCCAGTGCCAGAAAGGGGTCGGAGGTGGCTCCTTGCGAGGAAGAAACTGTGACTCTCATGAGGACCGTCGCGCTCTGAATAACTAGTGTATTGGTTTCGGGCATACACCAAAAGGCAATGATGGGCTTGCCCTCGAAATTCCCGCTGGTGGACACCAACTCGAGGCTATTGCCTACTCTTTGAACGCATCCCAGACAGAAACCCGTGGGTGATGTATGGTATATCTTCGTGAGTGGTTGTCAGTCCATAATATGACCATAAATTAGGAGACAAGCACAGTGTTTTGGGCCGAATTGTCTCTCTCTCTACCCATGAAGCAGCTTTTGCATTGAATGGAAATCGGATGTTCTATGTCAGCCAGTACCTTCATCTTCCATGTTAGCCCTTTTCACCTGACGAATTCACCCAGTTCTGGTTACGTGACTACTCTGAAGATGTATTCGAAGCGGACCCAAAATACGGAGCGCTCGCCGTAACTCATAGAATCCGCTCGGCTTCCATCTTAGCGACGGGACGCATCTACAAGGAGGCGAATACGAATATATCACTGCGGCATGGGGCTGGAAATTGATCTCCGGGACCGTGATCAATTACGATGCTACACCTTTGACCTGCTCAACAGCTAGGACGACAGGTCACCGCGGCTTAGCAACGTTGCGAGACTTTCTGCGATTGAACACCACGCCACAGCTTCAATCTGCTGGACGTGATTTCCGACTGCAGGAAGCTCAGAGTTTATTGATCATTATCCTTTACAACGATCTACAACTACAATTTACATTTGTTCTCTTTCAAGGCCGATGCTGGGGGAGGGGGGGTGGCGCTAACGAGCCGGGGAGGTTGGAGGGCCGCCTAGTAAATGTATGGGAAGATTCGGTAAGGGACTCTAGTTGCCCACTCGTCCCATTCCTTGCCGAAGTGCCCCTTCAACCCCTGGTCCTCTGCTTTGGGTCGCACAACGAAGACGAAGTGCATCAACATGGCCAATTCCACGAGCCACACCCAACCGAGCACTCTGCCAGCCATGTTCTGCAGGACACATTGGGAAAACCAATGATCCTCTGAGAACATGACCAAGGATACAGCAATCCAGACCCCGATTCCAGATGTGTAAGAAGGGTGTCGTACGAAGGAGTAAGGCCCGCTGGTGATGAGCCTGTGCGTCTTCTTGACGTTCACTTGGAAATCGAAATGGTCTCCTAGCGTCGCAAAGCACCACAAGCGTATCGCGTTCATGGCCAAGCCGACACAGGTGGCGGTGATCATCATGGTAGAGGGCGTCACGATCCCTGTAGACGATCGGTCGGAAGGGCGTGCTGTGCAGATGCCGAGGTCTTCTCCAGCAAAGGAGCTCACGATGTGCATCACGCAGACGGAACAAACGAACATCTGGGATGGCTTAGGTGAGCATCGGTAATAATGCGCCTATCATTTACTAACCTTGTGCGCTAAGAGTCGTAGCAGGAAGGTCTTTTCGTATGTCGATTTGATGATCTGCCCGCTCTCGGCGAGAGGACGGTTTGGCGGAGTGCTCGTCAAGTAGAAAGAGAACGCTGTGACAAGAACAAGCCAGTTACTGGCATCGAAGAAAGCGCTTGTGTTAATCATTGTGAGTTGCTGGGTTCCTTCGCAAATCATATCCAGGCTCTTTATACTTCCACTCTTGTAGATAACGCCGCGGACTGGGAAATAACAACTAGGGAGCAAATGTAATCTTAGAAAGTGGCATCGCAGCGGCGCACTAAGTATGTACGATCCTTAGTAGTCCTGAGTGGAACCTTCTAAAGCTTTGCGACGATCCCTAGTAGTCCTGAGTGGAACCTTCTGAAGCTTTGCGGCGATCCCTGATTCCTGACTGTGTGTTGGATATCCTGCAACCCCTGCACATTGGTCTCGTTGTCGCGCTAAGATGATGGTGCAGGGTATCTGTCACTTTGCAGACCAATCAAAAACTTACATACCATTTATAGGCTTGCAATCGTTGGTCACTGCACCATGTCGAGTATCGTAGCCTTAGATTCTGAAGCCAATCCCGTCGATTTTTCCACCATCACCTCCTACCCCGCCCCACATGCCTCCATTATAGCCAGGCCGATTTTTCCGACACGTCCACTTCTCCCAGTCAATCCGCCTCCCATGGCGCTGACCTCCGCCAATCTACCAGACTTACCGTCTCCTGAACGAGATTCGACCAACGAGCCGTTTATCGTTACTTCCCATATTATCCCCGCTGCATGGCCAAGGAGCACGCCATTTGTCCAGATCCCCTTCACGGGCGACTATTGTGGAGCGAAGGAGGGGAAGAAGCAAGCCGCTGAAGAAATGCAAACATATCTAGACAAGGTTCGAGCGGAGACCACAGCGTCGCGGACAGAGGAACACAGGTTCCAAGGACGCGAGGCGTTGCTATGGATTTCCGCGAATCGCTACATCAAGAAGGGGGCATACAGAACCGGAAGCGGATTGACGCTCCTCTTTGTGCACGGGAATGGGTTCAATAAAGAGGTAGTTTTCATTCTTTCAGTTTATATATTAACAAAGCTAATGGTGATTTCCCCAAAGACTTGGGATGCAACAATCCGTTATATCTTCGAGTCCACCTCGCACTTCGACATTGCAGAAGTCTGGTCTTACGAGGCAGTTCAAACAGGCGACTCGGCGTTGCTCAACAAGGGAAAAGTAGGCGCTGTTTGTAAGTTCCACACTGCATCTTCGCGTCTGTATAGTCCTCAATAACAGTTGGCTAGATGACTGCAGGGATAATTCCCGCGATATCGTCAACTTCCTCAACAACTTCCTGGCGGAGAGCCCGTTGAAAACGCCGCCGACTCACCTACCACAGGTCAGCGCAGCGGAATCGGACTACCGCAAGAAGTACGGATTCAAGAATCGCAAACTAGTTGGAATCGGCCACTCTTTCGGCGGGTTGACTATGTAACTAGCCGCCCTTTCGTGCGGGCGTTGCAAACCTAACGGCTTCTTGTGCAGGACGCTGGCGGCGTTGATCAACCCGGCGTTGTTCTCTTCTCTCATCAACGTGGACGCGACTATAGTCTCTCCATTGTGCTATGAATTGACCAAGAATACATACGTCCCCGACACGGCCTTGGGAATTCTTCTCAGGCGCGACAGATGGGGCTCCAGGTCTGTGGACTTTATGGCGGATCGGACAACGGCGCCAGAGCTCATGATCTAATTTAGGGAGGAAGCGAAGGCTTTGATGCTTAAGAGCCCTTTTTTTGCGTCCTGGCACCCCGATGTATTGCAGTCTTATGTTGACTACGGGCTTTACGCACAATCTATTCCCTCTTCCCCAGGTAACCGCCCTTGCGTTCCCTCCTATCACCATGACTCTTCTGACCTCGATGAAGGGGGTGAGAAGGTGGCCAAACAACAGGTCCTGCTCAAGATGCCGGCGGTAGAGGAAGCTGCGACGTTCGCCGACGTAACTACATTCTACGAAGTCTGGGAGATGATGAAAGTCGTCGACGAAAGAATCCCCATGTTCTGGATCATGCCTAAGCCAGAGACGACGGCGTACGTTAAGATCATATTTTTTACGAGAGATGGTTACTCCTCTCGCCTCTCTAGTTTCGGCGGTCCAGTTGAAGCTCAGATACGTGTCTGGCGCCGCAGAAAGAACACATCGAACGTCATCATCAACACCGATGGTCACTTTGTAAGATTCTTCTCTAATCTTTTATAAAGTCACCCTCTTTTCGACTCATCGTCGTACGACTATAGGTACCCCAACAAGCTCCCGGAGAATGCGGTAAGTTCTATGACATTGCATCGCTCCCTTGACCACTCAGTTTGATTCTTTTGGTGTAGCGGACGCAATCATGGGTTTCCTGCATAAGCAATACTATAGCAGTAAAGCAAAGTTGTGAATGTCTACGCTCAGTAACTGTTGCATCGCAGCGTATGTAGAGGATAGTAAGCCAATGTACCTTGTATCAACTCTTGAATGTATGGTAGATTGAGATCGACGTGATTCCGTAGATTCCTTAGGACCTAGTTTGCTTCACGCCGCCCCTCAATCGCTCACTACCCGACCAGGATTCAGCGATAACTTTGCCTGGAAGCCCCCCTCCGTTGTTCACCCTTAAGGGAAGCTTCAGAACTAACCGCATCGCTGAGTTTCTGCGGGGTCACTGCCACTCATAAGCACACTAATCCGGCTTCCTTGCCACGCTGTGGCGGTGACGCAAAGCTGCGTTCCCCGCCACCACACCGCAGTATTGACTCCCAAGTACGCTTTTGGTAAATCAGAACACCAAGGATGATTCCATCGAAGCTTCACTTCACAAACTTCCTGGATTCAAGGGTCCCGGACATGCGCCTTGCTAGCACTTTTTGGGCTGTTGATAAGCTCTATATCTTGGTAGGGGCACTTTAGCAAATTCCCCAAGTGGCGCTCCCTGAGTCACGATCCAGGATGTAGCGGATATCTCCATGGCGCCAAAAAAAGTTATTTAGTTATCTATTATCCAAGCTCCACAACATTCTCATACATAGTTGATGGACGCGTACGTCCAACACAGGGCATCAGGGATTGTGATGGCCTTAGTTATAGCCTCTTGTCTGACTCTCAATACCAAAGGGCTAGCTCCTATCGAGTCGGGCCCTAGTCCACTCGTAGTGCTAGAAAAGAACGCCAACACTGAATAACTTGATCCATCAATTGCGCCAGGAGTCAGGTAGTACCAATCGCATCACCATTACTCTCAAACTATCTCACATCGAGGTCGCTCTTGACAATGGCATTTTGGTCATTGTCAACAAAGCAAATGCGTGAGCCGCTGTCTTGTAGTAAATGGATACAACGCGCTACTGACATTGACACAAGGAGGAACACATTTATCGAGCCGTTCGTCCAAGAGCTTATCCAAGCTTTCGAATACGCCGATAGGGACGACAGAGTCCGTGTTGTTGTTTTCACAGCTGACCATACTGTCCCTGCGTATTGCTCCGGAGTAAGTCCCCAAGTTGCAAAGCGACCTACGACGCATGTCCATTATACATATATATATTCAGGCAGACTTAGCCGAAGAATGGCATCTAGGCGGTGTCGATCCAAACGCCGTTGCGGATCACGGTACGCTCTCTACGTCTCTTCGAAGCGACGGGGGCATTCTGATCGTCTGCAAGATTATCGAAACTCTGGAGGCAGAGTTTCTTTAGCAATCCTTCGGTGCCGGAAGATCACCATCGCTGCCGTTAACGGTAACGCAGTTGGTGCGGGCGCGACAGCGTTACAGCTACCATTTGACTTCCGCTTCGCATGGGCAGGCACGAAGACCGCCTTCCCTTTTGCCAGCCGCGCAGTGTCACCAGAGGGTTCGTGTCATCTGTAGAGCCTCAGTTTGTAGATTCAACCCCTTGAACGCAACAGGAGTCTCCTCTTTCTTATTACCCCGCTTCCTCGGTTACTCGGCGGCAGCGGCGCTCCTTTTGTCTGGGCAAATATTTTTGCCCACCCACCCCCTTCTGGAGCGACTATACTTTGCCGTTCTACCCAAGCGCGAAGACGTCCTGCCTGCAGCGTTGTCATTCGCCAAGGAACTAGCGTCTTCCACATCCATGCCTTCGATTGTTGCTACGAAGGCCTTACTGCTCCACCCGCCGTCAAGTGCAGAGGATGCACATATTATAGAGTCATATCTATTCAAAAAAATGATCACAGGCAATAGAAACGATCTTATCGAATGGACGAAATCATTCAAGGAAAGAAGGCCTGCAGTGTTCATCGACACAGTGGATCACATGAAAGAGTGGGCCCCTTGGGTGAGCGTCACGAACCCACTTTCACCGCTGTCCTTGCCGTTAATTCTGTTGCATAGTGGAAGTCGTTGAACGATACGCCCAGCGCAGCGAAACTGTAAACTGTCCTACCGTGTAAATAGCCGGGGGAGAGGGTTAATTTCGCAGAAAGCAACAACATGACTTACGCCTAGGGGATTATGGAGAAAAATGTCAGATTGCTACTGTATGTACTTTTGTCCGTGGATATAATTGATTGTCATGTAATAAATGAAACGAGGCGTTGAAACAACAATCTTTCATAATGGTATCAAATGTATGAGCGTGCAAAGTAAGTAATTATCAGTACTGCGAAGGCAAATCTGTGAGTAACTAATGGATGCGTCAAATCAGGCACCGAAATGCAAGGTCTTGAAGAACAAGCGGATGGATTCTGTGATTGTTTGCGTTGGGATCGACGACACGGTGGTCGAGAGCGGACCTCCCTCGGCGTCAGCGAGTGAGGGTGGGGCGAAATAGAACCCGGCAACGAGGACAAGATAGCTAGGAAAGGGGGAACATTAGCCGACGACGGATGGCGGGAAAACATGAACACGTACCTGAGTATGAGGATACTTCCACGATGGTAGTTGCTCTTTGCTTCAATGTACGTGTACGTCATCAAAAACATTGACAGTATCAGCGCGATAACATCCCAACGGGGGAAGATGAGCCTGCCACAAAATAATCAGTTGAGCTTTCAAACAGCCAACAGGAAAAGGGAAGGCATACGTGAAGGTATAAGCAATCTCTCCCATGTGTTCAGGCGAATACCAAGCTGAGAAAGCGACCATTGCGGGGATCTGCAACAAACAGACTTGCAGAGCGTAGGCCGAGCCGATTTCCATACTACAATGGGATTAGCTAAGTTGGTCGTGGCATCCCCAAGAAACGAACCTTACCTCAGTGCAATATTCCCATTCAGCGCGAACGACATAGCATTCATGAATTCAGTGGTATTCGGCACGAGGGCAAACAACGTCACACCCAAGAACTTCTCATCGATGCCCGAACCTTGCAAGATGACATCGACGACATCCACCAATAGTTCTACAGACGCTACTGAGTTCCGTCGCCTAATTTGGGAACATGAAACTCACCTGCAATGATTGCATACAATGCTGTGCATGCAAGCAAAACACTAGCACTCGTTGTACGACTCCAAGCCGGCGCATCGTGACCGCCATGGCCGCTACCACCTTCGCCTTCCAAGGAACTACGCAACCGAGCCGGGGACTGTGCAGTTTGCTGATGTCGCAGGGCACTAACGGTCGCAACGGCCACAGCTCTCGTGAAATCGTCGGCGTTCATGTTCTCAGGCGCAATTCCGGAAGCTTTCACTGTCTGATCAACAGTCTCCAAGACGGGTGTGTAGCCGAGGTGTGGTGCGGATGGGATTGGTGCGTAAGAAACTCTCCTTGGAACGGAAGGGGAAGTAGCCGGTATGCGTGATGAAGAAGGCTGGGAAGACTCGCGAGGGACGGGCGTTTGAGAGCGGGAAGGTGGTTCATTCGTAACTGTACTTGCTTTGTGATGCAAGCCCGGTCGCCTTTGGTCTGAAGGAAGTAGTTTCTGGTAGATAGACAACCGGTTGTGGATAGGGAGATCCAAGGGTTGCAGCAGTTGCTGTGGATTCTGCCAAATTTGGGTAGCGTGCGTGCGCAGTGAGAACCAGAGGCCGACCAAGTAAGACTAGATGCGAAGTCAGTAAGGGCAATTGCGTTGAAATCAAACTTTGTACCCACAAATAACAGAATTGCGGCACAGAAGTACATGAGAGATTTCACAGTGGATTGATAAAAAGGATCATCAACTGGGTCAGGGTGCTGATAGTAGCAATGGTCACAAATCCACGGACGTCCGTCTGAACCTCCTTCAGGGCATCCATTGCAAACGAGTTGGAACTGCAACGGACAGGGTAAGTCACAGTTCTATAGCATGAGTGCAAGTCGGAACTCACGTTGCCGTAAGTCTGGTAGAACAGCGTGGGCGTCATAGCCCCAATGATGGCCATGATTAACATCATACTTGTTACCCCGGCGCTCTTCGCGTTGAACTTCTGTTCCTTCTTTCGAACCGCTCCGCTGCACATACTCATCCCCGGCATCAACAGAACCCCGGCAAGTAAACTCCCAACGATGGAACCTTCAACAAGATGGCCCTTCCCTTGTGTTAGAGCAATTCCATAGAGGATGATTTCAATGATGGAACCGAAGGTAGCATTGATGACGGCACCCATGCCAATAGATGACTGCGCGGAGATCGATGCAACGGCCATACCGATGAAGTACGATAGAGGAATGACGCTAAGCAGACTCATGACAAAGATGAGTGCTTGGGAACCCAGAGCGGCGAGAACCGGAGGGACATGTTTCCCTTCGTGCTCCCTCCTCTCAACCATGGGCATGATAACGAAGCCACAGAAGATCACGAAAAATACGACGGGAATGAGATTCACAAAGAGGATGTTGACTCCCCCAACAGTGTACTTGTAGTACTTCCAACCAACAGCACGGTATGTGCAAAGCAGCACGGTGGATGAACCTGATGGCGCGGCTTGACCAGCGGAGAGTCTCGGGTGTTTGATGGCTGTAGGAGGGGCCTCCGCTGCTGTCACCTCATCGGTACTGGCAGACGGAGCGACTGTCTGGGATAAGAACATTTGGGGTGCGGCACAGAACCTAATAGAATGTGGTCGGTGGAATATATGCTTGATCAGAGCCCAGTTCAGCTTCGCCATTGGCACGGTTATCACGAGAGCCCAGCAGAAGATGCAGACGATGAGCATGAGGGGGGCGATGATACAGATGAATGCCAGCCAGAAGCAAGCTGTGGCCAGCACACTCCTGGCACGGAGTTCTTTAGCAAACGCGACGGAGCCATTGGATGAATCAGACGCCTGGCGTTGGGGCGCAACACCATAGGATGTCGGGGTAGTTGACAGAAGAGTAGTACGTTCATCTGAGGGGGTGATTATCGGGTTCCATGACATAGTTTGCGTGTGGAATGCTGACGGCGCATCTCCATTGGCCCGGAGTGTCGGCGCGTCCGAGGCATTGCTTGATCGTCTATCGTTGACAGATTCCTCATCACCTTCGACATGGACGTCTTCATCTTCCAAATCCCCCTCTACGTATTTACCGAACGGCCAGAACAAATACCAGCCAAGTCCATATATCAGTGACGAGTACTGCTTTCCACCATTGGGAACGAGGTAAAGCAAGCCCGACAGCACCAGGCACACAGCAGCAAGCCACCAGCCGAAGGCAATCGTCCAGAACACGTTTCCAGGAAGTAGATGACGCTCCGCCTGAGCCGAAGGGACCGAATGAAGGGCCTCGTCAGCGTGGCGAGTGACCGAACGGGACTTTTTGTAAAGAGCCGGCTTCCAAATCGGGAGACCGAATGGGTGTTCTACATTGATAAGGGATTGTCGGTCCTTTAGAGTAATGGGGTCGTCGTCTTCCCTCTCCGAGTCGCTATGTGAATCGCCTTCCTCTTCTTCTTCTTCCTCTTCCTCGACGTCGGCCTCTTGATCTCGCGCACGTCTGCGACGTGAAGGCGAGCTTTGTGAACCCTCTTCATCCAGCTCACTCAGCACGTCGTCCTCGTTCTGCCCGCGACCAGTGGCCTGCGAGCTGCTGACACTCGTGCTTCTGTGGGCCCGTCTTGCGGAATGCGCTGAAGAACTCCGGACTAGAATCGGAGGTGGAGCTCTCGATGTGGTTGGCAACGTGTTGGCAGGGAAATACGACGTGCCTTGGTGGTGGTGCTGAGGCGTGTCCGCCGGCGACCACTGCGACCCATAGCTCACGTTTCTTTGCATATGGCTCGTGGGCGTGGGCGTCGATGAGAGGTTCGGTGGCGAGCCGCTGTCCTCTGGGGGATACGACATCCTTGAAAGGATCTAAAAGCCGTGAGCTTGAGAATCGTTGATGGGAGTGAAGGACGTCTCCAATGTTCGGCTGGACTCGAGCGTGATCGAAGAGGCCGCCACATATGGCAAATAGTCGGGCGCCCCTGAGGTCGCACCAGGGGCTTCAAGCGCTCTTTGAAGATCCCCCCTTATGCGATGAAAGGACAGCAGAAGCAACGTAGGTATCGGTGTCCGGTCTCAGTGGAACATGAACTCGAAATTAATTTTACTCAACCGTGCACACAGCGAAACAAAAACTTGTGGAGCTTGTGCCGAGGAGGCAATGGAACGAAGCTTGTAGAGTAGCCAGTTGGGCAAGTAAGGTAGTGGATGCCTGAAATTTGGATTGCCAAGCATAGGATAAATTGAGAATCAACAGAGTGGTAGATATGTGAATGTGTAAGCTACCTTTGAATGGTAGTCTAGTCGAACATTGTGGGCACTACGAGAATGTTGGAGGGCAGTGATAATTGTACAATACAACTCGAGAACTACACAACCTCAAGGGGACTACCATTTACTACCCTAAAAGCGATTATCTGGCTCACGACCAAGGAAAAGTGACGGGTCCACTAGAACACACAACTATAACTGGGCTACGGCCCCTGACAAGCCCCTTGGGAGAACACGCTGTTAATGACAGGGGTAAGCCTTTGGACTTTACCATCAGGGTCACAAGTGAGCTTGAATCCTCATGCACATGTCGCGATTTCGAGGAGAACGAGTCTCGTCGTCCGGTAATATATCGAGCTCTATGCGCGACAACTACGGAGAGTACGGTGTAGACGAGGCGAGTTCGAATTGGCGTAGTAGAGGAAACTCTATCCTAAATTGACTAGTATTATCGCAGAGTGGGTGCGACGTACAAGAATCCCCATTTTCCGGGAGTCAAGGCTTGTACTTTCCACTGGATGAACAAGTATGGACGACAAAATCAACTTCGTACACCGAAGCTTAACAGAATACAGATGGTACGAACATGAGGGAAACCAACCAGACGCAGATGCCAAATTGATGTCTCCTCTGGTTTTTGATATGGCCTGTGGTGAGAGCGTCGATTCCAGCGTATAAAACCCCGAAGGCTGAATCAGTTCAGGCAGGTACGGTGATAATGCGCTTGATAAACTATCTGAACTCTCTAACTGTTGAACAGTGGGGAAGTGACGATCTCGGTACTGGAGTGGTGGCACATCGGAAAACTGCAAAGTACATCGCCAAACATAAACAGTAGTGGATCTCAGCTGCCCTCTGGCCAAGTCCAACCCCGACGGAAGGGGATTGTCCCGCCGTCACTTCCCGCCGACGCACATCCTCCCGTGATACTAGCCGCTGATCCAGTCAGTAGATCATTCTTTGCGGGGTCGAAGGCTTCATGGTTGACGGCGCTTGTAGTATACGTCTGAAGCTTATCGTCTCAGAACCTCTAGATTGTGCTCCTCGTTGTCATTTCGTGAGATAGCTGAAGGAGCGGTACCCCCAATCGCTGCCGCCTCCAATGAAATATCTTCACCTTCCCCGGTCACAACCACTGATGCAGAACCTCATTCATCCGCCGTAGAGAAGCGACCGATCGACATGGTGTTCTGCTCCTTCGCGCTCCACCTCATCGAAGACCCATCCGAGCTCTTCGCGCTCCTGTGGGAACTCAGCACAAAGTCAAAGTGGCTAATCGTGATCGCACCGCATAAAAAGCCAGAGGTGCGACCACTTCTCTTCATTCCCCTATGCAACCCCAAGTTATCCGGCTGGATTCGAACAGATCAAGGAGGGGTGGGGATGGACGAAGTGGGATCCCGTCAAGTGGGCGCCGTGTCAAATGCTCGACCAGCAGAACGATATCCTCCACGAGAGGTGAGGTAACATCGCTCACCCTTCACGGTGTATTCAACGGTTGAGTAGGGTGCACTGTCGTATATTTCGAAGTCACAACGCGTAGTAGACACCAGCTTCCGCTCGCGCTGGACTACAGATGTGCCCGTATCCCCTTCACCAATGCCTCTGCGTCCTCATCATCCAACTCGTCCCGCTTCTCGAATTCTGCTTGGTGCATACGTCTGTGGGAGAGGGGTCCGGAAGTTGATGGCGCAGGAGGGGACGCGTTGAGAATCGGAGCCGGTATGATGTGATAGTGTACCTATAGAAATAGGCAATTTAGGAGGTGCTCTCAGCTTCAAAGAGGGGTTTCTCACATGTGGCACCGCTTGGGCGTATTCTTGATTACAAACGACATTCAAGCCGCTGTTGTCTAGAGCTTGACAGTGTGTTATTCCTTGTCGCATCCTCACATGAATATATTGGGGGCGTCGGACGCACCTTTCGTCAGAGCATTAGCGACTTTAGAGACAACCTCTCCTACAGCAGCGGCGTACTCAGACGGGAGCTCCGATATTCGCGAACAGTGTACTTTCGGTATAACCAGCGCATGGCCTCGACGCAGCGGCATGATATCTGCGTAGCGCATAGCACACAAACAAAAGTACAAGAAGGTCACATCGAATAATGAATCAGCTATGATCAATCGACGCCAGGCTGCTAGAGCATGAGGCTATTACCCAGTATGGCGATCACCTTGTCTGTTTCATGCAGGCGGAAGTTCGGGATTTCATCGTTGACTATCCTGCAGAAAGCGCAGGACGACTCCGTGTTCCATGCGAGAGGCCGGTTCAAATGAGCGTCGATGATGAAGGAGGTCATGTCTTCTGTCGGCGTGGGGGACCTAATTATAATCGTAATACATGTGTACCGGCAACCGGGCCTTGGATGAGACCGTGATCGTGAGACCCTGTCCACGGTTTGTCCACGAAACCGAAGTATTTGGTTGGACGACGAGCGTTGTCCGCAAGAATCCGCAAGCAAGCGACAAGGGCATGTATGTATTCTGGAGTTAGAGTCGATGATGTGGATCATCAAAGAAGAGATAGTTCCCGAAGCCGAAGGGAAATAATACATTGCTCCAGTGCGGAATCGAAATCATTAAACAGACTCTGACAGACTCAAGGTTGAAACTGAGCCAACACAGCTAGGAAGTCGTGGATAATTGCTACTACGATACAGAAGTACATGAATCTTGAGTAGCTGAAAGATTGAGGCCAGGCTGCCAAGTTATGTGGAGGCTTGAACGGTGATAATTTATTCCTCCTTATAGATGTGTCTCCCTTCTACAAGATCCACCGAGATTAATCTAATCTACTTTAAATTTCTCTCATCGATCAAGATAGGGGCTCGAACCTAGTTGTAAGCTTGACAGGGGCCGGTCTTTTGTTACCGGTACCCGGTCATATATAAAATGAGGTATGCCCAAGCTTAGGGACAGGTACCTACCAAACTATGCCCACCCTTCGTCAAGCCATCGCTGTAGAGTATCTCCGAGACGCGGGGGACGTCAAAGTCTTCAAGGGTGAAGTGGATCCCGATTGGTGCATCGGAGCGTAGGTCCACTCGCCCGTCCTTACGCACCGCACTATTGACTTCCCGTCAGTGTCCCCAATGGAGGTCAGAAGACTTCTCTAGCATGTTTTATCTCACACTCCAGTGGGCTGACATTCTCCCAGGGTATATTCTTGCTCTCGCTTTGCAGGCGTGCATAGAACGCCAGTCGACCACGTCTCACCGCGACCCTATCCATGTCACCGCACATTATCTCCGAACCACAGCAGTTGCGCCATTTGAAGTGCACATCCGCATCCTGAGATCCGGGAAAGGATTCACGAACGTCCTCGCGGATTTCGTACAGGCGGTTAGTTCCACTGCGTTCATTATTAGATTCACTGCATACTGATAATGACGCGACGACGTTCTCAGGATCAGCTTAAGTTTATCGTACATGCTATCTTCGGCGTAATGGAGCCTGAGGAAGCGACGCCAGGACACGACGGGCTCAAAGCTGCCATGGCGCCCCCTTCAAAGTACGCTCGCCATCTCCCCTTGCACCACCATCCATCCAACGCAACGGAGTTACCAATGTCCACCGCTTTCGGATTTCATCAACATACAAAATGGACTGATGAGCCAGAACTGCGGGAGGAAAATGGTACGCGGACTGCGAGGGTTGGCGGTGGCGGTGTTCAGTGGGGAACGTGGTTTGAATTAACAGGCAAGGATGAGAGGATAACAGCTTCATCACTCGCGTTCCTAGTCGACATGTTCGTCAACACACCCATGATCATGTCTGGCGTCGACAACGTCGGACTGCCACACAGGTACGCTTATGCCATGTCATAACCACTTCACGTGCTTCGAATTCCACCTAACCGGCAGTACAGCTGGTTCCCAACAATGATGCTCGCGATTGAGTTCAAATACCCGATACCCAAGACGGGGGAGTATGCGAGTCGTACGGTGGGCTTGTATTCGAAGGGTAATTACTTCAATGAGCCGTCCGGACACCATGATATCTACGTCGAGGTCTGGACGGCACCAGCCAACATTGGGGAAGGTTCCATTGAAGATGGGTGGAGAGATAAACAACGCTGCCTGGCCACAGCAACCCAGATGGCGTTGACCGTTCCTTTCGAAGTCAACGCGAGGAAAGCTGCTCGCGCTTCGTCTAAACTGTGATCGATTAGAGTAAGTAGTTTCAAGTAGAGTATGCTCGCTTTATAGACATACAGTAGTGTCACCCTATTCAAATGAACCCACGATAACGGGAGGGGCATACTAACAATTACAATGTAAAATACGTGAACTCGACGTAACATCATCATTTTCTGAGTAACTTCTCATGCAGCTGGGCACCCTTGAGTTTTGCTTGAAGATATTCAAGTCGAGCCTCGTAGCGGGCGGCAACCTCTTCGCGTCGTCGCTTGATCTCGTCCATTTCGTCAGTCACCGACGGAACATCGTCTTCGGGGAGGGTATCCAGAGTTAGGAAGCTGGAGTTGTCGGCAGTGAGACTGGTAGGAGAATGACTCGAGTTGCTACCGCCACTAGGTACTCCAAGGTACCCGGACACTGGGAGCTTTCCGGGGAGCGGAGGGAGAGGCGGGATTTCTTCAAGGGCTCGTCTCGAGTTCTTGTGACGGATAGAACTTTCTGCAATGGAGGAAGGACCCGTTCCCGTTCGTGTTGTCGATCGAGTTCTCCAACTTGCAGCGGAACGAGCAAGGGACGGCGAGGTAGACAGACCCGAGCGTATTGATACAGCGTCAGTATCTAACACTCTCCTCCGCAAGCTCTCGCCACGATCGACAGTCCGAAGACTAGCGCTCGAAGAGCCTGTCTCGCCGAAAATATCTCTGGTAGGTGCGCCTAGAGCACGCGATGTGCCCCGCCTTTGATTCTGCGTGAGCACCCTCAGCTCGAGACTATTGAACGAGTCCATCAGCCGCCTCTTCTCCGACTCCACGGCCAGAATCTCCTTGCGGATATCCTGGGAAGTCGTTAAGTTAGCTTCATCAAAGATGTTCGTTACCCCAACGCCCACTACTGGGGAAGGGGGGGTTTCTGTTTGCCCTATGCGCAGAGAAAAGGCGGATGGCGGTGCAGCCATGCGTCTCACACTCGTCGTAGAGCGTGATACGCCCATCTTATCATTATGGCTTCGGTCTGTGCGTCGCGAGGTGATTGATACGGCGTCGCCTGCGTCGGTGCCCACCGACGACTGGCTTGTCTTTCGTGTAAGGAGCCTGTGGAATGTGTTCGATATGTTGGACTGTGCCGAATAGACACTAGAAACGTCGCTGTGGTCTTTCGAGTTGGACCGAGGTCGCGAGTCGGTGATTCGGCTGAAGAAGCTACCCATGCCGGAGGACACAGACCCTTTGGACCGTATTGACGGACTTCGGGTGGTGTCAACATGAAATTGGGAGGTGGGACGAGAGGGTGTGGTGATAGATGCTGAGAAATGGAGTCAGAATAGCTCGGACGGCCACTTGAGGACTCACATCTACTGGTCGTCCCCGTTCCAGCCCTTCGTCGTGAAGTTGGAACGATGGCAGCCTCTGTCGGGACAGTAGAACCAGATGCAAATCGCTGGAACAAATCTTGACGCAGCAGCCGGTACTCCTCGTCACTGTGGCACCTTAATCGTCGGCCGAAATATATTGATTGCTGACTCACTTGAGTAGACCGTCTGAGTTGGCTTTCGCCAACTCGTCAAGCCGCTGCGCCAATGTCACCCTGCGGTTGGGGAGTGAGCTTAGGACCGAAGAAATGAGATGCAAGCGTACGTGACAGCATCCGTCTTATGGGGCGATTCTGTCGGTATGATCTTCGGTGTCCGGAGTGTGGTGGAGGGAAGGGGGGCGCGTGGCGACTGACTAGTGATATCAATTTGGTACACCGTCGCTGGCCGTGCGGTACTGGTACTACCAGTGTTCTCGTATGTCGTGGCCGGTCTGTTTGCATGTTTGGCAGTCGTGGGCCGACGAGTGAGCGGTGACAACGCCTGGGCTGGAGACGGTGCCGTCGAGAAAGACGCATCGGGTTCTTCGCGTTCCTTTGTTTTGGATTTACCATACTACAGAATAGAGATTAGGTTGTGGCAGGCCATCAATTGCATGTGAACTAAGAACATACGAAACGTGAGCGGATGACCTGAACGACTTTTGACTTGTCTTCGGGAGATGTGGTAAGGTCGTCCTTCCGTGACGAGAAGAATCCCATATCATGCCGTTCGATTCCAGGATATGGCCGACTTGAAAGACTCTCAATGGAAACTTTGAAAAGGGCATCAAAATGGGTGAGAATTGCAGATCAGAACGCGAAGGTCAAGTTTGTTCTTCTCACGGTCAATATTTTATTGACCGCTCCGCCAACCTACTACGCGGCCACGGGTAGTTTTGGACACGTTGAGATACGTGAATTGAGCTCTAGGTCTTTAGCTGGTCTTGTAACTCATACGTCGGCGTGTAATATACTTCTATATACGTATGTGATTTCCGCTGCGAGGGCGAGCATAAATATGATTAGAACGATAAGCTTGGAGAAGCGACTATTGGCCATTGGGCGATATTATAACTGTGTCACAGCGGGTCATAGCTAGATTTTGTTATATTTCATCCACTGTCGGACGAGGCAACCAAACATTCAAAGTTGCCAAGTGTCTTGTCGACTTGTAGACCACGACCTCAAGCTTGTGCAAGTAGATAGTTGATAAATTGACCATACCAACTATGTACTAGAGACCTCTATCATCCAACTACCGAGCGGCGGGGGCTTCCTCGGGAGCATCAGCGGGAGCAGCCCCATCGCCAGTACTGTTGGCGATAGCAGCACAGCCTTTGTTAACCGCATGTGTGGCGAGTGTTTTGGCTCCCTTCTTGATAGCGTCCCACAGGCCGTCGGAGCTATCCTCAATCTGGTGCTCAGCCACATATTCTGCGAACATCTCTTCAGCCACAGCGTCGACGGCCGCGTCAACGTCGATGCCATCAACGCCTCTGGCGCCCAGCTTGGCCTTGACGTGGTCGCAAACATGACTAGCGACTGCGCCGGCGAAGGCCTTGGCATGAGGAGCAGCCGCGGTGACGGCAGCTTTGCCGACAGCTTTGCCGGCAGCTTTAAATTGCTCCTTAATGCCGTCATCCTCAGCGCGGGCAACTACGTTCGATGAATCCCCATCGAAAGGACGGGCGAGTGCGAAAGCAGCGAGAGCGATGGCGATGAAGGCAGGACGCATGGTCGACTCTGAACAAAATAAATCGGTCACAGTCTCATTAGCAAAGAGGAGAAAAACCAACGAGGAATAGCAGGGGTTTGACGGCCTAAAAAGCGAGATAGTCAGAAGCGGTCGCCGTTAGTAGATGAACGCTACTCACTGTAGAAGCTGACAGAGGTTGCTGAAGATCACAAACCGTTTGCAAAGGGCTTTTATATGAGCGTGTACAGGCTTGCAGCCACTGCCTAGACTGCACGGGAGCGGGGGCAATTCATGGAGAGTTGACATCTTGCACATTGCTGTCTCCGTCAACCCAAGTCTCCTCCATCGAGTCTATTGTTGGCTAGTGACTAATGATGTCTGAACGAGCCTGAAGCTACTGCTGGAATCTTCCCAGTGATACCACGGCATCCTTGCTGTACGTGGACTACAAGGGTCAAAGTAAGCTTGGTGCTGCCAACAATGATCACAAAAATTCCGCTACTTCGGGCCAATCTACTTGCTGAATGTCACCAATCACCATTCTATTTGTCGCCTGTAGACATAGCGGAGAGTAGCATGCTCTGCGTTCCTGGTCTATGGATGAATTCAGGCGGTTGTCGTCACTGAGGATTGAACATGAAGGCTTACATCCGTGTCCTCTCTGGTTCAGCAATCCTGGACCTCCGCGTCCGTGATTTGTCATTGTCTCCTCTCAGTCAGTGCCGTTCAGACATGTCTATTCGACGCTCCTTCAGCTTGGCTTCCGATTCATGTCAAAACGAAGGGTGTTTTACCAGATTTCGCGGGAGCATTCAGTTTTGCTTGATGATTGAATGTCAAGTTCTTTGGTATGTGTGCCGGCCTGGACGCTCACCATCGATTCTTTGTGCGCATATGATCTTGAACGGCGACGCCCTTGCCGACACGAGCTAGTTTGTCGGATTCCCTCGCTCACCGTCTCGCGACCGTGGAGTTGTCTACGAGTTGCTCGCAAACGCCCATGCTACAATATGAAAGCCGCCCGTGGATGGGGTTTTCATCCTGCCTCAACAAAGAGCACTCGAGTGGACATACTGGTTCCCGTCCTGGCATTGTATGCGTGATAATCCCGATGAAGGCAGCCTTCGAGGTATAAAGAAATCCTCACGCACCTAGTTGTCCATTTTGGCCAACTTTGCTCAAGCCTCGAGACTCAACGTGTCCACGCATCTGGCTCAGACTTGAGGTGGATAGCGATTTGTGTTCAAGTCTGAAACCAAATTTACTCGCTCGCACTTCGTAGGTACCGGCCCGGGGCACCGCTTGGGTACCACCCATATCTATGGAGTTGCTTATGTCATCACAATTGCCCTTTCTGAATTTCCCACGATCATAGTCACTTTCGACTCTGCGAGTACGGTGCTGTAACTTTCGTCTTGACTCTCACAAACTCTCTCACATCCCTCGTCGTCTTCGAACTCTACAACTATGTCTGAACGCAAAGGTGACTTATGATTGATCTCAAAAAATGTATCCCCACTGAATTCCACTAGTCCTTAACAAATACTTCCCCCCGGATTTCGATCCTGATCTCATTCCTCGGCGGAAGCAACCCAAGAATTCGCAACAGGTTGTCCGTCTCATGGCCCCGTTTTCTATGTACGTGCATCGGCCCCTGCTACTGACCTTCACTTAATGTCCAACAGGCGATGTAACACATGCGGCGAATACATATATAAGGGCAAGAAATTCAATGCTCGCAAAGAGACGGTGGAGGGCGAGGACTACTATGGTATCAAAATCTTCAGGTTCTACATCAAATGGTAAGTCTTATGTCGATCCGAGTCTCGTCACTAACGCGCCGCATAGCACCCTATGCTCCGCCGAGATCACTTTCAAGACGGATCCCAAGAACACCGACTATTCCGCCGAGCACGGTGCGTCTCGCAACTTCGAGCCGTGGAGAGAGGAAGCGGCCGTAGAAGAGGAGGACCGACTGGCCAAACTCGAGGAAGAAGAGAACAACCCCATGAAAGCACTCGAAAACCGCACTGTCGACTCGAAACGCGAGATGGACATTCTCGATGCGCTGCAGGATATCAGAGCCAGGAATGCGAGGAATGAGCGCGTGGGGCACACGGTGGATCTGACGGCGAGGATAGCCGAAGGAGAGATCGAGGACGAGGAGGATTTAGAGAGGAAGCGGCTGGAGGACGAGGACGAGAAGTTGGTGAGACAGGTGTTCAAAAAAGTTACGATGCCTGCGGTGCTTGGAGAATCCGCTCCTGTGGATGAGTCCGTTCCAATCCCCCAGGTGATTACCGTCAAGCGCAAGGCCGACGACATCGAACCGTCGCTGCAGAGCCTACTCCCCGACTCTGCAAAGGAGCTGATAGCAAAAGCGACGCTCGCTCCTCAGCCACCGAAAAAGAAAAAGCCTAATTCACTTGGGATCAAGTTGGTTAAGAAGGCGAAGACCTGACGGTCCTGCTGTAAGATCTACCTCACTCTGTGCTTTCGTATTTTTAGTGTATATTAATGAGATGTAACCGGGGAGTGCTACAGCAGCGATCATTGGGAAGACAATGGTGTATTTCACTATGGAATTCCGTTCGCCAGGAGATCACCGCCACATTAGGCCAGCCCCAGCGACTATTCTCGACCGTCCATTCAAGGACTCAAGTACCCAGGCCTCAGTACTCAGAGTGCCACGGCCCAGTTTCCAGTTATGCAGTGTTCAGCTGCGATCTTTCCTATGGCAGTGCGGGGCTCACCGAAGCCAGACTATCACATGCTACCCATCTCATGATGTCATCTAGGTCCACTCAAGATGCTACTTAAGCCTGAAGCGCAAGGGAACGAAAGGAACTTTCCCTTTACCCTCTTCCGCCATCATGTCCACCACAACTTACTCAGTACATGTAAGTGAATCCCGCGACTGGAGCGATGAGCCGATAACCCACCCGCTGTGAAGGTTAGCAACATCGCCCCGACCACGGGCGAATCTCAGCTTCACGACTTCTTCACGTACGTCGGTCAACTTTGATCATCTATTGCTCGGGAGATCGAACCGTTCATTTTGCAGGTTTTGTGGAAAGTGAGCCGGTTTCGGATGACATTGATTGACTGGATAACCAATGGCTACTTCTCCAGGATCCAGTCCATCGATTACAAGGAAAAGACAGCAACAATATATTTCGAGAAGTCTTCCGCAGCGAAGACTGCGCTCATGGTGAGTTAGCCTTGAAAGTATCGCTAGTCTATATCCAATCGACCGTGCCCTGCGCCGCAGTTGAATGGTGGAACATTGGACGGTAGCCGCCTTGAGGTGACGTCAGATGTGGACCACCAGGATGAGCCTCATCACGACGAGCCCCGATCGGGTGTGCCAATTGACCAGTCCGATAAGCCACGCGCCGGAAGTGCGTACACGACCTCATCTCTTTGCCATGATCGTACTTAGTTTCTGTAGTCGCGGCCGAATACCTTGCCAAGGGTTACCAACTCTCCGACAACATCCTTCACCGTGCCATTGACATCGATAGTACGTTTACATTCTTCTTTGCCTTCGTCTACGCTAACGTCTTCGCGAAGACAAACAAGGCATCTCGAAACGCTTCCTGGACTATTTCCACTCTTTGGACACAAACCTAGGACAGCGCGCGCTTGGACCTGATCAAACGATTAGCGGGAAGGTGCAGACCTCTTTGGAAGCTGCTACCCAGCAAGCCAGAGCTGTGGACGAGCAGAAAGGGTTCTCGAAGATGGCTTCCGACGTACGCTCCCTACTCCCCTTGCCAATTGTACCTAGCTAACGCGTCGAGTCAGTATTACGCGAAGGCACTAGCGACACCGTTGGGCCAGCGTATCAAGAGCTTCTATACCTCCACTGCTAAGGAAGTTCAAGACATTCATGAAGAGGCTTTGCGTATAAAGGCCCAGTCTGCCTCACATGAGACACCCGCCGCTCAGCCTGAGCCTACTCCTGCTGCGGAGGCGTCAAAACCCGCGGCATGAAATGGGTAACTTGTTTGTTGTTTAAAGTTTTTTGTATAACTTGTACGCAGCACGAGGAGGAATAAGATCGTATACATGAATTACAATGATCACATTTCGAGTCCTACGACCCCTCATTCGTAAGGAGGCAAGTAGCCATCTAATCTGGAGCCCGCCGCTGAAGGGTCAGGCGCGTACAGAGGCTCTGACGAAGTGTAACCATTCATTACAGCCCGCAAAATCGTTCCTTGCCACACCCTGAACCATTCACCTTCCCTAACGCCCGAGAAAAGACCACCGACACCGGACTGTGTATAATCGGGCTTGGCTTTAGCATCAGGATCGGGACCACCTGGGGGTTGAGGACCATTGTCGCCGTTGCCATTGCCATTACCGTTGTTGTCGTGTGGGACCCATCGTTTCAGGGCATACGCACCTCCGTAGACCTGCCACCGACCGCCGCCCAGTGGGTGATACCGTTTGAAGACCCATATGAAAGGGTATATAAGGGTGGCCCAAAGAAGGCCTTTTACCCACCACTTCGAGAGAATTCGAGAGAGGGTGTTATCCGGACGTATGTTGACTTTGGATCCATGAGTTTCGATCGAGACGGTGAGTTTGCCCGAGTAGGGAGAGGTGCGGATGGTATTTCGGATGGCTTTATTGAGTTCTTCGATGTTCCAGCCGTACAGGACCTTGCAGAAACTCCATTGTCAGAACGCAACTGAGAGAACAGGACGATGCTCACCTTTTCATACACAAACTCCTTTAGAAGTTTCGGGCTCTCACAATACTCGTCGGCCCACTGCCTCAACGACTTGGAAGACCTGAGTAGCCTGCGGGGATCATCGACAGCCTGAGCCATCTCCGACGTAGCTTCGCCCAGCGACACCCAAGGCGCTATCCCCCTCGCACGTTGCACAGCAACCCATTCTTCATACGTCTTGTTCTCTTGCGAAGTGCTCACCCTTTTCCCGCCAGAACGCCCTTGAACCTCCCGCACCATAGCGCCCCGAAACGCAGGATCTGCGTCCGCTACCGACCAATGGACGACAAGCGCAGGGTCGATGTGCTGCCCAATATCAATGTAGAAATCGAAATCGGTGATCGTTTCTGTGTGGTGCTCGCGTCTGCTCTCGGTCTTGCCGTCAGAGTGTTCGTAGTTTACCCATCGGTAGTGGGTTTCGGAATGTGTGCCCTTGCAGTGGACCAGATAGGAGGGAGGGGTCAGAGCGTTCGAGAGTAGGAAGCGATATAATGCCTCTCCTATGCACGGGGAACATGTCAGCAAGGATCCAAATGGTTCGAGTACGAAGCGGTGAGCCTACCGTCAGAATTGAGGTGTGGATCGTGTGAGACGATGTCCCCGTCCCCAACGGTGAAATATTCCGCCTCGTAGGGGGTGAACGCGGGAGGCAGTTCTTCGTCACTGTGACCCATAGCGTTCTGGAACGTCCCTTCCCTGTGATCGTTCATGGTTTCCGCTTGCGGGTGTTGAGTACGATGGCAAGCCTGTGGTCCTCCTTGTTCGTCAAAAGCGCCCATCAAGGAGGTGCTGTCATGATATACGTGGAAGATGTCGACTTATATAGGGAGACATGGGGCATGATTGCAGTAGACCGGAAACCTGGTGACAGACGGATGGTGGACACTGGTAGACTTTTGGGCGCTAGAAGACCAGAGCAGTCGGACGCACTGGAGAAAACAAGAGAGCCCCACGATTTTGACAATTACATAGATGAAAAGACTTTGGATGTAAGTCAACTCAATCAGAGCAAACAGGAGTACAGTACTAATACAATACTACTTACACATACCGAGTCCAACATTGGCCAAGCCGGGACCAAGCCCAGCAACCATATGTGTTGCACCCAATACTAGATAGCAGCACCCGCGCCTGCACCGACACCCGCTCCTGCACCGAGACCTAGATCCAAACCGAGACCGAGACCAAGACCTGCACCGACACCCGCAGCCACACCAGTGACAGGGCGGTGGCGTACCACACCAGTGACGCCAGTACCGACACCGAGGCCAGCACCAAGACCAAGACCAAGACCTGCACCGACACCCGCACCCGCACCGACACCAAGATCTGCACCCGTGGCCGCAGCGACGATAGGTCGGGCGCGTACGGCGGTAGCAAGACGGGTACCTGCGCCTACACGGCCCCCAGCATCGAGTCCAAGTCCAAGTCCTGCGCCGACCCTTGTGCCTGCACCGATACCTGCACCGACGCCAAGTCCTGCGCCAACACTCGTACCGGTACCAACTCGTGTATCAGCGCCGACACCAACATCTGTCGCAGCGACAGCGACAGCAGGGCGCGCACGGACGCCAACTGCTGTGCCCGCGTCTACACCAGCAGTAGCATCAAGTGCAGCGGCTGCACCAACGCCAGCGTCAGTGTCAGCCGGTACTGGTGATGCATTCGCGTAGATTGCCAGAAGAACAATGCTGACGAGCGCCTTGGAGATTATCATGGTTCTGCAAAGTGGGATTGCTTCAGCCGACGTACCACATCTCTGTAAGATGAATAACGTACGAACGGGAAGTTAGTAGTTTTGTTATGTCCCGTGCACTGTGCGCAGGAAGATTCCGGCGTGCCCTGTAGATTGTAGAGTTGAAGTGAGCGGCGCATGGCGCACAGATAGTTGGAACAGGACTCACGGTTGCTTTGCTACCGAATGTAGAGTCGCTCTATTTTTTCAGCTGCCCGCTCCATTCTTTAAGAGCTCCACAGGAAGTTCTTTACGGCAAGCTTCAGTGCAAGTGGTCTGTCGGATACATGAGCTATTATACCCCGATTTCGGATTCCTCTTCAGAAGCGACGGTCGTGGGCTGTCTTCTATGTCAATCCCGGGTGCCCAAGGCAAGAATAGTTTAGTAAAGCCAAGCCTTAGATGCTACCTCCAGACCTAACGTGTGTAAAAATACAATGATATAGCGGCGAGCGCTATTCTGGGAGGATTAGGCTGGGCGAGGCGGTTTCTCGATCAATGTCGAATACATACCTTGGAAGCGACGTCGACTAGGCTGTCTCAGCTTGGAAAGAGCAATCGGGGTGTCACTGTCAGTGAGCGGAAGCCGCGGAAATGGTCAAATGGGCGCTACAGCATGGTTCAGCAGACGCTGGCTGGTTCACATCGTTAATCTCATCTACTTAACTTATCTAAATACCTAAACCGGTATCACCTCGAACGAGAATAATAATACAGTTCAACAGTTGTGGTATGAAACAGGATGAAATATAGACATATGTAACGAATCCTAACAGAACAAATTCAACGAGAATACTAACACCAGAACGATGTACAGGCACTGTGACCCATGCAACATTAGTATGGCGCCGTTTGACTCCTCCGGACCGGGGGGTGCAGTGACCGAGGAAGCGCCGGCTGCCCCTGGTGAATTAGCTAAACCACTCGCAGGAGAGCCTGGGCCACCTGGCGTACTAGGCAGAGGAGAAGGAGGCGGAGTGGGCTGTACATTTCGTCCCGGCGGACCAAGGGGTGCAGCGACCGAGGAAGCGGGACCTGGGCCAACTACCCCTGGTGAATTAGCTGAACCACTCGCAGGAGAGCCTGGGCCACCTGGCGTACTAGGCAGAGGCGAAGGAGGTGGAGTGGGTTGCACATTTCGTCCCGGAACATCGTCCACCGTCACTGTGAACAACGGGACGACTCTTCCGGAGAATGGCAAAGTTATCTGTGCTCCGTCATCGAAGAGGTGGGACACGCAGGCACCGACACCTCTGTTGAAATCGCACACTACGTGCTGCGCAAAGGGTTGTCCAGGTTGAGGCGCTTCTGTGACCACGCTCCCTTCACTGTTGGCTACAACAGTTGCTACAGCGAGGCATTGACATTAGCGGTGTGCCGCTTGCAAAGAGTCATGACGTACCATGAATTGTCACAGGCGCACTGGGAAAGAAAGTGCTGACACCGTTGTTGATGGCGTTGAAGCCACCGGTAAAGATTTCTCTGGCAACATCGTACGTAGTAGCGCCGTTTCGTCCAACACCGAGAGGACTGACGGCAACGATGGACGGGCGCTCCTGGTTTCCGTTGTCCACGCCTAGAACAGTGAAGGTTGCCGCAGAAGCTGAGGTTTGAATGCATCAGTTACAATGCAGACCCATCGAGAATTGGTATGATCTACCGCGCAGTGCCAGGAAAAGTGAAGGGATTATCAATTGCAACATGCCGTACAACAGCTGAGAAATGAAAATGAGAAAAACCTGAATGAATGAAGAGCAGTGGGAGCAGTGAAGCGAGTTGGTTCCGTTTCCCGGGTTTATATTGTGCTCTCGGATCCAACGAAGCAGTTGTTCCAATGCCACCCATATTCTTACCAACAAATTTCATGGTGCTACAGCGTAATGAATTTCCACCACTACCAGTATGTGGATCAGGCTTTTTTGATGCTTTACCTTGACATATAACATTGATAAGCCCGTGTTGCCCACCGGGATGATGAGAAGCGGAGGAAACTTACTATATATCGCCTTCCGTGAATATAGGCAACTCAGGGAGTGGGATTTCAAGTTTCCTCGAGAACGTGGAGGATGAATACCACTGTGTTCCCATCACACATTAGGGCTCTTCCAGACCTTCTCAATACCCTTCTTTTGAATGATTAAGTTGGGCGCTCAGTAAGGATATAAGGGCCGAGTAGCGTGCTAACAACGTCAACAGGGCAGTCAGTGCCAACAGTCACCCATATCACAGACGGAAACTATCAACATAGCCAGGCGAATTTGTCAAGGAAGAGAAGGTGTCGCTAACGATCGTTAAATCTGTACTAGGCCTAGATTGATGGTAATTGCGAGTCACGGACGGCAGATTGGAATGGGAATCACCGACTACTCTTCCGCCAAAGAGACATGAAGAGGCATCTGAGTTCCTTCGTGCATCTTGCCCTTAACCATAGGGACCATGATACCGGCGGGTAGCCTCATTATCTGCACACCTTTGGGCAACGCGAACTTGAAGTGTTCGATCGCCTCAACGGCAAGGGCTTGTAATTCGATGAGGCTGTGCGAAACAGAAATGAGCGTATTGTCGATGCGAGGTACGGCGACTAGTTACTCACGCAAATCGCCAACCGATACATCCACGGACACCAGCAGCTACAAATCGACTGTGAGTGCACGTCTCGGACGTTCCGCCACATTCACATACAAAATGTCATCCTAAATCAATAGCGTACGTTAGAGCTGTAAGGACGAAGTGTACGTGAGACGAGAACGCACAAATTCGCGTATACACCGATGGATATTTGCTTCTCCTTGGAAGTGTCGAGGAATCTACGAGGATTCCATTCATCTGCATCATCCCCCCACACGGAGGGGAGGCGGTTGTAAGTACTTATAGACAGAGAGAAATCTTGGCCCTTTTTGACATGTAGTTCTGTCAAGGTCTCTCCGTCCTTGGTGGTGATAGGCAGAGCCAAAGGAATGATGTCGTCTCTGTCTGCTGTGCGTACCAGAGAGGGAACGATAGGGTGGAGCCGCAGGACCTCCTACGGACGTAGATTAGAGGTTGCCTCAGGGCGTGCGAGGCAGAACAAACCTTGAGACAGGCGTTAGTAAACGTGAGAGAGTCAAGGTGGGCTATGGTGAAATCTGTGCCACTTGGTAGCCTTGCGCGAAGTGCTTGGATTTCATCCCTCATCCTCGCCTGATCTTCCGGATGTCTACAGAGTTCGTACAAAAGCCAGGTAAGCGACGACGCGGTAGTCTCATGCCCAGCCAGCATTATAGTTCTGTATGACCGTCAGATTTTGTCAAACTACAATATGCCAAAGGAAAATAACACACGTCATTTGAGATAAAACCTCGTCTTCGTCGAGCTGGAGTTTAGGGTCTTCGGAGGTGTTGGACCTCACTGCGGTATTGGTGAGCAAGTGAGGTACATTAGGACTTATAAGTAGCGAACTCACCCAAAACGCTCAACATGTCTCGACTAGAACCTTCCGCGATCGCTCCATCAGCTTTCTCTTCAATCAATTCCTTGCCAATTCGTTTTGCCAGCGCCTTGAAATTGCGGAATCGGCGATACTCCTTAGTTGGGATATATTCAACAAACTGGAGGATAGGAGGGGGGATATATCGCCACAATGCCTTGAAAAGGAGATCCCACTTGGGAGGATGCAAGATGGTATCGGCGCTTAGATACAGCTTAGAACAGGTTAAATAGTACGAGACAACGGAACTTACAACAGGTTTTCGAAGCATTTAGACAGTTCGCTATGGGCGTTATCAATCGCCCCAAATCGATAGTCGAAAGCCGCTACGATGCAATGCTTGAACAACAAAACTTTGGACATTTGTAGTGATACTCACCCTCTCCGATAGCATCCAGAGTGCTCCGAGCAAGCCATCGTGATACGTTAAAGGTCTGGTCACCGGCTTGGATCAAGTCCTTCCATTTCTGGGACATCTGTAGCGACGTCAATTGTCAGCATCCGATGGATAAGCCGCCGGATAATCCGATGTTCTTACACGAGAGGCAGTACTTTGGAAGAGTGGGAGGAAAGCTCGCAGCTGTTGTGCCGTGAATGCTGGGTTCATCACTTTCCTATGGCGCTGGTGCACATCGCCTGTATGTACTTAAGTGTCAATGTATACGATCAAATGGGCGAGACTGTGGTTACCTGCCGCCCATACAATGCCTCTTCCCATTATATTGCGAACTGACTGATTGGCATCGGCCCGCTTGGGATAGTGGTAGCTCGAAGTATGAAAGATGTGCTGAAGCGCGCGAGGGTCCGAAGTGAAGACAACCTGATTCTAAACCCGTCGAAAAAACGGTCAAATCTATTCTCTACTTATATCATGAGAGCATGTAGTATACTTACCCCCCAACAGGCACTGATCCTAAAAGTGGCACCGTATTCGCGCGACCACGCAAAGTCAAGGTCACCGACCTCGGCCTGTCCTCGTATTTCGAGTTCGTTTCCTATTAGGTGCTATCAGCAACTGAGTCAACGGATGCAACCTTCGATTTATCCTACCTAGCAGCCACGAAGGTGACGGTGGTCCCCTCAACTTCCTAACGGAATCTCGCTTGCGGCGAACCGACAAGCTGACCGTCAAGAGGACTATCGCGAGAAGGGAATAAACAAGAAAAGCCATTGTGAGAGACCCAATGTGATACACGTTGAGGTTATATACAAAACCTGCGAAGCATGGGAACCCACAGAGACCGGCATGAAGGCAGCAGCGTTATTTTGTGGCATTTAATCATGCGATGCATGGAAATAATGACATCGAGGGACATTCCCTGGACATTCCCTGGACATTGATGGCGGTGATTCGTTGGAGAATGACAACCATTTCCACGGGTACTTCTACCCTTCCGCCGGGGAGGTTTCTCTCAGAGTCTTTGCAAGCGAGCTGCGGAAAAGCTCGACAAATTGGGTAACAACATCACGCTACCACTTGTCTCTCGCATTTGTGAACAGTGTCCTGGGCCTGAAGGCCTGAACGGGCATGGAGAGTTTGGGCCACGGGGAATTCTCCAGAGGTGCACAGCTGCCTTGGTTCGTATGAGAAAATGGCACTTGCAGCGTGAGAGTAGGCGAGCGACACCTAGTCACATCACTAGAAGGGAGCAGGCTTAAGTCAGTATAACTATCTGTCTTCACCATGTAAGCGAGGGGCCCACCGATATATGGGAGAACACGATTATTCGCAAAGAATAGGCTTCAAGGAGGATCAAATGTTCAACATTTATATAATCATTGACTGACGCTGAAGTGCCTGCTCAAAGGGGAGACCCCTATCTTAGTTTCTTCGTCCTCTCATGTATTCAAGACATGCATATAGGACTTGCACTTTAGAAATTGAGGTACTGAGATAACATGACTGAGATTCGCTCTGAGCATGTAAGCCTACTCCCAACAACTATCAAAAACAATCGGATTCTATGATTGAGTATTTACGACGCACAAGAGATATTCCTGGACAATGGAAGACCTCGTCCATCCATCATCTCTGTCAGGCCTATTGGCGTCGGCAGTGATGGCGCCACTACGTATGAGGTCGCCGAAGGATTTCCTACAGGTGGCTTCAACACTGGCCCTGCTCTAACGATTCGCGGTATGGCACGATCTATTTGAATGGGAAACCTACGAATACAACAATGTTGTTACAGGGACCGTCGTAGCCGATGCTCTTGGAAACTCAGCTACGGCCGCTCCGCAAGAGGGCTCGCCATTTTCACAGCACGTTATATCCAGCTGGGGGACACAAACCGAAGGTGTCTGCGTAGGTGAATTTGCTGAGGACAGCCTCAATAATCCAGCAAAAGAAACTTGGACGGTTTCTGGGAGCGTCCTTCCTCTATTTACAGTGACAGCGGATGACCCGAACACGCTGAGCATGAATGCGCAACCAACTCAGCCTCCGGAAGCTGGCTCAGGTTCACCTGCGGCTCCTCCGAATACCCCAGGCGCCATAGGGTCTTCCGCTGGCACTTCGCCAACGACCCCCGCGTCTAGTGCAAGTCCGTCGTCCAACGGCGCTGGATTGACGTTGAGTGGCCCACTTGTTTACCTTGGGGTAGCACTGTTGCCATATTTGCTGTTCTAATGTAAGGGGTTGGTACTTACTGGGAGAAACTGTACGGGCTATTAATATCGAACGTAGGGACAATCGGTCGCAGGTCGAGGTCCGAGTCGTTTTCGAGCGTGGAACTTCCTAGGAGTCGGTGCAAAACGATTATGTAGTCACTACTCTGGGCTACTCCGGGGTCCACATCCAGAACGGTGAAAGTTGCGGCTGTAGCTATAATTTAAGTTCATCAGCTATAACTATGATATCAAACTTTGTGTGATCATGACCTACCACTCAGTGCTAGTATAAGAGATGCGGCAACGAATTGCAACATGCTAGAGTTACGAAGAGTAGAAGTAATAGGAGAGAAGAATGAAGACGCGGGAAAGCCGAAGTCCCTTACTGTCTTGGGAGGGTTTATATTTCGCAGAAGGAACGAATGGTCGTCCCAATGCGACCCAGACGTGGAGCGATAAATTCTAAGGCGCGAGTGCTTCATTAAAACGTTTGCCGCTCCGGAATGATTAGAGGCGGACTGGATCTTTCGTTGCCATGAGCTGAAGAGCTTCAATGAGCCATTAATTTCATTCAGATTCCTGTTCGTAGATGCCCCGATAAGGCAATGTTTTCGATGATATGGAAACCATCGGACAAAGGGAGGAAACTTTCGCGCCCACAGCGCAAGTATATATGCTGGTGTAACAGGGCATCCAGTGCATCATGTCAGTTGCCTAGTCCGCAAGCGCCATCGGGATGGGGAGAGATTTCATCCTATATTACCGTTGAGAGGGGGGGGCAGGAGAGGTTACGATTCTGCCACAGGGACGGTGTGGTAGGAGAACGACGGACAAAGCCGAGCTATCAATGTAGATTCTAACAATGTCGGAGGAACACTCACGGTTTTATTTTGAGCAAACACATCCAAGCTAAACAATGCAATAATGGAAGGGGCCAGCGGTGAACGCAAACACCGCGCGATGGCTACTGCTTGGACACGTCTGCCTAGAATATAAATATACGGGGCACCAACGCTTCAAAGCCAGAGGCTCTGAAGCATGTACCCTAATCTTGACAAAGCTTGGGGTCTCAGTACCAGTAGTGTAGACTGCTGATAACTCGTAATTGTCATAAGTGTGCGCCAAGGATGACGCTCCAATGGTCGATACCGTGTACATAGGCCGTATAGGGTGACCTCTATTAGACACTGGTTGCCGTATGCCGGCACCGAACAAAAGTCCTTAAATATCTGCCCATGATGCAATCTAAGAGGAAGAGGGACGCGTAAGCTCCACGCCAAAGCTGAGAGCCAGTAATAAACACAGCGTACCCATGAGAAGCCGTTGAATTCGGCTTGGTCGCGAGCCGTGAGTTGCGTATGAACTGGGGTTAAAGTAGGTCGTTCCTTGGTGAATTCTTCGTCGAAATTACTGGTATCAGCTGGTCCGTTCTAGAAAGAAGAGTTAGAAGAGTATGTATACAACAGTTTATACGCACGATAGTTGGAAAGTATGGTGGAGGTATTCGTTTATTCAACACATCATCAAAGCTGACATCCTTGAAGAATGGGTGCCGCTTAATTTCCTCAGCATCCTCCTTGCTTGAGCCCAAGCGGCGTTGGGGGTCCCTGGTTAACAGCTAATAGAGAGGGTTGAGAGCCGTTCAAACTCGCAGTAGCAGTTCTTACTTTTTGAAGTATTGAAACGGCGTCACGCGGCATTGTTATTGGATACAGAGGCTCATCTTCGAGAATAGCATCGAAAATTTCGTCTTCGTCATCTCCACGGAATGGGGATTGACCGAGAAGCATTTCATAAGTCAACACACCAAAGGCCCACCAGTCGACAGCGCGGCCGTATCGTTGCTCGAGAAGAATCTATCGAACGGAAGGCTCAGACTCACGGAGTCCAAAACAGAAAGGGAACGTACTTCAGGTGCCATGAACTCTGGAGTTCCACAGAAAGTACTGGTAGTCTGGCCGAACCACATCTCTTCTTTGCACAAACCGTAATCCGCAACCTTCACATGGCCATCCAAAGTAAGGAGGATGTTGTCCAACTTGAGATCACTAACGGTGGGCTTGTTAGTTAAAGTCTCGAAAACGATGAAACGTTTGAGCGTACCGATAGATGATTCCATTGGCATGGAAATATTCCAACGCTAGCAAAACTTCGGAAGCGTAGAATTTGGCTTGTCGGAGAGAAAATTGTTTCCTTTGGATGTGCAACATGAGATCACCACCGCTGACGTACTCCATAACGAAATAAACGCGGGTTTCAGTCTGGAAACACGAGTGGAGGCCGAGAAGGAAAGGATGACGCTCCCTCGAAGCAGCCAAGAAGACCCGCTTCTCAGATCGTGTGCTGGTCACATATGGTGTAAGCAAAGGAGGAACATCGGCAAGAGGGGTAATCTACCTTTCGACTTCGTCATTATCGATGATGAATTCCTTCTTCAAGACCTTGATAGCGTAGAGCTTATCCGTCTTCTTCTCCTCGGCGAGCATGACCTTCCCGAAATTCCCTTTGCCCAGCACGCGAAGGAAGTTGAAGTCATCTAGTCCCACCTTCCTTTGGATTGAAGGTTTTCGAACAACTTCTTGGGGCTGGGGTGGTATCAATTGAGTCGGAATTTGTTGGGGAGGAGGGCGTTGAGGGGACCCGGGTCCGGCAGGAAGGGACTGTTGTCGAGGAGGTGGCATATGCATGGGAGGACGCTTGTTCACGCGTTAGTGATATAAGAATGAATAAGTAGGAGAAAGTAAAGCGTACTCCATGTTGCGGTGGCTGGCCCGAAATATCCATAGGTGGAGGTACATTTGGTTCGTAAGAACTTGGCGGACGTCCTGGCTGCGAATCTTGCGGCCACATGGGGGACGGCACTCTGCCAGGGGGAGGTCTACCAGGTGGTTGTTGCTGCTGCTGATAACCGGGAGGGCCAGGCGGAAGGGGTTGTTGCGGATATGGGCGATATCCAGGTGCATTGTATTGATCAGTAGGGGTAGCCATTTGTTCTCGTTGATCTTGTGGAGGAGCCCAAGCATCCGGAGGTCCGCTTATCCTCAAGCGATCAATTCCAGCATTAAGTTGCTCAGGCTGCGAGAACTGCTGAGCCACAGGAAGCGTCTCTGTGCGCTTATGAACCTTGCCCCCTCGCTGTTTGTTGATATCTCGCCAATTTCGAAGAAGCTCGTTGGCGGTTTCCATCGACATACCGCAGAAATCTGGGACTAGATGGGCGCAATTTGCATGGCAAGTGATGTCGCACTCAGAACATTTTCGAGCGTTTTTGCGACCGAGGGGGAGCATATATCCACAATGACAACACCAATTTGCACCAATGTTTGTGAGAGGCTCGAAGCGATGCGGAATGCGATGGTTGATCTTCTCCTCGTCTCCATCCTGTAGCACCGCCAGAGAATCAATACGATGACGATACTAAGAGGATGGCCACGTACCCCCATCGTCGACTTTGATATACACTTTGTCACTACCTTCTCGTAGCATTTCTTGTGACAAGTATACCGGCAATCCTCGCATTGATACCCCAAAGCGTTCAGCAAGAAGTCGCCGCAGAATGCGCATAGCATCAGCTGATAGAACTGCTGTTGTACGAATTTATGGCCGTTCATTTCGTGGACTTCGCCTTTACGTTTCCTGACAGCTCCTTGACGACCGAGACCACCGAGAGGGCCACCATCCATGGTTCTCTTGCGAACATTCTCCTTGACTTGAGAGGATAAATTAATTATCACGTGTGCAAGTAATGGAGTGTAACTCACTGAAGTTGAGATGTAGGGCAATAGCACCCGCCGGTTCTACCGCAAACCACGCGTCGATGCCGTCAGATTGGGGTCCCATTGTGCTCCTTGGTGGGCCTCCTGGCATTGGCGCGGAGCCCAAGGAGGCATCCATGCCCACGTTTGACCCTCCCATCCCATGAGCAGACATAGTGGGACTGTCGCCTGGCATCGCTCCCGCGGTCACCCATCCTCCACTACTCTCCATAACGACTTTCTGTCGGCGCAGGGCTTCAACGAGGTCACTGATTCGAATCCACACCATCCCGATCGGGATAGGGTTGGGATCGCTGCCCTGTTTGTCATAAACGGTAATTTCGACTTCGTTCGCTTTGTCCACCGTAATTTCGAAATCTTCATTCCATCTATCTGTTCGAGACGGGTGCGTCCGAGCTGCCTGGGTGCCTTCAACTTTGATCGAAATCTGCGTTTCCGTAATTTGCTTCGACGAGGAGCGCAAACGACTGAATGTTGGCATGGGAGCGTGTTCGAGCTCGCGCGCGCCCTTCACAGTAACATAGAGGGTACCCGACAGTGGTTTAGCACGGAGGTTATCCTTACGGTCGCCTTGAGTGCCGTCTAAAGAAATCGTCAGGTTTCCCATAAGCCGGAGGCCGTATAGCTCAACGGACCTGGATCCTCATCTTCCGCGACGTCATCTAAGACATGCAGATTCTTGTAGCGCTTCAAGGCTGACTGCAACAGCTGTATCTTCTTCTCGGACTCCACCCTCTTACTTTCAGCATCTGCCCTCGACTTTTTGTCGCCGTCCGCTTGATATAATTTGGCCATCTTGTCGATACCTTGCTTGTACTGCATCTCGACCTGCAACTTGAATTCCATTTGATGCAACATCTTGGATATTTTTGCAGGCGTCAGGGGCGTGTCGGCTTTGATTAAGTCGAGATTGGTGTACGTTCTCGGCTTCGGTCTTGACTCGCCATATGAGTTCCGGCTTTCCTGAGGGTACGGGGGGCCGTAGTCTTTGGGCGGGACCTAACATAGAATGAGTTCCGCCGCTACCTGGCGAAGTAAGTTGATATCTACTTACCTGCGGCGAACCTGGATAACTTGATCGTGATGGATCACCCCCCTGGAGTTTTCTCGCCTGCAGTTCCCGAAGTGTCTCTTCGAAATACGAGAGCGTACGCTCCGTTTCCCTTATCTTGGCTTCATTTCGGCGAAGCACATCTTGATTGGTGGTAGCCTGAGCAAGCGACTTTGAGGCCTGAAGAATCTTGCGCTCGGTTTGGATGTGCTTGTAGACTTCCTGGATCTTCTGGTCCAGTTCTTGAGTCTGAAGAGGTGGACCAGAAGTCCGTCATTAGAAATCGCGCCTAGCTTGGCCATGAGAAGGAAGCATTACCATTTCGACTTTGACCAACAACGCGATATCCGGTGAAGTCGTTGGCCGTCGTCGCCAATGTTAATCGCAGTGAAGTTGTTGGTGGTGGCTGCGTTAAGCTGTGAGCTGATCTTATCCTGTGTCGCCAAACAAGGAAATCATTGATTAGGTAATCCATTCCAGTCGCCGGGCCGGTACGTGTTGCAGGGTTCTCCCCTCGTCTTCACCACTACCATTCACGATGTCGAGAATCTCATTCTGTACACGCGTCCGAGCGATTTCGGCTGAATACTCGCTTTCTCTGAGCATATATCACCGCTTGTGCTTAGGAGAAGTCGCCGATGATACTCCGTACACCAAAATTCAGGCGCGTTTGCCAGAAGGGCTCGACGTCTTCCTCGCGTCGTCTCTCATCATATCGGTATCAGGTATGGTAGACAAGGAAGATGTACCCTCGGAGGTAATAGAATCTTCTGCTACCTGCCGACAACTCGGGAAATGCTTAAGGCTGGTGGGTGTTTCTGCGATTATATGCGTAGTGCCTCCTTGTTGCTCATTATGGGCCCCAGAACTCGATTGCGTTAGGTATTGAGAGCGTCTCGGACTGCAGAATTGATGATGCTGGCATACCGCGAAGTGAGCTTTTGCTCAGTGTACATGGAAATTCTTCTTAGTCGTGCAGTTATACTTGTACCAAGCCGCCCACTTCCCCCGGATGGCACTGCTGTTCATGCAAAACTCGTCGAGATACAGCTGAAGTACATATGGAAAACGATACAACAAGAGGGTTCCGATTCTCCCCCCGATATGCGAATATCACCTTCATTATGCGACGACTCTCATCCGTTCGATACACGACTTCTACTCCCTATCTCCCTCTTGCTTATGGAGGCCCACCACAAGTTTCTGACCTGGCATTTAGTTAAGTAAGCCATCATTCTCGATCCGCACTTCAAGGGCCGTGGTGACCACCAGCCCAGACGATATCCTCTGATCTTCGGACCGCGAGCTCAGGTAAGTTTGAACCGTATCATACAACTATGGTATCCATCACTATCACCGACCAGAACTTAGATAAAGAATTGGCATACTTTACACCAATCTCTCGCGCTATATGCTCCATCATTGCACGTTCACCAAATCCCACCTTTCGAGAAGAAGCACAGTCTCAAATTAATGTGAGTAAGCGTATTGCCCCGCTGCTATCTAATATCTGGCGTAGAGGATCAAGTCACAACGAACCTCCTCACTTCGCAAAGTATCTGAAGCTGTTCTGGACGTCTTGGGAAATCAAGATGACAACGAGTCTTACTTTTCAGTGGAGAAACGTGTGGAGACGGACGAAGACGTTCTTTGCTCCGCGATGATCAACCTATTCATCTATGGGACCAAGCGCACTCAATTCCGGCCCCAGGTTCGTGAATCTACAAATTATTGACCGTCCAAACCAACTTGCTTGTATAAAAGGAGTCTGTAATGCAAGACGGAAGTGATGTCGAATTGTCGGACGATGATCATATTCCTACCACTGAAGAGGACTTCGTTCATCTGTCCAATATGGAAGACCGGAGTGCAGACACCGAAGCGTCAACCCCCTTGGATCCTCCTTTGACTAATGCTTCTAAGGACGAACTGGATGCCCTTGCCTGGATGTTGAATGCTCCCCTTCTCCGCAAGAAGCCAGACACCCACTCAGCACCTGCTTCTAAAGACGAAGCCCTTATGGACACTAATGCAACCCGGAAGTCTGACCGCTCGACGCCTCGACCTGTGTCCACATTGCAACCCGTGATCACTCCCTCTGACTCTGGCGAACAACACGCTTCCCATCCCCATGTCCCTTCTACCCCAAATCCGGAGTTAAGCTATTCGCCTTCCCAGCTTTCATCCTCTTCCTCCCTTGTCAATGATGAAGCTCCAGTGCCTTCACCTATCCCCCCTGACGATTGCGAACATGATCTGTTCTTCGAAGTGGACGACTCAGAGAACTCAGCTTTGATGTCTACAGTCTCCACGACACATTCTGCGGATGTAGCCCTTCCATGTACATGTGATGACGACTCGTTACGAAGTCCATATGAAGAAGAGCATGCTTCTCAGCCTCACCCTAATCCGGAGTTAAGCTACTCGCCTTCCCAGCATCCCTTGTCCGCGCCAGCACCCCCAGACGGCGAACAGGATCTACTCTTTGACATGGAGGATATCCTTTCAGACACCTCACAGGACGTAGACGACGATCTCGACCTTGATCTCGACCTTGCTGCGTTCGATATGGATATGGATACTGATAACACCAACCTGCCCCAAGACGAAGTAAACACGGTGACGCTGTCGAACGATTCAGACTCGGATGGACTGGAGGATTTCGAAGATTCTCACCTGGACGAAGCACCCCTCTCGGTGTCTATCTCTCCGCATTCTCACATCCCCTCTACCCTACACCAGCTGATCTTCCATGGTCGAAATGCGGGTACGTACTGTATGGATGAAGAGGGGGATTACGAGGATATGCTGCAGGATTTCTGAATACGTTGAGTAAATGTATAATTGTTTCCGTCCTGAAGAAACCTTTTTAGCACGTGCCCGTAAGACCCCGGCCACTTCGACGATAAAGATTCAGAAGTGCTTCAAGAAGTATGACGTCGTCAGGTATTTCATGCACGCGCGACCTTGGGTCCGTACGTCTGGCTGTGCACTCACCTTGTGCCGCTACGGCCGCCAACTTCGAGAGATGCCGCTCACGTAGAATGGCTCTTATTATAGGGACTACCTCCTTGCATGGCGAAATCATTTGCCCCCATCTCGTGGGCCGGCTGCAGCTTCAGTTCTTCGAACTCTGTGCTCCAGTGGTACTTAAAGGTGCTAGTGCATCCGACTGGGGCATGGTCAGTTGTTGTAGCTCTTGCGATACTCTACACTTCAGAGTACCCACACCTCCACCGATCTTCGATTTGTCACCTATCGCGAGGGAAGACACCCACAATCGGGGCATCACGAAGTGTCCCATAATCAACCATTCTTTACTCTCACAGCCAAAGCCACATTCGTTTTTCGTCAGCTACACTTCACAGTTCGTGCGTGCCCAATTCAATCTCGAAATGAATTTCATTCGAGTTAAAGCCAGTACCACCCCTGCGTGAGTTTCCCCACTGTCGGGTCAGCTTTTGATGATGCCCGTAGCCAGCTGCAAACTCTGCTTCGGCAGGTTCTACGATCAATTCAAAAGCGCCTTTGGTGCTGTATTTCTCCCAGCTAAAAGTGGGGGCGCGAAAGAACTAGGCTAGTAACCTGGTCCGGCAGTGCTCAGATGCATTAAACGAGCTGACAGCGTCGTCACCTTGACACCGTTCATTCATTTTGATCGCAGTCGATTCATATTGAGCACGGATCTCTTGACCAGTATGTATCTTTCCACCTCGCGTCAATAGGATTGAGTGCTTGAGCGGTTACCAATTTCTACGTCAGTTTCTTGCTTGGGTTTTGCATTACCTCTATTTACAGGGCTGAATATCCCCGTAGCCTGATTGAACAGAAGAGAACTCTAGGATGTCAACGAACGACAACGGGTCTAGAAGATAAAGCATGGGAGATCCGTTTCGATTCTCCGCGCCTGGAGTTGGCCTGGATGTGGAATGGTGTGGTAGACGTCGCGGAGTACTTGCGGTAGGTCGAGTTTGCCCTGGTCCATGGACGCCTCAGCCTCAGCCTAGAGTCAATTACTCACTACTAGATTTACTCGAACTCGCCGAATTTCACAGCTTTGCGCGTTGCCGGATGCATTTGTTCCTCAAGATAGAAAATTCCGCTAGACGCAAGCAAAGCGGCTTTGGCCTCGCGTGGTTTCTGGGGTCTTCATTTTGAGTTGCGAGGCGACGCCCGAAACTCCGCTCGCAGAATCCCATCACGGCTGGCTGAATACTAGTAAAGCAAAGCACCTTCATCTCAGCAACAACTGTCGACCTGCAAATCAGTGGTTCAGCGATTGCCCAAGTCCCGCCTTTCCCCTCTGCTCCTCCTTCCAACTGCGATTGAGCATATCTGCACGCAATGCTACCAGCCAAGCGCAACAAAGTCGACATCAGTGTGGGTTTCACACCTTTGCTGATATCCCGTGCAATTGATGCTGATGTGACCTTTGTGCTGTAGAAACTGACGGAGGAGGAGCAGAAGCTCTTCCGTCTCTATGGAAAGCTGCCCTCGCACAAGAATGTCCTCATGAAGATGCAGAAGGTGCGCCCGACCGTATCGCCCCCACCATCATGTAGCTGACCAGATATCGCAGGATCGCAAGTACTTTGATTCTGGCGATTATGCTCTTTCGAAGGCGGGGGTGGCCCCTCAGACGAACGTCGGCACTGCCATCCCGAATCCGCAGAAGTACGTGCTCTATCTTCGTGATACCGATTTCTAACTGTTGCCCAGCATTCCACATGCATCCTCGTCTCCGAGCAACAGCCACCAGACACTCTCCGTCTCGCCTACGAACCCAACGAGCCCAGTCAACAGGGAAAGCGGTCTTTCTCATCACGAGGAAACTGCAGACATCCCGGCCGGTGACTTAGATCCGCTTGCGCCTGCACCTGCACATGCACCAGTGGAGAAGGCTCCCATTACCGCGGAGTAATGCCCGTCCATTCTACTGCTGCCTATTTCCCCCGGAATAACATCTGCGCTTACATCATTATTTTATCCTCGTTTTGATTGTGTAAAGCAAGCGGTGTACATTATTACGATTCTCGGGTAGTCCTATCGTCGTGTGGAGTCACTGGTGCTTCCGCGAGCTACTGTTTGTCTTGTGACCATCGCCGCGCGCTACATAAAAGGAGAACTGGATGTCAAATCGACACCAACTACAGCGGCGTGAAACGGCGAAATGCAATTCTTGTGGTTTCAGAGAACGAAATCGATGTATACAAAAAAGCTTCGTATTTATCTCAGTGTCCATTAATGCTCTGTCTCTTCCCAGGTTCGCCCGACAGTCTTCACAAGATCCTTCTCAGTCAGCTTCTTGGTGCTCGAGAAGTATCCTGCAGCAATCTTGGCATCAATTTCGACACGAGAGTCAGGGGGGATGAGATATTCTGCGTAGGAGGTAGCAGTTAGCGGCGTTCCACGGGAATCAAAAGGAATTTACCAGGTATGTCGTAGCGGTGTAGGATTGGGATCCCACTCTTTACGATAGCATCGTATTTCCTGCAATCGAATCGAGGGAGTTAGCTATGAGCATTGAGTAATAAGGGGAAGGATCACGGACATATCACTCATAGAGACCATCTTGTCTATCTTGCGAATTCCGAGCCAGTGCAAGACATCAGGCATGAGGGCTTGGAAGCGCATGTCTTTCACGCCCGCAATGAGCTCCGTCGATTTGAAATACTTGTCAGCAGAGTCACCGCCACGCTTGCGAAGATTGTACACCAGGTACCTTCACACAACAAAGGATTAGCATTTAGGAACGACTGCGGACGATGGGAACAGGAACAGATCTTTGGAGGTGGGAGTGGGAGTGGGAGCAGGGGGAGTTGAGCGGAGAGAGAGAACTGACTTGGTGACCTCGCCGAGCGCTCGGCCTTCTTTCCTGAAATACACGACGACACCAACGCCACCTGTACATGGAGATGGATTAAGGGATCAAATGGACACAGGAGAGCTGTGTGGATGATGGTGGAGGAGAACTAACCATTCTGAGCGCCGCGGATGCATTCTTCGATGGCATAAGTCAGGTAGGGTTTGCATGTGCAGATGTCGGAGCCAAAGACGTCGGAGCCGTTGCCTATGAAAGTAAGACACGAACCGGATCATCAGCGTTAGGCGCAAAAATGTATCTCAATTGAAAGGGGGCGGTATACGACGTACATTCGTCGTGGACTCGTAGAGTGAGTTCCTTGCTTTCGTCGTGGAGGAATGCTGGATTGCCGACTATTCGAAGTTCAAAGATAAATAGGGGTGCCAGGGAGTCAACGAACGATTGAACATACAAATGTAGACAGTGAGGCCGCCAATGGGTGGGAGGAAAATCTTGATGTCTGGCCGAGTGATGAGTTCCGGGTACATGCCTCCCGTGTCTTCGAACAGCGCGCGGCGGAGGAGACTCTCGGAGCTACATCAACAAAGGTCAAAATCGGATACAGATAACAGGAGTGAACTCAAGCTTCTTACATGCCGAATCGCTCGGCGACGCCAGGGAGGTACCACACAGGTTCTACCGCCGCCTTGCTCACATTTACTTCGACACCACTGTCGGAGGTACTCAGAGTACCGTCAGCGTTCATCAGCGGCCTGCTTTTCAGGACAATCTTGCCATCAACAGTCAAGTCGCCCTTACGCGCCGCCTCATCCAGCTCGCTCATCTTCAAATGCGCTTTGGTCACCGCAATACTCGGGCGGATATCCAAACCCTTCTCATCGATTTCCTTACGGAAGACTTCTTGCACGAGATGCCCGAAGGGATCGAATGAGACGATCTTAGTGGGATCGGACCAAGAGGGCTGATACGGGATGTCGACAGGGGGTTCGGTCATGCTGAAATCTGGGCGATGCGTAGGGGAAAGGGTCCCCATTGCTATCGCAAGAGCGCGGTAGATGGAGTACGACCCAGAATGAGCCCCTATGGCATTGCGGTGCTTGAGTGATGTCGGGAGACGCGAGCAAATTATTGGACCCCGTTCCACTGCTTCCTGCGCGCCCCATTTGAGGGGATAAGGTGTGTTCCCGTGTTGGTCCGGGTATGCTGAAGCGACAATCAGACAAAACCCAACATTGCTGGATAGGCAAGATGTAGAGATAGTACGAACTTGTTAGATGAACGCGGCCTGGATAAAGAGCTTTCTCTCTTTCTTTATCGCTAATTGTGGGCGGGATAATTGATGCGGCACCAACTTTCTCGTCCTGCCCTGGCGGCCCATGCGATATGGTTCCAATCGTCTCGTTCAGAGGAATCTTGGATTCAGGGGCTGAGCCAGGCGTCGATTCCACCGAAGTAGATCTGTGGTGGATCGGCGCAGCTGCGCGTTCTTTCTGACCACCCTCCGAAGGTCGTTCAAGTGCATCTAGCTGTAAATTTCATGCATCGTGTTTTCACTTTTAAGTTCCGGAATACCTTTGATGAATATGGATGGTACGCACCTTGGCTTGCATGGTCTGCTGCGCTATCTGGATAGTCTGCAGCTGGGACAAGATCTGCGTCAATGCGGCTTCTGAGGCAGCCATTGGGAAAGATTGTTGTGGTTAGGAAAGAATTGCAATTCGCCCACCGCGCGGCGTGGTTGAGGCGAGGCGCGCTTTATTGCCATTCCGCGTAGGCGCTCATCGTCCCTGAATGGACCACGAACCTGTTTGAACAGCACCACCGGATGTACCGACTGTGGTCAGGTTTGAAAACCGGCCACCCCGTTAGAATCGCTGCAAATGTGGAAATTCGGAGAATCTTACCGTCGTTGTCGTCGGAATGAAAAGAGCTGACAGGCTAACCATTCACCTTCGATATCATCGTACCTGCATGCCCTGCATGCACACAGTGATGATTCAGTGGGTCCCCCGGTATTCAAACGAGGAATTTATGGACACTGATGAACAAATAGCATGTTTGTTCGGCCGTTAAGTTCGTTGGCCTCTTGCGAAGGATGACTAGTTCAAGGCACCCACTCCATCATTGAAGCGGTCAGTGACGTGAGCATTGACTACCATGTTAGTGATTTTAGACAGGTTTGCGCTCAACGCTGTAAGTCAGCCATGCCGCGAGTGTGAGTAGCTTGTCAGTTCAAATGAGACTAGTTGCTTAGTGCCGTGTGCAGCCCCAAGAATAGAATAAATACAAGACGATGGGACAGCACCAACTCAGACGAAAGTAGCCCTACTTTTGTAAGTATTCATGCTATCTGATCTTTGAGGCGGTGGCTGATGGCGGTTTATAGAGTCCAATTCCTAGCATTTCACTGGGATAGCCGAGGTGAGTACTACTATTTACATCGTGTTGATGATATACGTTTGTTAAATGTGTCCTGCTTTGAAGGATGAAGCTTAGCCTCAGCCTTACATTCATTGCTGTGGGGTTGGCGGCGGCCAGAAGCGACTGGTCAAAGCCATGCTTCCATGGGGAGTGTAATTACGAACTAGAGCATCCTTCCGGCGGGTTTGCTACTTTGCATTTCGTGAGCCCTCTTTTATCGGGGTTAGATTGGATGCTGAAATGTACTGCCTGTGTTAGTCCGGCGCTCCTCATATGATGGCCGACATCACGCCCGCCGCTGGCTGGGTGGTTCTTGATTGCGATGCCAACGCCCTTGAACAAGACATCCGACTCGTCTGCGCCAACGATGAGACAGAGTCGGAGAACTGTGCTCATCTCTTCGCTCAGGGTGGCCCTGTGAACAAGGTCCTCCGGCTTCCGGAAAGTGTACGTCGCTTCGTTGCTCGTTGATTTTATTGCTATCTCACGCTTTTTGGTAGTGCGGCAGAGGTCCGTTTGTGCGCATAGCGGATGCGAAACTTGATTCGGATCAATCTATCCCTATTCATGCTGCCCACAAGATACGTCGCCGCGACGGCGTTACACCTGATGTCCACGTTCTCTCTGTGGACACAGCTTGGGATAAGCTTGATAGCGCGGGGTATGTCCTTCGCATATGTGCTTCGATGTTAAATCCGTTCCTCACGCTTAATCCTTCCAGAGCCGGAGATCTTGAGTTCTCCATTGTAGGCTCTACCATCCGCGGAGCGTATATCGACTCGAATGACAACCTTGAGGAACGTGGCGCCTTTTCCGACTGGGTTGGCAAGATCATCTCGAAGTTGAAGGCAGCCGCAGGAAACGTGGTTGACGGTGTGGTCAATGCCACGACCATCGAATCCGGAAATAAGACCGAGATCAAGACCAATTATGATAACGAGTCTACGATCGTCGACCTTTCCGCTGAGTGTGCAGGGAAGAAACTCAGTTTAACCGTCAAGACGTATCTCAAGCTCGACCTTACCGGACACGTTGGGTTCGCCGCCAAGGGCTCGGTGAAAGACGGTGTCAAGGAATTCGGTTCACTAGTTGGTAAGTGCAATGCCATTACGCGCCTGCATCCTATTTTGACCGTGTTCGTAAGGTTGGCACGGTGACATCAACGGCGGTGTAAAGGTTTCGGCACAAGTCGCTGTAAGTTTCGTGCTAAGTTCGCTATGCGTGCACGTTTTAATATGCACCACTATATCTAGGGGCCAATGGACCACGAACAGACCCTTATCCGTTATGGTGTCCCTCCTTTTGACTGGCCTGGGTACGTGCTGGTCCCTCTTCATCTGATCGGGAGGTTGACTATAGCACAGTGTCATCTCTATTGGTCCTCGATTTGAAGTCCGTGCACATATCAATGGAGCCCTCGACATCACTGTAAGCATTTATGCGCTGTCCAAGAGATTACCCTTGAGATCCCAAACTTGATTTTTATAGGGCACGGCTGATATTGGCATCAACTACAATATCAAAAAACGTACGCTTGTCCTCATTTTCGTGAAGTTGTGTGAGCTTTAACCGTACTCTAGTTGAGTATGTTTGGCCTGGCATGAAGGGCGAAAACGATGGCCAAGAGGGCGATATCCAACCAGGGACTCCGAGTACGTGCCGGAAGTTTCATACGTTGTGGTGTTTCTGATTTTCTTTTCAGAGGTCAATCTAAGCGCTAGCGGGTTGGTGGACGCCAAATTGAACGTCACCGTGGGCATCATCCCTGCCGTAGTCATCGGACTCGAGGGGTTCGCCGGTAAAGTCAAGGCTGCTGTCGCTGTCGAAACCGAAGGGTACATACGTATCTACGGCACTGGCAAAGCTGAAGCAGGCATAACGAAGTCAGTCGATCATCCGAAATCCCCCCGCCCTGGTTCATCCTCCGGCAAAGCGTCGCGTCCTTCGTCGCCCAAGTCACCCTCTTCACCTCGAAAACACAGCAGAGATCTCGCCACCGTTACGCCCAAGGCAGGCGCCCAAGGCTCATTCGCCATCTATGGTGGCGTTGAACTTCGAGGAGTGGCAATGGGTAAACTACCTATTCTGATCCCCGGTGCCGGTGCCAAAACTTCCAGAAAGTGGTGGGGTAAGGAGTGGACATATCTCGACACAGTAAGTTGATCAGTTGAACTCTGCCGCCTCTTCTCACTGTGAATTAGGGCGTAGGGTCGGTTGGAAGTCTGAAAAAGGGGAAGAGGGAAATCGATGCCTCGGCTGCTAAATCCCTTTCTCGCCAGGGGTCAACAGCCAGCATCAAGTCAACCTCTAGCACGAAGTCGACAACCAGCACAAAGTCAAGTGGTTCAGGCAAAAAACCCGCTGAAGACGTCAGCGTATCGAATGCCACCGATAAGGCGAAAACACTTGGAAGAAAGGCAACTGGAAATGTCCGCCAGCCGTCGAGAAGATGTACGAGATGGTCTTCGTCGGCAAGGCTGATAAAGCACCTAGGTAAGTGCACACGGTATCTGCTTCACTTAGTAGACTGACACTCTCGTAGATGGGAGTTCGGCCATATCTACAAGGAGAACGTCGGTGTTGCTTAAATTGGCATGTTCCGACAGGTGGTTGTAGCGTAGGCTTGATCTACACCTACGATGGACCCACCTAGTGTTGTATTTTAGTACTTTGCTTATACGGATGGATACCCTTGATCAACCGACCAACCCTCCAGTCTTTGCCCATCCCCACTGATGCTACTAAAGCCCTACCGCCGGCTTCATACAGCTCCGTCCTCGATCAAGTACAGTACAGTTCCATCAAACACAAGCTACATGCAGCACACGGCAACCGCCGGTGACAGAAGGATCTATGGATATCCTCAAGTGCATCGATATGGTCCACCTGACAAAGCGGCCGTCCGCGCCTGTCCCGCCCATCAGGGTACCCTCACAGGTGTTGTGGAACGGTGGCTGTAGACTGTAGTAGCTGTGATTCGAGAGAAGCATTAGCCCAAGCAAGGTTCTTGACACTCTTTCCTATTGTGTTGAATGAGAGCTTATCTGATGGCTTGCTTCTTTAACTTTCGTTCCTTCTCTTTCAACGTGGACGTAACCTTTGAGGGAATTCAGTCCTCCTTCTTAGGAATTGGCTTTCATTGAAATTCCGTCACTGGGGCTTCCATTCATTACCATTGGTTCATATGCCTTGGCCCACGGGGTAATGTTTGTTGAACGATTTTCGGACACAGATTTCGCCGATCCTCGCTGCGTCAAGAACCAGGTACAGGGGCAGCGGTATAGCCAGGCATTCGGAGAGTTGACGCCACTATTGGATGATGGACTCGGATCTCCTAAACATGATCAGGAAACAATCGAAATTCTAGACCTTATATATTCGTGGTCTTCATGAAAAGGGGACAAAAGACACTACTATCTAATCTCCCCTCATGTCGACTTCATTGGGTGTTGCTCTTGTTACTGGAGCCGGGCGAGGACTTGGCCGCGCTATTGCCCTTCGTCTTGCGAAAGACGGGTACGACGTTGCTTTGAACGATCTCGCCCCCAACAAAGCGCTACTCGAACAGCTTGGAACCGAGATAGCGAGCAGCGGGAGGAAGTTCGCCATCGTTCCCGCTGATGTTACTTCTGAAGCGGACGTAAAAGGTATGGTCGAACAAACGGTGAAGGATCTAGGAGGAGTTGACGTGGTGAGCTTTCATTCATATTCATACATGTGGTGTGGTGTATCTTACTCGACGGGGCAGATGATTGCAAACGCGGGGATTGTCATGATGAAGCCCCTATTGGATGGTATGTCTACCCCGTCCTTTTTAAATGGCGGAACGTTTGAACAACGTCTTGCAGTTGAAGTATCCGAGTGGGATAAAGTACAAGCAGTCAATGGTCGGGGAACGTTCCTGTGCTACAAGTATGCAGCAAAGCAAATGGTGACCCAAGGTCGTGGAGGACGGATAATAGGAGCCTCGTCACTTGCTGGAAAACAAGGTACGCTCAAATACCATTTTAAGGAAGTAGCTGAAGCGTTATTGAATCACCGTAGGGTGGTCTCACCTTTCAACGTACTCGTCCAGCAAATTCCTTGTACGTGGACTCACTCAAGCGGCTGGTAAGGACAATTCTAGTAGATGGGCCATCTCTGAGGGAGCTTACATTTCTTCATTAGCCGCTGAACTGGCACCACACAAAATAACTGTCAATGCATATGCACCTGGAATTGTTGACACGGCGATGAGTACGTGCTCCTCCTCGAAATCATGTATACACCCTTTGATACGTCTTGAAACTAGAAAAAGTCCTCGGAGAGTCCTCCGGGGACGAAGATGCATTTTTCAAGGGTGTAAGTGACTATCAGAGACCTTTCAGTGTACTCATAACCCTTACCAGTACTCTGATCGCGTTCCTGTTGGAAGATTCGGAGTTTCAGACGAAATCGCCGGCTTAGTGTCCTACTTGGTATCAAAAGAAGCTTCGTATATTACAGGTATGTGTGCTACCTCGGTTTTAGTTGAGGTCTATCTAATCGAGATGTCTTTACAAGGCCAGAGTGTAGGTCACAATCATTAAAGTTCCTTGATACGAGGCTAAAGTTCATTCGCTTAGATCTCTATAAATGGTGGGATATTCTTCGATTGAATTGCCCTCCCATTATAAGTCTTTACAATGTATACAATATATGTAAACGGTGCTCTCTATCACGATCTACAGCGTATATATTTGACTGTCTCCTAGTTCTTTGAGAGGCCCCTGATCGACGCGACGCGGTCGCGTGATCCGCTGTTCACACGGTTGGCTGCCACAGTCAAGCATCCATCTAGTCCGTGTCCAGTACCAACACTTCAACAATCCTGCCATGGCTCCTGTTCCCTTTACGCCGAAGAGGCCAAGCTCTTCAATGCCAGCACCGACGCCATTGACGGCGAGGAGATTCAAAGCTATGATCTCGTCCGAGTCGAAGATACGTTCCACCAAGACACCTCTCTCCATCGTACCCGGTACACCCATGAAACTCTCGCCCTCGAATTCCAGTTCTTCAATACAGAGTCGACCTCGTACACCAAACACGCCGCGTAGCAAGTCGAGGGGACCCCCGGACGATGATGCGTTGATAAGTGAGATGGATGTAACCAGAGTCGATCCGGAGGAAGTCTTGGTGGACTATCAGACTATTGAAAATGATCCAGCAGATATGTCTGCTGAAATAGATGAAGCGTGGATTCGGCAATCTTTGATCGGCGAGAGCTCTCATGGTAAAGAAGATAAGGTCATGGTCTCCGTCAGGTATGGCTTGAATCTCTGATAGCTCAACTCCAAGACAACTCAATTGAGACCAGGGTGCGAAATGCAGAGGGCTCGTCGGCTTGGACGGCTGACCCATCCAGTAACACCCTCAAACTTGATCCTTCATGTTCAAAACATGCTGCAAACCCCTCAACATCCGGTTCATTCACTTTCGACGCGATCCACACGGGAACACCTAACAAACCAATATATCACATATCTGCACGATCTCACGTCTATGCTGCCATGGATGGCTACAACGCTGTCGTATTCGCCTACGGGCAGACCGCCTCAGGCAAGACTTTCACCCTATCGGGGACAAATGAGGAGCCAGGGATTATTCCGCGCGCAATGAGGGACGTATTTGGATACATCAAGAAAACCTCCGAGAGGGAATACCTTCTGAGGTGCTCGTACCTAGAGATATATAACGAGACCATCGTGGACCTATTGGCACCCCCTTCGACTACGGGCTCGAATGTTGTTCAAATTCAGGGTACCGGGCCCACTCTACATCTATCACCGCTCCGCGAGGAAGTGGTCACGTCGCTCAAAGCCGTTAAAGAAGTACTGAAAAGAGGAGAGGGAAATCGCAGGACGGCATGCACAGACTGGAACGAAAGGAGTAGTCGAAGTCATAGCGTGTTTCGTGTTGTCATCGAGAGCCGCGAGCGAGATCAAGATGCTGGCCGTCAAACACCTGGAGCTGGTGGTCGTCAGACACCCGGCTTAGGCGGCCGGCAAACACCCGGTCTGAATGGGCGACAAACGTCTGGCCCAAAACTTCAGGCAAGGGGAGGGCGAAGTGTGCAGTCTTCTGTTTTGGTAAGCACTCAATATCCATACTCTGATCATAGCCTAATATATTCTCCAGAGTTTGATTGATCTCGCAGGCTCGGAGAAGGCGACGAGTGACAAGGAAAGGACGAGAGAAGGAAAGTACATCAATACTAGGTAGGCAGACTAGACTATCCATCCCTGCGAATTTGCTCATCCCGAGGGTTTGAAGTTTGCTCACACTAGGGACTGTCATTGGAACATTATCGGAAAACGCTGTCAAGGGAAAGGCGTAAGTCATTGATCCACTGCAACTACTTGATTTCTCATCTCTACATCCTCCGGCAGTGACCACGTCCCATTCCGGAACTCGAAGTTAACACGTCTTTTGCAACCGTCACTATCTGGAAACGCTCGTATCAGTGTGATCTGCACTATCAATCCCGATGTTAACGCTGTCGCCGAAAGTACTAGCACTCTGCTTTTCGCTAAGCGTGTGAAAGGCGTCCAGGTGGGTAATTTGAATACGTTGACCAATGCACATTACTCAGTCTGTTCAAAACAGCTGCATGCACAGAAGAAAGAGATCGTCGATACGGATGCGCTCATTGAGCGATATCAGAAGGAGATCGAGGAACTCAAGCGGCGATTGGCAGAACGAGAAGCCGAAGCCCCAGTCAGAAATCGACGACTTTCCGCACGAGAGGTATGTATTCTGTTCTTATAGTAGGATACGTCTCATAGGTCATTTTCTGAGTAGCAAATCGATGAATCCAAAGCCATGAGAGACCTCAACTCGAGGATCCAGCAATTGACGAAACTCATTTTGACGAGTCAGAATGTCGAAGAGAACGCTGGCGATGCCTCGAGGCCGGCAAGCCCGGTCAAGATTGACTTCGACATGTCTCCATATCAGGTATTATTGGACTCTAACGATCGGTATCCGCATACTAATCACCTATAATCCCGCGATAGCTGCAACAAGAACTTCTCAATGCACGGCTCCAACTAGAATCACAGGCTTCACAGATACTTTCTCTTGAAGCTGCTCTCCTCGACCGTTCGCCGCTGTCACCATCAGCAACAGAAAGCGAGAAGGATAAACTGATCACGGAGCAGGCTAAGACTATCCGAGAACTTGAAATAGTTGTGAAGGGCTACGAAGATAACCTTGGCGAACCGCTGAGGCAAGTCAAGGAGGACGTGGAGAAGGAGTGGTCGGACAAGGTGAGGCAGGAGAAGAAAAAGAAGGAAGAGAGCGAGCGGTGGGCTGAGGAGTTGGTTAAGCAATTGGAGAAAGAGAAAAAGGTGGGCGGACGCCTCCATGCTTCTAATGTCTCCAAACTAATTGAAAGTAGACGCGTACAAAATTGGAGGAAGAACGTAGGGCACTTGCTGCATTCGTCAGCAAGTTTGATTCGTTGGGGCTGGGCGGGTTCGCGACAAGCATTCCTACTCCCGCGAGACCAACGTCAGCACTGTCTGAGCGAAAAGTAAATCGTTTACCAATATTTCCACCTTCGCGAGCGTTGCCCGTAATGCAGGAAGAGGATGAGATGGCTCTCGTAGAGGCTCAGCTTGCGGATACCGAGCTAGTCGACGCGTCTCCCCTACGCGGAGACTATCGAGGCCAACCTAGTCTTCTTGAGCAAGCTATGCCCGGCGAAGAGGATTGGAGTATGCTGAACGAAGTAAGTTTCGAAGCAGAGGTTGATGTCGGCGTTAGCACTGAAGTTGGTCCGGCTGTGATGCCCTCCAAAGGTGCGAAGGGGGAGCAGGGTAAATCCCGGTTGCAGAATGCGGGCAAGGAGAACTTGCCGTGCTAATATTTATCGCACTGGCTGCGAATATGGATTTGCTGTATCTCATTGGTCATTTCTTATGTTCTACACTGCTTTGTTTAGTCTCAACATGTTGTCGGCTTTATATATATATACCATGTATAACGAAGTATCACACAAGGAATTACAGTCCTAAGGCGGGCAGCAGGCGCTCTCCATGGCCCACAGGTATGTCCTCGACCATGTAGGCTCCGTCTTGTTCAGATGTGGTTAGGCCCCGAGCACTGTGCATGGCTTGGGACTCGCTCAATTGAGTATTGCTAATCGCGGTTGTATAAAGTAGGTTCTCAATGAACAACTGACCAGGGTCCCCCACTCTTTACTTTGACTCAAATACAGAGTGGTGGTCCACACGACTCCACGGGCATCCAGTAGGGGTCTCATCCCCCAGGCATGGAAGTCTGGGAGGGATCCCAAGATACCTGCTGGTTTCTCCGTTGCCCGAATGCTTTAGATCGCAGGAATAGGCAGACGCCATCCTCAAGTTGCAGGCATAAAGGTCTTTAGATTTTGCAGTTGAGTGGACGGTATCGTTCAAGTTCAAGATTATTCATCTATCAAACCACGCACGTAACAACCACCCGGCGGATCCTGCTACTAGCGCGCCAGCAGCCAGAACCGCCTGCATGTCGGGGCTACTCAATAGTGCATTAAGAGCTGAGATAGAGGTAGGTCCCGAGGATTTTGTCAATGGTGGTTTCGCCTCAACTTCAAGAGGCCCTCGTCCAGGGATCTGCTCTGGTAGCTCGACGGCGGGTGCAGTAGAAACTCTTGCAGTAGTTGACATTAGCAGGAGATCTGCCTGCGCCTGCAAGAGAGCTTCTACCCTGCCCACGCGCTCGTCGACCATAGAGGCCGTCTCCTGACTGAGTTCCTCCACCTTCTTCTCAAACGTCTGCGCCAACCTCTTCCGCTTCCAAGGTTCGACCACCAAAATCGCCGTAATGAACACAAACAAATTGAGGCCAAGAGCAGCCAACGAACCATACGTCGACGCGCTGCGAATTTTGTCGGACCATACCTGCTCTTCGTGGTACCTCGCAAGAATCGTGCGCATGAGCTCGCTAAACTCACGTTCGACGGAGGCTTCGGTTTCATCGACGGTGACTTGCGCGCGCTGTTCTTCTTGTTCGTAGAGATGATCTTGACGAACGAGCGTGGTGAATCGACCCACGTCGCCATCGCTCCAGGTGGACTTGCGCTGAAGGAGGTCATTAACCTCCTTCTGTGACCTGGAGCGCTGTGAGACGGCCTGTTCGTATGCGACCTTCGCCTCCTTGGCAGCACGTCGTGTTTCCTCTATTCTGCTTTCTAGGGCACGTCGTATCAGAGACCATACGGCAAAAAGATAGGGTTATATACCCTGTTCCACAACTCTTCGTTTCAACGCTTCAATTTCCTCGTAGCCCGTCACCTTGTTTAATTGTGAACCCAGCTGAGAGAAAGTAGTTCTTGCTGACAATGTGAACTGGTCTGCGTAGCGGCGAAACGCGGCCGCTGCGGGGCCTGACCATTCCCGAAAGGCCACTGGGAGGACCTTGGGGGATTCTACGTCTTCCGAAGGCTGCTTCGACGTCCCTACGGTAGGTTCACGAACCTCGGAGGCTCCAGCAGGAGGATTACTGGGTGAAACTGCTGCATTTGGCTGTGAAGGAGGTGGAATGGGGGATAGAGCTGAGAACCGCCGTGCATAGAAAACTAGCTGTCTGGGCGACCTGTGCATGCCCAAAGGCGTCGAGAGTGCGGTAAATGGCCGCCGTGGTTGTAGTAGAAATATTCAATTTCGGGATGAGATATTCCCACGACGTCTTTCCGCCATGCCTCCAAGAGCGAATGCAATGAACCTCAAACAGAGGCTAGCGGCGCTCTCGTTGGCGCCATCGTCGCCGACGGGTCCTCGTGGCGACTCCTACCCGCACCAGCCGTCGACACCACAATCTCCCGTCGCAAAGATGAAGTCGTTGTTCAACGCACCACGGGTCGGTAGGCGCAATCATGCTGAATCTGCCCCATCTCCAGGAACGCATACAATGGGTCAAGAAGGTCTCGACGAGGTTATTGGACGAATGATATTCCAAGCAGGAGTCGATTTTGAGTCAGTATTCTGTTTCCTAGCTCGCCTAGCCCTCTGACAACTCGTTGGCCCCACAGAACACGGCCAATGTATGTCGACGATACGCTAGGACCGCGTTTGTTGCTTGAAATTTGAATAGGGTGGTCCTCAATGCATCAGCTTTACCAGATCCCAAAGAGGTCTCATATGATCTCCTGCTGTCGTATGGCCATCAACATTCATGTTGCCCACGGCCCGCTAATTTATTGCTGGCAGGCGGATACTTGGCTATCTCGACCTATATGGTAAGGGTTGTTGATATATGCTGTATATATGCGCTCCAATAACTGCTTACAGTTGAGTCGGATTACACGGTCGTCTTCTTTGCCGCAGGTGGGAGGCACACACCTGGATGGAATTGGATATGGAAGGCCTACCGCAGTCTGAGTCGGAAGTACCGAAAGAATCTGAAACGACTAGTATGTCTCTCTTTTGAAATGGCGTCTGAGCGAAGCTGACCGATGTTCAAGTACATAGTCCATTCATCTTTCTTTTCAAAGAGCATGTACCCTTTATCTGCAGCGTTTCCGCAGAACTTATGCTTTGTGCAGTGCTCTTCTCCCTCGCAGGTGCTATTATCAGGTTAGACCCGTCACTTATCACTATCATGGATCCTCATATGTTATTTAGCCCCAAATTCTTCCGTAAATTGGAGTACACAAATACATTGACCGAACTCGCACAACACGTGCCTCTCACACAAATAGACATCCCACCAGCCGTCTACCGGTATGCCTAGCATGCCTCAACCAACGCGCAGCCACTAAACAACTAAATACAGGGAAAACTTGAAACACGAAAGCCAGATCGCTTTGCCTACCCCTGCACGTTCAAATGTCTTTGGTGTGCCGTTGGAGGAGTTGATGGGGTACGAAGGCGAAAAGGGTGGTGTGCCTCGAGTCGTCAAGGATTGTATACAATTTCTTCGTGAAACTGGTTGGTGATACCCTTGTTTAGTTATTTTAATTGGCTGAGCTCTTAGTTGCGCAGGCATGGAAGACCAGGGGCTTTTCCGCCGCTCGCCGAGTTCATCTATGCTGCGAGCCGCTAAGGATGCGTATGATCGGGGTTTGTCTAACTCTCAATGTAATTCACGATGTGATGACATTGATTGATCACTTCTTAGGTCACGTCGTTTCCCTGCAAACGTTTGGAGACCCTCACCTTGCTGCCGTTCTACTCAAGAAGTACTTGCGAGATCTACCAGAACCTATTTTCGCCGAGAACCTTTATCCCACTATCAAGCGTTGTCCATTCCCCACTGCGGAGGACGATATGTCTTGCATCGTGTACATCCGCGAAACCCTTCTTCCACAGCTAATGCCCTGCGCCTACATCCTTCTCAGTAGCATTCTACGTGAGTTGCAATGCTCGAGTTCCAGGGCACTTGTTGAACTTCATAGCATAGATCTGATGCATGACGTTTCCCTTCGTTCTCAATCCAATTTCATGGATGCCCACAATCTCGCTATCGTGTTGGGCCCTAACCTTCTTGCGGGAAGCAATCCAATTCAAGATGTGATGCTGTGCTCAGTGCCCGGCGGACCTTCGTTAGGTGGCTCCCCAAGTACGCCGTCCACCCCACCAATCGAAGCCAAGAACACACTGGGAGCGATTCTCAAGATCTGCATCCAACGCTACTATGAAGTCTTCGATGAAGTCCCGGATCGCAGCGAGGCCGTCCCACTCACTCGAAGTACACTGAAGGATTCATCACTTGTTCCCTCTGAATCATCTTCTACGTCCGGTAGCCCACAGCCAACAAATCGACCACAGAGCCATAACACTGACGATGACAGCCTCGACGATGGTATGCTTGTAATGCCCATTGGACCCTCCCATGATTTTAAATCTCAGCAGGCTGCTGACGGGGGTGCCGGTGTCCCTCCAAGCGCTTGGGGTTCGCCTACTGGCGGTGCCCCAGCCCCTTACAAAGTCCGTCAGCGCCCAAACAAACCCACAGCAGCCGTACGGTCGATGCATACCCCAGGCGGCGATAGCAATGTGGCGTCGGGCCATGGATTTCCCAACTCCAGTAGCAAAGCCAGATCCATGATAAGCATCGACAAAGGGAGTACGTTAGGCGGACCAGGCTCTAGGATGGGATCTATATCAGTTGGCCGAGGAACGACGAGGAAATCAGCGGGCTCGGGTGTCGAGGCGATTAGCATCACAGCTGCTGGGTTTTTCGCCGCCCCGGACAACGCACCCCCCATGCCGAAGTTGGCGAAGAGACATTTGCGCGATACGAACGATCATCAATGATTAGTTGTTCGACTTTCACTTGTGACTTTCGGATTTCGCTTGTTCGTTATGCATCGAGTACAATTTCTGTAGGTTTCATTTAGTGGCGCTTTATTTATTTACTTACTGTTCGACGATTGTATAATTGTATACCCCAATCTTTATGCCCATGAATCATTATCTATAGAATGCTTGTATAAACATGCACCCGAAATACGGGATATCAGATGTAGGTAAGTAAGTAGGAATGAGCGAGGCATATAGATAGATCTATACTGCGGTCAGTCACGAAAATATTCGTTCCTTCAACTCCAGACGTCGAGCATGAGTCTCGAGCGCTCCTTCAACAGTTTGACCTCCGCGTTGCCCTCGACGTCCGCAGATCCGCCCTTAGCCTCTCCCAAGATCTTGGCAAGCGTCTCCTCAACAGCCTTGCTCATGCTCTTCGCATCACCGCAGATGTAGATATACCCCTTCCCGTTGATGATAGCATCCGCGACCTGCTCGCGATCGTCCCATAGCAGGTCCTGGACGTAAATCTTGCTTCCGTCGGGTCTGTAGACCTCCCGGGAGAACGCGCAGTGCATGGTGAACTTCCCGCGGAGCTCCTCCTGGTACTGGGGCCATTCGTCCTTGTAGAGGAAATCTTCCGTGGATTTCCGGCAGCCGTAGAAGAGAGATATGCGGCCCCAGTCGGCGAGGGCGTCTGGTCCGTTCTTTTCAATCGAGCGCCGGGCGAGGGCGACGCGCTCTTGGATGAATCCGCGGAAAGGTGCGACACCCTAAGATAAGGATAAAGATAGACGTGAGTAAGCGCTGCATATCATGATGTGTGATGGAGAGTACGCACCGTTCCAGGGCCAATCATGATGACGGGGCTCTTCGGGTTGGTGGGCAAGCGGAAGGTAGAACGTCTAACGTGTATAGGGGCCTTGTAGATAGTCTCCTGCTTGTAGGCGCCTCGGGGACCTTCAATAGCATAGCCTGGGATCGTAACACTCGCTGCCTTGGACTCGGAGCCTGTGGCGACCAAGGGCGCAGTTTCTCCGTTTGCGGCATACTTGAGGTTGAGCAGGAAGTTCGAGCCGACACCGAAAATCCAGCGGCCATTGACGCGCTCGTTGGGGATGGACTCGTACTTGAGGACCACGGCGGTAACATGGATCGAGTTGGGGTGCAGCTTGGGGCTGGACGAGATGGAGTAGTACCGTGGCTGGAGACGCGGGATAGACGAGACGATGATGTCGAAGGGGATGGTCCATGCTGTGGTATTCTCTGGGGTGGGCGCGGCGGAGAGGTCGTTGCCAGCTGCGAGTTGGAGAACTTCACCGAGTTTCAGGCATCCATTGGCAATGAGGGTGTGGTACTCTTCCTTGTTGGTGCTGAGACCCTTCAAGAACGCCTCAGCCTCGGGGTTAGGTGCGAACTTGGATAGGGCGCCGAGGATCTGTCGTCCAGCTACAGCGCTAATATCGATATAGTGGCGCAAAACCGTCGCATACGTTGTCGGCACGGGGAACGGTACCTTGGCGAGCGCGGGGTCGAGTGATTCAATACCAATAACGTTATCCTTCTTTTCGTAAAGACCGAGGGCACAGAGGAGACGGGTGACTTCGACATCGGGGTTGGACGGCCAGACGCCGACGTGATCGCCGTGCTGGTAGGAGATGCCGGAGGATTCGGTGTTGAGTTCGATGTGGACACAGTTGCGGTCGTGCGTTGACTGGAAGAGTTCCCGCGCGACAGAGATGGGCGCTGGGAAGGGGTTCTTGGCGTCGTGGATACCCTTGGTCTTGGTGAGGGCGCGGGCGGACAATTCACCTACGAAGTAGAGGATTGTAAGTCAAATCGTAAGAACGGGGAGAGTGGGAGTACGAACCAAGGTAGACCTTTTCGGGGGGATGCGATTCTAGCTCGGTGACGGCAAAGTCTGGGGTATCACCACCTTGACCTTCCTCGACGCCCATAGCAGCCGAGAACGCATCCCACATGCCGTCCTTCCACTCAAGATAGTCCTCCTCCATACTCTTGTCGTCGTCGCCCTCTCCGCGCTCCCCAATCCGTATCGCACCCATCTTCGTCAGCACATTATCCACGTCCCGGCCGATCTTGTTGTAATGCTCGTACGTCTTGTTGCCCAAACTAAACACGACGTACTTGAGGCCCTCGAGTTTGTGTTCACCGTTGCTGAACTCAAAGGACTCGTCCTCGAGATTCTGCATGAGTGTCACTGCGTTGTCCGTGGGTTCGCCTTCACCGTAGGTAGCCATGACGAAGAAGACGGCGCAATCTTCCGGGAGCTGGTCGAGGTTCTCGAAATCATACTCCTCGGGGTCGCACACCAGCGACGCCAGACCGAACTTGGACTTTGCCTCCTTTGCCAGGCGAATAGCATACTCCTCCGCCGTACCCGTTTGAGAACCGTAGAATATCACCAGGCGCTTTTTCTGCACTCAAATAAGAAATGTGATACGATTCTATGTTTGGAAGTTCACTCACCCCTTCCTTCATCTTTGCGATGAAGTCGCGAGGGTTTCCGGACCCATTTGACGCTTTCGAAGTAGGCACGGGAACAGACTTTGGTTTAGCTTGGGCGAAGAGCTGGTCCCGGAAGAGATATATCGCTGCGAGTGCGACGCCGACAGCAAGAACGAGGACGTCCGACGACGACGTGCTCGCCATCGTGTAGGAATGCGCTGAAGCCGGTAAGTAAGCGGTCGTTCGTGAAAAAGCAAAAGCAAGAGCAGAAGGAGTGTGAGAAACGCAGTCGTGTCCAAATCAAATCAAATCACCACCGTGACTGACTCTGAGCTTGAAATTGCTCCCGAGCCCGGGGATTGCGGTCGACGACACGGAGAGTACTCACGTTTATGAAATTTAATTATGGGGGTGGAGAGACCGTACCCAGGTCACTTCGACGACGCCGCGAATAATGAGAGAAAGGGAACCAAGCTGGGGAGGAGGAGGAGGAGATGAAGGATTGGAAATGGAGATGGTGGTTCGTGAATAAAAGGCCAAGAAGGGGCTGGTCTCGCCTGATGCTTGTGACTCTCCCACAGCTAACCCCGAGTGCCGCTGACAAGCCTTGATTACATTGAACGATACTCATCTACTATGCGACTTTACCGGACCGTATACACACACGCGGGTTCACAGAAATCGTACAATTCATTATCGTATTTTTTTATTGAGCAGTAAATGAAGTCAAGCAATCATGAACAAGTTTCAGGATATCAGGTTTCAAACCAAGTGATGAGATTACTACACCGCAGTGTCCATGAATGGCGCAACGACCGCGGCGCTGCTGGTGAAAATCATTATCTGAGGCGCCAAGGACACCCACGACTGGGCTGGCCTAGTCCTGATAGATACCTTCAATGTATAGCTAGTGGAGGAGATGATGGCGGTGACCGCATCAGACTTGGAGGCGCCGCTAAATCGCCAGAGCTCAATATCGCCGCTAGCAGTGGACTTGGAGTACGTGACCTAAACATTCCATTGATTTCTGGGAAGATGCGTGATGCTATGATAGAACAACGTAGAAACTTACCGTAGACTCGATTCACCATTTGTGTGCACCGGCGACCATGGGACTTGAAATTTTGGAACGGAGAGGTTGAGTATGTACTCGAGTCGTCGGCTGCTCTACGGAGCCTTGTTAGAGCCTTGTCTCCATGTGGATAGATGCTTCTGTCATTCATACATACGAATGGCCCTATGATTCCATGCAGATTCTATAACCTGTCTAATGTCCGTTTATCCGAGCCCATAGGCGTCGATCAGACGCCTTGAAATCCTTCAACGCCAATCACCTTCACCCTGCTGGCACGAATTGGGAGGAACAGGCGTCCATATACATACGAGTCGCGTATGTGAGTGGTACGTGTGTGTGTTGCTGTTGAAGTGCTGGGGACCGGTGCAGAGATGATCCAGCAGTCTGACGACAATCGCAGGCATGCATGAGTAACAACAACGCCGTCATATTCGAGAAGTTCAGAAACACGGAAGGAGTGTGGAATTCAGCGGAGGGTTCCTGTGCGATGAACAGACGTTAGTCACTGAGATGCTTAACGAGCAATGACTGTAGAAGCTTACCCCCAACCCCACCAGAAGGTCACCGAATTTCGCACGAGCAAGTGATAATCGACAAGTACTCGGGGAAGCCTCGACTCACCGCCACTGTCTCCGTCTCTTCAGACCCAATGAGAACCCGTATGAGTGAGCGCGCACGGAGTGTATTTTTAGACTCGGGCTCGGATGGTTGAATTTGTATTTGCATGATTGCATCATTCCGTCCGGAGTTCGACGAAGGTGAGTGGCTCAGGATTGATATTGAGTGCTGATCGAAGATTGCCTTCAGTGGTCCGTGGCCTGTCTTCCCTGCAGGATTTCGATGTGGGGTCGAGGGATAGGGTTCTAGATAAACTCTGGAAGCTGAGCGGCCCATAGACGAAGACCCAATAGAAGGAGAAGATATAAATATAAATATACCCATAAAATGCATCCGTCATCCACCCAAAGCCAAGGACAAAGCCAGGAAGGGTGGAGGGGTATAAAGGGTAGGATCAGAAGTCGAATATACCACATACAAGATACGATTCCAAGAAACCGAGCAAGCGATAGCCCGGCGAGATAAATGACTGGATGTATGATTGCGGTGGCGGCACAGTGAAGGTACGTGAGAGTAAGGAGATGGTAGTGCAATCCACAGTCGGTCGAGTGATTGTTCAAGGCGGTTGAGGCAGTGGTGGTATCGGTATCTGATGACCATGAACGAGTACAAGTCGCGTCACGTCGGTTATCGGCGGTTCGGTAATAGCGAGGCGCGTCAACGCGTCGAGATAAGATAACGACACGGAAGAATGCGCTGGGTAGTGATCATGGTAGCGCCCTCCTTTTTCAATTGCCCAAGCGTTTAGTCATTGTGAAGGATCACAACAGGCAACTTGAACGCGTGGGTGTCGCGACACCTTGCAGCCCAGAGAGTTCGAATGTATATCTCTCAGAGTAACAAAGTACTCAAGGATCTAGAATGAAGTTTTTGCTCCAGTAGTAAGAGAATTGACGCGTAGATACAGCTATCTGTACCGCGACGCACCATTTGCATTCCACAGTCGATATTGTCGTGCCCCACAGCAGCCAATCCAATTGCTGGGCCAGCGTTAGTGGTCCTGGTGATGTCTTCTTGTTCCTGCCTTCCCTGAACTTGGAATCAAATCAATGTTCGTAGTTGGGTTCCAAACGCCAGGAATTAGGATGATCAAAGATCCTGACGACACAAATCGGTCCCATACAAACTTCCTCGTACGTTCCAACACCAGCCAAGACTGTCCATACATATATTCAGAACTATCCTGGAAATATCCTTACAATCGAAGTTCAAACGCGGTAAGCAACTGCAGGCATGCAGAGGGGCGCTGACACGCTCACCAGGAGCAGGACCCCCAAATCTTCTTTCAGTTGTTTTCCTCAAAATGACAAGATTGGCACGTCAGGCTACAGATCTTCAATATTCAGTCACAACGAGTTTGGGTAGTTACTAGTTATTAGTTAGAAACTTCAAATCGGTCGCCTGGGCGCTAAAGTAGTTCAAGATAGGGGAGGCCCCTTTGTGATTTAGCGACTCAAGGTACATAGAGGTACATTTGCAAGCACTTGTATACGATCACTCCCCTTTGACAGCGATGCGCACTCTGAGCGGCAGCTGCGCGCCCTCCTTCTCCCGCCCCTCTATCGTTGGTGCCACAACCAAGCAGGGATGGCGCCTGATATGCTCAGCTTCAGGCGTCAGCTCGAATTCAAAGTTGCTGATAAGCTCGATGATGAAGGCATGTAGCTCGTAGAGACTGCGGTCAACATGCGGTAAGATAAACAACCAATGGAAATGACTTCGTAGGCTTACGCAAATCTCCAACCAATGCAAGATCGCACTCCGGCCGCAAAAGTCAGCCTAAGGTATGATGTGGCGGTTAGAAAAAACAATTCGCACACGTTGATATATAGAAAGCCTACACATTTGCATATACCCCAACGACAGTTTGCTTCTTCCCGTCTGAGGGTCTAAGCCATCGGTCCGGATTAAAAACATCCGCGTCTTCGCCAAATACCAGCTTGTTCCTAAGAATTTTTGGATGACCAATGAGTCAATCGTGGATGCAAAGCCGTGCTACTTATCACTACTTTCATAACTGCTTACCGGTTGTACCCTGTAATGGATGCCACGATCTTGAGACCTTTCGGGACCGGCAGCTCAGTGACGACTGTGCCATCGCTCGCCTGGAGAGGAGTCGACAGCGGGAGAACATCGTCTCTGCCCGCTTGCCTGTACGCATGGTGCAGAGCCGGATGGAATCGCAGCGCCTCCTTGACCACAGCAGTCATATACGGCATGTTCTCAAAATCAGACACCTCGAACTGTGTGCGCCCGTTCGCTCGGAGCGTGGCCTCGGCGTCCCATATCTCAGCACGAAGTTTGTTCTGGATGTGGGGCTGCTTGCAGAGCTCGAGAAGCGTCCAGTTGAGCGTGTTTGCGGTGGTTTCGTGGCCGGCAAGCATGATTGTCCTATATTTATGTAGCATTGTATCAGGAGTTAGAAGGATGTATATCGGCGTGGCAAGGCTACGTACCTCATTTGGGCGAGCATTTCCGGCACAGACATTCTTCCTTTCTCGTGCTCTGCAGCGTTTGATTGCACTGATAGACGATAAATCATCAGCACCCTCCACAGCAGATACCGCCAAGAACATGCCTAGCAAACTCATGACATCCTTCCCTCCCTTCCCCCCCATCAGCGCGTTCGCCTTCGCGTCTATCAAAGACTTTGCCACGCTGTTGCCAATTTTCTCCGTCGCTCTCGCGTGGTGTAACCTTGCGCTCTTCTGCTGGAACAGGTGGCGCAACCATGCAGGTAGGTGTGCCCAGGTGGAAATGGTGAAGATGGCCGGTAATGAAGGCGAGCCAAATGTCTCTGATCTACGTCAGGATCAGCTTGTTTCTCCACATCTCGAGAATCATTATAGTGAAAGGGAGAGAGTGGAGAGCAGGCGGCTCCAATGGCAGTTGTTAGCTTGTCTGAACTCACAACAAAGTAGTGTACGCATTCGCTAGTTCGTTCTTGTCGTCATCTAAACCTCCGAACCGATAGCCGAACGCAGCTGCGCGGGAAATATACATACTAAGTACACCGTGCGGATTGTGGGTTTGAATTTACTCACCTTCTCCAATAGCATCCAATGTGGCGCGTGACAACCAGTAAGGCATATTCACTACCATAGAACCGTCGGTACCAGATGTAGATATCATATCCTTCCATTTTTCGGCGAGCTAGTTGGATTTACGATAGATAGCGTTGTCAATCTTCACGTTCATTTAAAGCGGGATGAGGAGACTGACCTTATTGGCCGTGCCCAAGAAAACGGGCAGGAAGGCGCGAGATTCCGGGGTCCCAAACCCTGGAAGCATGATCTTTCTTTGCCGCTTATGCACATCACCTACGAAGATAAAAATAGAATACGTCCATGTTTGTAAGTATGTCTTCAAGCTACCATGCCGAAAGGTGGCTCCGTCATAAATATTCACATACCATCTGCCCAGGTCAGGCCCGGCCCGGTGACGAGGCGGCTCAGTTCACGGCGCTCCCACATCTTGGGCCAGTGGTAGCCAGACGTCTGGTAGATGTACTGCAGGGCCTTCGCGTCCGTGATGAGCAAGCGGTCCTCCTAGTGAGCATCAGCAAGTCGCCCTGGCTCGGGAGGGGTAAGTGAACCATACCCCAAGGATTCCTTTGATTCTGACAACGTCGCCATAGGTCTTTTGCCACTTGAGATCCGCCTAGAGAAGTGCTCAGCGAGGAGTGATGAGGGGCAGGGCAACACGCCAGAGTCGCTTACCGCTGCAGCGTCGCTTTGGTACAACTCTGGAAGATTCCCTGTGAAAGCCTTCAGGTTGAGAGTCCATCCTATGAAACCTTTAGGTATTACACACCTAATAAGAGCGAAGCATCGGCTATAGGCCCACGAATGTGGCTCAAGGATATCTTTGTGATGCGTCGGTACGCAGCGTACGCGACGACAGAGAGTAGGAGTGCTAGCAATGCGATACCAACTTGAGCTCCCATGGTTGAGTCGAACTACTTTGAGGAAAAGCCACCTCATTATAAGTCAATGGATCTGGTTAGAATTAACCCTGTCGTGCCGTCCATTTCTCATGGGGAACCATGAGATAGGCAAGAAGCACAAGACGAAGTAACGCAGTGCCCAAATGAAGAATCGAAACCTCCAGCCAGCGTCCATTTACGTCCTGAACTACGTCAGGAGGACAGCGACTCTTCAGATGCCGCACCATGGTATAGGGGAACTGCCCTTCCTTGGGGTGGAATGGCGCATCTATGAACCGTCTGGGTGGGATAGACCTCCATCGGCGCTATATTTTGAGGATAGAAGCTCTCGTGTGCACCATGAAGATAGATATAGAATCCTCACCTTAAAGCGCTCGCGTTATATTTGATGACAAGGTGTACGATGCTTTCGGTCTAGAGTTGAGCGACATCCTCATTGGCCGGCTAATTACAGCGTATATTCAGAACCACTATCCCATCCAAGTCCACGCGAGTAAGGAATTCCCGAGGGTGCCTCAGCCGCCCGGCTCATTGAGACAAAGATAACGCGAGGTGCCAATTCAAGCCTCTACGAGAGCCAACGAACCTGACGTATGTTCAAAGCGGTAACATGTCGTCCACTATCATTGTAATTAGTGGCATGGTTCGTGCGTGCAAGGAGCATTCGATCGAAGTCAAACAATAATGTATTCTAAAGTAAAGTAAAATAATGTTATGAGTCATTGAGGGTAATGTCAGACTCAGCAGAAGGATTAATACCTGTAAAATACTCGGTCTTGACTCCGAGTCGATGGAAGATAAAAAGCCATGCAAGGAGATCGCTCGCGAAGCGCTCATGAAGCGCTCCTGAAATGTCAGATAGGGACACCCCTTTCGAGTATCTGTAGCCTGATGTGAACAACTCGTATACAACCTCATATATTTCCATTGTGCAGAGCACAGTTCAGTCAGCATCTCAGGAGTATTTCTACATATTGAATCCGTTCACTCCCTAATGGCGATGCGAACTTTGAGCGGCAGCTGTACCCCCTCATTCTCCCGACCCTCTATGGTGGGCGCCACAACCAAACAGGGATGCCGCCTGACATGTTCAGCCTCCGGTGTCAGCTCAAACTCGAAGTTACTGATGAGCTCTATAAGGAAGGCATGGAGTTCGTAAAGGCTAGCGCGGATGATCCAGTCAACCAAGAAGCCATAGTGTATGCCAAAGACTTACGCAAATCTCCAACCAATACAAGACCGCACTCCAGCAGCAAACGTCAAGCTAGTGTATAATTATGAGGAGGTAGCATGTCAGATTATCTTGTGGATGATTCAGATGCACAAACGTACACGTTTGCATACACCCCGACAACAGTTTGCTTCTTCCCGTCTGAGGTCCTGAGCCATCGGTCTGGGTTGAAAACATCTGCATCCTCGCCGAATACTTGCTTGTTTCTGATGTACGGTCAGTCAATCGATCGTCCTTCTGCACTGGTCACTAGCTTACCGGTTATACCCGGTGATGGATGCTACAACTTTCAGACCTTTAGGAACCGTAAGCTCGGTGATGACGGTGCCGTCGATCACTCGGAGAGGTGTCGAAAGTGGGAGAACATCATCTCTCCCAGCAGTCCTAAACGCATGATGTAGAGCTGGGTGGAATCTCAGCGCCTCCTTGACCACAGCAGTGGTGTATGGCATATTCTCGAAATCAGACACCTCAAATTGTGTGCGCCCATTTGTGCGAAGCTCGTTCTCAGCTGCCCATATTTCGGCGCGGAGTTTGCGCTGAATATGAGGTTGCTTGCAGATTTCTAGAAGGGTCCAGTTCAACGTGTTTGCTGTGGTTTCGTGGCCCGCTAGCATGATGGTCCTATATTTTATATAATATTAGAAGGGCTACCATATATCAATGCAGCACACGGTTGATATGCTGGGTACCTCATTTGCGCGAGCATTTCTGGGGTCGACATTCTTGTGCTCTCGTTCTCGGAGTTGTTGGATTGTACTGGTCCACAACAATCAACGGTTGCAACGAGATGTAGAAGAAATGAACGAACCCAACAAGCTCATGATATCCTTATTCCCTTTGCCGTCGAGGAGTGCATTCGCCTTCGCATCTATCAAGGTCTTCGCCACGCCGTTGCCAATTCTCTCGGTCTCCCTAGCGTGCCGAAGCTTTGCACTTTTCCGTTGGAAGAAGTGTCGTAACCATGAAGGCAAATGTGCCCAAGTGGAAATGGTGAAGATGGACGTCAGTGAAGGGGAACCAAATGTTTCTGATCTGTATTATTCGTAAGCCTCTAGTGTTCCAAGGACTGTGATAATATGGAGGAAGGGGTGATGGAGACGGTCGACTCACAGCAAAGTGGTGTATGCATTTGCTAATTCATTTTTATCGTCGTCCAAACCTCCGAAACGGTAGTCGAACGCCGCTACACAAGTATAAAGTACTGAGCGGACAGCAAGTTTCTGCGACATCGAATCTACTCGCCTTCTCCAATAGCATCTAACGTGGCCCGTGACAACCAGTAAGGCATATTCACCACCATAGAGCCGTCAGCACTTGATGCTGAAATCATATCTTTCCATTTTTCGCCGAGCTAAGTATGACGTTCCATTAGCCAGTCCTCCCGAGCCTGACCATTTGTATTGGGAACTAGGAGTGAGACTGACCTTGTTGGCAGCCGAAAAGAAAATAGGGAGGAATGAGCGGGCTTCTCGGGTACCAAAACCAGGGAGCATTATCTTCCTCTGCCGCTTGTGCACATCGCCTAAGGCCATAAGATGAGTCCAGGTTCATTTTACTTCAGTAAGATTCGACGCAATTACCATCGGCCCACGTTAGGCCCTGCCCTGCTGCCAAGCGGCTCAGCTCTCGACGCTCCCACATCTTAGGCCAGTGATAGCCAGATGTCTGGTAGATATACTGCAGGGCCTTCGCGTCCATGATGAGCAAGCGGTCTTCCTAAACATCAGCAGTCCAGTTTAGCTCATCGTTAGACTATAAAGCGAGGAAGGAAGCAGACCCCCAAAACTCCCTTGACTCGGACGATATCACCATACGCCTTTTGCCACTTAAGATCCGCCTAAGAAGGCACTCAGCTGTCAGTATAAAGAAGCAGGCCAACATAGCAGAGCCATTACCGCTGCAGCATCACTTTGATACAACTCTGGAAGATTTCCTACGAAAGAATTCAGAGTCTATCCTAAAAGATTATCGTGAATGTACATACCTAACAAGAACGAAGCGTCAGCCACAGGACCACGAACATGGTCTATGGATATCTTTGTGTTGCGTCGATACACGGCGTACACAACAGCAGGGACTAGGAATGCAATCAGTGCAATAGCAACACCCATCGTTGAGAATTGCCGGGCTAATGTACAAGCAAAGCCACCTCATTTTAAATCACTGCTGCCATGGAGTCCATGCGTCACAAAGAACCATGGGGCGCGCGATGGCAGCGGGTATGAGGGATAGAAGGGGCCAAACGTGTACTCAGCCGTTGCCAAATTACGTCCTGAACTGGGTCAGCAGGTCAGCAGGGACAGTGACCTTTCGAGCTCGTATCTGACTGAGTATTGGAGAATTGAGCTTCCTTTGAATGACAGGGCCCATCTTTGAGCCGTCGTGGGTTATAGGCCCCCATCGGCGGCGTTACAGCTTCAGAATGATGGGAGAAGTTCCCTCGCGCGTTGATAGATAAAGAATCCTCACCACAAAAGTGTTATACCTGATGACAACATGCACGATGCAGTCGGTCTCTTGGGTCTATATAGTACCGTTGATTTTCTCATGTCGCTGAATTGGAAGCGATCTGTGTCATTAGATATTACAGCGTACGTGAACCCAACACCAAGTCGCTAAACGGAATGCTTCTCAGTCGATTCACGCTACAACCAATTGTTAGATACATTGTCGAGGGAGCGTAACGAAACAAAAAGCTCACGTCGCTAGAGGCCCGATCATGTCTGTTCTTATTTCCCTTCCCGAAGGCGAGGAGACCCAAGAAAGCAAGGAGACCAAGCATCATGGCTGCGACGACAAGGGTAACGCCCGCACCGAGGAAGCCGGCGCCAATCGGGTTGAATCCCCGAGAAACCGACTGTGCACCTTTAATTTGAGCTGCGTTGATCGCGCCGCACCCTCGATCCTTCGTGTTTCCGCACAAGTTACACCAAGTGGTAGTGTCACTAATTGCCACCGGCTGAGCATACATTCGTCAGATGAAGAAACTCGTCGCAAGCAGCGTCGAAATGTACCGTGAATTTATCAACGAACTGCGAAAGAGGGACGTCCCCTGAGCCACCCATGAAGTTGTAAGTTTTGAAGTCTTCGTCGACAGTCCCATTCTTGAAATTGAATCTCAACACCGGTTCTCCGCCTGAAGATGGTTGCCGAACTTCAAGAGCTAGCGCGGCGGCATACTCCACTACGAGAAAAGGATTCAAGGGGCAGAATTAAGAATCTGTGGAGAGTCGCTTACCGACACCTGCGAGCTGTGGGTTGGCTTCAGCTGCGCCAGTCATGTTGAAGAGGGATAGGAAAGGTTTGTAGGAGATCGACTGGTATACTATCTTTAGTGGATCAGAGGAGTTGCTAATGCGCTTGAATCCGTTCAAGATCGAAGGAAGGATAGTGCGTCCAGCAACTGCACAACAGGAGAAAAGGCAGTTAGATATGCTGGGGGTGAAATGCCGCGACACGGATATATACTTACTGTTTCCAATGCCGTCTAGTTGGGGAGATGAAAAGACACCATATTCGTGGTAGTTCGCAAGATCCCTGGCTTGTTCACGGAAAGTGGGCGGAAGGCGCTGGAGGAACTCGGCGCTGTGGATAGACTCCACATTGATGAAGTCGAAAATCTACAAACCAGTAAGCCCTCAACGCCAAATCACCTTGTTTCATCAGTATGACTCACATTCCACTAAAAAGATGTACATCGGCACAAGAATCATAAAACGGAACAAATACACGACGCACCATGTTTTCCAAGGTCACTGGCCGACCGTCGAGGTATTGAGGCAATTGTGTCAGGAAAGCATCGTGTTCCGTGGCCTTCTGCTTGAATCCTGGGGACGCATAGAAAGCAGCCGTAGCGTCATCGAAGGCCTGAAGAAGTCAATTATTTAATTGTAAGGAGGCCAAATCATTATCGTTACTTACGCCGCACGATGTCCAGCCTTCCAAGGATATGTCGTTATTTGGTTCAACGGACTCAACTGAGAGCCAAGAGTAAGAATGTTTTCACGCGTCAGGTTAGACGTGTTAGGCGCTCACCTGGGATAGTCTTCAGCAAGTCAAGCGTTTGAATCATTTTCTAAACTCCAAAAGCCGCAGAACGCACCTGATATCCACCCAGAGGAGCCACAACAGTCGTCCCGTTTGCCAGAGTAGTGTTGTAGGCGGTCGTCGCGGGGAACAAGCCTTGGAGCAGAGACACCGCCGAGTTCAAGATAACTCCTCCTTCTCCTCCTGCGTCAGCACGCGCCTGAAGCTGCGCCTGGTCGAAGATGGTGGTATTGAACCCTCGAATGAAAGAGGGGGAGGAAGAGTTCCCGTAGATCGAACGCAACTTCTGTCCTAGCTGGAGCTCTTGGACCTACGACAACCTAGGATCAACAACCACCTATCTTATCTATTGCATCACGACATACATTCCCTAGAGCGGTGATAGATGTCGCAGATGCAGCATAGGTGGAGGGATTTTGGTAGAATCCTAGGCATCACCACATGCAAGCGATAAGCCTGAGAGAAGACCTTAGCAACAAGAATGCCACTCACCTTCGCGGTCCCCATGTCGCGCAATGATCACGACTCCCAAAACTTGGCTGTCACTTGCCATCGCTAAAGCCAACGAAGGTGCTACTGTATCAACCAAACCGCCGGGGGAACCAAGTCAAGCATTCGAAGCCTCGAAGCCACTTTATATCACCCACACCACATGCACCACATGCGCAAGCTTCGGAGACATGGCATGCTTGTGAATCCAAGGTTATATCAGGAAGCATGTGGGAGTTGATGAGCTCCGCCCTTAAGAACGAGACGAGAAAGGGGCGCCAAATGGGCCGACGCTATAGACGTAAAGCCGAGCAGTCTGGAGGTAGAATTCTAATGTCTACGATAATGTCTGGAAATTATAGGTACATAGATAGCACGATAGCAGTTGCATGGAAAGGAGAACAAGTACTGGCCACGAGAAATAAATCGCTTACTGAGTTAGGACCCACGTCAGAGTGTTCCTCCAACTGATTCCATGGTCTATATGTATGTACCGCCATACAGTATATCAAGGGACCAGCGGGTTGATGTGATCGTTGGAACATGGGGTAGGGACATCGTGAGATGCGGGGTAAGAATAGAAAAGTAAGGGAAACGTACGAATGGTGATGCGGTAGGCCCATCCAAAATGGCCAGTTCTTCAACAGTGAACGGCATTCTAGGTACGACGAGAGTACGCAAGGGGATGAGCAGCATAATGATAACGGGGAATCCGATCGCGGCTATAAGACGATCGTGTTCAACATGGGACCAGAATCAATGAGATAGCAAGAACGGTATATACCGATGGTTTGAGTGATGGCAAATGTAGCGCCGAAGCCTACCAATTGCACACCAACGAACATGATGATCCTAGATTTCCTAACCTTGCGCAGTGGCTCGTCGTACGGCGTCAAGGATTTGTCGCGAAGAAGGTAGAGGAGTCTGGTCGTGATGCCATTCCCACGAAGCGCATCGGCGCCCATATACCAGCTGGATAAATGTTAGCACGAAATACCGTAGGTTGCAAGTGTAGAAGAGCCTACAAAAGTCCGGCAAGAACACCTTTGATTGGAAAGAATGACACGTATCAGCAGCGTACAAGGAGAGGGAGATTGGTCACGTACCACGCGGAATCAGATTTAGAACATGGAGGAAAGGCCCAGTCAGGAGAACTAAGCACAGCGATCCCTGCGCCAAATTCGACACACGCTGCTCAACAACAGCGACGGGTACCTCAGGCACCCAACCAGGGTGCTCAAGCTCTGGACGCGCTCGCTTCTCATCCACACCCACAGGTTCTATTGTCATCGTGTTTGTCTGGGACTGAAGTCGCGAGGGCCCCGGGGAGCGGGACGCGGATGTGCGAGATGAAGTCCGTTCTTCGTCCTCCTTGACAGGCCGTCCCATGACAAGCAGAGACGTGGTGTGAATGGGTGCCTGGGGGATTAAGCCATTTGGCGCGGGCAATCCCAGGAGTCCTGCGATGAACGTCGTAACACCGAGCAGGAAGAAATCGTAGTGGAACCCCGGTGGCTTTTTAAGGGGAAACTCTGCGCCTTGCGCCATAAGTGACTGAATGATGGCATGAGCTCATCTACTACTTGACTGGAGGCGGGGATGGAGACTCGTACCGAGACATTGTGGTCAAAGAAGAACAAAATCCAGAGGATTATTCCAAACGGCAAGGCGATTCCCACCCACTTGCCATCCAACTCCCAAAACTTGACTAACCACTCCCTTCCACCAGCGGGTTGGAACGCACCTCCGACAGGTAAGGTAGTGGTGTTGGCGGCATTGAATCGACCCCAATACGCCATCCCGGAAGTCGCTATCAAAGAGATCGGCATACCGTAGTCCGCCAGGAATCGTCTGACATGACGGTGGAACAGCGTCTTCTGTGACAGCGATTGGAAAAGGAACGAAGTGACGAGCATGAGCAGGGCGAGAATGATTGCGACGAGTCCTCCGGGAAGGTTTGGGGGTTCGGATTGAAGTTGGCGAGTCAGAACTTGAATACCATATTGCAGGTATACCCAGGATACGTAGAACCCGAACGTGTCACAACTAAACAAGGTGACATATTTGAGGAAGTTGCACCCTAGTTAGACTCTTAATGAACGACCATGAGGTGAACACGACCTCATACAATTCAACAGAGCGGTGATCCAGTGGAAGATAGCCGCCCATAGGTACACCCACCCAATAAAATGCAGATAATTGGGTGGGTCGGACTGGCGCTCGATGATATCAAAGATCGTCTTGTTGAAAACAGTAATTGGACCTGTTATGCTGTGAGATATATCGTTTGTCCAGACAATCGGATGACTCACCAGTGACCCCGGCAATTGTCAGAGGTTGTGCTCCAAATACCGAGAAGATGAAGGCCGCCATGAACGAAGCTAGAAGCACTTCCGCCACACCATATTGTTGCGTCGTTTCTATTAAATCCAACGAAAATGCGATTCCTGGCAAGACACTGGAAATGATTTCGTATGGTTCAGCTGTACGCTGGTGTAGCACTCACTTCGCGAAAAATATCAGTGCTGTTGCAGGAACAACACGGTAGTTCCATGCATCAACCCAATCACTTTTGTACCACGGTGCACGAGCCTTTATATCAAGCCAAATACCGCGGCCGATCTTCAGGTAGTTGGGTAAACGCCGCAAGCCATGAACGACGATGGAAGGAGTTGCAGAGGTCGCGGGAGTGTCCCTGGTCTGGACTTTTGACTTCCCGTCCCCGGAGGAAGGGTAGTGAGGAGTACTCATGATAATTCAATAATGCGTAGGTCGTCGAGCTGGAGAAGAATTATATGGGAAGCACGAAGTTCAGAGGATCATGGTGGGGGAGCACAACCCGTCCAACCTCTACACGGGTAAGCAGCGAGTACAAGTCAAACTTCACCACACGGCTATGTTGCGAGTGGATGAAGTTAAAAAACATGAGCACACGTGATACTCCTATACTCCTCTTCTGAGATCATGTGACTTGAGACTCCTGGTGTGGCCCTGAATTCAGTGTGATGTCATCCCCATAAACTGGACAGGGGAAAAGTATATAAAGTGGCTGGCTTGCTGTTGCTCCGTTCCCCACATCCTGAACTCCAACCACCATCACCACAACCACCACAATCTACCGGAATTGTACTGTCAATATGTCTGGATCCGCTTCTTCATCGCCTTCGTATTTGAGCGCGATCGGGGACACGTTCGCGTTGCTGCTGAACACGCCTTTAGTGGACTCAAAGGCGGGAACAGGGTCCAAGGAGAGAAGGCTAGAGCCTGTGCAGTTGCAGGAGATCACTAGAGGAGGATCCTCGAGGAAGGCAATGGGAGGCACGTCGCTGCCAGGCGTTCCGTCGGTAAGTGCATCATAGAATTACCATGAAGCAGCGGCTGACTCAAATCGATGCAGCATGGTCGATCGTAATTCCGTGAGCTCTTTATACCCCGAGGATCCCAGCATTGCAAGTAAGTGATTAGTTTTCGCGCGATGCAATTTAGAGCTCATCTAGGTATTTGGCAGGAAATACACGTACATTTATCAGTATTGTAGATCACAACAAATACATTATGGAATCAACCTGAATCCTCGCTCGTTTCATCGACCAAAGCCAGCAATTGCCGCTTAGAGATGGGATATTTGACGCAGACTGATCACTTCGCGAGGTAGGATAAGGCTCAAGCACAGCGAAGCGCCCAAGCCAGTCCAACCTCTGATTTGCCTCCGTCCACCAGCACGTACATTGGACGCGCGTAAGTAATCGACATTAATGTGCACCATTGGCATTAGCACGTCTCCGCTTACTGCATCGCAAAGAACTATGGGGTATGGTGTAAGTTACCCAGTCGAGTCAATTGTGAGCACCAATATATTGAACTTCGACGACGCGCTGCTGTCGAGATACTATGCCTCATAAAATGCAGCCCATACTCCTGCACGTAAAAACCACAATCAAGAAGATTCAATTCAGCTGGCCGTGAAATCAACCTACGGTTTGTCAAGTATACGCCTGCGGAGGTGAATGAACTGTTTGGTCAGGGTCCCACGTGCTCGACCGAGCACGATATGGCACTGCTCCTGTAACGTCGTGAGTTGGTTGTGAGTGTTGAATTTCTCCGACTACCACAATTGTTTCGTGAGGATGGATTTAGTTTACCGAAGAAGTAGTGTACGTATCCTTGTGCTTACGTCGAATGTGCGTCCGTTGCGAGTAGCTTCGTCTCTTCCAATGTGACGCTCGTCAGTGGAAGAAAAGAAGCCTCATTTTCCGTGATCCTTCGGACAAATGTTAGTTATCGAGCTCTAGGAGGGATAGGAGAAGGATGATAGGAGACAGGAGAAGCACAGATATGGTAGAAATGGCGGTGTTCAAAAACTTAGCAACTTCGATTTCCAACTAAGATATCACTGCACCCATGTCAGAGACAGACAGTCAGAACCTCAAGGTCGCAATAGTTACTGGCGCATCTTCAGGTACGACCGTCGTAATTGAGAAACTGAGAATGTTGAATACGGTGCTGAGATAGGATGTTTGCTAAAACTGTAGGGATTGGGAAGGCGTCCGCCATAGCATTAGCCCAAGCGGGTTGGAATGTGGTGATCACAGCGCGTCGGATTGATGCCCTCCTTCAAACAGCAGAACAGTGTGACCAGAGGGCTCTTGTCGTTGCAGGCGACGTTACCGACGAGAAGGTAGTCCAAGTTTCCATCGTAGTCCACCATCTAGGATTTTGATATCTCCATCGCGAATTTAGTTCGTTCAAGAGCTATTCGCGCAGGCTGTGGAACAATTTGGCAAGCCTCAGACATGCTGGCATACTGGTCGATAAAGTCTGACCTCGTTAACATCTGTAGGACGAGTCGATCTGCTATTCAATGTCAGTCACTTTCGTCATTGTTAGGCAAGATCACTGCATCTCTAGACAACATGTAGAACGCGGGGATCAGCGCGCCTGGAACGCTCATCGAAGAACTTACCCTGGAGACGTTTCAGAACGTCATGAACGTAAACCTCGTTGGACCCTTCCTCTGCACGCGGGAGGCCTTCAAGGTATTCAAAGCCCAGACGCCCGCAGGAGGTCGGTACCCAGGCTGCACCGAGTTTGTCGCGTTAACGCTGACGAATTCTGCAATCAGGACGAATCATCAACAACGGATCCTTGTCAGCACACGTACCCCGCCCACACACCTTCCCTTACGCCTGTTCCAAGCACGCCATCTCTGGGCTCACGAAATGTACAGCACTCGACGGCCGGGCACATAACATAACTTGTACCCAAATCGACATCGGTATGTCACAAATTCACTTATCCACTGTATGCCCGGTACCTTCAAGCTATTATCATAGGAAACGCACATACAGACATGGTATCGGCTCAAACTCAGGGCATACTCCAGCCGAACGGCGCAATTATACCAGAAGCGACATTCGACGTCAAGCATGTCGCTGATAGCATAGTTCACATAGCTCAATTGCCGAACGATGTGACGGTACTCGAGATGAATATAATGTGGGTTGGCTAAACATGGTCGTTCACAAACGATTGACGGTTTTCATCACACAGGGCCTCAAAGGCGCCATACGTGGGGAGGGGATAAACGGGATCATCTCCCACTTTACACGCCCTTGTACTTCACCAATCACTCTCTTGTTGTCCTGCGGCTCAGTGGCCCGATGTTGTGTATCGAGGTTGGGCCGCCTTGCGTCGGTTGAGCACGGCTATGCACATCCTTCCCGTCCTTGAGCCTGACGAACGGCAATTTCGCATGGTAGTAGTACCGATGAAGGGGTCCGCCTGGAGTTCCAGGCACCCGCGCTGCGAGGACTCAACCATCATTGTCGCCACAGAATGAAATAGCCGAATGGGAACTTTGTGGGAGCCATACTCGAATATTCTCGCACTGCCTATTGATTTCATTGAATCACTGGCTATGCAATGAACCGTCCCTGTTGTCATAGATGATAAGGACGCAAGGTGTGGCATGCTGTCTCGCTCACCTTCGAGACCACTATCAATCCATCTTGAAGACTGTACATATCGAAGTCCCACCAACGTCTTCTGTTGATGATCTCCCACCCCACTGCCCCTAACTTACGTTAATAGCACCGTTTCATCGCATCCGCCGGTCTCGTAATTCGATAATGCATTCATTAGGTAGGTTCGCCGAGTTCCTGGTAAGTATCAGTATCACTAGCACTTTCTATTGACCCCACTGACGCACCTCCGCCCGCCTCGTAGGATCAACCCGCTTTAACGCCAGTCGCCTGTTCCGGATCTGCAGAGTTTAACCCCTCGCTCGGGCTCCCACTTGCATGCGGGTTGCTTCATAGAGGGGGGGATATTCGCACGTCTCAGGTCCCATTGATCACATCAAGGATTTGCGGGAGAAGCTGTTCGGGTACTAGGCTTCGGGGTATACGAATCGCCTCAGATAAACCCGGTGCGAATTCGTACTGAACTTCGACGGAACTTCCACAATGTCAGCGTAAAACGATCATGTCGATTGCCCATCGATCGGGATCAAAGCATATGGAGTTGAATATGGGGTGAGATGGCCTGATTTTAAGTCATCTTCCTCCTTAAGCTTTGGCGAATTTTAGGAGGAACTGATGTCTTTTGACTTAGCAGAAGAAATGGCCACGAAACCGCTTTGATTTCGTCCCATAGTTGAATACCTAGGAACCCCGAACTAACCAGCTGATCGATTGTGCTCGTTGATCGCGTGAACGACCCCGGCCTAGATGTGCGAGGAAACCTCCTTTAGCATTTCTCCGCCTTGTACCTCGGAAACAACGACTTGGATTGTGCATTTGTATGGATACAGGTGGCGACATGCCTTTGTACTTCTTTGGGCTCAAGCATCAGCTTCTCCCACTGCGCCTGGCTGACCAGGGCTACCGGCCGTTCTCCACGCACCCAGGATAAGGCTCACGATATCGTCTACGCCTGTGCCCTGCCTTACGCTACAGAAGATGGTGGGTCCATCTCCTCTCATGAGCTTGGAGTCGCGATCCATTACTTCCAGGGAGGCGCCCACGTACGGAGCAAGGTCCGTCTGTGAAGCAGTTCGTCATCATTCCGTTACTTCTACCGCGTAGTACTCACCTTGTTGATAACCAGTAGATCGGACTGGGAAATACCTGGACCACCTTTACGTGGGATCTTGTCCCCGCCCTATGTCGAACTGAAGTTCAGCTAGATCCGCATACCGTGATTCGATTCATACGCACTGAAACATCAATGACATAAATGATGTAGTCTGCCAATTCTCTGGAGTAGTTGGCTGCTAGGTTGTCTCCGCCGCTTTCCACGAACAACAATTGACATCCGTATTTCGCCTGTAAGGTTTCAAGTGCGCCCATGTTCGCGCTGATATCTTCACGGATGGCAGCATGAGGACACCCTCCCGTCTCTATGGCGAGAATACGTTCGGACGGGAGTGCCTTGTTCTTAATGAGAAATTCTTGATCTTCTCGAGTGAATATGTCATTCGTAACTGTAGCTACAAATGCAAGTTCGTGTTCATCAACAGATATGATTGAAGTCTGTGAGCTCCTCACCAAGATTATATTCGCTGCGAAGCTTTTGACAAAGAGCCAAGGTCAGTGCCGTCTTGCCGGAACCGACTGGTCTGATGGTAAATCATGTCAACATAATGGTTGATCACGATCATAATTAAACGAACCCTCCAATGCCAACTGTGAACCCTCGCTTTCAAAATTCCGCCCCGTGTAGTCCGGAAGGTCTCGTTCAGCATACTTTCCTTCGAGAAGAGTCAGCAATAGGACGTCGGGCGGCGTTCGCGTTCGCCGTACCTGGATGTTCTAGATGCTCGTGGGTATGTCCATGATCACCGGGACCGTCATGAGAGTGTGTGGGGCCACCAGCGTCGTGTGAATGAGATGCGGGAGGCTGGGAAGGGTTTGAAGTAAGATTATTGATAAATTGAACACTCATGTTCTCGTAAACGTTTCAAGAAGCTGCGAGGAATTGTTATCTGATCAAGTCGAAGTTAGAGCTGAATCAGGGGCCCGGCGCGGCGATCATAGGAGGTAGTTGTGGCTTGTTTGGCCTAGAGCCCACGGGCGTCTGTCAGAATCTGCTGGACTTGGACTACGACCACAATCATAAAGTTGGATCCTCACTCAAATCCTCGAAATATTGACGACGCCCCTGCGTACGACTTGAACCCATCTTGATTGCAGTGTCAGGTCAGGCGCAACTGGGTTTCGGCTTCCCAGTTCAAGGGGTTTAGACTCTAAGAGCCATTAGCGCAATATATGATTATTCTAGCTTCGCATCCTCATCAATGTCTCGGTTATTATGGTGGAACCTGCGAGAGACCGCAAGAATCTTCATCTCGCTACTCTTCGCAAGCCGTGTCCTCCGCCTTCTATCAGACTTCATAACGAAAAGGCAGGGAAGCTGAGCTACCCACCTCTCTCGCTGTATAGATTAGGTGCTTAGGACACATCTTCGGCATCGTATACCAGACACCCCTCCGTAAGTGTCATGTTTTGCTACCACATAGGCGTACTGTTCTTTTGTTGCGAAGGTCCATTAGCTTCAGATGTCGATGAGGGGCCGGTTGGCTGACTGGCCTAGTGGAGTGTTGTCAGTAGAGTGATACTGACGGTGGTGTAGTTCCCAGCCATCTCGATCTATTGAGTGACCTAGCGCTGTGTAGATAGTGAGCCCTTGAGTCGCTGAACGCCTACAATACGAACGCGACAGAACTACGTCTCCTGCTCGTAGACATCGGTGGCTCATGGTACCCGCTTTAATTCAGCCCATTACAAAGTGCATACGTGAATACCTCAGGGACATTACCGCCCGACCCGCAAGCCGGTCGCGAGTTATTGGTCGGCCGGCCGGCCGGGGCTGTTCGCTGAAGGGTATTTCCAGATTTGGCAGGCACGTTCAACTTAAACTCGACTCCGTCGTCGTCCTCGTACGCGGTGGTGAATGAAACGGGGCAAATCTAGTCTAGTAACATACTCAAGCTCCGACGATGAACCTCCTCCCGTCCCAAAGAAAAGGTAAGCTCATTGCTCATGCACAGCATCGGCGGAATAGTGATTCTACTAAATCTAGGAAGCTCCCTGGCCTAGCCTCGTCTTTAGTACCTAGCGTACCTGTAGACAATCCAGCATTGCACCAAGGGCGTATCAGGACGCAGCCACACGTTGACGGGCAGTTTGCTGCCTTTGTCTACGTTTCGGTTGGTTTGGACAAAGAGTCGCCTTTGAGGAAGTTATTATCAGACGCGTTTCGAACTGCAAAGGCCACGGTAGAGTGCCTACAAGAACTAAAAGGCGTACCTTTGAAGGAAGACGACAAGTCCAGCGACGGAGCAGAACCTGCTTTGCATATTTCTTTGTCGCGGCCAGTTTACCTACGCGCGTACCAACGCGACGAATTCAAAAGTGCTGTTAAGCAGCTGGCCAGCCAGTATTCACCGTAAGTATAATACAATTTATAAGGGGCTGCTGACGCCAGATTCTCAGGTTTGATGCATCGTTCGCAACATTTTCCGAATTGTCGAACGACGAAAAGACGAGAACATTCCTCGCCGTGGAAATAGGTGGGGGTCATAATGAAGTACCTCCAGCGAACCTCGTACCTGTTCGTTGATGCTAACTGCTTCATCAGTTGAAAGGGCTCAGCGAAGGCTTGACCCCGATTCTTAAACCGCTACGGCAGAAAGCGTATTACTCAGAACCGCGGTTCCATGCTTCCTTTGCCTGGGCGCTACTCCAGCCAACGCAGCAGGACGGATCTCCAAGTAATGCTGTCGATACCGCCCTTCCCAGCGCTGAATTCCGCGCCATATCTCAGTTCCCAACGGACTTGGTTCCAGAACTCAACCGAACATACAAATCCAGACTCTCCTCCGCTAGCGTCAGTACTTTCACCGTGGAGAATATCCACGTCAAAATTGGTAAAGAAGAAAGTAAATGGCGGCTCCGCCAAATATAACGCCCCGAAAGACGGCCCATGATCGGTCTACTTCCTATGGTAGATAGCACGACGGTATTCCCCTCCCTTCGGTCAACCATCAGATACGCAATTCAATGGTTCATCAACTAGCAACCGTCAGCTACATGATGGCAAGGCACTAGATGGCGCAATGACAATTGCCGTGTTTCTTCCGCTGCCGCTTCCTTGATCGAATAGATTGATGCATTGAACAGTTAGATTGTCATCAAAACCATTTCCATCCCTAGCCACCTTCGCTAATTCATCCACAACCCACTGGATGCGATCTCGCGCGATGAGGGTCTCTACGGCGGGGCCCAGCAAGCAGCGCAGGACGTGCAGCGTTTCAAGTTGAGTCGCAGTGGGCAATGATTGGGACTTGCATCCCCCGTCATTTTGAGTCGCCGCCAACGAAGATTGTACTGATATTCCCAGCTTCTCGCCGACTTTAAGGAGGAACGTATCCCAATCCCGGTAAGCAGAATCCGCTAGACGACCAAGCCGCCGCATGACCGGATTGGAGCCCGTACTTTCGTCCTCGCCATCCTCTGCGGGCTTACGCTGTGTGATTGTTCCTGCCCCTGTTCTATTGAAAGTTACGCATGCGGCATTGTCGCCGCCGTTGACGAGTCTGTCGGTTGAGCCGGTGTCTTTTCCATTGGACCCTAACCCGCTCTGCGCTTGCCCACTGACTTCGGGGGCCGGAAGGGCCAGCCCAGGATCCGCGATTGCATGTCCCAGCAACGCTCTCCACACAACCTTGCGCACTGAAAGCGCGGTCGAAGTAGACGACCTATCATTATCAAACCAATGTGACGGAATCTGTGTGGCGAGATGGTATGCAGACGGTGGTAGGTCGGTGAACGTGGAGTTCGAAAGGGTCTGGGACAGTGGGAAATCTAGTGACTCCCCAAGGTTAGATTTGTTTCGCAACACAGCCTCTTTGCACGTTCCAAATTCTATCAAGAAGAGTAATATCAAGCGTGTATCTCTCTCGGGCGCAGCCGTTGAAGTCACTTGCAGCCTCGTGATACAGTGGAACGGACGTAACCTGACAGAAGAATGCCTACCTTCAGCTCGTAGAAGGTTGTAACAACATCCGACAACGACAGCCGCTGCAAAATACCAGGTCTTTCCTGTCGAAACTCCATTGATACGTGCGGTGCCATCGCCGTCCTTTGCTCCTATAAATGCTCGCAACGTGTCGGGTGTGAGAGAACCACAAGCATGAAGCGCCACCAAAAGTACTGGAATCGGCGATAACGACTTTGGTTCAGGCAGACCAGATACCCAGCTGTCTATCACCTCGGCTAAAGAGTGGGCGTCTACGTGGACAGTCTGATGAGTGATAGTGCCAGCTTCTATGGCATTGCTGTCATCATCACTGGGATGACGCCTGAACTTCTTGCCCATGATCTTCTGTTCGCGGATTTCGGCGCCTTTTGTTTGGCTACGATCAGCATCTAGCGCTAGTACGTGCGAGTTGAAATGGATGCAGAGGTTCCGAGTTAAATAGCCCTAGAAGAAACCGTAAGATCACCAATCACCAATCGTAGGGAGCGGGAACAACTTGGCCAGCGCCTACATCGACAAAGTAGGGCTTCGCATCTCCAGGAAGGTGAAGCGAATCCACTAGACTTTGGACATAAGCTGTCATGCGGTCGACTTCGTGAGTCTTCTTAGGCGACATGCCAGAACCAAGACGAGTGCGTCCAGGCCGTACGGTATCGTTCAATCCTGGAATAGAGATCGGCGAGCGTGGCATTTCCATAGACTTCAGGACGTCAATGAGATCCGTAATTTCTTGCGGGATGGAATCAGTCCAATAAGGCGCCGCATAGTATTTTGCAATGGACATCCATCTTGAATGAGATTTAGACCACTCCCACCACCTAGCCCAAATAGAATGCGGCTCCCGTAGATTGTTTGGGTGGGATTCAAGCAGCGACTTCGCAAACGGACTATGCAAGAATGCTGCCAGTTGTGTAAGCGATGGTTCAGAGGAGGAGGACATCGGTATCTTTCCATGATATTGAGCCACCTAGTTCGGAGAATTAGACTGGTTTGCGAGCACCTTCTCGATGTCCAAGCTCAACGTCTCGGGCTTCTTTGGTAAAGTCGCAATTGTGTCGACTCCTGATATGAGTAGTTGGAGAATATGGTAAGAAGTAAGTTGTAAGATTGAATTCCGCTGCAGCGAAAATTACTGCGTGACTGAATAAATCGGAAGGAGCGTGACTCAACCTAGCGGGAAGATTAGACGCTCGGTGCCGACCCGTGCCGACTACGTGCCTCACGCTATCGTTTCGACGCTCGACTCTCCATAGGCTCGCACCCTACTTCTAAGTTGACGGCGACTTGAGGTTGGACTCCTTCTCAGGTTGCTGGCAGAATAGCTTCCCATCTATGCAACAGTCTCTTCCAAGACTAATGCTTCCTCTGGCTTGAGTCTGGACCCTATATGTGATCTACTCAGTAGGAATACGTCCTTCGAGGCTGACGCTGACCAGGAGGCAAGTAAAATCCTCCGCGCAGTGTTCTGGACTGAGAGAAGTACACTAACGCGACTCTTTTACACTCTACGTCTACGGCATCATCTAGGCAGCATATCTCCGGCGTCAAGGCCAGGTGGCTCTCCTCTTGGTTCTAGGGTTCTGGATATCCTGTCTTCGGTTGGCCCACATTCTGGATGATTTAATCGACGGCGCGCATTGGGTTTGGAATATACCTGCTGGCACCCACAATACACGACACAACGACAGATGTCGCCATTCCGCCGGGCTGGGCTGGATCACAGAACGGAAGATGAACATGTGTTTGGCTTATCTAGTTTCGCAAACTTTGACGTGCGTCTTAATGGAAGAGATATCGATTGGTGTACTCTGGCAGCTGCGGCAAATCACCATTCCCAAGCCAGGTTTGACCTAGGCCCTCAATTTAACGATCCCGCGATTTAATTCCCTGCTTGTAGCATCTCCGACGCTATCCTCAGCCACGCACCACTCCAAAACCTAAGGAAAAGCGCCAACCAATGTCTTCTTCTCATGTTCAAACACCATCAATCAGAACAAAGACACAGCCGCCTGTCGAAGGGGCTTTAGGCGATGTATTAATGCGGCGCTAATTTTGCTTCCGTGGAATCCAACCGAACTCCCCTATTTGGCCGTCTACATGGTACACGTCGGTGCACACACTGCGTATCAACTTTGGCCCGTTAACGGACGAAATTTACGCAACAACAGCAGAAGTTTCCAAATGACACCGGTCGCTGATCACTTTGAAGACACCGTCGAGAGCTGACTTTTGAGGTGCACGCTGTGTGTCTAGCTCGTAACACTCGTAAGCGTATATGTCAGTACGTACATACTCCCATTAGACCGTTACTTAACGGTTCAATTGTCGGTTCACTTGCACAGCACTTGCAGTAAACCTTCACCAGTCCCCTGCTAAGGGACAATGCCGCCGATTCCCGATGACCCGCTTTCACTTACCCGTATTGAATTAGCAGTCGGGTGGGTCTGGATTTAGCGTCGGCATGTTTTGAAATGATGGCTCTAGCCACCGTTACGACTTCGCTGCGTTTAACAGATGCCGCACCGACAGGATCGTGTAAGTTAACAGCCCGTGGCTAATGATGGGTTGCACCATTCAGTTCATCATATCTCCAAGGTCTCGGGGCACTCGAAGGGTCCAGGAAGTATCACGCTCTTCTATCGTTGCCAGCGAATTCATTCCAGACAGTTGCTTACTTAGTAGTTACGAATGTCGGGGCTCGTTGTTAACATTACGCTAACTTACTAAGGGTCTAACGACTTAGCAGCGCGTGTTTTACCTTAGCAGCGGGGCCGTAGGGCTGTGGCGCCGGTAGTGCGACGTATTCAATCCGTCGGTGTATCATTTGAACGGTGGCGGCTTTGACCCTGATCGACTCGGTCCCAGCGACGCAAAGACGTTGACTTCGCAAGGCTCTGTAATCTTTGTAGGTGCGCGCTGCTAAATTTCCTGTCGGATGCTGCAACTTTCTAACGTAAAACCTCGGTAGCTTCGCTTGCCAGTACGGATATGTAGGCTACACCCTCAAGGCGAACAAAGAAACCCTGGCTAGGGTATTGTAATATTCACCTAGCCGATCTCCACAAATTAGCATTCTCATCACGCATCAAATGACTCGACTCGACCTACGCACCGAGAAATGAAGTTGATTTGCCTGCAACATTGTCCAAATCCGTCTCCCATTTTCGCCAGGCTAGGCCTCGACAATATACTGGCAATCGGCGGGTATACAGTACACTTTCCGTTCTTTCTTTCTCCGTGCCAGCCCATGCCAGCCCTTCAGCCAGCCTGCTCCGCGGCTTCCACGCAGCGCACGCAGGCAGGTCCGATAAAATGGTACACCGTATATCATAGGATCGATGCTCGGCTCGGCTCAAATGCTGAATTGCATAAAGACATATTGCATCAGGCTATTGGATCTCCGACGCTTTGACATTCTGACGCTTTCTTTCATTGTCCACGACCCTGGACCTACCTACTATCTCAGCGCCAACCCTGTATCCCTGATACAATGATGATTGGCCTGAACGCCAGGTCCGTAAACAAACATGACCTTGTATATACAAAGGAGCACTGAATTGAATCGAGCAAACGTCTAAAGTTGCTTGACCCTTCAGCTTCCATGTACCTTCCGCTACTCAGGCAATCCGACGATGATTCGGGCCTTCCTCCGAATAGTTCAGCTACATTGCGACTTGGAAGGCACATTGGAGCTTCGGAACATCTCCGTTCATCGACTGACCCTCCGAACATTTGCATATTCGCGCATCATCCAATTCAAATAAAATTTTGTGATACTAATATGATACGTTTCGTCGGTCCCAAACTCCCCAAAGTTTCTCGTTCACCTCATGGTCGTACGCAATGCAATGCTCCGTCCACGCTCTGGTTCTTCGCCCCCCACGATGACTTGATTATGACCGCCAGTGATTAGATCAAAGAAATCGAAGCCCGCCTCCGAGTCGAAGATAGATAATGCCGAGATTTCCCATGGCCCCGCAGAGTCTCGATTCCATTTGTACCGCTGTTCTCTTCCGTGGTCGTCGTCGCCGCACTGGCCATCCTACTCCCATCAGGCAAAAATGGTAGTCCTTCCATTCAACTGATCCATTGATGCATCACTGCATCGATTTACTGATAGGCCTAGGCACCCTGCTGTGTAGGCGTTACCTATGCCCCGATGTACGAAGGTCTAATGCAGTGTGAATTATTGAATCGAGAGTGCATCAAGCGTTCCAAAATACAGCAAAAATCTGATTAACTGAGGTGGCTGAGCCTCTTTCTACAGCCACCGACATCATGCATCATTAGGCACGGGAATATCAGTTCAACCTATTTAGCGCCCAATGGATTTCAGCTTTAGCTACTACACTGCACAATGTTGACAGCACTGCCATAGACGAGAGACTCCAGAGCGTGCACTCATCTTCATCCCGGAGCGCTATCACTCACGAACTAATCCAATTTTGAACCCAAGTTATGGAATCAGCCACACCACCTCCACTTACCCCATAATTCATCTGTGCGATCTCCGCCATCCGCCACCGGAAGGACGCGAGCAAGCCCTGAAATCTACCTGAAGGACCTGAAAGTTCCAAGTATGAACGCTGCCTCCCTGCAACACATCTACCTGATTCGATTCCGATTCATCAGAGTCACGACCATCATGTTATGTTTGCCTGTTTATACAATGTTTATCAATGTCTTCATGTTTGACCACCTACGCGTGTTCCATTTTTTTCACGGGTTGATTACTTCCTCCTAGACCGCATTTTTCGCGTTTCGACTATCTTATAAGGTGCGTAGTTGTAGGAGGTGTGTATTTATGTTTCAGAGTCAGTTCCTGCTCCTGGCGACATATAGCTCCTGTATCCATTGCATAGGAGTCCAGGACATACACGGTTACACCAGGTCCACAACATGATGATCTGACATAATCGATCCGAGTCTTTAAGTCCATCGCCACGAGGATGGGGTATGTTAGGCTCGAAGGACCTTAAGATCTTCTAGCCTGTATTCCGACTTCCATCGCTCACCACCCTTAAACAAGACCTCCCCAAAATCCGCCAACCGTATGCCCAAGGCGTAGATGTACGTCTTCAGTAGCTAATTGCATCAGACTTGAAGCGTGGAAGGGCCGCAGTTTGGTTAGTAGAAACCAGACTCCAACATTCACCATTTCAAGAAGAAAAAAAAACAGAACATTCAAGTGCACCGCATCACTCGAATGCATCATGCATCATTTCTTGGAAGTCGCAGCCGTTCCGAATTTGTGTACTTCGTAAGCGTAGTTTGTACGTACGGACTTCGGATGAAAGTGAGCGAGTCGCTTCAGAATTAGCACATACGGCGATCGCATAGTAACACACCCTCGTAACATCGTAACATACACATACATATGCCTCCGAGATACCTGTCCAGCGGCGCCGAGCGAGGATGCGGGATCACGATGATAGATTGGAATAAAGCAACTTGGCAAACGCCGTCGAAACTCGGTTGATTGACTTTACACGAACACGAACTGGTTGGCGACTCATTCAAGCTCATGATGATCAAATTGGAACTCCAATCCTCCATCGAATTTCTCGAAAGAACATACATGCTTTTGTTGAAGGCGCGTATGTTTGGCATTTAATTTAGCGGAACCTCTATGGTCTTCTATGGTGTGCCCCGAGGGTAACTATTATTGGTGCGTACTTGGCAGGATTGGACGCCGTCCGACGGATCACTCTATATTGGGGTCGGGGAGTTCACGATGAGCTCACGCCGTGAGATGGATGAAAACTTCACTCCATTGCTGTATACCTTATGGCTCGCCCCAAGGACGAGCCTCGGCCAGCACCCCGAGAGACGTCGGGGTCAGGATCGGTAGCTACAATGTGTCGGGCGTACAACTCTAAATCGGGGAGTCGGCGTCGGTATATTCAGTAGTCGCAAGTCGATTTCTCAGATCCACAAGTATGGAACGTGAAAATAAAGTCATTTAGAGGCAGCCACGGCGCTCTGGCTTCACACAGACGACGCATTTTCGAGTCTGAGTCTATGTTGTTGATCGATATCGGCCCCTATCATCACTGCACCCGATACAAGCGCTGAAAATTAATCGAAGGTCCTCATGCACGCAGTGTTCGCATGGGAAGAACTCACTCGCTGGGTCGGACGCGTCCCGTCGCCGACTCGCCTAACGACATTGCTGATTCCGTTGCCCAGCATTTCTCCGTGCTCCGTGCTCCGTCGCCCACTCAATCACCGCCCTCCTAGCCCCTGAGCGCCCGGGCGCTAAACTACTCTCCCCTAATAGGCGCGATCGCCTACTAGCACCCTTGATGTGGAAGCCCGGTGGTCGAGCAACGCCTGCGCCCATATCCGTCGAAGTCCCATATGTCCAATCGGACTTCGGTGCAATTTATGTCCATGATTCGCGGTGAATGCGGTGAATGCACGTTGAGCTGCGCACTGCTAGAATGGTAAGAGTGTATATATGTATAAGTGTAGAGTTATACTTGGTATCCTGATGGGAAAAATAGACTATGCTATGCATATGAGTATGAGTCGAGTATACGAGGTATGGGAGTAAGCGTAAGTGCAATATATCCATATCAAATATCATGAAAAGATGGAACGATTGCGATTACGGATACGAGTACCCATAATACGAATTTAATACGCTGATGCTCATACCATCAGGGTACCCTAGTTGTTGGGGCCCAGGACGTTTGAGGTAGGTAGTTTATCACCCTCATATCATATATCAACGCATCAACAACGCTAGCGCTCAACGTGGTCCCATATATTACGGTGCATCTCCATAAGTCGAAATGCACACGAATAGTGTTCAAGTCAACTGCAAAGCGGTCGGGCTGGCGGAATGCAATCGTTTATTCAGGACCCATACATACATAGCATACATACATGCGTGTGATTACGGTGAAACGGTGGTGGTACTACGATAAGTTACGGTTATAGTGTGCGTTGGTGTGTTCATGTGTTGTGGATTTTGGCGAGGAGGGAGAAAAATTAATGGGCGTCAAGCGATTGAACGAGCAAGCACAAGTAGACAGTAAGTGTCAAGCATCAAGCAAGCAAGGTAGAAGGAACGAGCGATGCTGGAGCGTTAAAAGGGCATCGAGCGAACGAAAAGCAGCATTACATGTTAAAAATTGCAGCAGCAGCAGCGAGATCGTGTGTCAAAGACAAATCGTTATAATGGATGAAAGAGCTTCGCAAAGATCGAACACAGATGTCAACATGAATAGAAGAATCGAGAAGCGAGACACAGAGAGAAATAGACACAGAAAAAGGAAGAGAGAAAGTCCGGTGTGTATTTATATTACGTATAATGTAGAGTAGAGCACAGTTGTCGTTGTCGTTGTTGTTGGTAGTGGGAGCAAGTGGTAATCGGCGCGAGGATGGGGGTATATCAAACAGAGGGAGAAAGCAGACTTTTGAAGGTTGTGCGAACCACTTGCTTTCGATACGTCGTACATGCATTATTAGCTTGCTCGGATTCCGAATCAGATTCAGATTCATTGTGGCGTTCCATAAGCCGATCCGCCCCGGGAATTATTGTACTCCTGCTGCTGGTGGTAGCCTCCGCCATACTGTTGCTGCTGCTGTTGGTGATGGGGGGAAGGGTGCGAGGAATGTTGGTGATGCTGAGGAGGGGGTGAGTCGTGTAGATGAGATGGGTGATGGTGGGTGGGAGTACTGGGCAGCGACTGCAGAGTCATGGGGTGGTATAGCTGAAGCGTGTCGGCAGGCATTGATGCTCTCCTGACAAGGGGATCGAATCCACCCATGTTCATCCCTGCGTTCGAGTAGTGTGGGTGCAATCCCGAGTTCATACCGGAATGAAGGAGGGGGTAGGGCGACGACGAGAGGTGGTGGGGGTGAGCCGAATGCGGGGAATTCGAGGACAAAGAGGACATCGACGCGCGGATAGGCGGGAAAGGCGCGGTCGTTGTTGGCCCAGAAGACGCACGGTGTGCTGGCGCTAGGATGCGGCGACGAGCCTATCGAAATCCCCATATTAACAACCGTGTACTTTACGAAAAAGGGTAGCGGATATACTCACGTTGATCATCCAATTCGAGACCTGGGACATGCTCAGCCCTGTGGCGCCACAGAGCTGCTTCTTCTCTTCCTCGCTGGGGTATGGGTGATCTGAGTGGCGGTGGAGCCATGCCTTGAGATAGTCCGTTGTCTCCTTGGGGAGTTTGCCGCGCTTGCGGGTGGGACGATCGACGAGGGATGAGGTGTTGTTGGGCGAGGAGGAGGGCATCGGGGATGTGGGGTGGTTGGGGAGGAGATTGTGGTGGGGCGGGATGGGGATAGAGGGCGGGGAGCGGGATGGTGAATGGGGAGTAGAATGAGCGCCGCCATCGGGGGCGGGGAAGGACCAGTCTGATTTTATCCCACTCGAGCGTCGGTCGAGTTGGCCCGAGATGCGTGCTGAACCTGCGAACATCTGATGCTGTTGCTGGTGGTTGCTGTACTGGGGATTGTTGTACTGGGGAGCAGCACCGAATGAGGAGTGGCGGAGACTGTCGAGTTGGTATTTATTTAACAGAGAGGGACTGGTGGAGGACGAGGAAGACGAGCTGAGCTGGCCCGGAGTCGAGCTGGGTCGGATTATTCCTGAACCAGAGGGATTATTCCAGCTGTCAGACTGATCGGCGCTTGTGCTCATGTAGGGCGAAAGACCCTGATGATGTCTATTATGTTGCTGATAGTCGCCGGCCAAAGGTGAATCAAAATGCGTGGAAGGCGTCGTTGCTGAGGTGGACGACGACGACGAGGCATTCGGATACGGCGAATCGAATGGCGTCGGCGGAGTACTGCCCAAGTTGAGGTGCAAATCGGTGGATAAGCGTCCCGGACGGGGTTTGTGCCCATGGTCTTCCGTAGGGGGGAATGTATATGATGAAAACGTCGACGACGGCGTCGATGAGGGGGCGTATGCCTGTCGGAGCGAAGTGGGTGGGTACGGCGCATGCCTGACAGACGACGAGCTCAACGTGGGCAGCGACGCTCTCCTGCTTGCCTCCAACCTGAAGGTGGAGGGCAGCAACGACGGGGATGTCTGGGAGTCCTCGAACGAGGTGAATATGGATGGAAGCTGCACCTTAACGCCGTCTACATCACCGTCGGCGTCGTCCCTCTGCCTCTTGGGATCGGGGGAGTCGTCGGAGGGGGTCAAGGGACGCTTGTTGCTCATCATGCTTGAAGAGTCTGTGTCCGCTGCTGAAGTAGCGGAACTGGACATCCTCCTGGAGTCGTAATCGATGGTCGTCGTGCCGTGCAGCGATGAGAGGCCCGTTGTCGCCGGCGTGGACGATGGGGGCGGATGGACAAGGGAGATGAGAGGAGGAGAGTTGGACGGAGAGAGGTCTTGTACAAAGTTTCCCAGCGCGTCGCACTTTGAGTCCGCCCTGTGTTGAAAATAAATTAGCGTTGGAAGGGATGACAGGTGACAGAGTGGTCGACTCACAAAGCGAATTGCAACTGGGCGACATTATAAGTGTTCAGTTCAGTCGTTTTTTGCTCTATCATCTCGGAGGGGGTTTTCGGTCGTTCGTTCAGCCCCACCTCCTTCCCTTATACGATATATATTCACCTTTTAATTATAATCTCCCATATATGGAACTCAATCACATCTTTTTTTAATCATAAAATCCAATCTATCGGTTGCAATTCCCCTGATATATCCATATACCCACAGAAATGCCCACAAAATATTCTCCTCCCTCTTTCCTTGCCCATTCTCCCCCCCACTCCCCGCCGTCGACTCGTCCACCTCCCCCCAGTAAAATACACGAATTTTCTGCGCAGATATTCGCCCGGCTTCTCCCCCGGCCACAAACTTCGATCGGCTTCAGATTCGCATCTACACCTGCCTTATAAGGCTATATTACGCTTGCCCTTCTCGCTTTGCAGTTTCGGGCGACCCTGCACGCGCAAAAAAGGACGAACTCGGTGGGACCCAGATCTCGCTCTCCCAGGCACGCATCTCCACTTTTGGGCCCAACACTCTGCTCAAACGATTAAAGTTCCGACGATTGCGCGGAGTTCTTCTCTGCTGCTGTATTCTACTTAGATATTTATCGCTTTAATTAACGCCATAATTGTGATGGTAAATCCTATGCGAACGGCAATGTAAGCTCTCCTGCTGGCTGAGGATCGCATCGTACGGCGCTACCTCTCCTCCTAGCGCCGTCTCCTACACATGAAAATCTCATCATAGTTCATAGCACCCGCACCAAAGAGGCAGTGTATCTCGCGACCACCCAAGTGTTTCATGTTTAAATTCCCTCCTCCAAAGTTCGATCCTTCGTTGCTTTGTTGGCAAAGGGCCCACTTCGATCCCTCGATCCTCCGTTGTCCAATTTATCAACAGCTGATTCGAAGAGAAATCATGGGGGACATATTAATGCAAGTCCTCGATATGTCGCCGCAGAGATAACGACGACACATTACGTAACAGTGTAGTACGCCGGCAATCTCCGCGCATCCATATCAGGACGTAAATTCGTCCTTTCGTACGAAAAGAGCGCACCAAATTACCCCATTCGAATGCAGAAATATAATGTTACGACAGCACGACATGACAAAAATAAAAACAACAAAACTAGATCTTTGTATCCCGAATGCCGTAAACTCGATTCTCATCGACATCCTGAGCTTTCGCTCCCGCCCCCACTCCGGGAGGTATCCGTTGAACGTCCAGCGCCAGCGGGCACTAATCCTTTCCCGCCGCGCCCCCCGTCCCTCCATCTCGCTTCCTCGCCCCAATCCCCTTCAGAACACCCATGGCCTTCTTCCTCTCCTTCTCCGTAACCTCGACGCCGTCCAACATCCTTATGCCGCCACAAGCTCGCATGACAAGCCCTCTATACGCTAATCGACCGATGTAGGCGTCATCGGGGAGATCCCGCCGGAATTTAGTGTCAAGCTCTTGCCAAGTGTCGCGCGGCCGGGATTCAGCTCCATTTGAGTTTGACGTCGCTGGCTCGGAAGAGGAAGAGGAAGTCTTCGAAGGTTGCAGCGCGCCGGGTATATCCTTCACCAGCAAAGGCAGATACCACCCTAGTGTACATGGGTTCATCCTGGATAAAAGAACCAATACAAGTTCCCCGATCAGCAGATGTACCATGACCAGAGTTGAGTGATGAAACAGAATGCGTCACCACGCAAATCAAGGAAGGGAGACTCTCACCTGAAGTCCAGGAGCTCCACCTCTCTAAGCCGCGAGAGCAACCCCACAACCTTCTTCATGCTCCTTACCCTGGAGCCGACGATCATCAACTTTCGCAGCCTACCCAAACCATTGGAATAGCCGGCAGAATTCGAACCAGCAGCCGGGGCGTTGACCCCACCCAGCAGTGCACAGACATCGGCCTCATCCAAAAAGTTATAGTTCAAATTCAACACCCTCAAGTTGGGGAAGAGGGACGATACGGTCGGCGGGAGGGAGGAAATGCGACATCCCGCGACCTCGAGGTATAGCAGATTATAGAATGGTGTAGTTGATGTAGAGAAGAATGATGTAGGGAGAGGGTTGCCTGAGAGATGTACCGGCTGATCAACAAAAACATTGCATACACGGGTAGATTCGACATACCAGAGAGGTATAGCCGTTTGACATCTCGTATATCCCGAGGTCGCAGACCACTGTTGACACGGTCAGCCACCGAATCACACCGCCACCGCCCCGCCGTAATGGAAAATACCACGGCAAACCAACGGGGCAAAAATCTCGGAATACTCACAGCGCGCCCCCACTCTGATTCCTCAAACTCAGATTCTCCAGCTTCGCCAATCTATCGAGGTTCTGCAACTTGCCTCCCTCGCTTCCTGCTCTCCCACTGCTGGGACCACCACGTGCCCTCCCTCCCTCCCCGCCACCGCCAAGAACATTCCCATCCGCATAAAGCGTCCTGAGATTCATTATGAGTCCTACGTCCAACTCCTGGAGCCGATTATGGCTCGCGCGGAGTATCCGTAGCTTGGGCATGCTGGCGGTAAACTCCAGGCGGGTTAAATCGTTACTGTCTGTCAATGAATGTTAGTATTATCATCAACAATGGGATCAGATCCGGTATTCTATCCGCAGACTACTCGCCAACATGCGTGTGTGTGTAAATGAGTGGACCACCCACGATACGAGAACACGCGCAGCCAGCGGAACCATATGAAATAAACAGAGGAATAGGAAATACACACACACCTACATTCAAGGCAATCAGCGAAGGTAGTGACGCCAGCCCCGAGATGTTATCTAGGTGATTTTGGCTTAGGTTCAACATTTCCAGCCTCGTCCTAAATCAGAACAAGGGTACGTGAGCATTAGTCCGGCTCTCGTTCGATGGAAAACGACCAAGGAAAGCCCGGGAAACGAGGGGATAGGGAAAATGCAGCCCGGCAATTAGGAAGCGTGAAGCGTGTGTGTGAAAATGGGGGAAGAAAGATTGGGTGGGGTGGCACGCTCACTTACCATCGACATTGGGCTAGATCAACGGCTTGAATGAGATTGCCTTGCAAACTTAGCTTCACTAGGCCATCCATTCGCTCGAGGCCATCGATGCTACCAATCTTATTCGCATCAGCCCGCAGTTCCCGAAGATGTCGCAAGCAGCTCAGCTCTAATAAATCAGCGCGTCCCGCATTCCTTTATTAGCGCAGATTGAGCCAAAGTTGGATGCAACTTACGGCGCAACGAGTCGATATCATTCTTGCTGATGTCGAGGTTCTCCAAATTGAGCAGGTGACCAAAGGAAGACAACGCGGTGAGACTGAGGTAACAGGGGTGGGAAGATCAGACAAGGGTCGTGATTCATTAAAGAGAAGCAGGCAAACCTGTTTGACGAGACAGATAATGTCCTCACACTGCTAGGCACTCCACTGAGCCAAGAAAGCTGATTCGAATTCCTAAATGTTGACGAAGATAATCAAAGAAAAATGGTCAGCGGCGGAAGCAAACAGAAGAAGTACGTAATAGAACCCACAAGCTCAATGAATCCAAGTGGGGAAGAAACTCCTTGAGCCTCGCCACACTCTCGATTTTCTTCTCCGATAAATCAATGTGGCTGAGTTCCTCCCAGTGTGGTTCAAACGGCTGCACATCGGTGATGACCTGGACCAAGCGGTCATGAGCTACTCCGAAAGAACACTCCGTGAGGAAAGTCGCATTCCCAGTGGTAGTGGGGATTCCGCGATATGATCTCGTCGGTGATAGTACAGCATGCTTGCTGGACCTTGAAGATACCCTGCGAGAATCGTTCCCCCTCGAGGTGATGGATCCTGCGGCACTATTCGGGTCCCGTGAGGTCAGTGGCTGAAGTTCATCAGGACGTTCTGAAGTAGAAGTCTTCGTTGGAGATTCATTATTCTCAGAACCTAGCAATCGGAATTCTCAAGCTCAGCAATGTATGGTTCGGAAGTAATCAGTCACGCTTACCGGAATCCGATTCGAGGTTTTCCACCAGGTCTGCGATGCGCTTTGACCGCGCAGACGGTACAAAGCCAGGGGTAGTGTGACCGGCGTCCCTGATGGTGTTGTTTTCGCTAGCCCCACTGCTGCTCGCTAGTGAGAGAGAGTCCTCCATTGTTCTGCTCAACCCACGAATAGGGCCGTCCCTCTTTCCGTCAGAGAAGCTCACTGATCTGCGATGCCGATGTTTATTTGCTGGTGTCCTATGGCGGCTGGAATCCTTCATGACAGAGACTGGCGTAGCCGTGGCGCTTTTCAACACGGAACGGACTCTCGGGGTCGAAGCTTGCGCAGGGCCGGTCGACCGCCTCTGAGGGCTTACTACGACAGCGACGATGGACAATGACTCAATTGAGTAGCGCAAATCTGACTCGGCTTCGGCCAAAGATGCCTCCGTCGGACGTAACTCATCTTCGGTCTCGAAGCCATCACCAGACACTTCGTTCGGCACAACAGCATTCTCCTCCTGTTCGTCGGCTGAATCCGTGCTCTCGTCATAATCTCCACCGTCGGATCCTTCTGTCTCAACGCCGGTCATAACTGGGACAATGCCCGCCGTAGGATCGTCGAAGGAGAAGCTCGTCAGTTCAGCTTCTTCCTCGTCAACCTCCGACACCTCCTCGATCCTACTCATAACCTCGTCAATATCAGTGGCAGCAGTTCGTCTCGAGAGGTCAGGCTGGTCCCTTGCTCTAGAATCGTCCAGGCTGTCGATATCTCGGAAGGGGTCCTCGCTCTCCCCTTCCGCGTCGTGCAAGGAAGCAAAAGCCCCTGGGCCTGTCGACGCTTCAAACGCCGGATTCTTCACCCATTTCATTAAGACTTTGTCGTACACCATCTTGCCCACCTTGTCGGGGAGCGTGGGCAAGTCCTGGGGAGCGATTGTTCGTATTTGTGCAGGGCCCGCATGCTTCACGAATGAAGAAGCCGCTGTCCCAGAGGTTATCGTCGTGCCTGAGGCCGTTGTGCTTGATGAGACGAAGCGGTTCAGATCGTCATTTGTGGCAGATCGAATGGAATATGCGGGATACGCCGCGGGGGCCCGAGTAGCTAGGGCAGCAGCTTCGCTAGGATGTAGAATAGTAGTCGGTGGTGTGATGGTCACTACAATTGCTGTATTGCGGGAATTTCGAAGGTTCATATCCGCGACACCATCTGCCAGGTTCGAGATCGTCCTTGAAGAGGACGCCTTCGAAATAGGATTGGAAACCCGTCGAGGAGAATTTCTGGGCTTCGAGCGAGTTGAACCAGTTGAATTAGAAGACGCTATCCGTTGATGACGAAGAGAGCCTTCTCTCGCAGGGTCCTTGCCGGTCCTCTGGGTTAACTGTGTTTGAATAGTGTCGACTGAAGACTCGAAAGGCGCAGTGAAGGTCGTTGTGTCGGTGTCTCCGGAGAAGAGCCGTTTCTGGCTCTTCACGTCACCCCTAATCTGGGCCATTAACGCCTCAGCCTGCTCTCGATACGCAGAGCCGCTCCGCGAGTTGATACTGCTCCCAGTCGCAGATGAGTTGCTGCTACCGGCTTCGGGTAAGCCAAGTCGGTTGGCGTCGGCTATGGATATGCCTTGAGCAAATCAGCATAACTAAAAGGGCGTGACGGACCTCTACCACTCTCTACATTGGTGACATCGACAGGATTAGAAGGATGTTCGATTACGGTCCCTGCAGGGCTATGTTGTGCGCTCGCTTCTGTGGAGATGGTGGAAAAGTCGCGAGCCTGCTTAATCTTCTGCATTAACGATTGCGATTCCCCAACATAGTCGCGGCCTATGGGCTTCGGACGTGCGATTATCGCATCCTCGCCTGCATCCTCGCCATAGAAGTCGCTACGCGGGCTCAACTTGATACGTTTTGCGCTCCGCATACGCGCCAATGTATCCCGGTCCCCCGCAGCCTCCGCCACGCGTGGAAGACGAAGAACAGGGGATTGATCGCGGCTAGACCCCGTTTGGCCTGAAGGTGAGTTGATCGCGATAGAGTCGACCATTGCTGAAAGGTGTTCGCGAGTAAATGTATCGTACTGGAATTGGAAGAGACGGAGGCGAGGGTCGGTCATTGGTGCTACAGGCTTAGTCGACGGCGGTGGATTGGGCGTGCTCTGAGCCTGAGGGAACGCACCGCTACCGTTGCCCTGCGGCCTTAGAGACCCGCTCCTCGACATCGCAAAAGTAAAAGGACGACCCTCTAAGTCCTTTAAACCAGGCTGTGATTCCGGTGTCCCGTCATTCTCCCCGGGGTCCTGATGGTTTGGCGAGAGTTCCGCAGGTCGGTCTTCCTCAGCTGGAGGTGACGGGGGTTCGAACATTCGTTCCAACGGTAGTGGTGTAAAAAAGTCCTTAATCAAGCCCTTCTTATGGCGACCTGGCGTCTTTGGCAAGAACGGTTCCGCCTGTACATCTTCCCTAATCAGAAATGTGCCTGCCGCGCTTCTGGAGGGTGTGGTCTCGTTCAAAGAGTGATTCGTGACGATAGTTGTGGCGAGAGGTGCTGTAAATGATATAGATTGACTTCGGTTGGCTGAAAGGAAATCATCTCTGAGGTCGTCTTCTTCGGTGTCCTCAATCCATTCTTCTTGAAGCTCCTCAGTTTGCCAGGCCGGGCGAGAAGATGAAGCAATGGCGGCCATCGCGAAGGGTGAAGGAGATTGCGCTCGTAGTAGCTGTTTCTGTTGAACAGACGCCAAAGTCCTCAGTCACGTTGCAACGATGACATCACGTGATCGTGCACCTTTCCAAATCCTTTAATGTCCCTGATTCGGTGAATTCACCAACAGCAATGATCAATTTTGTTGTGCAGTCGCTTAAATTTGTATGTTTGCTGTAAAAAGGTACGGAAGTCAAACTCATGGTGTGCCTTTACACTCAACTTATGTCCATTGGAAATCGGGTTCACAGTGGGTCGTATTTTCTGACGTTTAAAGGATAACAAATAGCACGGTAGTCGCACCACCCACCTCATCCGCACCTCCGCGAAATGTACCCAGCTCATACGCGAGCGGTTGTGCGCGCCCTTGACTCTAACAATCCCAACGATTGGTTGACAGCTGTTCGGTCGCCCTGGGTTCGCGTTGATCGCAGCAGAGGCTCATTGTTTAGGTTTCGGCGCAAGCTTAGCTATGCTCAAGTAAAGCTTCTACGGTGGCGCGCGCAATTCCGCCTTCTAGAGCTTCAGCGGTCGTCATGGTGTGAGAGTTTCTTCTAAAAAATGTATTGATAACTCATTAGATCGTATTTGGACATCCAGAAACTTCTGGCCGCGGGACTGCAACTCCCTGCGTCTTTACACGCTGCGAATCATGCGCCTATCCAATCGGAAGACGCAATAAACTTTCGCAAAGCTCGTTCGAGCCTTTGTAAGGCTATCGCTCCATCAATTGGACGGTCCAGGCATATCGCTTGTCTTGCGCTAGATCCATGTTGCCCTCTCAGTGAATGGCCGGCCCGTACCACGATTCCTCCTCAGCGTATGGTAGGTTTAGTCGGAGTCTGTGCCGTTACGCAACTTACTTCCCAGACTGCGGGTCTATCCAGAATGGAGACTACTGGTGAGGGCACACATTTCACCGCTGAAACTCCATTCAGAGTCCTTGCTATGTGCTCACATATGCGTGAAGTTAGCTTCTAAAATCTCCCGGCTCTTACTGCCAGGCATGCAACGCCACGTAACTGCCTCGCCACCCGCTCCAGAATAAATTACACAGTATGACAAATGTCGAAACGCCCTTCGCGGAGTGCCGAGCGCAGCGTAGCACGATGCCACCCACTAGCAGAGGCATCAGACTCTGTTGTCCAGTCATCTCTCTTGCCGTCTGCCGGTATGGTATCCACCTCTGGCCCTGCCCTGAGAGGATCCGGGAGATATTCGAGCATTAGCTAACCTCCTTGTGGCCAAATAGAACGTTCACGGGATACCGTACGCTACACCACGCTTGTAGGGAGACAGCACCGTGCAACGACCTCGGTGATAGACCCATTAGCAGCCATAGTCACAGCCGCGAAAGTAGTTTTGCCAGGCCATGTCCTGCTATGTACGTTCTCCTGACGAAGTACAGAGTTCGGACGAAATTGCTGAATCTCTACCCTAGGGAATCATTGTCAGGGTACTTGCTACACGATTCTCCGAGTTTCCTCGCGAAAGGCGCAAAATACCGCCCGCGTGGATGGGCCGTGAATACTTGTTACAGAATTTCCGCCCAACGAGGACAGCGACACGTGCTTGTCGACGCCCTATCTGCTCATATAGCCAGCTCGAGGGTTTCCGAGGCTAACCGTGGCACCTCGCCTCGCGCACCTTTCACGGCGATCGTTCTTTGTACACTCGCTCTGTGTAGGTCCGGTGGATATTTATGGCAAAGCGCTGCGGGATCGTTGGCATTTGACGCTTCGTTACCTCTGCGTTATGACATGTCAAAGGTCCCTCCTATGCCGCCGCCCAGTGCTTCCTCTGCCGTTAGATTAACAATACTTTGGTTCGACCCCAGGCTCCGTTCCACGCCGCTAGATTCAACCCACCCGCCCAGTGACAATAATCTCTCGAAATGATACAGCAACCCACTCCGCAGCCGCAGCCGAGCAGTAGACACCCCCCACTCAACATCGTTGTACCAACGGTGGACTATTCGTATTCTACGTCTCATGTGTGAGAATTCGAATTCGTAGTGCGTCGGACCTTTGGCCGATTGTCTGTTTGTGCTTCCGTCAGCCTCCATACCAATATCATCTCGCTTCTTCTAAACAAGCTTTGCGTGCCGTCACTTCATGCATCATTCCGAGGACGACCACATTATAGGAATGCCTAAGTCTTGGACTTAGTATCGGATTTGACGTCGATGTACGATATCATGTTTGGTTCCTTTCGCTCATCCGGCGCCACTCGGCTAACGCATTCCCTCGTTCGCCCCAGGTTTAGCCAGGGACGAGCCAGTCTCGCTACAGATGCAAGTACTCCGACTTGCGTGAGCTTTTGTGACGTTTCCCGCTCAGTCCTCAAGAACTTCTCGTCTTAACACCGCATGCTTGGCATAATCAGGCGAACGAACTCAATAGATCTCCTCCCAGGGGGGATGCAAGCAGCAGGGAACAAGCATGGCCACTTCTGATGGCTAGACCGACATTCTGAAAGACGCGCTGTGTAGCGCCGTACGCCTAACTTGTTCATGGGTTGCTTTGCTGCATGACTGACAGCTCCCTTACGCTCCACAAAGTAGATCCGCTGGGTACGGTTAAAACCGACTGTCTTGTGTGGGGCTGAAGCGTAGGAGGCGGGAACCTGAAGGGTGCACCTCGACTTCCTTTCGCTAGGCGATGCAGGAAGCAACAAATACAGCAAAGGCACCGTGATCTACCCGTCATTTGTCAAGTGGCCCACTAAACCGTCTCATAGGCCCGGGACAGAACAGCACAGCAATGATCAGCAGGAGGGGGTTCTTCCGTGGACGGCACCATATCTAACTCCATCCCACTTCCTATCAATCAACCCCGTAACCACTGAGAAAATCAATGATGGAGCTGTCTGAACTTTGAAAGCGGATTGAAAGTGTGTCCAATAATACCCATTAACATCGTCACACCCAGGAAATAAGCAGCGCTCCCGGTGCGGCTGACTTGTCACCGCGTTGTTTCTTAATCAATCAACCTTATCCAATTGATGATCACATCCCAGACAAACTCTGGGAATGGGCGCAAGTGTTTTAATACATACCCAAAGTATACCGTGTAATTCATGACGCTTTCATGTGTGAATTATTATGCCAAGCGATGTCTGCGAGGACTTGCCATCGTTTGTCTCTGTCGCCAACAACACAGGTTTACAATCCTAGTGAAGTTCATGCATTAGTTTGGCATTGTAACTGCGTGTGCGTTATGACGGTTGACATCTGCTAAGTCAGCTACGTTACAGGTTGTGTCGATCATAGTATGATCCCTTTGGACTTATCGTAGCAGGAGTCAAGTCAGGATTCTATTGACTCCTTCTGTTTGAAGCCCTTTCGAATGTCGACTTCTAACCTAAGGACGTTATACGTTCAGCATTCAGTGTCATTGGCAGCCCCACTTATCACTTGCCCTCGAATTGACCCTATGCTAACATGTCATAACTCTCGATATCAGCAGCCCACATTTCTTCCGTTGCCGTAACGGTAGAGGGTGTTCCAGCTGGCAAGGGTTGCATCGTGGATGAGTGTATTACCACGACATCCCCAAGCATAGGGCCCAGCACTCCATTGTACAACGTTGAACGGTCCTGATGGTGATGGCGGGCTCGGGCTCGGCCAGCCTCACTCAATCTCTGTGAGAAGCTCCCAATCTCCAAAAACCGAGGATAAGTAAAGTGACTGATAACGACACTTTCATTCATCAGGAATCGCTGAGGTAAATCTTTCCCATCGCCAAACGCAAACCAACAAGTATTTGCCTCCAAACCGTCGTTTTACCCCAAACTCCTGATCGGGTAGTGATCGGTCACAATCTCGATCAATGATGTCTGGGCAGAAATCTGCTCCCAAAGTACAGCTCGGACCAAATTAATTGCCATATTTGGAGCGCTACCTTCCGAGTCGAGGGAACATGTCAGAAGGGGTGATTGGCGGACCACAATATGTCCACTGCTGTCAATGTCGAAGAGGAGATCTACAACTTAGAATCACAAACGGTATCTTGACCCAAGGAGAGACGCCTTGGGCTCGGTCACCGCGACAAAGGCCACAGTATGTGCCATGTATCGTCATATGCTACAACTCGACGATGTCTAATCACCGCCATCGTGGGTACACGCCACACTGTTCATTTGACCAAACGGCGCTCTTTCAAGGGGACCATCAGCAAGAAGGAAGAACAGGAGCAGGCACATAGCACAGCAGCGTGCTGCAGGAACTCGCTTTGTTCCGATTCCGAACACAAGGGTCGGTACGGACGATCATATGTACTGAAGTTTAAAGACTCTTTCTACTTGCAGGAAAACAATGCTCTATTCATGATGGCGGGATGAGTGGGGAGGGAATTGGAAAAAGGGAATGCTAATGCTGATGCTGATGTTGATGCTGATGGTACGGAATTGCGATGCGATGACAATGCTGGTAGTGATGATCAAAGAAATTATGCTGAAGTCTATGAATGTAGAAATGAGGCGAAAAAGTCTAGGATGGTCCAAGAGAGTATACACATGGGATTGCAAGACGCTGGAGTGGGGAATATGAGGTGAACTTAATCTCTGATATTTTCGAAGATCGATTTTCCGAAGAGTACGGTTGATGGGGAGTGGTTCCTTGAGCACGGTTACGCGCGCCAGCTGACTCCGGGGAGGGGTGAGGGTGAGGGGCATTCTATAATGGCCGAGAAGTCGACCCCCTGCTTCTATCACCGCACCGGATATCCCGTTCAAGCACGGAAAAAGGAGCCATGCTTGGTGGTGAACTTCTCGATTCGGTTCACAAGATACTTTTCAAAGTCGAGGGCACTGTGCCCCCCTACGACGACGACCTCTGGCGCAGGACCTGCATCGTTGTCTGCCGGCTCGCCTTTGCTAGAGATCCAAGGAGATGATGGTGGAGATGATGGAAATGATGGCCGACAAGAGCTCCCGGAATAACTTTTAATTGCGGGAGAAGCTGATTCTTGGGAAACCGGGGTAGATGATTGGCTCGGGAGGACAGGTTTGAAACCAATGATCTTCCTCACAGGCGTTGCGCGGATGGCAGGTGCTGCTAAGTGGTGGTACTGAGGGCGATGTGCGAGGAAGCGCGTGCGATATGATGGTGGTGCCTGAATAATTTCTACCTCGTCCGGGGACGGGCTCGGGCATACTGCGCTGGTATATTCGGAATGAATATCGCTGGCCGAAGCGGATGCAATGGTGGGATATGAATACATGAATCGGTCCCGTTCCGTCATGAGATTTTGGGGATATCGAAACGACAGTGGATAGTCTGGTGACATGTGGAAGACGAGATTGTCCGGCGAAGTTGCTGTGATGATAGATGTGGAAGGCGTGGGCGGTCGTACGATCTTACGGCGAACCGAAGGGATCTCTATGGGCGTCGAGCGGGCCATGTAGAAAGAAGATGCGGACGTAGCAGTAGCTTCCATCTCACGTATTTTAGTTTCTATATACCAGAATGAGTGTCAGAAATCACAGCGAGGTTGTCGGAGGGTTACAGCAGTGAGCTCACCAGCGGCACCGCAGAAACAAATTCCGGAATTGCTGTCTAAGGGTCGTCAACTGAAGCCAGCGGTCAATTTCAGCAAATTCCCAGAGACAGCAACGTCGTCGTTGGAGATGATGGTTGCGGTTCAAGGAGCGTTGGCGGCTTTATGAGAGCCAGGCCTGTGGCAGGCAAGATGCTGCGTTGCTTCCATGCCGCCAATTTTTGACTTTCACAACCACGTGACCCAAGGCTCTGGACGGAACCATATTTTTCTGTCATTTCAAACGGAAGGCGCATTCTGCGGAATCCAAAATTCAGTCTTCGACGCCCGCTTTCCATTCAAATGGGCGACAGCAGTTTTTTCTATATAGCCCAACTCGTGTTGTTCTTGTTTCCGGGAAATATCAAGCAAATATAGACAAGCGCTGCATCAACCGTGTAGAACTTGAAGAACTTGGTATAGTCTAGGCCAAGAAGCTGATGAATTCAGAATGGTAGTACGCCACAGCGTCATTCAACGCTACAGCTACGATAGAGCTTGTAACGAGCGTGTATGCTGTATCCTGACCTCACTCAGCTAGATGCTAGATGGTTCGACAACGCCGACGGAGTGGCTTCTTCCAAGTTGCGGGCCCATAGAATCCGCATCGGGCGGCTCTTGCTACCAAGCGTGTGGGCAGTAACGGAAGCGGGTTTAAACATAGGCCGTGAGTGAGAGTCTCTGTGGCGTCAGGCCTCGTTTTAGGGCACTTCAATGGCTCAGGCCTTAACCCCAGGTACCATGACGCTTTGTGTGTCCATCTATACATACTTGGAATAAACGTACATGGAAGCTATCTTGTTTCTTGAACGGTGTGCGTGCTTGGGGATCTTCTTTGTTCGCATCCGGGCTAATTCCACACTAAGAGTTTGGATATTTTCAATAGGCCGCAGGTTGGATGATATGTTGTTGCCTTGATCGCCATGGGTCCGTGGAATGCCGTGATCCCCGACCATATCGTGCACTGAACGCCACATCATCGGAGGAAAAGCAGCGCTAGACGAGCGGGACGGACTAGAGCAAGCAGCTTTGCATAGGGGGTTCTGTTCGGAGAACCAGTGGTTACGACAACGACGCCTTCGTCGAACTCGCTAGAGGATTACGGACAGTACCAATAGATAAATACCTTGAAAAGATATCGCACGATGCCCGAAGAATGGAGTCGGTAGATCTAGCCGGGTGAGACGCACAGCAAGAAGTATGTTGTTGACGAGAATAGGAGTATCAGAACTGTGAGCACCAGGTCGAAACGAGACCACTTGGACCAGTTGGGTGGGTTGAGCTTCTGCGAGCACGCCACAATGAAATGTAGCATGTCATAAGACGTCGCACGAGATGGCTGTAGAAGCAGAGCATCGCGGGACCACCAATGGGCGCGCGGTTTACCTCTCGAGTCAGGTCTATTTTGTGAGTTTGGCTAGGCCCAGTAGGAAATCGGGGTCCCGGCGTGGTGGGTGCAATGCTCTCTGGTGATGGATGTTGGCGATTGTGGTCTACGAAGGCTGCGCTCCGTTTGATACATCGACGCCTTGCGTAACCTCCGCATAATAGTTGATAACTTCATTGGCGTCGCGGAGAGCTTTCCGGGGGACTCGGATTCTGCAACGCTAGTATGTCTTCACAAGGCCTCTGAGCTTGTCGTTGGAGATAGACGGTGGGCCGATGTTCCCGAAGTTCTTGCTTCGAGGATTCTAGAGGATGGCCTTCAGAAGCGAAAAGGCGCAGTGTATTCATGGCTCTATTTGGCTTGGCGAACTGCGTATTTTACGCCTCTTCCTGCAGCGTTATCGTAAGAGAGACATATAGGTTGCTCGGCGCAGGACTGGCCATGGTGTGAGACCACACACGTATATTTACGGAACGCATCTTGACGGATTTGAAGCAATTCTTTGTATACGGTTTGGATACTCTAGCGGTCGAGGCTTTCTGAGAATGTCAGAAGGTAGGTATTAGCTTCCAAATTGTTGTCACGGAGGGAATCGTTGCATTGTGAGCACCGCCACAAATAAGACAGTTACAGCACAGCCAGTTGCAGTCGCTGATGCACTTCGACGGGGAGTGTACCTACACCACCTAACAACGATATCCGGTTGCATGATCACAGACGCAAAGAGTCCTGCTTTTAACACTCAGTATTCGCTACTTCGTAACTCTAGCTAGGCGTACCCGTACTCACAACTTCCCTGTGTCTCACTGGAGTGCCTCTGCAGGACAAATCCCAGACTTGAGATCCTTAACTGAGGGTATATCATTTGATGGTGACGACCAGAGAAAGTGTGCCAGTCGAAGCCCTCGAGACCGGGATCGAACAGACCTCACCCCGGTGGAAAACCGCAACTCGAAAAAGTGTAAGCATATGCCCAATAGTCACCGATATATTAGGTGATGAAGGAGGGAAACGTTTGGGCGGAGTAGTTCGAAGACACGAAGAAAGAACGCGATTCCAAATCTGGGACGTAATCACGGGATCGACACCCCTTCTAGTTCAATTCAGGAGAGTGGCTTTCAACTGCTCCACATCGTTTAGTTTCTGCAACCTTCAACGCTGGTCCTCCACTGTTGTGATCCAAGAATTAAAAAGGCTGATTGCGTGGTAAGTTAAACACTACTTACGGTCGATATCAATTGGATCATCATCTACAGAAGAATGCCTTCTCCTGAACAAAGACCCACCGTATTCTTGCAGAACGCCTGCTACGAGCATCAATATATTCGCTCGAAGGACTCTTCTTTGATTGTAGAGCGCCCCGAGCGACTTCGTGCAGTTAACCTAGGCTTGGCAGCGGCAATAGCTCGCCTCGGGGATTATTCCGACGCGCCAGTGGCGCCAGGCAAACCAGACGATTCCGACGCGTCAGATCTAGCGGATGCTCTGAGTCGTATAGATATCAATAGAAGCAGCACGCGAGATGAGCCCGTGAACACCATTCGCAGCTCTGCATCTGTTCAACTCATGAACAATCCTGCCCTCAAATTTATTCATGGAGACATCGACGGCGACAAGTACCTGGAGAACCTGACTTTATGGATCAAAGAAAGTCGAACCAAGATCGCGAATGACCAGTCAGAAATACCTGACGGGCTTTCTCAAGGCGATCTTTATTGTACGTTCTCTCAAACGACTGCTTATGTTTGATAGTAATCAAGTGTAGTATGTCCTGGCACTCTCGACGCCATTCAGGGTGCTCTTGGTACCGTTTGCGAAGCCGTCGATACTGTCGTGAATACCAAAGATTCAGCGCCGCGAGCCTTTGTTGCTATTAGACCGCCTGGTCATCATTGTGGTGAAGACACGCCGTCGGGATTCTGCTTCGTTAACAACGTCGCCGTCGCTGCGGCACACGGTAATTAACTTACCCAACCAAATATACCGTTATGTTGATCTTATTTCTATTTCAATAAAGCCCATCTCAATCACGGGGTTAATCGCGTTGTCATCTTCGATATCGACCTACATCATGGTGAGTAGATTCAATTCTCTGTATTGTAGTTGGCGTCATAATATTCTACGATAGGCAATGGGACTCAGTCCATTGCTTGGCAGATAAACGAAGAGACATATCGAAAGACAATTGAAGCCGAAGCAGGCGCTTCTGCGAAACCTGGCCCTCAGATTTACTATGGGTCCATACACGATATTCTTTCATACCCCTGTGAGGTACTGCCGCTCCCTCGTCTCGCATCCGATATACTGACCCAAATCGCAGGATGGGAAACCAGAGCTAGTCCAAGCTGCTTCAGTCTCAATACATGGGAACCATGGGCAGTATATTGAGAATATCCACCTCGAAGAGTACACTTCAGAAGATCATTTCTGGAATGACCTGTATCCTAACCGGTACAAGCGGCTCTTCTCCAAAGCCAAACAATTCCTTGATAGCACCGGTGGGCCAGGGGATGATGTGATGGTTTTCATCAGGTAACAGTGCTTTCAATAGGTCTATCCTCTTTAAACTGACGCGTAGTCTTGTAAAACTGATAGCTGCGGCTTTGATGCGTGCGAGCACGAATACTCATCGATGTCTCGACATAATCGGAAAGTTCCAACGTCATTCTACTATCAATTTGCCAGGGACGCGATCGAGTTCAGCGATCGGTATGCTCGCGGGCGGTTGGTCAGCGTCCTTGAAGGCGGATACAGCGATCGAGCTCTGACAAGCGGTACGCTGGCCCTTTTATGTGGACTGGTTGGTGGTACCACTACCATCGACCAATCGTGGTGGAAGACAGAACATCTTGAGGAGGTTTGTTCCGTATTGCCTCTCTTAATCACCGCGATAATGATTGCTTCCTCGTCCAGTTGGAGAAGGCTGCGAAGAAGAAACGAGGGGGGAGGCAATCTCTGTCCACTGCACCCCAGGACCCTTGGCTTGCGCGAACCATGTCGGTGTTCTCTGCATTGGAAGCTGAGGGACCAAGGCCTTCGAAGAAGGCTGGTGTGCCGGTTCCCATATCATCAAGAACACTACGCGAAAGAAAGACGGGGCCTGCTTCGAACGTGAAAGCCGCCACGCCTACTGCCTCGAAGCCTACATCCCCTGCTGCTAAATCCATTGCGATCCAGAAACCAAGGCCTCAGTCAAGAGGCGAAGGTGATGCTTCGTCGTTGTCGTCTCTGAGTTCACAGAGCTCAGACGCTGAGAGCGGAGTTCCACCTGCTAGGAAACTACCCAAGGTCATTCTACGTCTAGGACCGAAACCGGAGGAATCTAGCTGAATGGCTCTCTCCCCGCCTCGATCCTCCTTGAGGGTACCGCGGTTTGTATGCATGTTTACTGAGATTGTGCAATGTCACTTCATCAGTATCTGTGTACCATCAAGCTACCTATTCCGTATAATGATATAATTGTTCAAACAAAATGACTACTCTTCTGCAACAACGATGACGCTCTTCCCATGGTTTTTGCCACTCTGTACGTCCAGGATTGCCTCGCCGACCTTATCAAGGCCATATTTCTTGTCTTCCAAGAAAACTAGTTCACCCTTCGCGATCATGGCCGGGATAGTATCGTAGAAATCCTTCGCGTTCTCGGGCGTCATGTGGTCGGACACGATGAAGCCATTTATTGACAGCCTTTTCCCGACGATGTTCATCAGGTTCTGCACACGCCGCTGAGATGAGGATACCGCTTCATATGTCACCCAATGGAGTACGCACCTTGACTCCGTAGGGCGATGTCTGGTTGTACTGGGAGATCATACCACATTCCTACGAAAAAAACCATCAGATGTCACTAGCTGAGATTTTGGAAGGTGACTTACGATAAACCTGGCGTAAGGGTTGGCCGCATCGAGCGCTGCTTCCAAAGTTGCGCCTCCAACATTATCCCAGTATCTGAAGGGTACGTTAGGTGGTGACGATACAACAGAGCGCAACAACTTACATGTCGATGGGGCCATGTTCCTCCAGTACTTTCACCGTGTCTGTAGTCTTGTAATTGAAAGCGACGTCTACTCCGATTTTCTTCATGAACTCTACTTTCTCATCACTGCCGGCGGATGCGATGACCTTGAGGCCGCCTAGCTTAGCGAGCTGAGCAACGATGCTGGACATTGTTAGAACCAGAATGGCGCTCGAATATAGTGATGTACTAACGATCCAACAGGACCTGGGATAATCGCGTCAATACCGGAGTCAGTTGTAAAAGCCATTAAGACGTACCAGCACCGGTGGTCACAAAGACGGTTTCACCCTGAGTGAACACCTCATCGTCAGATTTAATACCACATAGGTAAATGGGACGAGACCTTTTTGGCCTTGGAGAATATTTTCCAGCCGAGATAAGCTGTCTGCCCTAAAATAACCAACATTAGACGAAATTGATGTGAAGACCGACTCGTGAACGCACCTGGCATTCCTGCAGCTCCAACGTAGTTCGACCATGGAATGTTCTCCTTGTTCTCAAGCAGCTTAACGTGTGCTACATTGGTTTGGACGACATATTCCTGGAATGCTAAATGTGTGCATTAGGAGGCATCCTGACCCCTGTCGAGACTTGAGGTGACTAACGCAAGAACGCCCAAACATGATCTCCTGCTTTGAACGACGGATTCTTGGAGCGAGTTAGTTTCCAAAGATAGATCGAAAGGCATCTTTTAATACCTCGGATCGAAGAACGACCCCGACAGCGTGGTTGTTCAATCTGCAATTCATCTATCACGAGACAAATCCTATCGGGGGGCTCGTCTAGGGACTTACGGTTCACCAATGGCATATGGGGGCTATCATGGTCGTCCACTTGCTTCAGCGAGCAAAGTAAATGAATCATTCAAGACTTACTGAATAGGATTTCTTTGTCGGTGCCCTCATCTTACCCCTCATGTACGGGTCGATGGAAAAGGAGAGTGCTTTGATCAAGATCCCCCCATTTAGTGGTACCGTTTCGAGATCGATAGTTTCGCTTTCATCGTACACAGTCGTCTTTCCGGGGACAGGGTAACCTGTGAACGAAGACATAGATTAGATAACAAGATCGATGAGGAGCTCAGAGTAAATTGTAATCTCAGTGCTCACCAACAGGTACTTCGTTGAAGAGGTGACGGCCATTCTTGATAGGAGCCATTGTTCGTATTTGAGAAAGAGTGGATGAGATAGATAAGTCAAGTACATTTTGGATGAGCGGGTGCTCTGCTATTTATGGCGGCTGAGAGGCTTCGGGTCAACCGCGTACCCGGTCAACCGACGGATTTGTCACCCCATGACGCCACGCTTCTGGCATTTGCCTCCGCTCCGTTGCAAAGCCATTGCAAAGGCACCATGGGTTACTGTTTCTCCCATGGAGCTGTTCGGTGCTCAGTCATGCAGAGACGAACCGATTTTCGTAACATTGAAGACGGACAAGCCCGAAGGCCTCGGCCTGCGCCATTAGATGCCCGAGCGGGCGGGTGGCGTGTGGTGGAACTATGGCGCAGGGGGTACAGGGACTTTACCCGTACGTTGTGAAGTTTATGTGGCCGTTAGTGGACGACACGGTTTGTATCTAGAATTTGGTGGCATGATCCTTTACTCTTGAGCGGTAAAGGTATCTACTGTCTGCACGTCATTTGATTATGTCTCCACTAGGTTAGTGCCCTCGACGATGTCAACATCTTTCAACCAGTCCGCCTGCCACTCAGAACCTCGCTGACATTTCCACCGAATCTTCACTGGCTGGGGTGAATCGCGGTACCAGCGCCGACACTCATGGTGTTGCCCAGTGGTATTGCAAACTTCCACAAACTCGAGAGATGGTGCTTCGTCGAAGCGCTGCTGAAATTGTACGGGTGGCTGGATTGGGGCGTACGGCGAGATGACAAGTCGGATACCCCGAAGGGTGTGACGCTGACATGTACGAAGCACGATGGCGAGGTCCGAAGACGCATCCATTATCCCATGGAGCTCCAGCCACTCTGTTTTGACGCAGAGAGTGGTGACGTAGCTAGATTCCATGTGGCAGGCAAGTACCAGCACGGAGTCGAGGCGGCGGGGCCGCGGGGGGCCGGAGCTGAAATACCCCGACAATTTTATGTACAAGTGGGTTATATTGGGGGGAACGGACGCAAGGCGGTCCAGTACCTTACATTCGGTGACCAAGGTCTTGAGGTTTGGAAACGCAGAGGGCGAAAATCGATGTGGCAAGGGGCCGCTGATGTGTGTGCGGATACTCAAGAACTCGAGAGATGTTTGCGCCTCTAAGAAACGGACGGTGGGGGTGTCCAATGGAATATCTCGGAGTTCGAGTTTGGTGAGAAGGAACGGAGGGTTCTGAAGGAATCGAACATGTGGTAGTGTGCGGCGCTCGAGGCAGAGGGCCTTCAAATTGGTCGTCTTCATGAGGATTTCGTCGATGACCTTGAGTTCATGATGTCGGATATCTTCGGCATCGAAGGTCAGGCTGCGAACAAAGAGCGCCCGAGGTCCTTCAATTGCTTTCAGGAAAGAATCCAGCTTGAATCGGATAGGATGCTTGGAGAAGGCTGCATCGGCGTAGACCCTAGCAGACTCCACTAATTGACGAAATTGCTGGCAAGCTAAAAGGATGTTGCAGAGAGTGCTTTTGTCAGAGACCTTTTCAAAAGTCATCCGCAATATTTCTGGGGGTAACGTTCGCGGCATGCTCTTCGGTCTTGGAAACCTTCAAGCTACTTGAAAGTTGAAGCTTTGAAGGTTGAAATTTCTGGATGGATGAAGAGGCGTGGCAAAGTTCACGCAAGTCACATGTTAGGACAGGGGCTGTCCCTAACTTTGAGGCCCAAGTTCGCTCAAAACCCTTGCCCAATCTCTTCTCCAGATATCGCAGCACGCGGTTATATACGCATTCAATGCGGCCGAGTACATTGATGATGCTAGTGTATATAAGTTGATAGTGGTGTAGATAGTGCTGCAATCATGAAACGAACTCACGATACGGAGATAGACCGAAGGGTACCCACGTATTGACGTCTTGCAACATCGCCAATTTTCTAAAATACATCGCCACCTTCCGAGGAATCAAATTACTCGAACAGGTGATTGGTTCCTTTTGCTCGCTGGACGGGCAATTGATACCTTCTCGTCTTGGACACCGGTGTACTAAACTCAAGAGCGTTAGATGAGAATATAGGCGTTTGTGCGTCACTATGCTATTCCATATTGACTGGTACTTCCATTTTCCAGTAGTGTCTTTCCCCGTGGTATTTGGTCAAATTACTGACCTTCGAACAGGTGATTTTAGATACGCACCCTACTTAGTATTTTGGATACGTTTAAAACAGGAGTTGCCGGTCACATGAGCGCGTTTGCACAGGCAGGGGCCTGCAGGAGTATCTAGGGGCATCTAGGGGCAAGGGAAGTAGAGTCTGGTGCTGCAAGTGTCAATCAATCGAGATCCCTTGGACTGTGGTCCTAAGCAGACCTCCAGCTATATTCAACCCACATTGACTGTGATGAATTCCATTTGATCGCCGGATGCCGATGTGCAAGTGAAGTATACTCCAACTGGTCTGCTCTATAGTCACCTTGCGTAAACAGCCGTCATACTTGGCAAATTGCTCTCCAGACTCAGAAGCATCACCACAGACTCAATGCGCGTTCTTCCATTACTTGCACCCCCATGGAACTTGGATTTGGCCGGCTTCGCATGCACGAAGCCTTACGAAAGGACGATCATCGAATCATGAGAAGGACGAGGAATATTGGAGAAATGCACACGTACTGGGGCATAGCCGGCAGACTACGCCATCGTCGGCCAAGAGTTTTGTTACTGGCGAGGCCCGGGGCTCATGGATCCTGGCCGAAGTTTGCTCTTGTAGCATCACCTACAGACGCATCGCGATGGTCGCGGTGGTCGTAGTGGGGCGCCCTCAAGAACCACCGCATCATAAAGACCACAAGACTAAATGCTGGACTGCCTGCTACTTAACAGCTGGAGCTCCGTCTGACCAGGAATAGCAATGTCACAGGCGGCCGGTAGATATGATTCGCCTCGAACGGGGATCAAATGCCTCACCATCGGTGTGTATCGTTCCTTGCAGTTGCGTAACTTTAATGCCGGAGGGCGTCTTCATCGAATTAAATAAACGAATATCCGAAATCGCGATCAGGGAGGGAACGTTAATTGTGGGGTTCAAATCATCTGGCCAGAGTTCCAGCGCTTACCTACATCGCGAAGCGTCTGAAGCAGAAGTCGTGGCGTACATCCTTCTAGAAGCAAGTTTGAGCCAAATGTCAGTTGAATGTGGGAAGTGTGCGATCGAAAAGGTCAAATGACGGATGTTGACTCACCGCTAGGACTGCTTATCTTTCAGGACAGGCTGCAGGGAGCCTACAACACGTTGCCTACGCCTTTAAACGATCACCGAGAATCACCGAATTCCTTACCGGTCGAGGGCGACAATCAGGAGAGAAAAGGCAAGTAGGCAATCTTTCATGATTATTAACCGTTAATATAACGATGGGCGTCAGGAATGAGTATACCGGTGCAAGGGTTTCCACGAACCTCGGACTCGGAATGTCCCAATTGTCGTCGATGCAGCACATCTCCGCTTTGACCGTGTCAGGGACCAAACAAGGGGACCCACTACCGGTTCGAACTTCGCGCTGGACGCTGGACAGAGTGATCAATCCAGAAGTTCAGAGCATTGAAAGTAAAAATAATAGCCCGAAGGCAACCCTCACCTCACGCCACACAAGAGCTTATCGGAGGTTATCGCTGGAACCTCGACGCGGCGTTTCGCATGAGAACTCTACTGGTGCGGAAGTGAGCCTACAGCTCTGCGTACACGGATTAATGAACTTTCAAGACAATAGCCCGGAGTTACTTTCGTTGAGAACACACCCAGCGGCACGGTGAGAGCCGATTAGGTCACACAGGCAACAACCGCATGCAGTGCAGGTCACGGTTCGTGAGGGAACTGCATCAGAATCCATCACATAACGTCTTGGGCTTCCGGGCCAGTACTTACAGCACGCTTCGCTTGATCCAAAGCCTGCAGTCAGAGGTATTCGTATGCCAAATAGCCCCGTAGGTCAGGGAACAGCATACGGCTAGTCATCCGGCAAATTACATGTTTTCGTGTGTAGTCGCTCCCACGTACACTCGCAGAAGCTTTCCTCGTTCGAACTATAGTGGGTACTCACCCCATCTTGTGCCCCCAAAATGCAACGGCATAGAAGGATTTGGTTTCCAAAAGGTTCCGTCCCTGGTGGGCCCGCGATTACTACTATATAGGATCCAATGGTCCACTTACAAGGATAATTAATATTCGAGAATTACACTACCTCCTCGCCCACTCTTAAATAGACACCCCTACCCTTGGGATCCAACAAGTCGCCCTGCTTCCCACTTTATTGTTGCTCGCTCCTCCGTTGTAATCGTCCCAGAATGTTGTCCGGTGTCCTTAGCAGCAGCCCCATGCTCAACCTCGCCGCCGCTACTGGCAGCTTCCCGTTCCCGACGAAATTCATTGCCCTGCCGCCAGATGCCAAGGTCACGCTCGGACTCGAGCAGCCAGCAGCAACGTCATCACGAAAAGCGGAGAACATGAATGGATGGTTTCCGCACAAGCAGCCGAGCGCATCAGGCTCAAACCCTATCGCACCCCTTCCACTGAGCACGGCGCATGCAGAAGTCTGGTCCCAAGGAGGAAAGGTAAGCGAGTATTCGATCTCGAAATTAATTGCGAACAACATTCCCGGCGTTTTGTATCTATTTCTGACGAAGAACGACCCCCGCTAGATATTTATACGCGACCTCGACTCGCCTTTCGGTACATATGTCAACGATATCAAGATAACCGGCCCCACTCAACTCAAAAGGGGCGACATTATTGTACGGGCATTCCCTCCTTCTCTTCTAAATCGAACACGAATACTGATCGTGCTCGTAATCTCCCATTGTATTTTCTGCATCGCATGCAGTCTCTGGGCCTTCATATTCCTAGAAATGGCAAAACACCAGCCTATATATCGGACGATGAGCTGAAGCCAATCATCGCTCGTGTCGCGTTGACTGGTACCTCGTAATCAGTTACCTATTGTCTGGAGATGTAGCACCGATATCCCATTAGAGACGAGGCCTTTTGATACCCCATGTGATGGAAACATAACCTTGGCTCTCTCACACCATTGATCATGTTCTGCGAGTAGATGTGATTGTTACATACCACTATCAATGTTTGCGCACAATCGCCGAGGACAGGAGAGGCTCCAGGGGTGATCCAGGGGTTGATTGCCCCTCTTCGGGGAGACCGGCCCACTTAGCGAAGGTCCGAACTCGCAGTCGGAAACGAGTCGACAATGAATGCTACCGTGCTCACGTATCTCGACACTCGATTGCGGCTTTCGTCTATTCACCGAGAAACGACCATCGAATTGATCAGTACTCATGAATGATGATACAAGAAACAGCATGTATCTTCGTCGTTATTAACTTCTCTCGGCCATCAGCACGCCGAAGACGACAGCAACCAATACACTGAGCCCGAGAGTAATTCCTGAGATGACCATACGCGCTACAGGGAACATGCCTTTCGTCAAAGCCGTCTGGATGGTGAAATACCGCGTCATGCCTATGTATCACCCAAAGTTTAAATACCACATAGGATGCAGGGAAGGTGTAGTGATATAAAAAGCTCACCGATAGCTAGAACTATCATCCCAAAAATCACTGTCGTTGCTCCAAGTGGCCGAGCAAGAGACTGAAGCCGTTTCGATGTCGGTTCATATGTCGGAGGCATGGGCGACGGGCTCGTGTTCACAGCAATAGTAAAGAGTTGTACAAGTGCTATACATCACGGTGGAGTTCGATCGCAATTATTGGGTAAATAGGAGATATCGATAAGAACAAGGTTACTCACCTACACCCGTCGACGCAACCGCTAAACTTGTCCTCACATACGCTAGGAACGTCCGCTCTGATGCCAAATGATCCCTCGCCACGCTCCCCGAATTTTCCAACACAAGCATCGGCTGCAGTCGCCGCATGTATGAATTTGAGGAGCGTTTTGTTTTGGTTTTTGGTTTCGTGCGTTCGTTTTGGGTTTGGGAAGGGACACATGAGGCCGAAGGGGAAGTTTCAAGGGTGTACGTCGAGATCCGTGAAGGACCAGGACATGGCGCGGAGGCGTCTCCCGCTAAAGTACAGTCTCTGTCGCGATTGGAATGCAAGCTTTCTTCTCGAGGGGATTCAACGAGGTTTCTATGGACGAATGCCTCTGCTGGAGTCGCGCAAGACATCGTTAACGTCGGCGTAGATGTCGTGAGGGCGTTCACCATTCGTCTAGGATATTGTGGACCTTGTGGGGCTCGACGAGGAGCATGGGAATCACCCTAGGGTTTGGAAAATTCGGAATTCGAAAGAAGCCCGACTTTATCACTTTACGTGAACTCCGAAAAGCCTACAAAAATATGTCTTTGAACCAGCTCTGGACTGTGGAGGAATTCTTGGCTTTCTTTTTCTTGAATGCGGGTACATGGTGGTGGTGGTAGTGGTTGAGGTGCAGGAGGGCCAATCGAGGTTAGATCAAAGGATTCCCAGATCGCGTCATCTTTGCTCACAGTACAAAATTATCAAGTCCGAAATAGCGTACCGTGGATTGCCTGCAATGAGTAGGGAGTGCGCCCGAATCTACTAGAAAGCTCGCTGGCCATTCAGAGCAGAATATGGACGACAGTATTAGCTCCAGTTGCCTTGCAAATGGCCAGTGCGACTGACAACTCACAAAGTACAATCTCTAATACAATCGCATCCTTCCGAAAGGTGGGGTTACTGCTTGCGATCCCTTTGTCTTCAGTCTCACCAGAGAAGTTTAGAGACCAGGCCTGTAGATTCCGGTGCTCTTTGATGCGACGCACAGAACCATCCTTTCAAGCCTCAGCATTTCGCCCACTCGAGCTTCGCAAACAACAAATGGAGACTGTCCACCCGAGTTTCAGCGGTCTATCATAAGACGAACGCCATGATACACTCGAAATAATGAGATGATACAAAGGTGCACCATCTAGGACTGATTTTCTCCTCCCTTCTTCTTGCTGAACACTCCCCAGGATGTTGAAAATCGAACTGGATACAGAAACGCATCGCGGGCTTTTCGGACTTCGGAACCATGCCCAGCAGGCACGTTTCGTCCATAACATTCCCTCCATTCCGTGTTGTCATCTCGTGTATTCATTCATATACGCCGATCTGCGTCAACAACTTCTGTTGGGCCAAATGTCGGAGATTCGTCACCGTACGAGATGGGCTCGGACGAGGCGGACACGATGCCCCTCGCGTCCGCGCATCGTTCTACGGCGACCGGAAATGAGGATAACCTATGACTCTACGAATGTAGGCATCTGCGGCAACATGATGCACATCTTGCTGGCTAATGATTTGTTTCGTCGTTCTCAAGTGTGAGCGCTGGGTAAATTACACTCTTTGACAAGGCGTCTGTCTAATCATATTGCTGTAGGAACTGGCAAGCTAGGACCAAGATTCGAGATATCAACGCACATCCGATGCGTAGATCATCGCTGAGTACTCAAGGCCTCTCCTCTACCCGCTCTTCCATCGCTCAATAACTGGACCCACTGCTCACAATGTTCCACGCTCACTCGTACCGTTGAGTAAGCTTGCTACAAGCAACCTTCTCGTACACCCACATCCTTTAGCGTCCTTCCAGTCCTTCCTACCGCAGGCGACAACGTGACCCCTTCAGCTTCAGGGGAAAGAGGCACCGTCGCGTTGTACCTTCCACCGTTGTTACCTACGCTTGTCTTCTCTCAATATGGGAGCTTCCTATTGATTCCAAGGCCACTGTCTCTCCTATGTCAATGCTCATGCCCTAGCTTCCCGGGGTTGGTCACACACCGGTTGCTATATCTAGACTCACCATCCTACTCTAGCTATCGGCGGCTTCTCACCGCAGTGCAGATCTCCGGGGTTGTCTAATCCCGACCAACGAATAGAGGTACCTCGTCCGTTTCATGCGTTCAATGGAACTTACTTCCAAGGTCCCAAGCAACCTCACGCATGTCACTCATTCCAGCTTCGTGCGTTGGTGTATTCCCAGGAAGCCTATGGCGAGGCAATCTTTTCGTATAAAAGGGCTCTACCAAAGGCTCTACTATACAGCACAACCAAGCATCGAATCTTCTACCTGATGTGAGTCGAGTCGCTTTGACCTCTAGGATCTCGGCGCTGATTGTTTCATAGAAACCAGAACCAGAAACAGCGCTATGTCTTACAACATCCACCAGCAAGTATTCGCCCTCTCTGCCGCGTCCAATATCTTGTCGGCGTGCGAGGGGACACAGGAGGCTTTGCAGACCAAGCTAAACTCGGCTTTGCAGCCAGCCATCACGAACGCCGGCATCGGCGACTGGAGTGTCGTCTGGGGGCCCAATGTTTGGAAGGCCAACCCTGCCAGCGCAACGACGGGACCCGACCGCGTTTGGTACATCGCACGCAACCCCTCTGCGAATTTCGGGGACGCGTCGTACGACACCTACGTTCTGGCCGTCGCTGGAACTGCGAAAGGCTCACTTGAGAACGTAATCCTAGACGCGTACGTGAGCAAAGTCGTCGACTTCATCGACTGGGTGGAAACTGGAATCACCAGCGCTCCGGAGGCAGCGACCACCGTTGATCAGACGAAGCCGTACATTGCATATGGGACAGCGGCCGGCATATTCACCCTCTTAACCGTTGGTAACGCCGCTAAGCAGACCATCATCGAGTTTCTGGCCACCATTCCCCCAACCTCTCGTATTATATTCACCGGACACAGTCTTGGGGGTGCTTTGGCACCTTCCGTCGCGTTGGCTCTGCTGAAAGCAGGGGTCCTCAAGAATGCACCAGAGAATGTCTTCACGTACCCAACCGCAGGTCCAACCGCAGGCAATGGACCGTTTGCGGCTCTGTTCGCGAGGGATTTCCCTCTGATCTCTGATGGTCCCTCTCCTTATCAGATGTGGAATGGGAATCTTGCAAACAAATTGGACATCGCTCCCCTTGCATGGAATATCGACTCCTTACGCTCGATCCCTACGCTTTACGGCGTACTACCATATCTTCTCGGTAAGGTAGTCGAGATCACTGCCAACAGCGCCATTGCCATGGCCAAAGCATCAGGCGTGGGGTACGTCCCCCTTCAAGGACAAACGTTCACCGGACCTACGCCGACTCCGCCGGGGAATCTGGAAGTGTACCTCCGAACAGCTTTACAAGAACACACATCAGCATACATATCACTCATTGGGGCGCCCAGAATTCCCCTTCTATGCAAACCAGCGTCATCCACGGGGCAGGCCCGAGGCCTTCCGATTCTCGATGGTCTCTATCAAGCACGTCTCGAGGAGATGGAAATGGAGAGGTTGGAAAAGGAGGGAGAATAGTTCCTGTAATGTGTTGCAGCGCTCCGTTGTACCGTGAATCTGAGGACAATCTGAGGAATTACTTTTGACGACGTTGGGTGATAGGAGATAGGGGTTTCCCGATAGGATTGACAACGAGCGCCGACGCCGCCTTCACTCCACTTTCAAGCTTTCAAAGTCCAGAGGTCCCAAGAAACAAAAGATCCAGCAGCGCGGCGACATAGAAGGCTCGGGATTTGTGCTCTTGTCCAAAGATTCCAGCCGACTTCAGTCCCTTGGGCTAGCGAACTGGGAGTTACCACTCGCCGTCATGAACTCTCCTCCGTCGGTATGATACTCGTCGACCGCTCTACCTCTTCGCCGGTATATACACCCATTTGCGACCGTATCACAAATCGCATGCGGCTAATTGGCAGCTAAGCAGACAACCGAGTTCTCCGCCGCGTTCTAAACTGTTCCTATTATTCACCCCGTGAGCATAGCAAGTTCACGAAGGTAGAAGTCTCGTATATCCGCCATTGATCCTATATGGGCAATACTTGAGCTTTTGCAGGTTCGAGTAACTTCAATTCCTTCTTGAAGGTGATTCATTGGTGATCTATCATGGACGCACAGCTCACAATCTGAATTCCAGAATTGAGTTGGCCTCGTGATTGCGATATCACCTAAGTTACACAGTTATCAATGCTCTCGGTCGCAGTGGCAGCCATGTGCATGTCGCTGCGCTTTGCCATGCACATCTTCGCGATGAGTGCTTCTTCTTCTTTGCATGACTGAGCAGGAATAGCTCAGTCATCAATGATCGATGATCGTTGATGCCAAGTCCGTGCTCCTGCAAAAATCCATGTTCTTGCCAACTGGGAGCCAACAGCTTGCAGGTGTGTGTGTAAAGCATTGGAAACCGTGGCGTCATGGGTGACAAATCCTTCAGTCGGCCGGTTGTGTAGTTGACCCGAATTCTGTTCTGTCAGCTCCTTCATAACATAAATACCAGCCCTCCCTCGTCCAATATTTCCTACACTTATCTTTCTCATCGCTCTTCATACGACTACGAATAATGGCCCCCGTCAAGAATGGACGCCACCTCTTCAACGAGATTCCTGTCGGTAAGATCATTCTGTGATCGTTGATGCCGTCAAATTCAAATTGTTTGCAGGGTATCCCGTCCCCGGAAAGACGACAGTATACGACGACAGCCAAACTATCGACCTCGACACGGTACAGCTAAATGGCGGGATCCTGGTCAAAGCACTCTCATTTTCCATCGACCCGTACATGAGAGGCCTGATGAGGCCAGCGTCAGCAAAATCTTACTCTGTAAGTCTCAAGGAGCAAGGAATAATACTCTTGCTCATACCACTCGCAGCCGCCCTATACCATCGGTGAACCGTGAGTCTGCTAAAGTCATCCCAGTAGAAGTACCCTGACGGAAGAATCGCAGGCTAGGCAATCACGGTGTCGGTGTCGTCCTCCGCTCCGAGGTATTTATTTCTGTAACCCTTCAATCGCACGCAGTTGCATCTCAATTCGCGTTTAGAATTCGTCGTTCAAACCGGGAGATCATGTTTGGGCCTACTTCCGTGTGTCACAGATCCCGTCAGGGGTCAGGGAGCCTCCTAATGCGCGCCTACAGCTTTCCAGGAGTATATCGTCCAAACCGATGTCACGAATGTGAGGGTCCTCGAGAACAAGGAGAATCTCCCCTGGTCAACTTACGTAGGAGCAGCAGGAATGCCAGGTGCGTTTGAGGCCCTATCGCCAGTATTTTCTCCGCTTAACGGTTCCTATTATAGGTCAGACCTCATACCTCGGATGGAAGGTCTGTTCGAAGGCTAAAAAGGTTCGTCTCGAGCCTAATTGCTTATATAGTAACTACCTCTTACATCGATGTGCTTACGCAGGGCGAAACCGTCTTTGTGACCACTGGTGCTGGTACGTCTCGATTACTGTTACAACTCATCCTGGTATTGACACAACTACTCTGCAGGTCCTGTTGGATCGTAAGTATATCAACATTTCCGGAGGTATTGTTCCAGCCCTAATGATCCTGAAGCATCGTCGCGCAGCTGGCTAAGCTTGATGGCCTCAAGGTCATCGCGTCCGCCGGCAGCGACGAGAAGGTGGAATTCATGAAGAAAATCGGAGTGGACGTTGCTTTCAACTACAAAACTACAGACACGGTGAAGGTGCTGGAGGAGCACGGCCCCATTGATATGTAAGCCACAACACGACACGACGTAAACTTCTATGATCTGATGTATCGTTCAGTTACTGGGATAATGTTGGCGGCACAACTTTGGAAGCAGCGCTCGACGCAGCCAATACTTTTGCGAGATTCATCGTAAGTCACCTTTCAGACCTATAGTAAGATCACTAGCTAATAGCTCTTGCATAGGAATGTGGGATGATCTCCCAATATAACCAAGCGTCCCCGTATGGAGTCAAGGTGCGAACCTTCCTTGTTTCCTGGGCGTGACTTACGCATATCTACACAACGCACGCAGAACCTCATGAACATAATCGCTAAAAGGCTCTCTATTCACGGATTCCTTATCTTTGACCATATGACACCCGAGAACGCGAAGGAGTTCTACGACACCGTCCCCGCCATGATCGCCAAGGGCGACATAGTCTTCCTGGAAGACAAGAAATACGGACTCGAGAAGGTTGGGGAGGCGATTCTGGACGTACAGAGCGGGAAGAACCACGGGAAGAGTGTTATCGTCGTTGCGGAGGAGTAGATTGATGCTCGTGTGCAATCATTCTTGAGTCCCAGATGACATTGTAGTAGTATACCGTATGGTCGTGGAGTAGGGTTCCAGAAAATGGAAATCGATATACGACCTTGCCTTGATCAGAAGTCTTGGTATTTTTACCACTGGTTGTTGTCTTTGAAGCACGGTCTGGTGTGCCAGGTAGCGGGACCGAGCAGGACCATGTACGTTCTATTCACATGATTTTTCAGACTCCTTCACGTAAAGTGGTTCCTTTCGACCATACTCTTCGTCAGACTGCAGGATGTCCACAACTCTCAGAACGAATAGTCGACGGCGAAGGCGTTCGCGCCCTCGATGCTGACATGAACGATGCCACGCACAGTTCCAGCTGAGACGTCTGCTCCTTGGGGCGTCATTTGGGAATCTTCAGCGAAGAGAACGTTGATTTGTTTTCGACTCGCGACTTTGAGAATGCATGATCTAGGGACGCCCAAGACCATGCTAGTCCTTCACTGATCCCACATACACCCTCGAAACCCCCCCTTGGACCTCATGCAGCTCCTCCCAACCCCGAAACGACTAAAAAAATCACTTAAGTCGAAGGCAGACGTGTCTTTGATCCTGCGAAGGCTGCAAGTTCAGCCAATGGCCGCATCGGAAATTCTTGGAAGCAAGGTAAGGAATCGTTTGGTTTGGCATCGGAACGAACATTCTTAGTGCATGAGGATGTGAGGATCGGATACAAGGTTGCATGGGCGTCTGTCACAATTGCGATCTTTCGGAGTTGGGACACTGCCGGACAGTCCTAGTTACTATTGGTGAGTATTTTCTTTGATCTGTATATACTTTGCATCCTGTCCCCCCCCCGTTAATGCATAGATAACTTCATCATGCAAATGGCTTCGACGAAATTGTTCCCCTTAGGGCGCACGATCGTCTCGGGAACCAGTGGTGTATTAGTCGACATCGCCCTGAAGGTCTTCGTTGGCGAGGAGAGAATCCTGACAGCAGAAAAGCTACATGCCCTTTCCTGTATCATCGATCATGCCCTTTCCTGTATCATCGATCATCGCCCACCGGGATGGTTACAACGTGAAATTGATGTTCACTCCCCCGCCCATCATCGATTCTCCATGGACAGCTGCATGCCCTTTGGTATAACTCTGGTTGAGCGCAGGCACCCTTGTACAAGTGTATCACAGGTAGCCGGAACTGAGGCAGTCTGTCTGGCACAGGGAGTACCGAGTTCTCCACGTTTTGAAACCTGCCGCTCGGCCCACCTGGGTGGCCGTCCCCCAGCAACCTCACTGCAACCAAACCTTAGTTCACAATCCGCATTTGCTTTCACTTTACTGCGAGCGTCGAGGCGAAAGCGAGAACATCCAATGTTCCGGCCAATCGCGGCGATCACACAGTGACTGACCTTCCTGATGCAGAACGAAAACTCCCGTCGCGAGGTCACACGAACAGTGGACACTAGAAGAAGGACGGAAGCCACCAAAGCTTCCTCCGATCTACATGGAACACAGATAGACATAAGCATCGATGTAGCGCTGGCCCGGAACCTCTCGGGTAATGCAGCTGACTGCCATCTCCTCCACAGCAAGTGACATACGCCTAAGCTCATCGTCGCCGAGGCTTTCCGGCGCCAGCGAGCGGCTCGATCGTGACGCTGAGGGTCTGAAGGGCCGATGTCTCACTGGAAACCCTCGCCCGACCGACCGCTGATGAAGATGGGAGGTTTGAATGTATTAATACGCCACCCCACAAACCTACTTTATTCCATTGGGAGCTAATTCACGATCTATCGAAGGAGTTGGAGCACACTGATTTCCCTGGTACCGAGTATACTTATACCCCTCATCGCCAGTACCTCCGGGTTCATAACTTCCCCCCGCTCCATACCGCTTATCTCCCCTTTCCGTCCACGCTGGCGGCACGCGCCTTATTTTAGTATTGTCTCTTCACTGAAGGATGACAACGTCGACGCCCTCCCCAGCCCAAGACGCAGCTGAAGCGTGAGTACCTCGCCAGTTGTTTTTAGGGACGTAAAATGCTCACGCTCTGATCACTGGCGTGTCTCGGCATAGGTTGCGAACAGATGTACGCTCTAATCATCCTTCACACGCGTGCATGCATCCCCCCTGATCTGCATCCACTTAGTTCGTTGGATTCGCGAGTTTCGCAGTGCTCGTATGGGACCACCTAATCAGTCTCGAGGACGAGGTGCAATACGTTTGGAAGGGCAAGAAGGGTCCAAGTAAGTTCTACAGTTGCATCTGTTTCCAAGGCAAATAATGAAGAAATACCCTTTTCCCAAGTCGTATACCTCTTCTTCTTGGTACGTACCCCTTCCTTCCCAGCGCCCGGCCGCCACGGCGCTGCAATCAAAAGATGCAAGCCCCAACTAATTGAACTACTTGTGATGTTGTAGAATCGGTACTTTACGCCACTTGCATTCATTATCAACCTTTATGGTAAATGTTCTATAACACGCCGTTTCAATCAGCCCCAAAATCTTCTAACATCTGATGTTTCCCAACAGCATACCTCTCACCCTCGTGGACAATCGAGGTGATACTCCACAGCAATACATTTATGCGCGCCTACTCACTGATGATGTGTTATTTCTTTTGCTCCTCAGCGGTGCGTTCAACGTACTTACAACGTGATGTTAGATATTAAACATGTCTCGTTGATAGATGCGAACGCTTCATCAAATACGAGGGTACCACAGTTGCCTTCGCCGTGGAAGTAGTCGGTCTCATGATGTCACTACGGTAACACACTTTCCACTCCATATTTGATCTACAACTGATGTTCTTTTTTGTATTCCTGAAAATTTAGGATACGGGCTTTGTACCCACACCAACCGTTCATCGCGTACTTCTTATGGTTCCTTCTCACCGTTGAAACGGGGCTCAATGCTTGGCTAATCAGCGGCGGGCGAGGTTCGTCGACCATAGTTTCTGCCCGTAGGCCCCGACTCGCGGCTAATACAATCTTCCTAGCCGTCCCTCACAACCCCGACTCTGGCGTTCACTGTAAGAATTCCGTTTTGCTTCTTATTTCCAACATCTCCCAACGCCATATCCCCACTACAGCATGTTCATTCATCTTTGACCCTAAATAGTACGTACACCCTCATCACACGAATTGACTTCGCGCATTGACTGCCACACGTTTTCCCGCCTTCTCGCGCCTTCTCGCTTGGATGAATGTTGATCGGCGACTACCGAATCTCGCAATTATACAGCAGTGCAGCGGCGACTTCATCTGCATGGTTTCCCTTGCTGTACGACAGCATCGTTCTTCTACTCACACTCTATCGCACCTGGCCGTCTATTCGTAGACGGGAAGCGGGTTTCATCATGAACCGTCTTTTTGAAGACGGACTACTTTATTACAGGTATGTCTTTATTCCTTCCTCCATCTTTTCTATTGGAAGCCGAAGGGATAGCCAGCCGCTAACCAACGGACATCTGTTGATAGTGTAATTTTCTCCGTGACCCTAGTGTTGACTATCATGATTATTGCGGCTCCTCCTGGTAAGTTCAAGTTGGTCTTGGCGAGACACACGAAAACGTCTCGCCGTTCTCACCGATTGCTTACATGTCCGTCTTCAGGCCTCCAAAATATCACTGCTCAGTAAGACACATACATTCACCACGTGTTCCTACCCCCTGACAATGGTTCTGCGTCTACATATAGATTAGAACAACTGTGAGTCTGCCTTGGCTTCCCCGTTTTGTGTAACCAGCGGAACTCTACCACTCACCTGAACCCCCTCTCCCTCCCATATCATAACGTTAGAATAACGGCAAGTGACTGTTCCATTCTAACGGACACCAATAATAATATCGACTGCTTCTCTCTAGGTCGCCATGATGTCCCGAATTACCCTCAATCTCAGGAAAGCAGGCCGACTGACCGGGACAGAAGTTATCACAGACGGTCCGAACGATATGCCATTCTTCAATCGACGGCATCGGTGGGACCGCGATATCTACATCGAAACACATGTAGAAACCCACGTATCACAGCCCTCCCCGTCTGAAGAAATGCCTACTACTCCCTCCGACGCGGTATCGAGATCGACGGATATCCGCTTCAAAGTGCCTACGACGCCAGACTCCGTTGCACTGGACGATCCGTTCGCGAAAGGAAGAGAGACCTACGAGATGGCGGACTTTCGAGACAGAAAACATCAGCTATAGGCACGATGCTCAATATCCATGCTGTAATTGTAATTCATATGTTACGACGTATCGATTTTGCAGATATCGAATAATGTTATTGAATAGCAATTAGCTCAGTAATAGGAGTACAACATGATGGCACGCAGAATACACATGGTACAAGCAGGAAGCAGCGACAGCAATGGCAGAAGAGATAGATAATAAAATAGCAAGAATACGAATCACTGCGCCTGAGCCTCCTATGATGGGACTTTATTATGAGTTCCAAAGGACGATGTTAAATGTTCACGAACCTGATCAACGAATTCCATAGCTTCTTCTCGCTTGATAGCTCTTATTGAGGACACCTTTTGGTTATTAAATAAGACGCCGTAGAACTTGTCAGCAGAAACAAGCATCTCCGGTCGGAAGGTGGTAGTAATAAATTGAGCGGTCGAAGATAGTGATTGGATCATAGCTACGAAAGAGAAGGTCATTGAACTTGAGCAAATGGGGATGCATTGGGACCTACAAGCTACTGCGGTCCGGTATTGAGCGTCGAGGTTGGCGTCAATCTGAGTCCCGGGCGGATCGTATCAGTAGTTATCATACTTCTTTGCGGGTGCTCACCTCATCAAACAGATAGAACGGCGCTGGATCACATTTCTGAATGGCGAAGACTAACGATGGCCTAGTTAGCACCATGTCCTTTATAGCGACATGATACAACTCACCAGTTGCAAGGGCTACCAACGATTTCTGTCCTCCTGACAACTGTTGAATGCGGAGACCTTCATCGACTTTCGAGTTGAACGAGACCTTGAGAAAGTCTAAGCAACACTCGGTAAGCCTCGGTGCAATGAGGACTTGCCTTTATTGAGACACCGGTATAGTTGTCTATCGTGCTTTGCGGAGCTTCCTCGTCTTCGTCCATTTCTTCATCCTATTAAATACCTCAATCTAAGCCGGAAAGCAAGAACGAAGGAGGTGACGAACTCGATCAATTCGTCGTTGGATGATCAATCGCCCACGACCAGCAGGGACAAGCTTCTCGAAGACCTCTTCGAAGTTGCTAGCGACTTGTTTAAACGTCCTTTCAATAGCTTCATCCTTTCTCTGGTCAAGAACCTCCACAAGCTCTTCGATCGAGCCCGCGGATTTATCCAAGTCTTCTCGTCGAGTGAGTAACTGATCACGTTGCTTGGTGAAATTGTTGTACTGCTCGAAAGCCTTCTTATTGACATGAGCAAATTTCTTCAACCCTTCGTTAACTGTGTGGAGTTTTTTGACGAGCTGCAGTGTATATCTCAGTACAAGCGCGAAGGGATAGAGCAAGATGGAAATCCCTACACGATCTAGTTTCTCTGAAGTATATTTCTCGAACGCTTCTTCCGGGAGAACGCCCAAGTCCCTGATGCTCCGATTGCAATCTTCTTTGCGCTGCATTAGAGTACTCCGCTTAGTCATGTATCGTTCGGTCATCTTCTGCTGCCTAGCGATGCCACGACTATCCTCCGCCTGCTGGTTCTGCACCTGCTCCAAGGACGCTTTGAGCTCTTGAAGAGTGGCGGTAAGCCTTTCGGACTCCTTTTCCATAGCTACAAGGATGTTAGGCTCGGGCTAAGTCACAAAAATTGAAGGACGTACTTTGGGTCTTCTTAGTCAGTGTTTGGATGGATTGAGTCAAAGTCTTGAGTTCTCGCGAACGAGCCTCCAGATCGTTTATTGAGGCCGAATCTTCGTCGTCGGCTTCCCCGAAAAATTCTAGCTTCGCCTGTAGATCGGTCTTCAAACGACGAAGACGCTCGTTCAGTTCGATCTCGATTGCATTCTTCCTGCCCTCCAGCTAGACAAGGGAAGGTAGACTTGGTCAGTCGGGGTAAAAATGCGTCGGCAGAGACATCGGGACCAACCTCGTTCCGCTTCTTACTTAACTCGACAAGCGTCTTTCGTCTGCCTTCCACCTCTTTCCCGAGTTCAACGATGAGCTCCTCTTCCTCCTCGCTCAGACCTTTCGTCATCGGGGAACCCAGCTCCTGTCGGTAACCCTGCACCTTTACACTCAGATTACTCAGTTCACTCTCGATTTCCTCGACATCGCTCTCCATCTTCTTGATTCTCTCAGCCAACTTCTCCTTCTCCTTGGTGAGCGAATTTCCTTCATCCATATACCTCTCCCTTGCGTCTCGAATCTGATTCTGCTGCCCCGTGAGCACAGCCATCTGACCCGTAACTTGAGTGATCTCCTGCTCTAGCTTGACTATCTCCGCCTTGACTTCTTTCAACCGCCTCTCCTCGGCGGAATGCTTCGTTCGCCAATTAGTCACGCTTCGTATTGCCTCAATACGCGACCGTTGAATGTCATGATATCCACCAGTCAAAGCACCCTTTCGGTCGACCTTGTCTCCGTCTAACGTGATCGTGTTGATGCCGTGACTTTTGACATACGCTGCAGCAATTGTGAGGTCGCGACAAACGCAGGTCTTACCGAATACCTGCTGGAATGCCTTGTCGTGGGAGGGATCGTAGTTCATTTTTTCGAGCAATGGGATGGCGTCGGGTGAGTGAGGGTGCGGTGGATTTTTGGGTCTGAGGCGATTCAGGGGCATGAATGTGACACGACCAGTTTTCTCTGTGAGCATGACATCGAGGACCTTGGAGGCCGTGTCATCGGTGTCGACTACAACGTGGAACAAACTGCGTCGGAATATTTCAGACGCCCCAAGAGGACAAATTCCGTCCAAGTACTCACCTGTTTCCCGCTGTGAGTTCAACAGCCGTGTTGAAGGTTGGGTCCGTAACTTCGAACAAACGATACAAAGGCCCGTAAACTCCGTCGAGGCCAAACCGTTCCGTGATCTTGTCAACGGCACGGAGACCCATCCCAGTGTCCTGCGCAACGAGGTTAGTCTTTCACATCGAATTACCGAACCTCTAACCTTATCCATCATTCCAGCAAGCGCCCTTTCTGCACTTCGTAGTTCATCACCAGCGTGACTAACTAAACTTTCAAGCCTAGCGTCTTCCCTCCATAGCTCCTTTCGCCTCTCCATCAGTTCAGCCTGCTTATCCTTCAATACAGACATCTCGTCGCTCAATGTCCGTACGCGGTTTCGCCCTTCTTCCATCTTTCCTCGCACTCCTTCGATCCGCGTGTCGATTTCACCATGCGAGCGCCTGGCCGTTTCGAGTTCCCTGCGCGTCGATTCGAGGGCAGTTTGCTGTGTATTGTGATAAGCTTCCATTGATGCGATCTCGTTGCGAAGGAAATTGTCTCGCTCAGACTTGGTGCGAAACTTGGTCGTCCGTCCCTGTTTGGCAAAGAGACTGCCCAACTTAGCACTGGCCTCGTCCAAGTTCCTTTTCTCTGTCGCTTCGGCGTTCTTCTGCTCCGTCCATTCGGGGAGCAACGCCTCTAAGGCGGCCTCCTTCTCAGCGAGCCTGATCTCGATTTGACTGAGTTCGCTTTCAAGAGAAGAACGCTGGTCGCCTGCACGAGTGCTTGCGGCACGGAGGTCCGCGATAATGCATTCGAGCTCTGTGCGTGTGCGAACGAAGTCAGTAAGTTCGGATTGCGCGTCTTTGAGAGCGATCCCAGAGGTTCGAAGGGAGTGCTGAGTTTCGGATATTTCGGCTTCGAGACGCTACAGGGGGATGTAGCCAAACGAATGGTGATATGAGGATAGTCCACACACCTGTATTTCTTTCTGTCTCTCATTGAATTGCTCCCTTCGAACATTCGACCCATGGACCTCTCCCCTTCTGTCATCCTCGATCTCTTCTAAGGCCTTCCCCACCTCCTCTAGTTCCCTCGAATATAAGGCATACTCCAAGCACCTCCGCTCCTTGTCCTTGTCTTGGAATTCTTTCAGCTCCTCCTTCTCCTCTTCCAACTCCGTCAAACGTGAATCGATATAGTCAAGAAGCTCGTTGATTTTCTGACGCTTGGAGTCGGTTTCGGACATGATACGAAGAGATTCTGCGCGTCGCTGCTCGTAGACTTTCGTTCCGGCCACTTCCTTCAGAAGCGCCAGGCGTTCGTGGTCTTTGGCATTGGTCAAGGCAGTGATCTACGAGTCAAGTGAGTAAATCTCTTGTGTGACAAAAAGGTTACAGACGCGGCCTTGAGGAACAATGTAGTAAGGATTGGATTTGCTGAAACCCGCACTCTCGAGCAGATTCATAACATCAGCCTTGCTCACACTCTTCTTGTCAAGGCTGTACTCGTCCTTCTTGAGACCTATAGTTCGTCGGATGATGACTTCTTCATGACCCGTTGGGAAACGATTGTCAGAGTTATCAAATACGATTTCCACTAAAGCAAAAAGGCTTGAGTTTGTGGAGCACTAATCACCAGGAAATACGCGCACCGTAGGCCGATAGAGTCGTGGTTACTGACACCCCCTCGTGCAGCAAGGCTTGCCGCTCCTCTCGCGACATCGAGGTGTACGCATCAGACAACACAAATCGAATAGCTGAGACGCGTCAAAATCAACTTTCCAACCAGATAAGAGTGCTTACCAGCAAAGAAGTTACTCTTCCCAGAGCCGTTTCGCCCTACAACTACATTATGCCTTGGTGAAAAGGGTTCAATTTGCGTTTGATCACGATCTGTGTTCGGGTTCAAATATAAGTGAAAATGAGCCGTATAGATGCTCACAGGATTTGAATCCCTGGATTGTTAACGTCTTTATGTACATACCAGTCCAAGGTAGATGAGGAGCAGTCCAAGAAGGACGTGACAGTGGGTGCTCGGCGCGTCTGTGATGTGACTGGTCAGGTGACTGTGTGTCACTGGCTACTGTCACTGACGCAAACTTTTTCGCGCACCCGAAGTCCAGACAATCTTTCTGTGCGCTGTCATATTGGGACCCATGAGCTACCAAAGGGTCCGCGCATGAGCTCAGGATACTCTAGAGCCCAATGTTCTCGAAAGTCGAGATAATCAACGCATATGAAGGTTTGACCAACTTGTTCGAACCTGGGGTGGCAGTACTGCGCAATTACCCGCGGCGGACATCGGTGAGCACGCAGATCCTAAGTTTCTAACTTCAGCCTGTGATAGACACCTGGAAGGTCCTACTAATTAGTTAGTGACCTATTGGAGTTTCATCGTTGCTAACCCGCTAGTCCTTAACATAGCGCTGGTCACGATTTGTCACCTAAGTTCCAGGCCCAGCTGCTGTTGCTAGCAAGTCAAGAACTTCCAAACGTTTAACCTTGATAAGCTTCTAAAGCAGCTCAAAAAAGGGCCTACAGGTGAGATGTAGATTGTTCGTCAACTAGCACCCAGCGTAGCCCACGCGCTAGTCCACATCCGCGAATATCGGCGTGCATCACTTATACACCTAGACTACGTGCTAGGAAATTAGTGGAAAGGGCGCGTAAACTAGCGACATCCATATGATCCCAGGAGACATTATATATACCACCGACACTAATGGTTGAGTTCCTAACCTCTATCCTCCTGACAACTCAGTGAAAGGTACTTCAGTCCTTCAGCGAATGACGGTGCTCTTACTTTCATTTAGATGAAGTTGATTATCGCTTGGAGTGCTGTTGCAGCGACTATTGTGGCTGCACGGCCCAACAACTGGGCGGTACCTTGTTTCGAGGGTGAATGTGCCTATGATCTCCACCCGTCGACAGGTTCATCGGGTCACATCAAGATCGTAGGTTTCTACTACTTTCTTCCTACTTTTGTCACTAATGCCCTCGCAAGGCTGGTAGCCCCAATGCTATCACAGACATCACCCCGGCTGCAGGCTGGGTAGTCTTAGACTGCGACCCTAACCGTCTGGACCAGGAAATTCGTCTCGTGTGTAACAGCCACGATATGGAGGAAGCGGGATGCGCCCATTTCTTTGAAGGCGGAGGTCCCGTGCATAAGTATGCTCGTCTTCCCGAGAGCGTGAGCACCCCATTAGGCACTTGAAGAATCGCTCTCAGTGATATTCGTTAGTGCTCCACCCACCCCTTCGTACGCATCGCCAGCGCAACCGTGCACGAAGATCAGAGTATCCCCCACCACAAGCATGATCAAATCGAGAGGCGTGATGGTGCCTTCCCTCAGGTCTATGCTGTCCGGATTGATGATCAAGTCAGCCGTTCCCTTTCGTTCATTCACAACAATCCTAACTGTATGGCAGTTCCATGAGATTGACGACAGCAAGTCCGTATCCTTTAACGCTTACTTCGCACTATTTACAGCTAATCTAACGACAATGCAGATTTGGCGCAGTCACCTTTGCCGTTGCCGGGTAAGTGTGGCTGAATCTGACTCTATTCACGAGACTCATCATCGTTCCAGTGTTACAGAACCCGGCGTCGATATGAGCTTCGACATGCCTCACGACATTCATACAAAGGAGGGTGCCGATCGGTTCGTCGAAGCATCCAAACAACGTGAGCTATCCCCAGCAATTATCTACGTCTACTCATGATCTGCCGATATTTTGCAGTCATGGAAGAACGTACCGCTGCTGCCGCCCTCTCCAAGCGAGAAGACATCGCCACAAAGGCACCAGAGAAATTCTCCTATGATGCTGATATCCCCTTCACCGGCGTGACCAAATCTTGCAAGCATGGGTCAGCATCTGCGAGTGCAACGGTAGGGATCACTCTCAAGGCCAAGGTTAACGGCCACCTCAAGTTAGGGATGTCGGCTGTTGGCGATGCTGCTAAGAAACAGCTTTCATCCTTCACCGAGCACTTCTTTGGTATGCACAGTCAGATTCCTCAAAATTCAGTCTACTCACCAGTCTCATTGGCCAGACTTCAGCATTAGCATCGAACAAGATCTTAGGGGCAAGATTGAGCTCAGTGTAGACAGCTTTCTCCGGATGGTATCCATACTCTATTGACACTGATACTATCAGGGCGCAATTACGTTGGGAGAGTTCAAGATTATCACCCCAACCGGCGTTCCCGCTCTTTCGCTCGACCTCAAGTGAGTACATCAGCAGCCGCTATTTCTGAAGCGCAATCCTTCACGTGTGCTGCAGATTTATCACGGTCGGGACCATGTTCGAACTCTTGGGACACCTCACCGGCCAGATCGATCTTGGCGTCGAAATAGACACCCACGTCGTCTACGGAATTGAAAAAGGTAAATGATATATTCAAGGGACTGTTCTAGCTATTGACATTGTTATCAAAAGCTACCTTCGACTTCCCTGCAACGGGCAGCATCAAACCAACGTGGAAGGACGGCTGTGAGCATTGGCGTCACGATAAATGAGGTCCTGATATCAATTCTTGAACCTAATTGCAGCATACACCCTCAAGGTCAACCCCGGATCGGAGAAGATTGCCTCTCTCAAAGTTGGCATCATCCCCAAACTCCTCTTTGGAATTAAAGTCTTTGGTGTCGCGCCTGACGTTTTCTTGAGCTTCGGTGCCTACACCGAAGGCAGCGTCAAGCCAAAGAAGGCTATCGAAATCAAGTCGGGCGAGAAATTCGATATCAAGAAGGTCGAAATCTGCGGTGAAATCAAAGGGTTGCTCGATGCCAACATTGGTGCAGAACTGGCTCTGTTCAGCATATGGAAAGGCCATACCGTCAAGAACATCTGGAAGAAGGAATTCGACTTCTGGAAGGTATGCCTTCCGCCTTTTTGTGTAACGATTTACACGTTCGAACAAATGTTACAGAGTGCAAGTTGCCCCAAGACCAAGCGCGAGCTTTTATCCCTTGATGCTCCTCCTGCGAGCAACGTTACCATGACCAACACCCTTGTGTCCCGCTCGGTTCACAACACCGACGGCATCAAGATCAACATCCCTCCCCTCACAACAAACTGGGCGTGTGAGACCACACTCAGCCCGACGCTGGGTTCCATCGCCGAAGGCGTCAAGATCGCTGCCAAAGCGTGAGTTATCTTAGTGTGCTATGCTGGAGGGTTGGCTCACGCGCTCCCTGCAGACTTGGATTGTGATGAATATCTTCACATTTAATTAGAGATGTAGCAAATAATAATATTGTAAGGCCTTGAGCTGGCATGTATGAACGAGCGGTCCGCGCTGCCTCTCCTAGCCTGCTTTACAGTGCAAGCAAGCAGGCCCTGGGCTTTACAATTATTCAAACAGGGCTGTACTAAACGCAGTGGGCGGTACATTCATTTGCTTGGTGGGTAAATGTGTCTGGATAAACGGGCCGTATGATGTACAGGCGGTGTTTGACGAAACAGGGATATACTTCAGCCGTGCCCAACATAAAATGACCCAATTGCGTTGGCGATTTCTTGCACTCTTACGTTCCTAGGGGTTCCGGGATGTTCCTCCCTCCTCCAAGTCATTGTCATCCTTTGCTCTCGATCGGCCGACGACAGGTGTGGCCGCTCCTGGCGTTTCTTGAAACGGGTTCCGAAGATTCAACATTAGACGCGATATCGCAGTGGAAGACAGGCTAATAGGTATTACCGGCGTCAGTTTTGTGCAAGCCATATGAATGAATACTACGTACGTATTGACAAATATAGGAAGGAGATTCTTCAAGTATGGCTATAGCAAATACCGACGTGAGTTCCATTTGGGAAATTCTGCGACAATGACCTCGCTCACAGGCGATAACTGTCCTACGTCAGTTGAAATTGAAGTTGGTCAGTTACTGGCGGCACTCACCAATATCACCCATATATTGGGGACGTTTGAAATAGACAAAAGTCTAGGACGCAGGGTAAAAGAATACGACCACATCGGATGAAGTAAACCTACGCAAAATAAATACAACCTGACATCCGACGTGAGCATGAGCATGAACAGGCCAATTAGGGGTCCGATTGCCCACCATCTCGCAGCAATGTTGACCATAGGTTAGACCTTCCGGAAAGGCTGTCCACTCGGAGTGTTTTTCTAATCGTCAGTATGAACACTGTGGTATCTAGTACCAGTAGAAATGCCCAATTGCTAGCAAATTCTGTTCATGGCTCAATCAATAGGGTGATCTAGCGAGGTCGATATACGCACCAATGCTTCTGAGAACTCATGAACACGATATAAATAAGCGAAAACGAGGAGAGCATACTGTTGATGTCCGTATGGTATATAACAATCCCGCTTCAAAGGACTATCTTCCACGACACCTTGACTGACCGAGGAGTCCTGCGGTCCCTTAAAGGTGCGAATACACCACTGGACCTGTGTGTCAAGATGTGTCATTTGATTGAGAGAATTGGTTGTAAGGAGCTCACTAAGCCATTGACTACCATAAGCGAGACCAAGATGCAAAGCCCATATTTCACGCGACGATCATTTCTGTAGAGGGCCGTGGTCCTGAGAACGAGGATTCCTATTTGATATAATCAGCAAATACATCATTCAATGTTTCTACGATGCCTACCACTTATGATGATTTGAATTAATGCAACGTGAAGTTGAATGAATAGTTCGAACTTCGAGCAACTGAAAGATTCCTTTAGACCAGTTGAACGCATGTATTTGTTGGTATACAAGTTACCTCTTACGAGCCTACAGCGTTAGCCAACGAAATGGTGTACGCGAGGGACAGACGCACATTTGTACTGACGAGGAAGTCTGGCTTCATGAAAAAGAATGCTATAACGATATAACCGGACAGGCCAACATAACGGTTCAAGTAAAATAACGCTGAGGCGCTGGACCAAGCAGGGCATTCCCAGAACCGCTTGCTTTCCGCTCCCAGGGTCAGCGTAAAGTCATAGAACAGAATTGCTACGGTTGGGGAGAACGAGAGACGATGATGAGTTGCGGTAGGAGAAGAGCTGAAGATCTGAATCATACTCAGCGATGCAACTTCAAGATAGTTGGAGTAAGTCCTGTGGGAGGATAGTCAGATTTGAGAGCGCGCCCCAATCAGCTATAATATGATGACTGACATCTGCGCAGCAACATCGTCCAGCGAGCCGGGATGAACATCGGACATTGCCAGGAATTAGGGTTGAATGATATGTGGAGGCATGTATGGGATGTGTGTATTATGTACTCTTACGAGCTTTGGTAGAGGTTTCCCGATATCGTATCATCACGACCTGTGCTTAATCTCGTTGCTCGTGACTCTTCTGGTTGCACAGTGATTAACCCAATGACTGTGACATGGATAAAGTTCACGTCTCCAAGTCCCAAGATTTGTGTCCTTCTGATGGACTCATATCGTATCTTGGGAGAGCACATGCTTCCATTGAACTATCTTCTCTGGAAGAGTGTGTCAGTTAGGTGGATTGGCGGGAGTTTGGGAAGTCTACCACCAGTCAACCGTCGATATTTTCCCCCTAAGCTGGGAATGTGCAACAATCTATCACAAAACCGCCCATCGAAGTTGACGATCACGCAACAGCCGTCAGAATCACACCAGGAATGCACAATCCATAGGATTAATCTGGGACGACGAGGATCAAGGATCAAGGAACTTGCTGGTCGTATGAAGTAGTATGATTCCAATCATCAGAAGCATTGCAACCTTGGCGCCCGCGGGGGGGCTCCGATCCAGAGACAATTGTATTGTAAACGGTGGGTGCACCGTTCACCTCCTGGCGATCAGATGGATCAACTATCCTGGATGTCGTGTCACCGAAGAACAACGTTCAGCACATGCACGCCACTTGTTTCGCGTACGCATATCAATGGAGGTGATACACGCACATGAGATATTCTGACCGATCTAGTTTATTCTCTGCGGCGCATTTCGATATCCTGCCGTCGAGACAGATGGCCATTCACCAATCATTACAATTCGGGGTGGGAGGACTCCTGAGAGACGTCTAACAATACAGGCTAGAGTTCAAGCAAGTTGATTAAAAATTGGTCTTACAACTTCCACCACTACCATCCGAAGCCTCCTCCCCATCGGGATAGTCGTTCGTAAAGTGCCCTTCCGCTGTCGGGAATATCCCAGCAATCATAGGTTGCTCCGGAGAGGAGGCTTTACCGCTTGAATCCCCATCAGCTTCATCAGGATCAGAGCTTGAATGGAGTCACTACAGGGATCGTTCGGAGATAGAGGAATCCCAGTCCTTCAGGAAGTAGATAGATCATGAGAACACGCTTATCACGTACGATGTTCTAACATTCGCAATTTCGCTGCCACGTGCATAACTCCTCTTGCTGAGCGAAGCTGCTCGATGGAAGGCAAGCCTTGAGCGCGAGTGGGTAGTACTTCAGAGGATCATAAAAAAGATGATTCGTGGGAATTGTTTGGTAGATGGTTCAATACTGCATACACCACCACCATCGTCTCGCAGGTCACTGAGGCTTTGCGAGGGCAGAACATTCATTTATTCGATCTGACAGAACGACGGGTATATGGGCATCTGAGTATTGTGTACGAGTAAGCGGAGTTTATGGAAACTGGGATGGACTTGAGCCGTGCCCACTGGCTCGGAATGTCCTAATTGCGTTCGCGACTTCTTGGGCTGTTGGGTTTCTGGGTGTTCCTCGCTCTAAGTCGTCGTCGTTGTTTGCAGTCGGTCGTTCGACATGCAGCGGCGGGGTGACGGCATTTGGTGTTTTATTTGAGTTGCGAAGACATGGGTCCCGAAGATTCAACACGGGGCGCGATATTAAGGCACTAGATAGGCTGATATATCATAGGGTGGCGTCAGCTTTACGCAGGAGATAGGTAGACGGGCGGGAGATGAACGACACGCACGTGTTGACAAAGATGGGGAATAGAGTCTTCAGATATGGCTATAGCAAACGATATCTACTTCGCCCTTGGGGATTGCAATGGTACAGTCTGGCTCACAGGGGACAGCTGTCCGACGTCAGCTAACAACTCACGGGCAACGGGTGAGGCTGAAGGCACTCACCAACATCACGAGTATGTTGGCCATGTTTGAAGTGGACAGAAGTCTAGCCACACGGCGATCATATCGTGGAAATGAACCTACGCAAAGTAAATGCAACCTAACGTCCATGAGCATACTATTGTATCAAGGTTATCCGATTACTCACCATCTCGTAGCAGCGCTGCCCACAGGTTAGACCTTCCAGAGGGCTCATTCATCACCATTGGGAGCGTTTTTCTGATCGTTAGAAAAAATACTGTGGTATCCAATACCAGTAGCAATGTCCAATCACAGGCAAATTCTGTTTCAGCCGCATCAATAGGGCGACTTGGAGAAGTAGGTATACCCACCAATGCCTCTGAGAACTTATGAATGCAATACAAACACACGAAATGAATAGAACTTACTGATTATCTCCAAATGGAAGAAAGCAATCCCGCTTCATAGGACCATTCTCTACGACATCTTGATTCACTTGGGAGACTCCAAAGCCGTAGATACACCACTGGACCTGTGAGTCAAGATACATATTATTTGAAAGGAAGTAGTGAGGACGCCTAGGCAAGAACAAGAAAAGTGCGTCTTACAACACCGTTGGCGGCCATGAGAAATATCAAGAAGCCCAATCCATATTTAACGCGACGATCATTATTGTAGAGGGCCGCGGTCCTGAAGACGAGGATGCCTATCATCCGAGGAACATCAGTGCGAGATGTGCACCGTTGAATGTTGCACCTACTGCTGATGATGATGTGCAAAAAAGCGACGTGTAGTTGAATGAATATCTCGAATTTTGAACAACTGAAATTTTTACTTAGAGCTCAACGCGCTGAATGCAGAATATTATACATGCCTCTGAAAGTACTACAGCGTTAGTCTCAGGGATGATGAGGATGAAGGAGAGATTCACATTTGTGCTGATTAAGAAGTCTGGCTTCCAGAAAAAGAATGCAATTGCTATGTAACCGAACAGGCCGCCATAACGGTTCAAGTAAAATAACACTATGGCACTCGACCAAGTAGGGCGTTCCCAGAACCGTTTGCTTTCCTTACCCAGCGTCAAGAAAAAGTCGTAGAAGAGAATGGCTTCGACGGGGAAGTCATGCTGATGAGTTTGGCACGAGAAGTAGGCGAAGAATTTATCATACTCAGCGATGCCGCTTCTAGGTAGTCGGAGGAAAGCCTGTAGAAAGTAATCAGAGAAAGCTTCCAGTAGGGTACAAAATCCAGTACATTTGGACAGCAACATCACCTAGCGAGCCAGGATATGCATCGGACATTTAGGCACTAGGTCGGAGTAATTGCGCAAGGTGGGTAGATGGCCCCGGAGGCGGTGATGAGATGCACCTGCGGGCTTTAATGGCCGTTCCTTGATATCAATCAACCCAGCAATCTTGCATCAGTAGAGATACACCTACTTTTGGGTGGCCTTCATGCCAATTTCGCTTCGACGGATCCTCCGGCTTTGTCTTTCTGCCGGATTTTGTATATATCTGGAGGGAACTGCGTACTTAGTTTGAGTTTCAAGGCTGGCTCTGGCTTCAGTAAATCGTCCTCTCTTATAGAGTATGAGTCAGAGACAAAGCTGAACATAGGCCGCCACACCTTTGCCCGTTACGAGTTTGGCAACTCCACCACCCGTCCATCCATGATTAATGATGAGGATACTGATGAAACAGCAGCTAGCTTGACATGGAGTGCACATTGCGTGCGTGTTAGGACCCACAATCAAAATTGAACTACACGAAGTGCTCGTTGATGATCAAGGCCTCAATCACCAACCGTCAGACTCACATCTGTAATACCTACAAGATGATGAGATGAGTATCGTATCGAATGAGGAAAGCAAGAATTGGTGCTCACCAATCGTAAGGAAGGGGTGTGTGGCGTTGGGACCTTTGCAGAGATCGGGTCGCAGCCTACTAGCGAACCGTCAGCAGAACAAAGAGGATGACAATCGGATCAGAGCGCACAAGGCTGTTTTGCGGAAACAATCAGACTACACTACATAGGAACAGATGTTAGCGTGTCGCGCCAGTGTAAGCAATGTTCACAATGTATACGCCGAGCCTTACGGCAGCACCAACGAAAATTGTGCGTATCAACGTGAAATCCTTGGTGTATATTAATCAACCAATTGTAATATACATATATGAGATACTCTAACCGGTCTAATCCATTCTCTGCGGTGTGTCCAATTATCGCGCGGTGGACACGAATGGTTCCTCGTTACAATTCATGGTCGGACGACTCGTGGAAGGCATCTAGCAAGAGAGTTTAATATTTAAGCGAGTTAATGGTCAAAGCTGGTCTGACCACTGCCACCATCATCGTCCGTAGACTCCTCTTCATCCGGATAGTCGTTCGTAAAGTACTCTTCCGCTGTTATTGTTTCAGCAACCGAAAGCCGTTGTGGAAGAGAACTTTACCGTTTGAGTCTTCGTCAGCCTCGTCAGGGACTTCATCAGAATCATCAGAATCGAAGGGGTCATTGAGAGATGGAGGAAGACCAGTTCTAAAGGAAGTGAGCACCCCCTGAGAAGAAAATTGGTGACATCAACACGTACAATGTTCCAACATTGGCTGCCACATGATTCCACTCGCTGAGCGAAGCTGGCCGATGGTAGAACACATCCCACACATAATCGTCCGATTCCTGAGGGGCACTAGTATTCCGCGTATCGGCGTCCATGGGTATGTCATGAACTTGTTATAGAGGTCAAGACTGGAGTAGGAGATAGCGTCGCAGGCGTTAATGCTCACGGGTGAGGTAATCGCGAATCATGGGGAGGAACTTCTCCATCTCTGGATCGGCGTCCGGCACATCATTGGATACAACCGCATCGTACAGCTTGATCTCTGGGCTTTTGGAAGGAACGTTCTTGGAAGAAACGACGACAGGTCTAGCAACCGGATTAAGCAAATAGTACTGTGTACCCCGAAGGGCATTACGCACGGGCTGGTGGGCAATCGGCCGCGTTCCGGTTCTTGCTCTTGGGCGTTTACGATGGTGTACCTTCGAGTTTCGGTTACGGGAGGTCGAGGAGGTGAAGAAGGTAGCGTCTGGGGCGCCTCATATGTCTTGGAGGCATTCTCTCTCGCCAGTCGTTGTATTTCTTCCTAAGCAACCATATTGTGGTCGTGGCTAGAGTCTTGGGGGTCGCTCGTCAAACTCACCTGCAGGGCCTTCCTCCGTGCTTCATCCTCCCATGCCTCCGCTTCAACGGTTTGCGCAAACTGAAACATGCCCATGCCCCCTCGTGACTTCTTTCGAGGAGTAGCAGACTCGACCACTGAATACAGTCAATCGCCTTCAAGTCGGGATCCGAGAGAAGGGCTCACCAAGTGCATCGAGGGGCTCTTCATTCCTCTTGCGCTTGATTCGAAGAATTGTATAAGGCTGCGAAGTGGATTCCATGGTGGTGGTCACTGGTTAAGAATTCGGTCATTCGAAGGACGCGTTCCTATCGTGTGCATGTGACTTGTGACACCCCTGTGAGTTCAGGAGCCTTCAGGAGATCTAAGAGGGGTTCTCCGATATTATTCGTTACCGGCACCCATGTAACATGCGAAAATCCATACACATTATTACTCATAGTCCTACTGAGACGAGGCGAATCAAGCACGAATGATTAGAGTAAGATACTAAGGCTGTCATGGGGCTAGACAAAGTGGTGCGAGAGATCTCGATGATATTTGAGTCGCGCTTACTAGTCACGGTTTGAATTTGGGTCCAAGCCTGGCATTTGCGTACACCCTTCGTTATAAAAACGCAAATTACTGTAGGTTGTCGGCCCATATGAGATTCTCGCGGGTGTTCTCGAGTCGGGTACGATTGACCTCGCTCAGAATGTTCATATGTAACTACTCGCCATAGTTGGCCGTAGGGGATCCGAGTCGGTTCTCGGCTTGAGACTTCTCTATATCATTGCGGTGTGTTGTGTCAACTTGCAGAAGAAACAATTAATACAGTACAGTATGTAACTCGTAAGTCTATGTATCTACATATCCCCTGTGTACTCGCCTTCTCACCGCAGAGCCTTGACCTTTTTCCAATAAGTAACGTATTCCTCCAAATGTTTCTTGTCCACAGCTGTGCTGTTCACCATCGTAGGAGAATCCTCACGAGCGGTGGATGTCCTCAGGATAACTGGCCCTGACGCCATACGAACAAAATCGTGTTCAAGGAAGTTTAGGACCTTGAAAGCTGCGTTTCGTTCGGGATCTTCGCCAAGTGCACGAACGCGATCCAACCATTCGGGGAAGGGAATCAAGGCTAGTGGCGTTGAAATACCACCCAAGACTGCGGCAAGGTTATCCAGCAGGCCGGCCCACGACTGACGTGAAGGGTTCTCCATGTGATAGAAAGGTCTGAAGCGTTCGCAGAAGAGGAAGTCGGTTATCGCGTTGGCGGCGCGGTTCACTGGCATCCATGACAAGGACTGATAAAAAAGGTCAACGCACACCGTGGTACAAATGGTGCAAGATACGTACCCCATGTAGGATAGGAAGAGCCTTCAAAGTCTGAGCCGTCCTCACTATTATCGGGAAGTGTTCACTCTCGTTCCACGCGCCCGTACCTTCCGCGCCCGTCATTTGGCCAATACGGACGTTCGAGGTACGCACGAGCGGCTCGTCGCCAGAGCCTGTTCCATAAATTTCGTCCGCAGCCATCAGTACCCTTTCGCCTACCCATTTAGCCTCAGGATAGCCGAACTCCGCGGTGTTGATAGCGTCAAGAGGAACTTCAGGGATCTCCAGAGGCCCTTTGGGGTTAAGGAGGGGGAACTTCCCGACGACGGCGATGGATGAGGCGAACATAACCCTAGTAGGTTGTGCGCCTGCACCACGCTTCCCAGAGCTGATCAAACCAAGGCGGACGAAATTGCAGAGAGCCCTGACGTGAGGAGCGAATGAAGACAGGTTGCGGTTGAAGTTGACGGGCCAGGCATTATGGAAGATGTGGGTAACGTTGGAAAGCTGGAGAAGAAGTCAGCAAAGGTGAAGGGTTAGGATGGGATTGGATGCCGTACTGATTCGTAAACTTCGGGGACAAGTCCGAAGTCAACGCGACTGGTGTCTGCCTCATAGAACTCAACCTTTTCCAAGTATTTGGAGTCTATAATCGCGCCACGTTTCTCCATCGCATCTAATTGCCGTTGACGAAGGTTGACCTTGCTATTTGGCTGTGGGCGGTTGAAGCAGATGAGCTTCGTCACTGTGGGGTCGCTAGCCAAACGTGCGACAAGCATACACCCCAAGCTACCCGTAGACCCGGTTAACAGGACGACTGATCCTGCCTCCACAGAAGTATTTTGCGCGCGCAACTTTCTAGCTTCCGTGGCGATCGGCTGGTAGGAAATTAGCTCACTGCGGAATTCCTCGACAGCTTCTGCCATCGCCGCAAGTCGCTTGCTTTCCTTATCGCCGCCTTCCTCGCCATACGTGCCTTCCATGACTGCGACTATAGCATCGTATAGTTTGATGATCGTGGAGTTCTGGAAACAGAAATCCGCTTCGATATCTTCAACGGGCTTAGCGAGTCCCTTCGTGACACGTAAACCAGTGAGGATGGATCGGCGGAGGCGATTGGCTTGCAGGCTGTCCATACCAACTTCGAAGAAATCTGCATTGTCCGCTTCTGGGCTACCGTATTCGTCGCTTCCAGTGATATTCTCGACCAGCTCACGGACTGCATTGAGCAAAGCGCCGCCTTGGCTAGGGAGGGGGAACGGGACGGCCTTGAGGGCGTCGGCACGATCGTAAGCATTCTTGATCTCGGTGTCGAATGCGGCATAGTTCGTCTTCCTGGCGAGACTACCTTTGTCCGTTCTTACCAATGGCTTCGTTTCCGAACGAGTAAACACGATCATCTCCCTCGTAATTTTGCCGTGTTTGTCCGTGAAAGAGTTTCCTCGCTCGAGGTAAGGATCGATTGAGGCTAGGAGAGCCTCGTGGTTCTCTGGGACGCTGAGGTCGGCCGGTGCCTTCCCGGCTGCGAGCTCGACAAGGAGGCCGAGGGACAACTGGCCGTCGCCAAACGCGAGGACCTCCTTGACATCTGGGTGCTCAGATATCGCACGCTCCATGTTCGCTGGACGAACTTTCTCGCCAGTAGCAAGGACAATGAGATCGTCCGCGCGACCTAGAATCTTGTATTGTTTGTTGTCATTGGGGTTCGCGACTAGATAGTCCTGAACGACGTAAGGCTCTGGCCATCCAGGAGCTTGGCCAATCAACCGGTACGTGAGGCCATTTGCATCCTCCACTTTGACAAACTTCAGGCCTAAAAGTGCGTTAGCTTCGAAGGAGAAGGGTAACCTCCGGATAACCTCTACGAACCCATGTCTGTTCTCGGGCGAAGGTAGTGCCAGTCATAGCCAGGCGGAATTCGCTCCACCGGTGCAATTGCACCTATTTCGGTCACACCTGCGAGGTATCATTGAGCTTCTCATAGTCAGGTGTCGAGAAAAGAGTACGCTTACCCCAATGGTTAAGCAAGTTAACTCCTTGTGCCACGAGTTCACTTCCAACATGTTCTTTCATCGGCGCACCCCCGATCGCGATGAAGTCCAGGGTCTTCAATATGTCTAAGCCGCCGGGGAACCTAGTGATATCTTCGATGATAGATGGTACAGATAGAAGCGACCGAGCGCCAACTGATTGGATAGCAGCGATAGTTAATCTGGCTGTAGGAATAACAGAAGCGGGCGGAAGCACGAAGGGCATCCCAATCGACAGCGATAACGAAGGGGCCAACAGACCGAATCCCTATTCAAAGTCACTAAATGCGAAAGTCAAGAGGTAGCCTCATCCTTACATGGTAGAGCGGAAGAGTCGAGACGTTGAACCTGAAGGCTTGCTTTTGCTCAGGCAGGCGATGACAGGCGCCATATATCAGTAGATAGGCCTGGGCGTGGAAAATAGGCTTGGGCAAGCCGGTGGTGCCGGAAGAGTGTAGGATAACCGCATCCCGGTCCTCGTACTTGAACTCGGTGTAGACAGGTGGGACCGGCAGTCCCTTGTGCGCGGAATTCTCGGGGTCAAGAAGCTCTTCGTAGCTGAGTGCATCGGCGAACAGGGGGATAGTGTCGACCTCGGGATCGTCTTGCAGGATAGTCAGAGTCTCCTTTGCAGCACGAGTGACTTGGGCGTTGATGAACATGCATGTGGGTTTTGTTGCCTTGAGCAGGTGCGCGATAGCAACCGGGGTGAGTCGCGCAGACAAGCAAAGAACCTGGTAATCAGTCAGCCCTCAGTATCTCCAAACCGAGTGTATCGTTTGCGTACTGGTGTTCCAATCCTCAGAAGTGCCGCCATGTAGATGTAGATACCGATATCGCTTCCTAGCAAGATGGCAACGGGCGGGACGGCCTGTTCCCTACGTGTCCGGCCAGTTGTAGCCTTGACACCGTTTACCATCCATGCGCACGCACTCTCGACGGAGAATTGCAGCTGCTCAAAGGTAATTTCGACAGGGGGCACCCCTTCGCCAGCACGACTCTGGAGACCGAATATGTGATCTGGGTTGTGCCTGCTATTGAACTCGATCAACTCTGGAAGCGAGTTGACGCCATCAGGGCGGTCGTTGCCGTAGCCCAAGTTGAGGTAGGGGCGAATGAAAGTACTGCCAGCGATAACGGGCGACATGGCGCTGGAGGAGTTGGAGACAGGGCTAATCAAAGAAGCACCCCCCAGTTATATAAGACCTCGAGCCGAGAGCGCACAGTAGCATCGGAGTAGCAACGACATCGGTACGAACTGGTTGACACAAATCCGCGAGTTCGGAACAGCTGGTGGATTTGGTTCACTTCCCCGGCGGGGACACGCTAGAAATAAGTGCATGCCGCGCCGTATCACCACTTATGTGATTGATGCTGGTACGTGGTGGATCAAAATCATCGGGAGCATATTCCGAGGTGCATGCTAATTGCCACCAAGTCGTGTCCACCATCGATGCCCGGACTTCTTTGTGGCGGCGCCGTGCGACGGTGACACCATCTCGTCCGCAACCTGACTATTCATTAGTTGACGTACAGCTCGCCGCAAAAGGAGAGCGTTGTATATCTGACCTATAAGGGGGATGCGCGTATGTCATTTACCGAGGGTAGCATGGTTCATCTTCAATTTGCAAGAAGTTGAGTTGATGTCTTGCCGTCACGTGGATATGTTGGATCCAGGGGTGAAGGAAGCGTACTTTGAAGTGGGACGACGGGAATTGGGTAAACACTTTTATGGATGATAGATGGTCCTAGCATTGCTCCGAGATTGATCATGGTACCTCGACACTGTCTGCGTTTCGACTGGCAGCCAGTGCCAGATAATAGGCGTTCAAGTTGGATAGCCATATACGGTCCCTATCAGACCATCAACGCTACTGGGAACTCAATAATACGCATAGTATTAGGTGCGAGAGAGAGATGAACTTGATGCTTCCGAGCCCAAAGCGACGGAACAACGTCGTCATTTTTCTTTCAGCACTTTCGCGCGAGCCAGACTATTGTATATCTCGGCCGTGAACCATTCCTCAGACTGAACGTAGGTTTGGGAGGCGTCGAACTCATCACGTCGCGGGCTACCACCTGGATATATTCAGTAAGCATTACTTCGCAACTAGCCAAGCTTCAAATGATCCCAGCTATTGCGGTGACCTACAGCATGAAGAGGGTGAGATGTATTGAATAAAGTAGCAAAAAGCAGAGAATATGAAGTAGCATGGTAGCAAGGACAAGAACGTTCACGGCCCCATCGACCGTCGCCATATGAACAGGGGACGCTGTGTACATACGCTACGAATATGCACTCGGAGCTGGGAGCATGGAGAGAGGGACTCGGATCAAATTGTGTAACATATCAAAGAAGTTATCCGATCATCCAGCAAAAATGAATGACCCTCCCCCAAAGCCGAGTGAAAAGGCACTTGATATCTGATTTCAACAAAAGTCAGTCAGGCTATCGGAGCGTCTGATGAACACGTCTAAACAACGCGTAAAAAGAGGAAATCAAGAGGAAATGGAAAAAACCTTTTGTTGTCCGGAGATCCCCTGAAGAGAGCTATGAGGTGGAAATCGATAACCTGAACTTAACTTATGTATAGTGTATTCAGCGTTGGGTACTAAATATTGAATACTTAATCCAACCTTGTTGCTCTTCTACCCACTGAGGCTATGGGTCCGAATTGAAATATGGAAGCTCGAGCTGCTCAAGCTCTGGGGATAGGCGATTCTAGGGGTATCGATCACGTGCAACATACCGTACAAGCATAAGTTCAAGTTGAACCAGAAGTTTCCCCTAGTTTGTCTCCGTGGGTTGCGCCGTGGAATGGGCCTCAAGCGAAAACGAAGTACACTCCTATTTTGCAGTCCGGAAGGCGACCTTATGGGTCCAAATGAGTATGAGTAGTGTTGGCGGCGTGTTGGTCCGAACGGGGGGGGGTTGGACAAGGTTTACGGCCTCTGGCGGAAAATCGATGCAACGGACACACGGATACTGCGTAGGCTCGTCACACGAACAGATTTAGTTTGCAACCCTTTCGCAGAGTCATAGATAGACAACAGTGTACATCACCCCGATCAGGGAGATGTTTATGAGAGGGAGGTACGTGAATAACCATACAGTGAAACTGATGTAAATCCTGATGCCCCACTAGCTCGAATCTCCCACCCAAAGCCGATTTTGGCCAGCGTCAGGATGAACTGGAAAGCAGTCACCGAGATTCACAGTGGTGGATTAATATCGTTTTCATTTTCTGGACCATATCTCGGCCGTGCACGATTTCCATCTGTCGGCCGATCGCACGTCTCCCTGTGCTTAAATAAAGGCTCAAGAAAGCGATGACCCACGAAGTAGCGATGGTGGAATCAGATCCAAGCCAAGCCACTGATGCATCAGGCTGGTCTGCAGCCCGCTATAACCAAGTAGCCTCCTTCGTCTACTCCTCCGCGTTTACCAGCCCAGTCTTGGAGCTCCTCGCGCCTCAAGCAGGAGAGCGGATCGTTGATTTTGGATGTGGGAGCGGCGAAATCACATTAGAACTGAAGAAAGCCGTAGGGAGTGATGGCCGTGTCGTCGGTGTTGATTCTAGTTCCAGCATGGTATGCATTATGTTAATGTATCCTTTCTGAACGCCGGTTCAATGATAATTCTACCTTTTCATAGATTGACAAAGCCAAGCTTGCGGGCCTCGAGCATGCATTTGTCGCTGACATCCAAACCCCTGCAGACCTCCCCGAGGCTCTCCTGGCGTCTACCAATCAGTTTGACGCGGTGTTCTCGAATGCTGCACTGCACTGGTGTAAACGGGATCCCATGGGTGTGATGCTCAGTGTCAAACGGATGCTGAAGCCCGGCGGTCGGTTCGTGGGTGAAATGGGAGGATTTATGAATTGTGTAGGTTTGTGATGGGTTCCTCTATATCGTAATAATTATGGGCTGGAACATTTCGTCCAGGTGTTCGATCTGCGCTACACGTAGCCTTGCGCAGGAGGAATCATGACCCGGTCACAATGGATCCTTGGTATTTCCCCTCCGTCCACGATTATCAGTCGGTGCGCCATCCTTCTTCCCAAGATTACACACGAGTTCACAATTGCACCCGCATTCCCGTGCTGCTTATACTTGTAGCTTCTATCTTCCGCTGGCTTCAAAGTCCTGCACATTTCGCTAAACCCTCGATATACGCCGATTCTTGCAGGGCTCGGTGCTTGGTTGGAGTTGTTTGTTAGGCATTCCTTTCTTCGAGAGCTGGGGGACGAAGAGGCAAAGGAGGTGATAAACGAAGTTGCTGAGCTGTGCGCAGTGGACTCTCAAGACGCTCAAGGTCAGTGGGCACTGATGTATATGAGGCTAAGATTCCATGCCGTATTGTCAGCGCCATAGCTACACTTCGACCGCAGTTGCGATAATTCTATGGTTGATTGTGTGTCAATTGGAAACATTGTAAGGTGAGCATGACAGAAGTAAACCTAAGGATATAGGATCAACCTGCCTCTTTATGAAGTCAAGACTTCATGGCTGATCAGATCGGTACTATCACTTGGGTAGGTTTGCTGTCGTGACCGGACAGTGATCGGCAGCCCAAACAAGGGGTAAATACGGGCCTTTTTTGCAAAATATTGTTGCTTTGTCTGTACACAAAGCAGTATCGATCTCAACTAAATTTAATACTACTATGCTATCTAATAAAAAAGTCCCAAGTTTGCAGGCTTCGCATAACTAGCATCCAGGATTTTGCTTGCACTGTGATACACGTGATAGTAGCGCCGAAGTGCTAGTGATTACCTAATCAAATGCCCCCTTCACCGTCGTACTTGGTAGTGCCAACCACCAGACGACCCAGAAAACGTCGTTGAGGGCGGCACTGAACCACCCAAACATCCTGATACTCGACACGCCAAACTGGATCATTGTACTTGCACTCCACAAAAACTGCATCGCTACAGGAACTGCCAGAATACCAATAATAGAGCAGTGCGGGCTATAAATCACTATAAGGTCGTATTGTTGTTCCAATCCGACCGCCGTCGCCCCATCTCAAATGGCTTTCAACCACCCACCATACGTCGACGATCTCCCCCATCTTGTTTCCCCCGGACCGACCTACATCCCACCACCGGACCCGTACGACCCGATTCATACAGCTTTTCCAGGTGCAGCTGCAAGGTGAGTCGTTTACGCTTCGTGGCGAGCGTAGCTGAGCTCTGTCAAGTCCTAGCTCTTGGGGACAACAAGCGAATCTGTGGGGGCAACAAGCCAGTCCTTGGGGACAACAGCCCAGTGCTTCTGCATGGCCTGCACCAACGAACCCTCCTCAGCCGTGGGGCGCAGATCGGTTTGGAATCGGGGGGAACTTCAACGCCCCAGCCGCGAGCATGCCTGCCATCGGTCCGTCTTTCTTCCCTCCAGATGACCAGCCAGTGAGCGCAAGCCCATGGTTCGGCGGCGGCGCATCACCGCTTGGTCGAGCCAACTCGTTGGGCGGATACTCCCCTGGGCACGGCCTCAAACGATCAAACTCTCTCGGAACAGCTTCACCGTCTTCTCACCGCGCATGGAAGCTGCCCAAGGGCCACCGCGACGATTCGTACAGCGAACGAAATCTCGCACGCAGACCTCGAGATTGGCGCGCGGATTATACGCCGAGTGCACTGTTCTGGGCGGAATCATGCACAAGCTCTCGAGAATAGATTCAGAAGTCAAAGGTGGGTTGTACGTACTTATACTCTATGCATACGTTGCTCACTCGCTGCTGCTGCTAGAACAAACGGATAGCGTCCGGCGTAAAATACATCCCCTCCTGCGATACGCGACGATAAATGGCCTGCATTCAATGCAGGCCCACGTCTTGGCGCTCACTTCTACTCTCTCTCTTCCTTCATCGGCTCGGCCAGCTAACACGCTGGATCTGTGTCAGCTCGCCTGTGATCCCCCGACCGACTTCATCCGCATCACACACCAATTACTACCGTGGTATATCGACGTATACCAGAAGCAGCCGAATGGAATAACAGTCGGCGACATACTGCAACAAATCTCTGAGCAACTCGCCGAACCGATCAGCGCAAGACATTTCTGGAATGAGGCGCTGAGCGCGTCGGACCGTGCTTCGTTGACACAAGCTTTTAAGGAGAGGTGCGGTGATGATATGTCGGAGATCAGCCTCGGGGTGAAGAAGATAGATTTCTTGGTGGGTTGGGTGTACTTAATTGGGTTTACAAGAAAGTCTAGCGGTATGTGGGAGATGGTCTTGGAACGCGATCTTAATTGGCGTTGAACGACTCCCTCTCCCTTTTCTCTTTCTCTCTTTAGGTTTTATGAATATCGCTATTCTTGTTCAATCACTGACTCTGTAGCAACACTTGTGCATTTCTCTCAATTGACTGTATTCATCCTGTAATAAAGCCTCCGCGATCTTCCATATTACAACAAAGCGATACGTGACCCGGTGTAGCCGCGTGGGGGCTGTGATGTGTTCTTGGAGATCTGACAAAACGGAAGCTTTGCTCCCTGGTCGGCTTTAGCCCTTTTCCCGAACCGCCTCCATGATCCCATCATTCATCAATACCCTCAGTCAGAAAGTTCACATTGTGGAACACGCGCTCAGTGTCACCAAAGACTCATATGACGGACTCGGGGCGCACCTTACCTGGAATGTGGATATATTCATCACCCTTCCTCTAGAATAAGACGGTTATTCTCATGGAGATCTTCCTGTGGCATACACACCTAACATTCATCAATCTTCTCGCTCGACGCCTGGGGTTATGTGGCAGAGATAGTAAATGATATACAATCGTGAGCTAGCATCATCAGTGTTCTATGTACCTGTGCTTGGTCCTGACCACGTTCCCCTGTTGCGAAGGGACCTTTTAGCCGGCTAGATCCAATTCACAATCATATTTATATGGTTTCGGCTTTTGGAACATCAATTTTCTTGCCACCTTTCTAATACATCCACAATGGGCGGCATGAATCGAGAATTCGACCCCTTGGACATTGTCACTGCGCCTCCCCCTGGCGAGACGCCGGAACAGAGGGCCAGTCGGGAGCGAAGGGAGGCGGAAGCGAAGCGTGTTAGCGATGGGATTGACGAGGACATCAGGGTCGCGCGCGCCGCATTAAAGAAGCAAAAGAGTGTCCTAAGAGTCCTGTTGTTGGGACAAGCAGAGAGCGGTACGTCAAACTACTAGCCCTCTTGTAAGCCCGAACGCTAATCGACCACCAGGAAAATCAACAACGCTCAAAAGTGAGTTGAACTCGCCGTACGATGATGGCCTGGATTCTTAACACTTGCAGACTTCCGACTGAAATACGCTTATCAGCAATGGTTGCAAGAGCGAGCATCATGGCGTGCCGTTATTCAGCTCAATGTAGTCCGCTCTGCACTGGCCATTCTCGACGCTCTGCAGGCTGAGATAAACAATGATCCTCTCTTGGACCCTGGGTTGGACGACGACGACGAGAGCTTGGAGATCCACCCCACCCATCACGCCTCCCCCGCCTCTTCGAGATTGGAGTTTGCTTCGTACGCTTCTTCGTCTTCCTCGTCTTCCCCTTCCGTTGTCGGCCTCAGCGACAAGCACAAGCTACTCGCCCTCAGGCTCAGCCCGCTGAGGCGGATCGAAACAGTGTTGAAGAAACGATTGGGCGCTGGTTCAGAGGAAGTCCGCAATGCGCCTTCGCAGGACATGCAGGCGACCCCTTTCGAGTCGCCACAGGTCCCGCCGGGCAAACATCGCCGCGCTGCTGAGTTCGTAGTACGGACATGGAGCGATGCCCTCCAAGGGCGCGCAGCAGCGAATCATCACACAACTGCCGATGAGTATGACTCGGAAGAAGTGACGGAGGTCATCGCCAGATGCCAGGAAGATCTCATCACGCTCTGGAATGATCCTGTTGTGAGGAAAGTCCTCAGCTCCCGGAGAATACCAATTGAACACTCGGCTGGGTTGTGAGTTATCTCACCTGTACTCCGGGTAGCTCTGTCCTGAACCCTGTTCTTTTTTTGTCCGCGCTGGTAGCTTCCTGGATGACCTTCAACGCATCGCGGTCCGTTCGTACGAGCCTTCCGATGACGATGTAGTCCGCGCGCGCCTCCGGACAGTAGGTGTGCAGGAACATAGGATCCTATTTGAGCAAGGTACGTTCCTCGAACGCGGGCATGTAGATATCTCATATGTGTACGGATTGATAGATCCTCGACTAGGTCACGAATTCGGCAGGGAATGGCTAATCTACGACGTCGGCGGTGCGCGGACTATGGTAATTGATTCCCTTACCTTATCGACGTTTGCGTTTACCCTTACGCCCGTTCCTTCGTCCAGCGTCATGCGTGGCTACCCTTCTTCGACAACGTCAATGCAGTGATATTCCTGGCGCCTGTATCATGCTTCGACGAGCGACTCGACGAGGACCATAAAGTCAATCGCCTAGAAGACTCCTTCATCCTATGGAAAGCGGTCGTCTCCACGAAGCTTCTCCAGAAAACCACCATGATCGTCTTTCTCAATAAATGCGATTTGTTAAAGAAGAAGCTGAAGAGCGGGGTGTATGTGAAGAAGCATCTGCCGAGTTACGGGGAACGGCCGAATGATGCGGCTTCGGTTGTGAAGTGTGAGTCGGAGGTTGGTGTCATATGTCGAGTGAAGGTTGACCGTGCACTGTAGATCTGAGGGATAAGTTCAAGGATACATTGAAGCAGCATTCCCCCGAACATCGGGTTGGATACCTATACCCCACATCAGTTACTGTAAGTGCAAGCCCACAATCACTTGATGCCGTATCCGGCACTCACCGATCAACTCGTCTGTTTATACAGGATACCAAAGCCACCTCGACTACACTTCGCACAGGTGTGTAAATGATTTATCCTCTCGCCGCGTATGCGTATGCTGATTTACCTTCTTCGAAGTTCGGGATGGTATCATGCGAGAGCATCTCAAGAACGCCGATTTTGTTTAATCTAATAACGTACGTATAATGTAATCTCAGCCCGCTGTAACACATACCCCATGTACTCTCGAACGATACATATTTAATCCATCGCGCCCCATCCATCATTCAAGTGGCTCTGCGGCATTGACCGGCCTTTCCATCTGCAAGACAATCGATCATCTTGAAGTTTCTTCCATCCCCCGCGTCCGCTTCCAACTAGTGGTCCCGTATAGACTGTGGTGTCAGCAAATCCAAGTAAGTCCGATTCCTCACCGCACCGGTTGGTGCTTTTCACTCCATATTGCACTGACTTTCCATTATGATTCGTGCCTTTGGTCAGCTTATGCCCATGAGGATAGCAGCCACTTGATAGCAAAGCACAGTACCTCCGCCTTTTGGGAAGCAAGAGATCAAATGAAGTGCGCAATTCAGAGAATATTCCGAGTTTGGAAGACGCTGTCCGTCATAGTGGCCACTGGCTACGTCGCTACTCACTTAACCCACCTGTTGGTGTAACGGTTCCGCGACCGCGGGCAACATCAATGATCCCGGCCGTTCTATGGAACATCGAGGCGTACACAAGGCGCCCCAAGGCTCGGCCAGCTGACCTAGACTTGGTTAGTGTGTCTTCAGGGATATACCAGAAAGCAACTTGCTAACCACTTTTGATAGTACATACCTCCGTCGTTCTGATAGTGGCTGGCAACGGATTATAATCGTTATGTAAAGGTCAGTCTCTGCGCTATGATATAAGACCTACCACTCTCGCAGCTGGGGGACAACGGCACAATTCCTATCAACCCCCCCTCCCCTCCCCTCCCCGATGCCCATCACCAAGACGAGCAATGTGTTCTTTCTCGGAGCAACAGGCTATTTAGGCTCCCAATTTCTGGTGGATCTCGCGCGAGAGCTTCCTGACTTCACGATAACCGCCCTTGTTCGTGCAGCCGCCGAGAAGGAGAAGCAGTTGAAGGCGCTGTACCCCAATATCTCGATTGTGGAAGGCGTGCTCGAGGACGATGCGATCATCGAAGCTGAGGCAGCCAAGGCCGATATTGTCGTCAATGCTGCGAGCTCTGATCACATCGGGAGCATAAAAGGTGAGTTGATATGATGTATTATCCAGTCGAACTGCCTGATCTAACACGCCCATAGCGATTCTCGCTGGTTTGGAAAAGGGCTCCGCTACCAGACCGGGTGATCCTCCGTTTTACCTCCATGTTTCTGGGACGGGCATGCTCAGCGATAATGTTCGTGGTGAATACGTCGAGGAATCACAGATCAAAGAGTGGTCCGACCTCGGATTCGATCTGGCTACATCCGTGCCAGATAACAAGCATGTTAAAGAGGACAAGTTGATCGTGGCGGCTGGGTCCCGCAAGGAGAATCCCGTTCGAACGGCAATTATTTGCCCTGCGTGGATATACGGTATCGGAGAAGGTGCAGTCTTGACTTGCAATCAATGTATCCTATATTGAAATGATTTATGTCTTAGGGACACAGAAAGTGACATTACCAGTTAGGATATTCTTGGATATGTTCCAGCGCAATGGCAGTGCAGGGACGTGGGGTCCTGGCTTGGTAAAGATGAACAACATACATGTCAAAGATGTCTCCAGTGCGCTTTTGGTTGTTCTCAAGGCCGCGTTAGAAGGCAAGGCCGACGAAGGTGCAGAGGGGATTTGTGCGTGATTCATCTCTCCCAACCCGCCTCTGTGCTGAGATTCTGGACGTTTAGATTTCGCGGCTAGTATGGAGCCAAGAGTGACTAACCATGATATCGCTGCAAAATTTGGAGATGTGCGCTCTCTGGGACCAGCCCCTTGAATCAGGTTTCTAACGCCTATTTTCGCAGATCATGCACGCCAAAGGCTTAGTACCAGAAGGAGGCTCCAAGCCCTTCCCTGACTCTGTTACTGAACCTCTTGGTGAATGTACGCACTATCCCACTTGTATTGATGTGTAACATGGCACTAACTGCCAATTCGACTCGCGCAGATGGGTGGTCTCTGTTTGGGGGGAACTTCTATACCAGGCCCGACCGGCTGACCAAATTCGGGTGGAAAGCGACGGAGTCGACGAAGAAGACATTGCTCGAATCTTTGTCGGATGAAATCGATGAGGTGCTGCAGATTGATGAACGGAAAAGGGGGTATAATCCTGGTCAATGAGCGAGGCCACGCACCGGTGGACGTACGATTGATCTGATTTGATTCGCAAGTGAGGTCACAGACTTGGAGTAACAATAATTGAATCTTGTATATGTATTTTATAGCATCACTTTGCAGGATGAATTGCAAGACACGGATACGCTCGGTTTAGTGTAAACCACATCGCCCTCCCAGACCCATTTATGACTCGCTGCCATGTAAGCATGGCGATACGGTGACCGAGATTGACGGCGACCTCTCATTATAATCCAATCCTATGAGAAACACGTGAGATTGTAACAAGCGTACGGGGCGGGAGCGACTAACGATTTTGCAATTATCTGTATGGCTTCGGCGACGGCAGCAAGCACTGGGCTACTTGCCGAAGTTTCGCATGTCCAACCTTTCGTTATATCGGGTATTTTTGATAGTATCTGTGTTGTGGACAGAGCGCGACATGAAAGCATTGACACGTTGGCGTTGCCGAGAAGGGGGCCATCAAGAGCGCCGAGCTCACGCTTCGCGGCGGGACAACTTGCACTCTACAATGTTATGTTTGAGAATGCTAGCTCTTGCAGGGAAACCGAATTCATACCTTCCAAAAGTCGAATTTGTGTTCCCAAAGTGTCTTCGAATGTTTAGGCTTCCAGATCCCATAGGGAGACTTCTGCCCCAATGTTGGCTTTGAGCTGACCTCACCACAGACTTCTTGTTTCTTGATATCGAATTTCTCGCCAGACTTGATTTCAATCGGCTTCTTGGGCTTGATGCTGCCTTCGATATAGGCCTCGAAGGTTAGGTATACGTTCGGCTTCAGACCAAATACTTGGATTCCGAAGATCAACTTAGGGATGATGCCGACTTTGAGGGAGGGGAGTTTGTCCGATCCGGAACTGACCTTGAGGGTGTAACCTAGGACCGTGCTCAGAAGGGTCTCAGATTATCGTCGACTGAATACTCTCACTGCCGTCTTTCCGCAACGGTTTAATCTCGACAGTCTTTGGGAAGTCAAACGTAGCTTTGAGGAGCCCATCCCAGTGAGATAAATTTTGACAGTATGCCGCATACCCTTTTCGAGTCCATAGATAACGTGGGTGTCGATTTCTACCCAAACATCGATGTGGCCTGAGAGTTCGAACATCGTCCCGCCAGGCTACCTGCGAATGAGACCTTGTTTACAAAGCGTAACAACTTGGCGCCAGTGCAGCGAAGTAACAAGTTCCATTATGATAACCCACCATCGTCGCATGTTGAGAGGGTAGAGAAACAGGTTCTTGGGGTAGAGTATGACTTCGTGCATGGACCACCCACGTCGACCCACTGCTCGCATTAATTGGCTACTTCTTTCCAGGCTGCGGGCTTGCTGGGAGCCATTTAATCGGGTGTGACCGGTATGCTGGCCAAGGAGGAATGATAGCCTGAACAACACGGGTCAGAAGAATCCTCATATTTCGTCTCCGAAGTCGTGACGCACCACAGCAAGGACAGCGACTGAAAGCCCCATGGTACCGAAAGTCAAGCTTAACGACTGGAGCGCCAATCCTGTTATGAACGCAGCAATCTGGTGGCAATGTATATGGTCAGTGCGGTACCTGGCCGTCGTTCAATCTATCACTCACCGTTGAGGCAATAAGGACATAATACATCAGCTTCTCAACCAATTTCTGCCCTTCGAAGTCCTGTTTGTTAGATATTAGCAAAGCTACCGGGTTGAACGGGAGAGGGGTCGTACAATTCTCCCCTCCAACAGTTCGTTGATATAGTCGGCCATTGTAATAGTTCAAACGTTCTAACGTTCACGACGCGGCGACGTCTTACTTACACCACCGTGAGAAACCATGGAAATCGTAGTCTGACAACTTGTACTTCGGAAACATATCATTACTCTCGCCGATTTACAAGTAGTTTGATTACATGCAGGTTGTTGGGGGAACTTGCCACAATTCGTGCAAAAGGATCCAGAGAAGCCATAATAATCGTCTTTCATGTTTGCAAAGCCCTCCCGCTCCCCGCCAAAAAGGAAAAGCCAAAAGAAAGTTGACAGTGCATGGCCGGATTATCTGCGCTTCGGCCGTGGGTTCCGTCGAGTGCTAGTCGACGCTTCAGGCTGTTCCGGAGTAGAACTCCGCGCCCCCTGCTTGAGTTTCGTGCGCTTCGAGGTCTTAGGCCCTCTATGACTGACATCCTTGGTGGTACGTTTTCGGCGGCGGCCTGCTGTGGACGGGTCTTCATCCTCCACGCCATCATCCCTATACTCATACTCATCAGCATCTCTGACTTGCTCCTTACCACTGACTTCTACGATTGCTGGCTGTGCACCTAGGGACCGAGGCTTCGAATCTGTTCTCTGTAGAGGAACGGAAGCCCACGACGCCGCAGGGTCCGCCAAAAAGGCGAATGATACAGCAAGGGCTCCATGGGCAGCGGAATATCGTTTGTATCCTTCATCCTTGTTGTCCCAGGCTTGGCGTCGACCCAGATACACCGCGGCTCCGTGAAGACATTGTCGAGCGTGTTCGAAACAGTTTGGTGGAAGACCTTTAAGCTCTGGCAGAAGGCACTTCTCGAGTATCCTAGAAATGGGCCTCTCGAATGCCTTTAATCTAGCTTGCGAAAGTGTTAAGGTTGCATTGTTGTCGAAAATTCTAAAGCCGAAGATTCTGGATTCTTCGCAATTGACTCGACAAGTTGTTATCCATAGACCGGTCCAGTAAGTGGCTTCGAGGTCGTGCAGAAAGTTGAAGCGGACCGGAGGGTCGTCGACAGCAGAAACACTACTGGTGAGCTTGGTCGAGAAAGTCACTGGATCCGGAGGCTCGGGATCGAGGCCAAAGTAGCTGCCACGGAGAATTTCGCATGGCATGAAAAACGGAGTGCCCTAGCAAAATATCTAGCACGAAGTTGACTGTCAGATAGTGATGAAAGTGGGCGTACTATCTTAGGATCAGAAGTGCCCGCTCCGGAGTCATATTTCTTGCTGTACTCAAGATCAGCAAGTTTCAGATTCCAATGCCGAGTCTCTGGGTCCTGGATGGCCATGACGTTGTTACAGCTGATATCACGATGGACCCAGCCGGCACAGAACATGAGGTGGAGGGCTGCAAAGGAGATTAAGCAAAGAGACGGCTGGGGACGCATCACACGCACCAGTAAGACAGTCGCGTAGAACACGGAAAACATCTCCGACCGTCGGAAGGCAGTGGACACGGGTACACTCGTCGTCGAAGATGAGGAACGAGCGTTGTTTAGGCATGTAGTTCTTGTATACCACTTGAGGGGCTTCATCTACTGGGCGCGCTTGGAGATCGCGCCTCGCACCTGACTGTGGTCGGGACGAACGCTGAGTGGTTGGAAATGGCTCAGCAGCGTGGGGCGTGACTGTGGAGCGGAGTGTGTCAAACTGAGGGAGCCAGGCCGACTGTTCTGCTTCTCTTGAGCACTCGCCAAGGGAACGATCCTGAATGACAAGAAAGAGCCTCTTGTATTCCTCATCCTGGAGCAGCGTTTCGAAGGCCCCCATAATTTCCTGCGTCGTCTTGTCGTTCTTGTTGAACACAGAAAAGTAAATGCTCTCTCTCCAGTTGAACTTCGCAAACTCGGCGATATCCGCGAAGAGCTGCTCCTGAATCTCCACCTCAGTTTTGGAGTCCTTCTCGAGCCAATAATCCTTCAGCACTTGAGCTTTGGCGTCCGCTTTCGGGTCGTCCGTTTCGCCCTCTAGCTCTAGCACCCGGAACACGCGAGTCATCCGACAGGTCGTAGTGAGAGCTCGGCTTTCGAATATAGGCGCCACCACCTGGAAACGCCTTCGCCCTCGAGTACCGTCTACGGTATAGACATATTGATCGCGGCTATTGAGAGCGATGTTTGGGTCAATGCCCAGGTCTTTTTCATCAGCAAAGAGCAAGCGAATCAGCACATCAACCAAGATTTCGGGATGCTGTCGCAGAAGTTAGGTATACGCAAGCAGCGAGAACATATATATCACACGTTAACAAATTCGAACGATTGGCTCTTGATGGAATGAGACCGAGAAAAGTACCACAGATTCATGCGGACCCTCTCAATTGTGATCTGCGACCCCCTAAGCAACTAGTAAGACTCCCTTGCAAAAGAGGAAAACGTACCCCGAACATAAACATGCGGCGGATATCGTCATTCATGATGTGAAGTATCGCCGATAAGAGTTGTTCGCGATTCTGTCTGGGCTGTTAGCGAGAGAAATTGTATTTGTGAGTATATCTGACCCTAAGTACTTGATCAATGTCACGCTGGTTCTTGAATTCCATCGCAACGATGGTGTCAGTTACGCGCTGAGATTTCTCCTCGTTGACCAAGCCACCATCTATCTTGAAATTACCTCCCGGTATGCTGGAGGTATTCCATTTACACGGTTCAGAATTATACGACAGACTCGGTTTCTGCCCCTCAGCGTGCTTCCCCCCCTCTAAGAGCAGCGCATTCACGATCGCGTCCAGACCTTCCGAGATGTCGTTTTCGGAGCGAAACGACAGGTAGTCCTGAAACGCATCCCGGACAGCGTTCGACCCAGCAACACGCATGTCATTGCTCACTCCCTCTGGAAGTTTGATTGCAGGAAGGTAGTGCTTTATGAAGCTCTCAACCCCGCACTCTAGGGTTTCAGCGTTCATGAGGTTTGCGATCTCTTCACGTAAGGAGGTATGTTGGTCTCCCTCCATTGCGTTTCTCGTACTTTTTCGAGGTGTTTCGCTGCAAATTGTGAGGGGGTTACTGTCAGAATAAGTCATTCGCACGTACGGTGGCGGATTCGATGAATGGCTTGCCAACGGTGGCCGTGCAGGGGTGCTGTGCAGGGTCAGAACACGTGTGGGAAATAGTGAAATCGCCGAACACTTCCTGGACAGAATGTCGCGTATTGGACTTGGCGGGGAGCGGGATGTCGGTCATCGTCGCGAACAAGCACCCAGACTCAATAACCTCACGCCTTTTAATGGGTCTTGAAGCTTGAGGTCCACCTGTTCCCACGCATTGGCACATGACCGTGCCACGGATTGTAAAGGCGTGACTTATTGGGCCCATAGGAGCACATAGGGGCCTTGGACTCATAAGTATTGCTGGAATTATTGTCACGTTATAACATATACTACTTATTTAGTTTCTTGTTGTATCCTTATATACTAAGGTCCTGGGTTAATCTGTGTATTTTCATGAGTACGTGGAATTTCCACTAGTTGTGCGAGAGAAAATGGTTGCGTACGGGGAAGAAATTTACCAGCGAGCAAGGCAGTGTGGAAGGTGGAGAACACGGTTCAGCGTAAAGGCCTAAGAGGATAGGCAGCTCCAGTAGGAAGGCGATGCAGCGAGCGAAGCTGGATGGTGGGCTGTGCACCTTTCTGGTACGTTAACTGGCGCGGGTTGCGGGTTGACTTGCGGGAGTGAACGGTATTCAGGGCGGCCGGCAAGTGACCACACATATACCGCTGGGGTTGGCTGTGGGCGCCCGAGTGTCCTCCGGCGTATGAGTTATTGGCCCCGGCAACTTTGCTGTGAGGTCACCTTTTTAGCACGTTGCAAACTGGGTCGCGGGTATCCGTATTCGTGAACAGTTTTCGGCGCTCTGTGGCTGATTCAGACGCATCAATGAGCTGCTCGTAAGTTGTAACTCACAATGGGAAATGCACGCAGCAGGCAGTCCAATACGTTCATAGTCCACGGAACTACCAGGAGACAATTCATGTTCGTTAGCAACTCGTGCTTCCCTGTGCCGCGCGCGTCTCGGAACTCTCTCGTCCTCGGAATACTTACAGTATATGAAATACGAATCCACTGTCCAGCTAGTCCTGTGGCGTGTATGATGTACAATTGATTTATTCTTCGTTCGAATCACAACTCTCGCAACCTGTCGAGAAGTATAGCCCACTCCATCACCGTAATCCCTTTCCTCAGCGCCTCGTCCCTCACAATCCGATCCCTCGTATCTTCGTTGAGCCGCACCATTGCTCGGAGGTGCTCTTCCGACGTGATCCCCAAGCCCCCCAATATCGGTGCGACGTGCAATAGCGGCGGCGTACAGCTCGCCAAGATGTTCCTTGCTGCCAGCGACATTGATTTATTTCTAATCTCCCCACCACCGCGGGTTGACGATCCAGACCCGCCGCGAGGACGGGGATTCGAATATGTGGTATTCGAGCTGGTGGGTGATTCCCTGAAGCGTCCCAGGTGCGGGGGCGAGCCGCTGGAGTTGTTTGTGGGCGTGGAAGTGGACATTCGGGTGTCCATGTCCTTTCGGAGAGGGGATCCGTGGCGGTAGCGATCGACTGCATCGTATGAAGCGACAGACTGCCTGTCCATACTTATTGACTGCGCTCTTCCCCTCCCCTTCTCACTCACTGTCAGAATCGTATGTGCACGCGACAAAGTTATGAAGGACCCACCCTAGCATCATTGTATATCCGACGACCTGCCCAATTATCACGGTGCATAGGGACCTCAGTCATCACCTCTTCTCTCCTTGCGTCCCCGCCTTCTTCCACAGCATAGTCATCGGGGTTCACGTAGTACACGCTCATCCCTACTTCACCCCCCGCCTCGTCAGCAACGTTCTCCCGCCACATCGAAATCGTTACCGTCTTCTGTGGGCTGTCCTCGATGATTTTCCGCCGCACCATCTCGAATTGCTCGCCGAGTCTCGACGGCTTGGACACAGCGGTGTTGGTATTTCTGCTGGGTAGTAGGCTCTTTGATGTACCGATGGAAGGCGGCTGGGGTCGTCGTTGAATCTCGGATGTCGTCCTGCTCCTGACAAAATCCGTGCCGCGCATGTATCTCTGTACCCTGTCCCTCTCCGCATCCCACCCACTCCCATCGCCCTGCCCACTTCCCCCCGAGCCTCGTCGCCGGCCATCTGTCCGGCGAGGAGGAGATGGGCTCTGCGAACCGCCGTGGTCTTCCCGCCACTCTTCCCTCACAGTCGTGGGAGGCTCGTACGTCACTGCATCGAAATCATCATCCAACGGGACGCTAGTCTGTCCGTCGCGGTCGTATCCGTAGTGGCTGTAGTAGCTCTCGTTCTCGATACGCTCTATTGTAGGGGTGATGACGGTGTACGCCTGTGTCTGGGTTACGGCGTCGAAGTCGTCGTCGAGAGGTGCTGTCGTCAACGGCGGTGGATGTCTTCGCACGAGCTTCTTCGCACCACTCCGTTTGTCGGGAACGACATAGTACACACCGGATTCTGTCAGGGAAATGTCAGCGACGCCGTAGGTGTAGGAGTGGCAATCACATACCACTCATTCCAACTCCCTAGATAATGATGATGGGATAAGATGGGAATACAGGTCGAAGAATATGTCAGGACACACCGGTATATACTTATTAGTTATGTGATAAACATGAGGCCTGCGCGTTTTCGATGCCCCAGCCAAATCCGGGGGTCGGGCCATGTCACCATGATGCTCAAGCGTAATGTAGCCCATGCACAGACCGTGGATCATTGGATCACATAGGATCAACACTGTACACGTGTAGGACGCGAGTTTGTGAAACTCGATGCCACCATCATGTCCTATCGAAAGTGATCCCCTGCGATCCCTTCTTGCTGTCTCGCGGCCTAGAAAAGTACTGATATTAGGCCGTCATTCAGGCTTTTCGAAGCAGCCTGAGAGAGAAGCACAGACGTGCAGACATTGAAGTTCAGAGCACGACTCGTGCACCCACCATATAAGTAAATGATTGGCGCTCAGCATGGATGCATGATGCCGACTACCTGAACGAAACGTTAGAGGAGAACCTTTTACTTCACCACTTCCCAGCGAACTAATTCTACCAATACACAGGACAAATTTGACGTCAAGGTTGAACGTTGATGCATTGATCTTGACTTGGATCGTGTTCTTGGATGGTGAGCTTGCTTATAGAACGAAGTCGTGTCCCGCGATTGATATCTGTAGTCGCAGGTACCAGACACTGCGTTCATAACAGGGTTTTGTGTTGAGCTTGACAATGCTCCGAGTCAACCGAGACCTCATGCCGGTCTTCGCTTGACAAGTTGGCGCCAAGTTGTTCCGCAGGTCCGTTCTTTTGGTTCTCCTTCGAAGATGGTTTCATCTTAGCTCATATATCATATATCATATCATATATCCCGAATTGACTCCGGAAATCATTTCTGCGACTATTGCAAGGCCACCAACTGAGGCGCTGTTTTGCTCGCATTGTTTAGTGCGGTACACTTGGTGCGCCGGACGACAATTTCATTTGGGACGTATATGTACATATGGACCAATACTTTTGCCAGCGTGATTCAGAACGGAATCAGATTCTGTGGATAGCCATTGGCTGGCAGATTACAGTATGATATGTAGCCAATGGAGACCGAGATCTGACATAGACATGGTAACCACCGTCGCACAAGTGCCTTGATATCGTTACCTAACTCCATTCTCACAGCCGGCTCCGCCAACTTTATGCATTCTGCAACAACGTACATAAAGGTAAGCCCTGGAGTTTTAGTGGTCATCCTCGTTGATCACTACAGCGCCCTCCCTTGGTTTGCCTCTTCTACTTACAAGCGCTGGCCGCAACTATGTTTTCTTTTTCTTATTTCATAATATTCCTATTCGCTTCAGTGGACTACATTTCAGCCCTTCCATTCATTCCTTCACCCAGCAGCTTCGAAATACCCATTACTAGAACACGAAGACACGAGAAGCGAGGATCAGTCAGTGGTTCGATCGGCCTTGGAAACGTCGCAGACCTGTGAGGAATACATCCTGTTCTGCGCGAAGCACCGCTGACCAAAGAACAATAGAATATATACGGTTCCGTTGGAGATCGGTCGAACTACAACTGCACTACACCTAGGTACGTTTCTCGTTCCGTTCATTGTTCAAAAGTCTGTGCTGACAGGCGTCAACTTCAATCAAGACACTGGGTCAAGCGACCTATGGGTTGCTACTGACACCTGCAAGACCGAGTCCTGCTTGGCCGGTGTCGCCACCCGCTTTCCAGCAGCATCCCTCAACGACACTGGCGCCAAGGTGACGATGCATTACGGCGATTCGACGACGGGGACATTCGCGTCAGGGTCGATTGGCACAGATACGGTGACGGTGGCTGGGATTGCAATGACAGATCAATACTTCGCTGCTGTAGACAACACGACGAATCCGACAGTGCGGTACGGGGCAGCGGGACTGTTTGGACTTGGATTTCCTAGCGGAAGGTGAGTTGTTGCGTTTATACGGGAGAGATTGGGATACGAGACAAGTCACGTACGTAGCTCTATACAGAAGGCTGCTGTGAACCACGAGGTAGGATCCTTCCACTCACGTCGAAGTCAACCTAATCCTACGAGGTGTTCAGTTCAACAACCCTACAGACACCGATGAATTTGTACACGGAACCTACCTCGATGGGCCCATACTCCCAAGAATTTCCATGACGAACCAACTTCAAGCTCCCATGTTCACTGTGCGTGATCGAATTTGTTCATATTGGCGCACAGTGCTGAAGATGTCGTCCCAGATCACCCTCCAGCGGAATACGATTGACATCGGCGGGAGTGGCTTACTCACTGTCGGCAAGCTACCTGATGGGATAGATAACTCTTCTCTGACCTGGGTCCCTGTGCGCCTTTACAGTGAGCAAGACGGAGGCATGAAGCCTCCTCGTTTTGCTCCAGGTGAAGTGAGTGATACACCTTCGCTATATAATGATTGAACCTCATTTCCTCCATAGATCTACCCATAGTGAGTCTAGTAGCATATCGTTCGATCGTCCTCCAATGATCGCAATGACACTTCTAGCCGCTGGGAGATAGATCTCGACAGCGTCTTCCTCGACGGAAAGAAACTCCCCGAGTCATCGATTCCAGCGAAGGACGTAGATGGAAAGCGTGTCTCCGCCCTTATCGACACGGTATACCTCTTCTTCTCAGATGCACGCTGTTCGCCATCTCATGCACTGCTTCGTTAGGGAAACTCGCTCATCCGAGGGCCCGCTGATGTCGTCAAGAATGTCTTGAGTCAAGTTTCACCAGCCTTCTCTGCGAACAATCCCGCTGCTTCTCACGCGATCCTTCCCTGTGCCACCCCTCATACACTGGCTTTCCAAATCGGTGGCAAGGTACGCACAGAACGTCGCAGTCTGTCCAGTTGGGCCGACTGACTGACTGAATATGTATACTAGATGTTCCCCGTAGACCCGCGAGACTTCATACGTCAAAATGACGCAGGCGATGCCGTCAACTGTGTGGCCGACAATCTAGTCGCCACCGATCCTCCCTCGAAATCTACGCTATTTCGCTGGAGCCTCGGCGACCCGTTTATGAAATCGTGAGTACACACACGCGCCGACATCTACTGCATGCACCCCCTGAATACCTCTCCTGTAATTTGTAGTAACCTCGTGGCATTCCACTACGGAAATTTAACGCACCCATCTGCCGACCCGCCAAGAATAGGATTCCTATCCATGGTCCCACAGAACATCTCTGCAGTATACGCTGCGGCAGTGCAAGATGCCCGCAATAACGGTGGCAACTTTGAATGTGCGTGTCTTTTCCTTATCGCGGGGCCAGCGATAGAGCTTCCCCGTGCTGATCGTGAGCAATGCTCCTGATGCTGCTATACATAGCTACATATCATGTGGCGCCCACAGCTAGCGCCGCTGCAGAAGGACAGATCACTGTCAGCGCATCAGCGCCGGCGTTCGCCACCACGCTTCGCCTCGCAGCTCCCTCGTCGTTCCCAACGAACGCACCCGGTAGAAGCAACTCCGGAGCCATGATCACGCCAAAAATACTTCCGCTGCAGGGTCTGTTCTTTCTGTGCCTTTGTGCCTATGTCGCGCTGTAGGAATGTCAATGGGTTTCCTTGTGATTGAGCACCGATCATCAGCATCAGGCTTCACCGTGAAGTATTGAATCCTGTTCAGTCTCTGAGTCTCGCGGAATGACCGGCAAGTCAAGGATACAATCCAAGTGTCGTCATCACGAGGATTGCCTTATTCTAAGTGCGGCCCAACCACTTTCACGTTAAGGCTGCCTTAGGCTTAACTTCGTCTACTTGTCCTCGTCTTCAGTGCTCCTGACTATGCCGCGTTGGACTTAGAATTACCCCCCTCCCCGGAGACAATTGAGAACCGAACCCCTGAACCCAGTTTCCGACCGATACGTTGAAATGGAGAATACACTCAAAGTTGGCGGAATTCCTATCCTCAGCGCGCCGTCGTCTTAGCAAGCTTGCTGTCTGGTCCCACCGAGAACATCAAGAAATCATGGTATAACGGTATTGAGCACATTTTCGTACAGCGTATCGCCGGTATAAATATACCAACGATAAGTCCATGGGACTAAGTAGGTTAATTTTATTCGAAACCTGAGGTACGAGGAGGAGGACTTCGTAATGAACAAAGTCAGCCCGACAGTTACGCTGGAGAACGCCCAGACGGTCGCTGAAAACTTACTGATCAGACGCTAATTTGGGAGGAGCATCGCTAATCGACCACGACGGAAGGAATGTTGGTATATCCGTAATTTGGTACGACGACGCGACTGGATGGCTCGGAATGGTATGATAGGACTGAAGGCGCGTATTTAGGCCTGGAGGTTGATGAGTGGCCCAATACGCACCGAAGGATCCGGTTCATGTTTGCCAGCCTGCTGGTGGAATTGGACTTGCGATCGACAGTACCACGCCCAGCATCCATTGTCCATTATGACCGCCTAATCAGTTAGTTCTTGAGCATTTCCATTGGTCTCCGCCAGCCGCCTGGTATTGAGGGGGCCCAGTAGCCAAGACGCGTACGTCTTGTTACTTTGACTGGTGGTCGGGACTCGATGGTATCGCGACACCGTCACTCCACATAGAGTTAGCCCCACTAACTCGAAACCGGATGCAAGAAAGCACGCTTGTACGCAGATACCGAAGAAGCGGTAGAGCCAAGCCCTCATAAGACCTAAACATCGGTAGCTGATGTAGGTTGATGGAAGTAGGCCCTATTCAAAAAGTATGATGGTTGTGGTAATTCATGATTTCGTGGATCCGGGGTTATGTGTTTCAGTCAGTGTTCATCACTACTACTACACACTTCCTTCTAGTGGCTAGAAAGTGGGTAGTAGAAGGAAAATGCGACGATTTGCCACCTAGTGCTGCGCCTTCGGTGAGCGTCGAGTGGAATCATCGAACTTCACCGAAACTGGATTGCGGCGGGATCTCCGACAATCCGATATCCACATGGACCGCTTTGTGGACCGTTGGGTCCCTACGATCACATGACTTTAGATTCCAAGAATCAACCTCACCGTCAAGTCTCAGTCTCCATCAAGGAGGCCTTGCCCACATCAACTACGCGCTAGAAGAGCCCGCGAGCTCGCACGAAAGCATCGACGGATACTTTCCTCCGGTGTGTTCCTCCGGAGTGGGTGGCCATATGGAGCATCTTTCCGAACATCACAGCTTTCGAGATTATTGCCGAAGTCGACGGTGCCTTACACTCGAGTTTTGAATTCACCCGAAAAGAGTGACATGACCGGGGCTACTAAGGTATTTAAAGCGAAACTAACGATCGCATCTTCACCACTAACCACCATGTCTCTCGCGCTCCTCACCGTAGCATCGGTCAGCGTTCTTAGCGCGCTCGCGAAGTCGCCAGCTCAGCGTGATCCCCTCTCCTCGACGTCGCCTGAGGCTTGGGAGCACCTACGGAGGAAGGTGGATGGTCGCTTGTATGCTGGAGTCCCGTTCGCTCAACAGTGTTTCGACGACTCTACGTCGGAGGCTTGTCTCGTCGCGAGAAGGGCATATTTGGATGAAAGTGTGTGCTGCGGTCCTTTCTGCCCCTCGTAGATGCTGAATATCATATTTCAGCCTCGAGATCAAATACATTTGGCGCATATATCAACACACAGTGGGAGACGTGCCAGACCACAGCCGAACAGTGCCTGCTCGACTTTACAGACCCGAACTCGGCACTTCCAACATCGCCACCAAACAAATGCAGCCAAGGAAGCATAAGTAACTACTATGTAAAGTCTGCCGGTTGCATATATGCGCCGATATCCTGAAGGCTTTCTAGATCGATGTGCGCTTACCACAAGATATCTCTGCCGCGTTCGCATTCTCCAGAAGGACTGCTGTACCTTTAGTGGTAAAAAACACGGGTGTAAGTTTATCGTCGGTCGTCAAAGCTAGACCATTACTTAGGTTATGCAGCACGACTATAAAGGTCGCAGTAGCGCTCCTCGATCTTTGGCCCTCTGGGTACGTGTATTCATGTTTGTATGCATATGTGCATAGTTCTAATTCCCTTTCAGACACATAACCTTAGAAATGTATGTCCAACTGCGGCCTGAGTTCTTCGATTGCTCATGATCACAGATAACCTTCAACCCCAACTTTGTTCCAAGTGGTTGCAGTAAGCAAAGGTCGAGTCCAGGTGTGACGGTCGGCGTAAGAACCAGTCTGGCAACACTCTCAGACCCTTATTAACCATCAATTAGGCAGGAGTGATGTGGGGAGAAGCATATGCCTTCGCTGAAGCCCATAACATCACGGTTGTCGGCGGCAGCGACAAAAATGTTGGCGTCGCCGGTGGGTGGCTTCAGGTATGTTCAGCGCCTCCTTCATTTGCCTTCAGCTTGGGCTCACCTAGCTCAGGGGGGAGGACATGGCGCGCTCTCTAACTCTATGGGATTGGGTGTCGATCGGGTTGTACGTTGGTCTGGTATTAATATTGGCTTAGCCAACGGATTGATGATAATGCTACAGCTCGAGTTCAAGATAGTGACCCCAGATGGCAAGTTCAGAACCGTCAACGCATGTCAGAACGAAGACCTCTTCTTCGCTCTCCGTGGTGGTATGATATGATCGGTCACGAGCCCTCAGCCCATACTAAATATACTTGTGCAGGTGGGGGTGGCACCTTTGGTGTTGTTACGGAGGCTACTATCTTGGCATCTCCCCAAGTCACACTCCAAGCTGTGGTTGTGTCATTCCCGAGGCCTACTCCTGGTTCGAATATCACCCAAGAGTTGTTCTCCATTATAGTCGCTAACTCAATCCGTTGGGCTGACGAGGGATGGGGTGGGCTTGCCAACGGGTTCACCGCTATCTATGTGAATCCACTGATTTCGCAAGCAAAGGCCGCCGAATCGATGAAGCCGTTGATTGACTTTGCGAATCGAGTCAAATCAGAAAACAACATGACCTCGGCACGTATCGTAGCCACCGAATTCCCTAGTTGGGGTCAGTTCTTCAACTTCTTCGCAAACGGATTCGTCGCCGTGAGTATCCCCTTAGTTGGAATCCCCATGTGGCTGATGTACGGTGTGTTGGACCTTGCTTCCAGGCTGTTGGACAAAGTCTTGCCTTGACTTCACGGTTGGTCAACCAAGACAATTTTGCCACTGCCCACAAGCAGCAACAGCTCATCAATGCGTTGACGGCAGCAAACGCAGAAACTCAAAGCCTTATAATCTTGATATCTCCACCACACAGGTTCTCACGTAGAGGTGAGGCGAAGAAGATCAAGGCCAACAATGCGATCACCAGCGTCACGCCAATGTGGAGAGAGAGGTACGTCGATTACTCCGCTACTTTCTGCTTCGATCTTTTCCCATTCATTCTGATCGACTGTCGGGCTGTGTAGTATATACCACATTACGACCGTCTCGCCATGGAACTGGAATGCCACAACATTTGAAAAGAAGGCTCAATACCAACGTGCTAGCACTGCCATGGATCATCTCCGAAGGATTACACCTGATGCATCATATGTGGTGAGTTCTTGCCGTCTTCCCATGGTGACTTCTCGGGCGCTGATTTCGAGTATCATTTGTGCAGAACGAAGCTGATGTCCACGAGTCGAACCATGAATCTGCGTTTTGGGGACATAATTTCAAGGAGCTCCTACGTATCAAGAAGAAATAGTGTGTCTTTGTTCCGCCGTTGCCTTCGATCGATCTAATTGATTCACCGTCTAGCGATCCCGAGCATTTGCTAGACTGCTGGCACTGTGGTAAGTACCAATCCATAGGACCTTTTCACCCTCGATTTACGCCTTTTCTTCTTAGTGGGCTGGAATCAACAATCGCCTCGATTCTCGTGCTACATCTAAACTACATTATCCTCAATCGCCCCTCCATCACACACTGTTTTTGCTTTCGCCCAGATAAACCCTCCTGGGTGATCGAGACATCAATGCGTGGACTTTAGCACTCACTCCTGCATGGGATACACGGATACCTAGTTAACGCTATAGACCTTTTATCTGTACATGCTTGTTTATTAGTTTGTCGTCGGATCGGATTCTTGTCAGTTGCAATACCGTTGGGGGCTGGTGAAGCATGTATTTTAGAGCACCTAATTTCGGAAGGACGCTTCGGCGCTTATAATATTCCTCGTTCTCAACTTCTCAAAATCCCACCAAGTTCTATCCAGTTCCTTAGCCAATATGGTAGGTCTCAGCTTGACGTTTACGCCGATGTATATCTGACAGATCGGACGAATGAACAGCCTCCTCCCAAGTCCAAAGGAGGAAGAATGCTCGGTCTCGTAAACTGGAGATTGAGAGTTACGATCAACGATGGGCGCGCCCTAACAGGCCAAATGCTAGCATTCGACAGACACATGAACCTCGTCTTGGCCGATTGCGAGGAGTTCCGACGCGTGAGGCCGAAGAAGAAAGCTGGAGAGGAGACGGCTCCGGAGCAAGAGATGAAGCGTGCGTTGGGGTTGGTTATCTTGCGGGGAGAGACTGTTGTCAGTTTGTCCGTTGAGGGACCGCCGCCTGTCGTGGATGAGGACAAGAAGAACGCTGTATGTGCCGTGTCTCTGTTTCTACTGAACTTACTTGCTGAAAGTGCACGAATAGCTGCCCATGGGACCTGGTAGAGGTATGCCTGCGGGACGTGGAATGGGGATGATGCCTCCAGGTATTTTTCATTCGCCAATTCCAAGGCCATGGGACTAACCATGGTTCCTCCAGCCTTAGCGCGTCCCCCCATGCCGTTTGCGCCCCCTGGTATGCCTGGCCCGCCACCCGGGTTTATGCCTCCAGGTTTCCCTCCAGGCATGTCGTTCCCCCCTGGCCCCCCAGCAGGATTTAGCGGACCCCCGCCAGGGTGAGCTTTTTCTGTTTTATTGATCTTTTATACTCGCTAACACGTATCTACATAGCTTCCAACTGCCTCCTCAGTGATCATGATCACATATAGTTTAGAGTGGTTAAAAAAAGAACGACTCCGCGGGCAGTTCGCGCCTTGCACATAACATGTAAGTATGTAGGAGTACTATGAGCAACTGATGCTTTGGCGTTTAACTATGTTGGCAGCCTGCGGCCCGCGATACTTGAACCAGACTTGGAAACTGCGATACTTGTGAATGAAGGTGGGTGATTTGATACAATCAGTACTGACAAAAAGAGCGAAACAGACAACATCACGGTCTACAAAAAATCGACACTAACACTGAATAATTCTACGGTGGGGATTATGGCCACGAAGAGCTCCCTGGTCATTTCTCTTCTTTCACACTGGGCGCGTCTTCAAGCTTGGCTTCTGATAGCAAGAAGCCGGGATTGGCTACGTTGAGGGTATACATCGCAAGTACAATCATAGCCCCGTCGAGGACGTCTAATGTTTTACGCGTGGTGAGCATGTGTCTAAAGGGAGGTCAGGAGAGTGCAGACACATACTAAAGTACACCTCAGTTGTGATTATACGGCCTCCCCAACCATCCGCAAGCTCGATCGTCCGATATATTGATCTACATGTTATTTATCAGACATTTGGCCCCGAGGTTGCTAGCATTCGACGGCGACGCACCGGATAAACACGCATAATGTGCTGAAAGCCAGACCAACGCTCATGAACTTCAGGCGGTTGGTAAATGGGCCTCTAGTGGCGTCCTGGTCGCCATGTATCGGTTTAGGCACGGAGTGCAATGGGCGATCCCACAGGTATCTCAAGTAGAACTCCAGAGCGCAAACAGCGTAGACGGCAATAGCCACTATTCACATCAGCCTCGAAAGGGTCTATCGTTATCATCGATGATAGGGATGCTCACCTAATTGGAAGGCGATACCACCCAACATGACTCTTCCACCCTGCGTCGGAATCAGACCGCGATTCGGATACACCGAGAGGATAGGTAACTTACCAATGAAGGATCTCGACCACTACCCGCCGCCGATGATGCCATTCCGCCACCGATACCTTGTACGATCAACGCAATGATATCCTATTGAACGGCGGATGGATACCAAGACTCGCTGAACCGTTATGTACTTCACTTACGCAAGACAGGAAGACGATCGTGTCTGAAGGTAGCCAACGCGGTATCAATGAGGCACAACCTCGGTATCACGGTTGAAGGGACTTACACCATTTGGGGCTGAGACGGCTGTAGGTCGGCCCAAGTCTCGCGATGATCCTGCCCAAGATGATGAAGTTGGCTGCAACGAGCGGTGTGGGCGCAAGGATTGTCGCAGTAATTCTTGACGATGGGGTCTGTAAACTCGATGTTCCCCTAGAGGACACTTGCTTACTGGATTTGAAACGGTTGGACGCCGGTAATATTGTCACTCGACCACAGTCGACCGGCCCATCCGAGGACTTCCAACGCCCCAGCAAGGCAAGCGGTAGGTAGTAGCCACCACGTACGCAGAAGGACAGCTTCTACCGTATGAGCAACTGTATCAGACAGTCAGCATCGCACTACTCCGTATGGAGACTGAATGATTTCGTACAAGTTGAGATCCCGAAGAGCACGATGAATATGATGCAAACATATTCGGTTGGGATGTAGCCGTAAGGTGACCAAAGAAAGTCTGAAGCTCGGGGAAGGAGAAGTGTCCAGTCGTCTGCCATGATCAAGAGCAAGATGTGGCTGTGGGTGGTGAGCTGTGGTGAGATTATTGATGCATTTTTTCGGACAATCTACGCGACGTTTCTCACCAATACCCCGCGCGGTGCCCTGCAGGCTGCCGTTGCCTTGCCCCTGAGGCTAGGGCCTGGCCCCTGATGCCATCAACAGTATCACGTGCACCTCGGTCTCCGTCCCCGTCCACTGTGACTGAGGCGTTCGCGACTCATCTCCGTTCGTTCTGCGGAGGACGACCATGGCGACCCTCGAGTACGTTTCAATACCGCCGTGCGCGACGCGGCTGCGATCTTCGGACAAGAAATCGATTGATCCAGAACCCGAGCTCAAGACAAATCTACCAGCAGAGCATGGTTCCGAGCCATTACCTCTTCTGAGCTCGCCGACGGCGGCAACGAGCCCTACATTACCAACGACGTACGCAGTGCTCCCACAGATTCTCCTTTCGACCACCCTACTCTCCAGTGGGAATGGCCTTTCCCTCCCCCCCGCGCCGACGAGTGTATCGAAACTTATGTCGAAGAAAGACCCTCTCTCGATCCCAATAACTACCGTCAATTTCAGGCGCTTTGTGGCGCGCGTAGGGGCCGTATTCTGGCTCCAAGACCGGGTGGAGGAAATCGTGATGTGGAGGAAAGGGTGGAAGTACACAGTTACTTGGATGGCAGCGTATGCATTTCTCTGTATGTCTTCCTGGTCGATACTGAGCCTTAGCTGACGGATCTATGATGGTAGGTATATACCCGCGCTTAGTTTTGCTCCTTCCTCATACCATCGTGATTGGCGTAATGCTCGTGAACTCCCCTTCATCGCCCTCTCCTACTCGAAAACAACGGTCACATTCTTCGCTATTGACGCCGCCTCCGCCGAAGCCTCCTCAGACAGAGCCCACACCCCCTTTTACCACGCCCGTAGCTGAGGGGAGTAAAGAATGGCTGGCAAATATCCAAGGCATTCAAAACCTCATGGGATTTGGGTACGTTCGCTTTCAGCCATGCCTCTTAGTTGAGATGTAACAGACATTACACAGAGCCGATGTGCATGATGCTCTTGTCCCCATTCTATCGCATCTGACACTCCTTCCCACACCGCAATCGCCCACTTCAACAAGAGTGCAAGCTCCTACCATCTCGTTCTACATATTTGTAGTGACCGTGCTAACACTGCCACTACTGGCCTTCGTCGTAACTTCCCATTATATCCCCTTGCGACTGATTTCCCTTGTCGCCGGCATCGCACCCGTGCTTCTCCTCCATCCCTCCGTCCTCCCCTACGTTCCCCTAGTCACGCGTGGTTTGGTCGATTTCACAGTATGGTGCGTTGATGCTTTCGAAGCGTCCTTGAGAACTACGCTCCGCCGCATCCGTCTTTCTCCACACCTGCGGTCAATCAGACCTTATCTTCCTGATCACAGCTCTGATTCGCCTCGCATTGGACACACCATACGCCACATCCGCACATCCATCACGCGATTCATCGACAACGATAGATTACAGGACGACGTCTGGAACGCCCCGATCACAGAGGTCGAGTTATTCGAGAATGAACGGTGGAAAGCAGACGAGGGTTCTTACGCGTACTCGGATGATAGCCTCACTGGTGGAACCGGTGAGCAGCGTTGGAGTAAAGCCAACCTGCGTGACACCGAGAGACGTGGGTGGACGAGAGGGAGAGATGGCTGGAACGGTGGTGTTGGCGAAGAAGGCTTTGTTAGGTGCGTGATACAAAACCGTCGTATTGTCGCTGTTGCGGCGATAGTATGGTGCTGATTCGCTAATGTGTATAGTAGCAATTTGACGTTCTCACTCGCTTCTGGGTGGGCGTTTGTAGAGACGGAGGATTGGAGGAAGGACGTGGTGGGAAAGTGGGTTGGGGGTTTGGTTGATGATGGTGGGATCACTCTTGATCAATTCGTCAAAGGTACTGACTGCGAAACTGATTTTACTAGATGGCTGGACATATACGAATGATGTGTGGTCGGAGCCCACAGCACATCCCGTTTATCAACCACCCATAGCTACCTCGCCGTCGAAAGACGCGCAAAGGCTAACTGAGGCTCCTGCCTCGTTTACGGTCACGCGGCGAAGGAGGTGGACAAGAAGGATTTGGTACAAAGGCGTGTAGCTCTTCCACAGGTGAAAAAGTCGAACCCCCAATGAATTACACCTTGCTTGGATCCATATTCGGGCTCAAGAACATCGAGTCAGCTCAGCTCGGAGGAGCCTTCCATTTGAATACAGCACCAACATAGGACTTGTTTCGCTCAATGCGCGTCCGCGTTTTCCACCAGGGTACGTGCCATGTGTACCGGTACGTTTGAATGTGGAATATCCCTTCGATCGTAAACCCCAGTACAAAACACGCAAATTACGTTGAAGTAGTAGAACAATTGTGTTAGGCGTCGAGTTATCGTCTTGAAGGTCAGTTCGAATTCTTTCCCGATCCTCCCATCTTTGTTCACATGATCTTTGGACATACCAAGTACCAGTAGCCCCATTGCGTCACTTCTTGAAGATGGTGGAAGAATGGACAGATATTACATATTTTTCCAGATGACAGACGATGTTTTCCATTCTATCCAATCATGCACGCCACACAGCACACTCAAGCTTCGCCGGCGCAAGGTATGCCTGATGCTTTATCTTATAGCAAGATCGGCAATGGCCCCATGCCGGGACTCCTTACTGGAGGTGCCCTTAAACGACATGAATACATGACCCTAGCCCAGATGATGTTTCCTCAACTTGCCCTCGATGTTGAATAGTTCCGCAACTATTTAGCCAACCTTGAGATTGGCCCAATATGGTCCTTTCCTGGAGCATCCAGTCAGACTCCCTGACTAACGTAAAGGACGCCGGTGCGCGTGCCCCCAGCCAATCTAGAGGTCGTGTCTTTGCGACTCGCTATAAAAGCCGGTGTGGTAGACCTTCTACTACATAATATAGTACCCTCCTCCCAGATGTCTTCAGAGAACACTCCACGACGAGTTGCAATCATCACGGGCGCTGCCCAGGGTATTGGAAAGGCAATCGCCATTCGCCTTGCAGCAGATGGTCTAGCCGTTGTCGTCAGTGATATCGCGGCAAAACAATCGCTGCTGGACGCTGTCTGTGACGAAATCAAGACATCCCACCCCGACATTCCTGCCTTGGCGATTGCAGCAGATGTCTCATCTGAGAAAGATGTGACCACCCTTGTAGGAGAGACAGTGGCTAAACTTGGAGGGCTTGATGTCGTACGTGCATTATGTATATCTGCTGCCCCTCGACATTCACTCACCTCAGTATAAAGATGGTTGCAAACGCAGGAGTCTGCTGGATGTCGCCTATTCTGGAAAGTAAGCCGGGGGATTAGGTGCGCTCTGCCCGGTTTTGTTGATACCCCCGTTAGCTTCCGTTGAGGAGATCGACAAAATGTTCTCGATCAATTTCAAAGGCACAGTGATTTGCTACAAAGCGGCCGCAAAAGTCATGATTGACCAGAAGCGAGGCGGAAGGATCATTGGCATGTCGCAACCAAGTTCTCGAGATTTATTCTCACTTTTGATCTGCACAGGTGCTTCTTCCAATGCGGGGAAGAAAGGCATGTCAAGCTTGAGGTCATGCCATTCCATTGACCTAATATTTTCCAGGATTCCCAATGATGTCAACTTATGGTGCAACGAAGGCTGCCATCAGAGTTCTAACACAGTCAGCTGGTGCGTCGTAATATCTCACCTTCTGTGTATGTTCATTTTCGAACGCTGAAGCCATGTAGCGGCTGAATTCGGGAGCCATGGGATCACAGTCAATGCCTATGCGCCAGGTGCCATCATTACTCCGATGAGTGAGGCACTTTCACGAATTCAACGTGTGGTCGATTGACTCGTATCCATAGTTCTTGGACTCGCGGAACAGACCGCTAAGTACACGACCGCGCCCAACGCAGACTCCGTACGTCACCTTCCATATTCGCAGTTGTCTCTTGCTGATATATCACATCAAACCCAGTACGTAGCACAAACCTCTGTAAAGCGCATTGGAGATCCTGTCGACGTCGCAAACCTGGTCTCCTTCCTTGCCTCCGAAAAGTCGAGCTACATCTCTGGTCCGTTCCTGCCCAAGCTTCATGACAAATACTGACGCTTTGAAAACAGGGCAAACTGTCACCGTCGATGGTGGTGTCTGGTTCGACTGAACCGGGTATCTGAACTTTGAAGGGGTAGAATCAGCAGCATATGTAAATGCCATTTTCGTTGAGACATGTCCACGGAGAAATGGTTATTTGAACACTGAGAAGTTCTATCATCCCTCGGTACCTCGAGTCTCGCGCTGAAGTGCTGTTCGGGACATTCTTTGATCATGCAACCAGGCTCATGGGAGTCATTTACTGACAGTTGTACACCGTGACGGTAACGCGCGAAGCCTTGTGAGTGGTGCTTGGTTAGTGCTGGTTCCTTGATTCTATCTCATTCCTGCCTAGATCTAAAACAGGCGTAAAGGAGGGAGGCTGGCATCCCCAGGACTTCATCTATTTATCCAAAAGTTACCCCCGCTCGGATTTGACCCGATGGCGCGTAATTCGCGGCGTAGCCTATGACACCATCGGTGTTACTGACCCACTTCTCAGACATAACGGGCAGATTTTCTTGAGTTATATTCCGGAGAACATCCGATTTACCCCAATCATCTCCAGATTGTTGACGAGCCCAGACTCAAGACCGATATTATCAAGTCACGACATACACTCGATGGCCCGAAGTTTACAGAAAGAAGCTCAAACCCGCATGTCTGAGCGGAAAATCCGTCTTCGAATATTCAATTACTCATTCGAGCTCAAGTCGAAGGATCAACATATTAAGCTTTTCAGCAGATTTGCCGCATGACACACCCGCGTTCTCTTGAGGTATATAATGAGGTGCTCATATTTCTTCGTTGCGCCGAATCCAGTCTTTAGCAACTATGAAGCTCACTGAATTACTCGCTGCAGTCGTTGCGCTCTCCGCAGCTGGCGTGTCTGCTCACTGTAAGCCAGTCACTGATGATACATACTTGTCTTGCAGTTCTAACTCACGATGGTACTAGACCGCTTCGACGCACTCATTGTTGGTTCGACGACGACAGCTCCATACCAGTACGTTCGTCAAAACACGAACTACAACTCTCCGGTTCGTTTCTTCATCTCGACTGCATTCACACTATAAGCATGTTAAACTGATTTTTCTAGATTACGGATGTCACTTCGCTAGACTTCCGTTGCAATGCTGGAGGTCTTGCCTCGGCCGCAGCTACCCAAACAGTGACTGCTGCCGCAGGTTCTACAGTACGGCTTACTTTCAGAAAAGTATATTCGGACTAATGCATCTTACTTCCTAGGTTGGCTGGGCCTTAGACCAAGCCATATTCCACCCTGGTCCTATCAACGGTTTGTTGTGCTTCATCATTTGCTTTCTGATAACTCATGCTTATTCTTCTTCTTAGTTTACATGGCGAAGGCCCCTGGAAATGCCGCCAGCTTTGACGGTTCCGGCAGTGTCTGGTTCAAAGTATATGTACGTGAACTACCTTTGGGATCTTCCCTCCTTCTCTGCGCTGAGTCTACTTACAGGAAATCAGGCCTGTCACCAACGGCGGAACCAGCATCACCTGGCCGGCAGACAGTACGTCTTTTTTACATCGTTTCCCCGTAGGATTTACAGTCATGAATAACCAAATTCAGACATCTCAAGTTTCACCTTCCAACTCCCAAGCTCTTTGCCTAGTGGGCAGTATCTCGTTCGCGTAGAACACATCGCCTTGCACGTAAGTCCGCACCCCCCAGGTTAACAGAATGGGATGCGATTGTCACCTACAGTCGGCCTCAACCTTCGGTGGTGCCCAATTCTATATCTCTTGTGGCCAGATCAACGTTACTGGTGGTGGTAGCGGTAACCCAGGCCCTTTGGTTGCGATTCCAGGCGTCTACACCGGTCGTGAGCCTGGCATTATGCTCAGTACGCCATCGTCTCTTCTACTAGCATCCATTGACTTACCAGTAATTATGTGCTAGACATCTACTACCCAATCGTACGTGCATTCCTTCCGAGCGATAGGGTATAACTGACCCGCTTGTATAGCCCGCAACTTACACCCAACCCGGACCTGTGAGTATCACCTCTGTCCGACTGCAAACATGTCGTAATCTTGATTTTTCGTATTCAAGGCTGTATGGCGCGGATGAGGATCCTGTATCGTTACAGTTATCAACGTGTACATGTATTATACACATATTCTGTTACATCATTGGCCAATCTTCGAAACCACCTTGCCCGAACCGGAAGAAGCTGATGTTGCCCGCATCTACGGCAGCGATCACAACGATCCTCTTCCCAGCCTTGAGAGCAGCAAAAGGATTAGGTCGTCGGGGTAACGGACTCGGCGTTTCGGGTTCCTTGAACACCCAAGATGATATCCAGGACCATAACGTTGTCGGTGTCGGTGGCGCTGGAGGGAGTTGATTCCTTGCAGGTTGCGGCCCTTGCTGAGGGTGCCGTTGTCGAGATAGCGGTGGCGGGAGCTCCGGAAGCTCACCAAACAAGTCGTCCAGCTCACGTAGAGTAGGCATCTGAGTTACACGTGCGCTAACAAACAAACCCTATTTGCACAAGTTGAGAATATGGAGTGAAATGAGGGACTCACTCGACGACGACGACGGAGAAATCGGGCGGAGGAGGGGAAGTCTTCTTGAACGGCGTAGATGGTTTGTAGAGATGGTAAAAGATTTTGTACGGGGACGCTGATGTATGCTTGACGTGAAGCGGTGCATTATGGCCTGAGGGTATGAATCGGAGGGACTTGTAAATAAATTCTGATGCTTTTGATTAGACAAGGCCAGGGAGACAGATAGCGGAGGTACCGTAGCTCATGTGCTGACGAAGCCAAGGATTGATGCACAACGGACGCCACCAATTAAATCGCGAGAATAGCTTCGTCAGATGGAAGGTGAACCGAGAAAATAGAGATTGATGGCGAAGCGGTGTGCTGCTGGTGCTGCTAGGGGGCGTAACGGGGTAAAATGGACTTGGAGGGGTCGCTCGAGTGACAACATAACCCAGTCGCTTCAAGTATGAGTAGACCTGTCCTCCAACTAAGACTCATTTGCGGGCTACGAAGTAATTTTGACTGACTTGGTATTTTTCAAGCGTCATATCCTCAGTACCAAGCATTTCACTGAACGCCTGTTGAGCAGACATCGGGGCACCTCCGGCCTTTGTACAAAAGAGGGCGCCACGCTCGATCATATATATCGCTTCTTCCGGAAGTAGTTCAAGTCTCTTCGTGGTCTTCTCTTCGTTTTCTTCCTTCCGAGGAACAGAATGCCCCATCGAGGTGAAGTGAATCCCCCGAGACAAAGTAACGTGGGCACGGGCAATACTGGGATACCACACGGCGTAACTCATTGCCTTACTTCCATGAGATTTTAGTAATATATCGTTAACCGACCAATGAAACACACCTTGAAGTGCTCCGTGTCGCCCTCAACGCGTCAAACATAGCGGATCGAGCTCGATCAAGGACATGTATTTGCAGCCCGGAACCTCCCCCGGGTGCTGGCTCAAATTCCTTCTCACCCCTCCTCGGTATTATGGGTCTGTTGATATTCAACCTGCATTCGTAGCTCGCAGGAAATTCTTCGAGTACGAAAACCGCAAAAATTGTACACACGACGAAAGTTTGGTCCAATCAGCGCCAGAATCTTCATCCCCGGAAGAGTTTTCGTCAGGTTCGTCGCCTTGAACGGGTTTCGGAGGCGCGTTCGGAAGCTCTAGTGCGTCGTCCATGTTTCCTCGATGAAGTTATGAAGAGTCAAAACGGCCAGCGCTACTCCAAAATCACTGAGTCTCCGGCACAGCCACTTCACATGATATCGATCACGATCGGCTGGCATCGGCTTCAAGCTTCCGACGAGTTCAAGGTGGCGTGTTCGGGGAGCATCTTCAATTGACGACGACAGATTTAATTCATCGTCTTTAGCTGCTCGCATATGAGCGGCCACGATGGCAAACCCTCATTCCTACGGTCTCTCGCGGCACGTCCTCGTTTCCCTTCATGATCCAATAATTGACATCAAATAGGCAGGCGGTCTGGCGGGGACGTCCGTCGACTTGCTATTCTTCCCAATAGACACCGTGAAAACGCGTCTTCAATCACCCCAGGGGTTTGTACGCAGTGGAGGATTCAAAGGGATATACAAAGGAATTGGGAGTGTTGTTGTTGGAAGCGCACCTGGAGGTGTGTGTATTGTGTATGGGACATGGGCGATGCTCATGACCAAATTAGCGGCCGCCTTCTTCTCCACATATGACACGATCAAGAGACACACACCATTGGAACCGCATCTTGCACCTTTGACTCACATCCTAGCTGCCTCTGTTGGCGAAGTGGTATGTTCTCATAACTCCATTGAAAAATGGTAATGTCCACGATGCAGGTTGCATGCCTAATCCGCGTACCAACCGAAGTGGTGAAAACACGCATGCAGACTCTTGCGTATGGCACACAAGGCCACTCTTCATGGTCAGCTGCTAAACTTGTTCTTTCAAACGACGGTTGGCGAGGCTTTTATCGTGGCTTCGGGATAACAATAATGAGGGAGGTGAGTAGTCGAAATTTTTCGTAGCTTCTTCGCCTCACGCTACGGAAGATACCGTTCACATCGATTCAATTTCCTCTCTACGAGTTGCTGAAAGTGCAAATCGCGAAGCAATTTGGTCGGAAGCCTCATGCACACGAAGCGGCGATATGTGGGAGTATCGCTGGAGGATTCGCTGCGGCAGCTACAACGCCTCTAGACGTACTTAAAACAAGAATAATGCTCGATCTTCGGGTAAGATACCGCTGATCCGCCGTCAGCGCCCCTCCTCACCGCGCAATCACTAGGACCCCACAAAGGAAAAACTGCCCTCAGTCTCCACCCGCTTGAGAGGTATATACACAAGCGAAGGCGTTGGAGCCCTCTTTGCAGGGGTTGTACCTCGGACGTTATGGATATCGGCTGGCGGAGCAGTTTTCCTCGGTGTATATGAATGGGTTGTGGGCCTCTGATTAACTTCGCATCTGCTTATTGATACATATATTACTCTTTACAACGATAGCGGCGACGATATACAGCAAAACAACAAGGGTTCATCCCAGGGTGGCAAGTAGCCTCAAGAAATCCGGCGTACCCAGTCCCGTAGCCTGAAGTGAAATTAGCGCGAATGCGGGCATCAAGCCGTGACAGCACTTACGGGGTCCCATCCTTCCCTCGCTGGGAAGCCTATTTGGGGAAGTAATCAGTATGGAGAGTATCAAACCATTAGTGATCCTACCGGTCGTTCCACATCCCGGATTGGACCCTTCAGTAACATCGTTAAGAACTCTCGTCACATTCTCTGAGTACAGCATTGGGTTCAAGAAACCCAGGGTAGGCTTCTTGTTTGCGAGTCGATAGTCATTGATCAACGCAATCATGGCCGCGACGACCTGTTTATCATGTAAACGTGAGTGCTTCGAATATTATAGTGTTATTGCTACTCACAGGGGTGCTAGCACTTGTTCCGCCAATCGCCTTTGTCTCCCCACCCAAGATCACTTTGAACCGGGTTCCTTGAGCTGCTATATCGGGGACACCTCTACCGGACGCGCTACAGCGAAGAAAGGATTGATATCTACGCCTACTCTGTGCAGAAATTCACATACTTATACAATCCAGAATACATGCCGCCAATAGCCTGAAGGTATGTCGAGACGGCTGCATCCTGGTAGGAAGGTCGAGGGAATGTGTTTGAGAATCCTCCGGAACTGAAGTTTACGACTCTTTCTGGGATATGTGTCGTGCTACCGACCTGGAAGGAGGTTCATATGTCAGCGCAAGGCGACAACGGGAAGCATCGAAGTATACTCACGGTAGTCACGAACGGACACGTCCCGGGGAAGCCAGGCTGGAACCTCTTCTTATTTGACCCATCATTCGTCATGCAATCGCCACCACCAACGCTGACAGGACAAATAGCAGTTAATAGGGGATGCTTACAATGATGGCGCCTGAGAGTAACATACCCGACGTCGCCGCTAGAGAACAGGATGGAGACACCTCGAGCGCCGAGTTGTGCAAATAGATTACACACGGTGATCTGGTAGTCATAAGGCACCTGCGGGAAATCTACATCAGAAAGTGGTCTACAAGAAGTATGGAGAGGATGCAGACCGTTTGCTCATCGTCTCCATAGGACGTAGTGATCGTCTTCGGTATCTCTTCATCTTTTAACGCTAAAATCCAGTGTAGCCATTCGAGGTAGGGTTCGTTCGTGTTCTTCACCGTCCGACTATCTGGAATGAATGGCGGGGAACCGCCGACGGAGTAGTAAATGTTGGGCGTCGGGTACGAGATGGAGACGGCGTATTGAATATCTAGATTAGCCTGGTGGATATATTGAGAAATAAACCGACTCAAACGAAACTTGAGATTACTTCTCTCCCGGGTTTCGATTGGTCATCGCCACCCCCATTAACCAAAGTGGTATTGTAGGACGTCCCCAGCGCGGAGGGCATATATCTCTCGTAGAATATCTACGAATTGTGAATACGAAGGTCCCAACGAACAAGACTGAATAATAAAATCTGTACCTGCAGATCCGCCCTGTTCCCGAATTCGCCTAAATAGCCCACGATCCCCAGCTTATTGAGATGTGTAGCCTGTGGCTTGTACCAAATGTTATACAGTCGGCGCAAACAGTCGGGTGTCATGTTGGTTATGCAATCGACTGGGATATCAACGCCATCATGCGTAACGACTGCCAACTTGTTCTGGTCAACGTCTGCCAAAACTTCGGTAGTATCGACGAAAGATGTAGCTCGCATGGACCTCCATGTGCCGAAGTAGGTAGTCGGTGATATCACAGTGATATGGTCGTGCACCGCTTGTGGCAGTGAGTAGGCGAGCGTCCTGACCACGTAGTCCCTGTTCGAACTTGACGCATCCTTCGAGTCTGAGTCCAGTCCGTATGAATAAACGCCGTATTTGGCATTCAACATCTCTTCGACTTGTGGCATGGTGACCTCGACGGTAATCCAATCACCACCACTGGACCGAGAAACTGAATTGCTGTCAGACAAATCGATCCCATGTCCTCGAAGCCAGTCATCGATGATGGACACAGATGTCGCGTGGGGTGCAACAAGCGATTCCACTTGGGACTTGGATAGATGAGCCCCATACCTACATTCGTTAGGTGATATCAAGCGTGTTGTACGAGCACATACCTCGTATGTGACGGATCGCTAATTTGAAACAGTGTATTTGCTAGCGCATCAAATCTATGCTGCTTCAGGCCGATACGCAGTGTCATTTTATAATCCTCTGGAACATCTGAATGAAACTTCCAGCCTTTAGGGACTGCTGGCCAAGAGTGTCGTTGGACTAGATCTCCCCATCTTTTGGCGTGCGAGTGTGTGGACGAAGAGTACTGTGGGCTGGGGATTGCAGCTGACAGCGACGCGAATCCGATGATGGGGAGAAGCCAGCGCATTGGAGATACTAGAGAAATCCAATGACGCTAGAACGCAGAATGTGACGCTGACCCCGTTTGAGGTAGGCACAGAGCGTACATAGCAGACGCACTCCGCCCTTTTAAACTCTGGGAGCTTGCTGGCATTGTTGCAACGAGCGATGAAGACCTGACATCTTGCTTGTTCTTGAGTTGGCCACGTGGCGAAGCCCAGTGACTTTTTCAACAAGCAAGCGGGCTCAGGGTGGCCGAGTAAGTGTTCGCCGTCCCAGAGTCCCATAAGGCGCACATCAAGATGTCTTGGGATACTTGGGTTCAGGATAGTTAATGCAAACCGGAGAGGTTGCCCAATCCGTTCACTAACCTGCTATTGGTTAACTGTTCAAAATAGCCTTTTATGGCTATGGAGATTCGGTTCATGATTTTACCCACGCCCCATAGAAGGTAATTTTCGCAACATTCCTCTATCGGCCAAGAGCACTTCGATGGCTCGTCGAAGCTTGATAAATATTTCGCAGCTATACAGAGAGATTACGTTTGTGATATAGCATTCATGACTGCCCATCTAAGGACCCCAAATATCACTCTCGGCCTGAAGAGTTCTGCTTGCGGCGTAGCAAGCATTCGAACGTGCCATAATGCAGATGCCACCACCTCATCCTAGAATATGGGAAATGAATATGAGGATACATCTTAGTAGGGACTTAGGAGTTTACAGACCCTTTCGGCTGCTCGAGCAGCATGATAGGCATACCAACGGACGGCCGCACCTTCCCTGTCGCGGCTCTCCTCTTTGATCGGGATCGTTGTAGGATAACCATAGTCTGGGTAGCAGGCTCAATTAGCCCGAATTTGCAACATGACAAAAGTTCTCACCTATTGCTTTGGTCGACTTCCTGATAGTCAAGATGTTCGATTCAGTTTCACAGGAGAAAAAGGACTGACTTGAACACTGACCATATATCTTCTAGTGTATTATGCGAGCGCTGAAAGTATAGCGTGCTAAAGTCCTTCGGTATTTGATTGGGACTGTTGCTAGCTACGCGGTTGTGTAGAACAGTATTCAGAGTCATAGCACTGAAGAGGGCCTTGCTGCAACCTTGCCTATTATTAAAAAGTCTGAGTCACTTGTCTTCAATTATCAGCGCCACAACACTCACGCAAATAACGGGTTGAGCTGCATCTCTGAATCTCCAATAGCGATGAAATTTGAAGGCAAAAGGTGCGTTATCTTGTGGTATTGAACAAACGAAGGTGCAGCTACAGGATCACCAGTCCGTCAGGTGCGATATGATGTAGGAGGGAGAATGTGAAGCGCACGTATTTTTAGTGGCTTGAAGGTGATCACAGCGTCGCCTTTCTGCTCGCTCTCAAGAAGCATCTCTACCACTTTGCGGACCCATTGGGGGGCAGGATAAGCGCCTTTCACCGAACGCACGTAAGGAAGTATGTCTTCTTTTTCTTTGGGAAGATGGACATCCCCCCAACCGCCACAGCACAGCTGGACTATCTCGAGGTTATCAGATTTTTGGATTCCCCAAAAATAAAGTAAAGACCCACTTGTATTATCCATTCGTGTCAGCACGAAACCTTCGTTACCCCACTTGCAGTGTGCATAGTAGGTATAGATGAAACCAGCCTTTTCAAAACCACCAGGAATAGGCAGAGTATGAACAAGGTCTCCAAGATTATCGAATGTCACAGTAACATAACGAAGCTTGTGGTCGTAGCTGATCCGTAAATTGTCTGGCCCCCTCTTATTGTCGGAGGAGGATTCAGGGGAGGATATGAAACCAGCCGACTTCAACCATTTTATACCTGCTTGAGTGCTACCTGTGCAATCTGTGGGTAGGGTTTAGATAGATAGCACATAGAATGGAATACCAAGGCTGACCTATGACAAGCGCAACATCTTTCACGGTTTTCTCTTCGCCCTCGTTTGTTCGAATGTTGACGCTCCGAATATCAGACATGTCGTCGGAAGGGACAAGCCCCGTAACTGTTCCTTGTATCGTTTGGATGGAATTTGCGCTTGAATCAATGAGTAGCCGGTATAACACTGCCTCGAATTTGGGGCGACGAATGAGCATTGTGTCAGGGAGGCCATTGGTCTTTTCGAAGCCAGCGGCTGTCTTGATCGTTGTCGGATACGACGATTGAGCGGCAAGAAGGGGAATGCCTCCAAAGTTCAGCTTGAAATCGCCTGGCCGAAACCTATGGTGCGAACAAATGGATTAGCAAGACTCCAAAATGGACCAGCACCCGAACGTACACTCCTCCTGCTTGCTCAATCATCGGGTCCAAATTAGGCCATAGACGGCGAAGGCCATCGACCATAAATGTCAGATAAGCTGCAGAGTGTCCTGAGTATACAACGGATGCAATGGGTTCCGTGTTGAATACACACCATGGAGGGAGTCGTATTGGGCCACTCTTTTCTTCGCAAATTCCTGTCCAGCTTTTGTGATTTCAGGATCGACAATGACAACATTTTGGAAGTGGTCTGCACAGACACGGGCACTGATCAAGCCTGCAATACTTTTCAGAAGTATTAGCACTCCATCTAAAGCTGACAGCAGAATACACGCCTACCTTCCTCCACAAATAACGACCGTTTGTTTAAACTTGACTCCACGAGGATGTCCAAGAAGTGATAGATTCAGCTCCCACTCTCGCGTCACCTTCTGGTAGAAGTACCAGGCAGTACACGACGACACAGTCAGCGCAATTCCAAGAAATGCTGCTATCAAAGCATAGCCATTATGGGTGAGCAGAAGCGAGGGTTTACTGAAGGCCGACATGACTTACGAAGGGGAGCCGGCGTAGGGATGAAGCTTTTGTGCTCCCTAATTCGCAACAAGCCATTCTATTCGGAGTGGTGTGACGATCCAGACTTGATGAATTTGGTGCAGATGCCGTACACGCTGGGAATATGACCCCATGCGGTTGCTTTGCGGTCCCTTGTGGATCTCCTTGAAGAAATACGCCCGAACCTCAATGGGGTTACCTCTAGACGGGTTTGAGATTCCCCTGTTACATGACTTCCAAGAGACCGAGCGCCGGTCATGACTTATTCTGGAGACCCTGCTTTGAGCAAAGATAATTTCGTCGCGAGCCGCCAGTATCTATGAAACTTCGCAGCCCTGCGATCTGCGCGAAGCGGTAATTTTTTGACGGCTTGCAGGGTCCCATGGCCTCTTCACCGCTCTTACGAAGGATATCCTTGTCTCATTTAGGCCAAGATGGCCTCTGTATGTTTGACATCATTCTAACGTAGTACAGGATACATAAATTAGAAAACGCTCTATGGAGTATTAAAATGAGGAGAAACACTTTTTTACAATTAGCCCAGAAGGGAGATGACCCGTGTCCAGACATTCGGACGACGCTTCTGGTACCAGCTCTCGATCTGATTTCCGACATTGAGCAAGGAGCTTAGAGGCTCAAGGAGAAACTCACATCAGTGGTGAATTTGCAGATCCGCTGATAGTTCGGATCAGATGGGATAGCGTGCTGCCGTATGCAATTAGCCGAATCCGCAAACAACTTCGCAACATCGTTGATATCCTCGAGACAAGCTAGTATCTACACCACAAACAGAGGTTAGCGGCAGTTATTGGATAGTGAAGTAAATTGGTTGCGTACTGGGATATACTCTTGTTTTGATGGTTTCACTTCAGTGTGGAATACTGCCGGGTTCATGAAGCAAGCCTTCGCTGTTAGCATCGCCATGATGACTGGAATAGCGACGAATTCGAATATTTGGGAGTGTGTGAGGAGGTTCAAGTAATCCAACGTATCCACAGCGTGGCTAAGTGCCTCGATGACCATTTCGCTGAGGACGTTCAGCGCGTCGGCTTCTCGAGCAGGATCATACATGTCCTCAACCTTCTTGAAGCCGTGTTTGATCCAAAAGTGCTTGGGCCAGAAACATCTGGAGTCGTCCACATCTTCGCGATAATCGCGGAGTATGTTGACCTTCTGGAGAAATAATCCCCAAGAGTTCGAAAGAACATCCTGATCGCGGAGCCAATGGCGTTCCAACCCACTGGCGGCAAACAGCCTCGATAGCCCCTGCCCGACTACCCCCGCAACATAGTGGCAGTATAGATCGAGATCAGCGACGGTTTCGACCGTTGACGATGCGGTCTCCTCGCTGATTCGCTGTCTCCTACAGAAATCGGCCATCCCATCGCCCATAGTATGGCAAGTGTTCACTATGATTTCGCGATATCTAATATCTAGTTAAGAACAACGCGTGGATGGTTCACGATGAGCAGACTTACATTTCGTTGGTAAGTGCGAGTTCACGGACGACAACATCGAATTCGACGAGGAGTTGACGATCCTTTTCATTTGGTCCGCTTCCGTTGAATGTCCACCCTTCGATGGAGATGCTTTCGTGGAAAGCGCGTAGCATAGGGAGTTTGACTTGATCGAGATCAAGAGTCATATCATCTTCTATGGTATCCAACGCGCGCAGAACAAGATACAACAGGCATACCTAGAGACCATGTCATTTGTCAACATGAGTCGTAACATCGGGAATGTAGGCTTACTGCAGGTCGCAAATCACCGGGTAATTGCCTGATGACTTTGGCGAAGGTCTTGCTGGTCAAGTCTAGCAAGGCCCAGCATTGCTTCATATCCTTGCTATCGGGTAGACCATTGTCCCTGCCGCCGACCCGAGACTGGGCCTTGTACCGCTGATAAAGGCGAAAGAGAAGGGGTATTTTGGCTGGGTTCTGAAGGAGCAACGAGACGATCTCAGAGAGCTGCATGGTAATGAATCAGAACCAATAGGATGCGGAACGAGAGATGTTGAAATGCTTACTGGGTCGCACGCAGCTATATACCAGCCAGTCTTGTGCTATGATGCATTGGTTACTTGAACCGGATGGGGAGTCAGTGAGCTAAAGGGTTTAGGACCAATTTGATGTGCTTACTCCATATTCCGACTTGGAAGAAAAGTTTCATTTCGGCGAGTTCGCAAATGGTCTTAGCACCCCCCCGATCCAATTTTACGGCATGTTCAGGAGTTCAGCGCCAGGCCAGAGCAAGGAACGCCCCCTTCAAACATAAGTGCGAAGCGATCTACGACTCACGACTGCAACGAACCTAAGAGGGAGATAGGCTAGCAATCCCGAAGACCGTGAGATTGTATTCATTTTGTTAGCTTGAACAAGACGACATACGCGCTCGCTGCTGCGCATCCATTGGCAATGAAAATACTTTGAGCTCGACCATATTTGAACCATGCAGCGATTATTCTCGTTAGCAACCCGGCCGAGATAGAATCGACTAAGGGCAACGCTACTTCCGCACTTGGCTGTGCATAAGGACTCCAGGGTCAGAATATTGCTCTCCGCATCCACTCAGCGTCGCCGTAGTCCACAGCATCCGCGACCTCAACGTCCGTGTACAAACCTAGGGACATTCAGCCGCGAAGAAAAATTGATTGATTGCTCAATCGAGATTGAGACGAGACTGTCCGGTCAGTGGGTGCGAGCAAGAGCACACTCACATAGCATTATGCATGAATTTTCTAAACGTTCAGACGTTCGTGGTCCAAGACAAAGAGCAAGTGCTGGGCGGCAATCACCAGTGAGTACTTGATGACTAAATAGTCATGTGTCAATGCTAATCAGGAGTCGGCGCTTGGTAGCTTCGTCTCGGAAGAGATCAGACCATTCTGTTTTTCGAGTTGAAAACGCTGAATTACTGACGGGGCAAGGTAGATTCTCTCCGTTTAACTCCCATGATAGACCCTGTTATCAGCCAAAGCCCAGAAATCCCCTTCACTGACTATTCGCGGTGGCGTTTGCGACTGGGAGAAGGCGGGCGGCACACATGGCATTACCTCAAAGCTGAAGAAGAACACGAAGAATGGCCTCAGACGGACATTGACCGGTATTGGCTAGGTCTCCCCCTCGTAGTGCGCCTGTGCTTAAAATACATGCAGAAACAAGCTAACTCAGCCCATTAGAGCTCGAAGAAACTTGTCACAATCAAACCTGCGGAGGACGCGTTTGAGGCAGCCAGGCGGGGCTTTGAGTTCGTGAAGCACATTCAAGCGCCCGACGGTCATCTACCGGGAGAGTACAGCGGGCCAATGTTCTTGCTTCCTGGCATGGTCATTGGTTCATACGCGTCGGGGCAATGGTTCGAGGAGGAGGAACGCTTGGAGATGATTCGGTACCTGCTCAATCGCGCTCACCCGGAAGATGGAGGGTGGGGGATGTACGTGTCTATCCCTTGGTACTTCTTAACGTTATTAACAGAAGTTCCAGACATGTTGAAGGGCCCTCAACCGTGCTGGGAACAGCACTCAATTATTGCGCCCTTCGTCTACTCGGTGTTGACAAGGATCACCCAGCTGCTGTAAAGGCCCGCGACACACTGCATAAGCTCGGTACGCATTATATGTACGCTAAATTGCTATTTCTCAGCCGCCTGAATAATACACAGGTGGCGCTGTTGCTTCACCGTCCTGGGGAAAGTTCTGGATGTCTGTACTAAATGTATATGAGTGGGAGGGGAATAACCCTATTCCACCTGAATTATGGGGAGTTTATCTTGAGTATACTTATCCATTTCTAACTTCATCTCTAGGTTACTTCCTGACTGGGTTCCTATCCACCCTTGGCGCTGGTGGATACACACTCGCGCAGTATATATCCCAATGAGCTATCTCTATCGCGTTCAGTTTAAAGTTGAAGAGACACCACTCATTCTGTCGCTGCGAGAGGCAAGTGTCTTGCGCACAATCCTCGTTTCCGAGACTAACCTTCCGCAGGAGCTATACACAACGCCATATAGGTTTATCGACTGGCCAGCACAACGCAACAACATCGCCCAGATTGATTTGTATGCCCCTCATACCGTGGCGCTGGATATTCTAAACACGCTGCTCAGCCTAACGGTGGAATCCTGCACGATCCCCGCTATTCAAAGACGCGCACTTGATAGGGTATACGAGTTAATCTGTAAGGAGGACGAGAATACTTGTTATCAAGACATCGCGCCCATGTCGAAAATGATGCAAATGGTGTGCCGTGCTCATCGCGAAGGATGCGATAGCGAAGCCGTCCGGAAGCACGCGGAAAACTAGGGCCGATTTCATGTGGGTGCGACCAGATGGGATGTGCGTTCGAGGAACGAACGGGAGTCAACTTTGGGACACAGGCTTTGCGGCGCAAGCGGTTGTGGAGACCGGGCTAGCCGATTTGGAGGAGAACAAAGCGTCGACGCTCAATATCCTCACATGGATAGTTGATTCGCAGATGACGGAGAATCCGAAACACTACGAGTCCGCGTACAGACACTCGACGAAAGGAGCATGGTAAGCTTCCATTCCTGCTAATCCGCATACGACTCAAGGTGGTATGTACTACAGGGGATTCAGCACCAAGGAGCAGAATTACACCCTCTCGGATTGTACGGGCGAAGGCCTGAAGGCGGTTCTATATTTGCAGAACAAATGGAGGTCCGTCGCTTCTTTGATCCCCCAGTTCGGTTATCGTGAATTCTTATCTCTCAGTGACTCCCCGAAACTGATGTCTGATCGACGAATATTTGATTCTGTTGACCTCATGATCGGGTTGCAGAACAGTGATGGTGGATTCGCGAGCTATGAGAAAATCCGTGGGCCTCGCATCTTGGAGGCGCTCAATCCATCGGAGGTGTTCGGTACCTTTCGTTTTGTTATCCTTCGAGTACCACAGCTTTCTAACGCAGCTCCTTCACAGGCGACATCATGGTCGAGTTCAACTATCCTGAATGCACCACATCAGTCATCACCGCTCTGAGCGTGTTCCGTAAATACTACCCCGAATATCGCAAACACGACATCAGGTTAGTCGCATCTGTTTAATTAAGCTATGCCTTCTTATCGCCCTTTTAGCCGTGTAGTATCCAAAGCGATCAACTTCTTGCACAAGGCACAACGGCCCGAAGGGGGTTGGTTTGGATCATGGGGCATCTGCTTTACGTACGCCACGATGTTCGCATTGGAGAGCTTAGCCTTGGTCGGAGAGACCTATGCAACAAGCGAATCCGCTAGAAGGGCTTGTGAGTTCTTGCTTGACAAGCAGATGGACGACGGCGGCTGGGGCGAGACATACAAGGTATGTCCCTGAACATGCGGTGCTTTCTCAATTGTTCCTAACCCTCGGTGATACTTCTAGTCTTGTGAAACCGAGATATATCATTGTCATGAGCGCTCGCAGGTCGTGCAGACCTCTTGGGCAGCGTTGGCGCTCATGTTCGCCCAGTATCCTCGGCGTAAGCCTATTGCGCGAGCGGTGAAACTTGTCATGTCGCGGCAACTACCTGTGAGGGTTATGACAGCTCGCCGCGCAATGACTGATACTGACTCTGACCCCCGATCTCATAGGACGGTTCTTGGGAACAGGAAGCCATTGAAGGCATCTTCAACAAAACGTGTACGATCACGTATCCTAACTTCAAGCTTGTCTTTACAGTCTGGATGCTTGGTCTCGCTCACAAGTACCTGCAACGAACTGATCTAGAGTAAACCTATCTCATCGTAGGTATCTCCACGGACATTAATTTTTGATCGCACATACCTAGAGTCTTAGATATTCTTGTCGTTTCATTCATAATGTTGCATAACGTATGTTAGCAGTGCCTGGTCGTGTATCTTGCTGAGATGGAGATAACCTGAGAATGCATCAAAGACCAAGCCGCATTGTGCCCATCCAAGCTTGACATGGAACGTCACTTGCAACCCAAACTTCCGATGTATCGCAGTCGATGATAACACAAGCCCATCGTTATTTCTTTTTACGTTGTTCGACAACAAAGTATCAAGTGTACAGTTTACATGGTGTACATACATACACTATTATTTGATGTCAATAATCACAGGGGCAGCTTGAGGTACAAGCACCGGAAGCTCGATGTGTTCGTGTCGATTCATTCGCTCGCTGCCGCTGCTATTGTTACTCGAATGAGGTGAACGCAAAGCTTCTCGCTTGAGGTTGAGGAGCATGCGAGTTGCCGTCATCGAAATAGCAGAAACCGCATATCCGTGTAGCAGGAAGCGTTGTGCAATCTGCAATCACGATGAGTTAAGACATCGCACAAGAAAAGCTGAGTTACCTCAAGCTTAATCCACGAGACGGCAAGGGCGATGTAGATGACCAAGATACTGGAGAGACAATGCTTTCTTAACATCGTCAGACAGAAGCAGACAAGGAGACGCACATCAGAAAGTGCAATACCGAATCCCGAAGCATGATGCGCATGATACTGGACCCATTGAAGCCATAGTTCCGCTGCATCCGCATGTGGGAAACTCCTCGAGCTACCACGAGAACCAAAGCAACAATATCAAATGCGATAGCAGGAACACTTTACGTCCATCGTCAGTACCTTCACCCATATATCAAATGAAGCGCTCACAAGAACAGCGACGTGTCAACTGACTCGCTCGGAAGACAGACGAACATGTTTACCATGAAAGGGAGCGGAATGCGAGTAAAGTTAGGCGCAAGCCGTATGGCGACATATATTTCGCCCGATAGGGTCGCGAGGAGCATGATGGCTAAGAATATTGTTATCCATCGGCTTCGTCCATACAGTCCGTATATCCTGAACGCGAGGATGAGGTGGACGCAGAAGACTATCGAAGTGCCTTCACAGAGAGTGAATACAAAACACGGCACACGGACCCGGAATCGGACGCACCCGTAGCTTCGATGATATGGTGACCCCAAGCTTGACCTTCGTTATTTGGTCAGAGACGCTGATCTCAAGAAAGATCTCACAACTTACAGCTAAATCGAGAGTGAAGAAGGGAAGCGTCAGTGGTCACGACTAGCCCTGAGTCCTGAGAAAGGGTGGCACGCACAACTATACAACTAGGTTAGGCATTGAACACTACAAAAGTGAAAAGGACATACTTTCTGAGTATTTCTGGGGGCGAATCCAGCTACTTTCCATTCAGGATCAACACCAGGCTGACGGCAATAGCCACATACCGACTGTGTTGAAGATCTGCCATATTATTGTCTGATATCGATTCTGCAAAGGGCACGAGGGCTCGTATAGTGGTTGATTGCGAAAGTAGAGGGCTTACTATGAAGAATAGCGCGCGTGGATATGTCCATCTCCCGTGCTACCAAACACCGTATGGGAGACCGGTCCCGAAGGATGTATCATATTTGCGTACCCATAATAGTTGTTCCTAAGCGTAAATGCAATCAGTACCCAGCCTCCAAGGGGACAGAGAAGGTGAATACACCAACCTCATCAGGAAGCGTCACGAAGTAGTCCCACACGAGCAAGGTCAGTGATGATACTACATCAAGCCAATCGTGAGTAAAGATCGTATGAGGATAGAGAGAGCGTAGCGACCTTGCGCATACCGCGTTGCGTATAGCTGATGATACGAGTTGGTGATTTGGTCCATGAAGGGCGACATGGCTGCGGGGTTCGTCCGTACGACGTAGTGGTTGAGGAGGACTCCTGGAAGAGGGGGCGTGTGATGAGGATATCAAGCAAAGCCCAGACTTCGGATGTAAGGAGTCCCAGTCAAATCAAATCCCAAATCCCAAACGCCCGAAGATCAGGGTAGTCAGTACATAGTGTCTCCGGCGAAGAGAGATCGGCGACCATCGCACACAATCGTGTCATTGTTACAGAATTGAGCAATGCACAACACCGCCCATAGGAAGCTAAAGCCATATGACCGTGAGGCCCTGAACTGCCAATCCATTGATGCGGAGGCACTGGCTACAGTAAGACGATGCTATCCGGGTTAATCACCGCGTATTCTGATGCATGGTGCATGTGTGGGGGGAAGTTTCGATGTGTCCGAAGTGAAACGATGCACGATCAATCGGATGTCTCCATCTGATCCCCCCAAATGACAACTGGAACTAGTGCCACCGAGACCGAACGATCGCGAGTGGCGCGGAGCGAAGGTGAGCGCTAGGCGCTTTCGTCTATAGTAATACATAGAATATTCAGAAGCGTCAGCACGCCCCAGAAACCTTGCGACGCGACCAACTAACCATGCGAACAGAAGTGCCCGCAAGTCACTACGACGTCGTAATCATCGGCGCTGGAATCGCTGGGTCGGCGCTCGCGTATGCGTTATCATCGAGGTCAACGGACACCACTCATTCAAACCAATACGGATCGAAACCAAGGAAGCTCAGGGTCGCCCTCATCGAGCGGTCTCTCTCCAAGCCTGATAGAATTGTAGGGGAGCTTCTCCAGCCAGGCGGCATCATCGCGCTGCGCGAACTTGGGTTGGAAGTATGCCTCGAGGGCATCGGCGCGATTCCGGTACGCGGGTATTGCGTTGCGGAGGGCGAGAGGCAGGTAAGGGTGCCGTATCCAGATGGCTTTGAGGGAAGAAGTTTCCATCATGGAGAGTTTGTGATGACGTTACGCGACAAAGCGATAGGCGCCGATGGTGTCGACGTGATAGAAGCTGTTGTGACGGAACTGATAGAAGAATCTGAAAGCGGGAGGATTGCAGGAGTGCGATACCGAACAAGGGAGGCTTCCAACGCGACTTCTACGCACGAATTACATGCCAAGGTAGTCATCGTCGCGGATGGCAGCGCCTCGAAATTCAGAAAACAAGTTCTTCAGCCAGCCTATGCCGCCAAAGTGGAGCCTCGGCTGATCAGCCATTTCGTTGGACTCGTCTTGGAGGGCGCAGAACTGCCCGTCGCGCAGCATGGTACAGTCGTATTCGTCAGTGGACACGGCCCCGTACTTCTGTATCAGATATCGGAGCGATGCACGAGGATGCTTATCGACGTCAAGGAGCCGCTGCCTGCTGACATGAAGGTGCGTTCATTCATCTACGATGCACAGAGGAAACTCACTGACCAGCTATGGTTGTAACCTATGATAGTCGCACATCCTCACCGAAATCGTGCCCCAACTCCCGCCCTCCCTCCGCCTCCCTGCGACTTGCGCCGTGCACTCCGATCGTCTGCGTCGCATGCCTTATCCCTTCCTTACTGCAATCAACCAGAACTCATACCACACAAAACCAGGTGCCATCCTCCTTGGCGATGCATGGAACACGCGGCACCCGCTAACCGGCGGCGGCATGACTGTCGCGCTGAACGACGTGGTGCTACTACGAGACATGCTAAACAAAGTCGACGACTTGGGTGATTGGACAGCGATGGAGGCGGGGTTGAGTCGGTGGTATTGGCAACGCAAACCGCGTTCTTCAACAATCAATATGCTTAGCTTGGTGCTGTACGAGCTGTTTGGGGCAGCGGGTATGTCGATCTTCCTTCGCAGCTTCGTCAATTGACTGGAGATATGTTAGACGAGGAACTGTCCATCATGCGCCTTGGGTGCTTTAAATATTTCGAGCTAGGGGGAGAGTACGTTAGAGGGACGATATCCTTGTTAGCTGGGTGCGTGCTTTGGGCTTCTACTCACTCGCTTGCTAACATCATACAGAATATCGAGCTCCCCGTTCCAACTGTTTCGTCATTTCTTTGGCGTTGCGATGTACGCCATCTTGGTTCTATTCCAATCTACTCCGTCACCCTCTTCACCCCGATATCATCATACAATCACTCACCAACCCGCGATGAACGTAGCTCTCAGCACCCTGGTGCACTATATGTCCTTGCTCACCAAGAGCGTGCGCGTGGTATGTCCGCTTCAATTGCATAATTCATGTCCTGACAAGGCGTCGAAGATATGGAAAACTTGCGCAATATTCTTCCCGCTTCTATGGGATGAAATACGATGGTGGATTCCGTCTAAATCTAGTGTTCAGTCTCCTGCACGATGGGGAGGTGCTATGCTTGTAGCTATCGTTATCTTATCGCTTGGTGCAATCATTTGTAAATGATGAATATGCTTACCGTCCGTGAACCACCTGACTGGCTAAGTTGATAGGCGTATAGTTCTAATACCACTTGAGGGGCTTCGTTCACTGGAGATCGCGCCTCGTACTTGACTATGTCGGCTCTAGAGCGGTTGAAAATGGCTCCTTGGGCGTGAACTACAGATCTACGTAGCAATCCTTCAGCGCTCAGCAATTGTTCTTCGGCGTCCGCTTTCGGGTCGTCCGTATCTCTATCTAGGTCCAGCACTTGGTACACGCGAGTCATCCGACCGGCCATAGCGAGAACTCGGTTTTCGAAGATGGACGCTACTAGCCACCGAAAGCACCTCCGCCCTCGCGTGCCGTTTTCGGTGTAGAGGTCGAGCCCAGGTCTTTGCCATCGGCGAAGGGCAAGGAGACCAACATACCAACCAAGATTTAAGAATGCTGTCGCAGAAGTCAGGCATACCCAACTGGCAGCGAGATGTATACGCTTCTAACTTGTACGCTTCACCAAGTGTCTCTATTTGTCCTTATTTGTCCCCGCCTGTTACCGTCTACTGAAACTATTTGTCTACGAATCCATAACGCCCTCGCATAAAGCTCACCCGCACACGAGAGCCTGGGTAGGAGGCCGACACCACAGACGTCCCTCCGCTGCAGAAGAAGAAGGGATGTGAGGGTCCTGTATGGGTTCCCTTGCGAGTCTGTGGATTTCTGATCCCCTACGACTTTCTCGTGGCATATGCGGAGAAGAACCTGCCAGACGACTTCGAGGCTAACGCCAAGGCCAAAGAGTACTCAGAGACCATGATCAGGGACTATCGCAAGCAAAACGCGCTCAAGCACATCAAAAAGCTCTTGGACCACCCGGATCAGGTGCTTGTCCGCCTCGCCGATGGTGGCATACAGGCATGCCTGCTCGTTGGCAGTAATTACGACGACGAGGAGCTAACGAACGCGTGCGACCTGGCCGTCATCGACTAGTTTCGAAAGGCTCTTGATCTCGATAGCACTTGTATGCCAAGATGGTACCGCATCGTACGTTTTACAAAAACCTTGTATCGCGAGGTCTCTGCTAATGCCCAGCTCCACTTTAGCATAGACCTTGATACCCTGACTTCTCTCACCCCCCAAACCGCATGAATGAGGCAACCTTTTCGTACCGTTTGAGCTATCTAAATTATAATATACACCCGTTGGCTCTTCTTCCCGCTTCTATGGTACGAAATACGATGGAGGATTCCGTCTAAATCTGGCGGTCAGTCTTCTGCACGATGGGGAGGCGCTATGCTGATAGCTATCGTTATCTTATCATTTGGTGTCGCCAATTAAATGATGAGTACTCTTACTGTCCGTGTACCATGTATGTACTAACATGGCGTACATGATCAATGCCACGCTGGAGGTTTAATCCGTCGGTGGTGTCGGTGGTGTGTCGAGATCGCTCCACGTCGGCCAGTGGCTATCAGTAAGAATACACATCGCTTTCAGCTTTTCGACAGCTTTTGTGGTTGGGGCCTAAAAAGTGATAAAAAGTGGCGAAAGGCTATGGACCTAGCTTTTGGAGCGCTTCAGTGTTTTGGACAACTCCAACGCCATAGAGCTCGAAGCCCGCGAAAGTGCCCGAAAGGCGACAAAAGTCAGTTTTGGATGTAGAGGCCACATCCCGTTTGTATCCCTTCCCCAACCTGCTTTTATTCTACGTCTCTGGCACAACCATTTTTGTTCCCCCCGCCGCGTGCCTCTGCTTTCGTGTTTGCATTCTTGTTCGCATGTTCATCAGCAACGCTGACTTTGAATGAGTCTAACGGCGGTGGTGCGAGGGTTCACGGGTTCGAACTGCCACCAACGTTCAGCGACGGCACGAATGCCGCTTTGACTCTGTCAATGACCGAAGACTTCGCCGAAGAAGAGAAGATGCTCGGTAGCGATCCCAGCGGAATCGACTAGCTTCTTCTTCAGCTCAGACCCGAGCGTCGTGACAGTGATTTTGGATAAGCTAATGTCCTATAAAATTCGTAGCCATGGTCCCCTTTCTGTCTTTCACTGAACTCACTTGGACTTATAGTTATGGAGCCATTGAAGAACAGTATCAATCATCAAAGTGATCCGGAAATTTGTTTTGACTTCTTCCGCAGAAAAGTTCCCGCGGGCAGAGAAAGTTTTTTTTTTGGGGGGGGGGGGGGGATGTAGCTAACCATACACCGCTTTTAGCGTAGTGTGGAATCATCAAGACCCGATGCTAAGACCCTCCCCTCATTGGTCTAGCGGGACCGAGTGCGAAACCGCAAATACAAAAGCTTCGTTTTTACCTTGACTCTCGCTAGCAAGGCATGTCAACTCCCCATGAGCCCTCGTCTTTCGTCAAATTTTTCATACAGAATGGCTACGCTTTGATATCAGCATCTCTCGGCGTCGCGTTGGCTCTGGTGTCCTGCTCTGCCTGGTATTATTACCACAGAGTGACGCGTGAATGGCTTTTGAATATTTCACTTTTGGGACATCCTCGCAAAATCAAACTCAAACAAACGGTCGTTATCTGTGGAGGAAGGTAAGTTTTTATTCCGCTGTTGAGTCTGTTGGTTCCAGTACTGACATAATTTCTGAAAAGCATGGCAGGCTTGATGACTGCCCGCATCTGTGCAGATCATTTCCAAAACGTAGTTATCGTCGACCCTGAGATTAAGAAAGCTGGCCGGGAGTTTGCGAAGAAACGAGTGGCTCAATATGATTCCCTTCATGGTATGTATGCTAAGCAGAGTTCTCTGGTTTACTGACGCGCTCTGTAGCTTACCTAACATTTATGGTCGACGGCCTTCGTCGTCTATGGCCTAACTTCGATACAATGATTAAGGAAGCAGGAGGAGTGTAAGTTCATCGTGTTCGTCTGTCGAATCCTCATTGATCTTGGTATGCGCGCTAGGGTTTGCCCAGGCACCTTACCGTTGCATTTTGGTGGCATTCCCATCCTTACTCCTCAATTGTATTCTACTACAATGTTCAAGTCAACCGCTGGCCTCGAAAAGACTTGTAGTCTCCCCGACACAATACTCATTCGTCGCCCCAAGTTAGAGGCACTATTATACCGGTTACTTATAGGCTCGAGCGCAAACTGTATTCAAACGATACAGGGTACAGTTACGGGGCTTGTTCCCTCCGACAATATGTCTACCATACAGACCGTCAATGTTCGCACGACAGAGGGAGAGGAGAAGGATATGAAGAATGTTTCGCTTGTTATAGGTCAGTCTCGATATGACACATCACGGATCACCCGCTTGAATTACTCCTTCAGACTGCACAGGCGCCGCCCAAAGAGGTACCAGGTGGTTGAAGTCGGCCGGCTTTATACCCTCCTCCACTAAACCGTCTCCTAATATCAAGGGCCGAGCGGGAACGACTAGCGATTTGCGTGTCATCTACGACCACAAACTATACTATGTCACCGTAACATTTGACAATATTGGAGACCTGGTTCAAGATCTCCCTAGTCCAGGAGGTTTCGGCCAAGGATTCATCTACACCTACTACACACACTACAAGTGGGGCAACAACTCCTTCATACTCGCGCGGATGGACGATACAAGTATGTATTTGTCTTATTTCTGATGGCTTCAAAGATCTCAACGTCAGGAATAGTCCAGCTTTGTTGTGGTGGCTGGGCAAACACCCATCTACCCAAAAACAGCGAAGATATAATTTCGTATGTCCATTCAGTGAAAGGCGCTCAGCCTCCGCAGGTATGGGTCATTAAAGCCGTAGAGATGCTTCTCGAAAGTGAGCGGAGAGGAGACATTACCATGACCTTCAAGCCGCTGAAAATACGTACGTTTGCCGTATAGTGTACTTGAGTACTCACAAGTAACTCGTGATCTTACAGCCGCAGCTTCATTCGTCCAATACCACAAAATCGCGCAATCCTTGCCTTCCAATTTCATTGCTATTGGTGATTCAGTGGCGCAGATCAACCCTGTATTTGGGTAATCCTATCCCCCTCGTAGACAACGATAATGTGACTCAAATTCTGACAATAGGCAAGGGTGTACCAAGGCCCTCTATGGAGCCACGATTTTAAACTCTATTCTCCATAACTGCGTCCCTGCGGCAGAGCTCGGCCGCCTCCCTGAAAACTTCAGCACATTGTATTTCGAGCGTTCACATGGCACAGTAGAAGACTTGTGGCGAGTTCTCGCTGCCGTCTCTGTGTATATTCCATTGAGTTAATCTCGAAAACCCGTAGGACGTCGACCAAAGCTTTAGGTGAGAATACTAATACTCACCGGGGTGAGTATGGGGCTGATTGTATCTCTTCATGTCAGACTATGGCTACTCTACAACGATTCCAGTCAAAGGCGAGAGCCGCACTAGGGAAGGTGCTGTTGCCCGTTGGTACTCATACTACGCGTATCGAGCAGCGGAAACGGTTAGGCGGTCCATCGTTTTCTGCCAGGATCTACTGATGCAAGCTTGAATCCCATCTCGTAGGATGAGGTAGTCGCATCTGCGTTATGGCATGTCCGTATGCTTGCTATGCCGCAAGTGGAGGCCTTTAAACCAAGGGTAGTATGGGGTGTTCTACGATGGGCAGCAGTCAATGCTGTAGTAGGATCGTAGAGATCGACAAAATCGCCTTTTATAGGTTGGTTCTATTCCTCACAGGTTTCCAAAAAAGGCGATTCTCTTCTCTCAGTAAAAGCAACCCGTGTGTCCAAAACAACTTGGCCGATCATTTGGAATAGATAGTATACTGAGCGCAGTGTTTACTACAACTCGCCACGGTAGTGCATGACTGTCGTTTACACGCCTTGAATGGAGCAAGGATCAGATACAATATCCAACTTGCAACAAGAATGTGAACGATACAAGGTAATGGATGTCGATAATCAGAAATATTGACGTCGCTTCAATGGTACAGCTTGACATGGTTAACTTTCAAAGTTCCGATGTCCTGTATACTGGCCATCGCCGCCTTGAGGCTGTCGGTTGCCCCAGCAACGGCCGTTTGGTGTGCCTACATAACTCGCTTTATCCAGAACTAAGTTTGAAGAACGTTGGGGCATCGAACTTACTGCTAATGACTCCCAGCCAACTACCAAGACAAGCCGCCTCTCGTTCTGATCCGATGTCCCCCAGGTTCCGGCGACGATACCAACTCCTTTCGTTGCAATTATCTCGTTGAGATAGGGAGCAACATCAGCCGCCGTTTTGCCCTCATTGAGCTCCATCATCGCCACTTCGACAATGCCGGCTTCGAATACTGGTGACGGGTTTGATTCAAAGTCGACCCCCATTGCTTCGCCGATTACCCCAACCTTGGAGGCAAGTAGGGCTTGATGATCAGCATCATCCTTGCTTTCTCTGGCGGCTTTCCTGGCTTCGGCGGACGGCCACACTGTGACGGCGTGGGTGAGTGCTTTGTGCGAGGCGGAGAACACTCACTAGGTACCAAATACCCAAATTCCGGATCCTCGTGTTGTACACCATGATATACCCTATTCGTCGTTGAATCATAATACGATTCGCGTGTGCCACTGCATGAAGTACCTCCTACACCCCGCTGCAGTCGCCAGCTCCCGCAGTTCATCGTTCATTGCCTGAGGATTGGCGCGATATTCTTCGGTCGTTACGAATCCCAACCATGAAGTCGTAGGTGTTGGCATCGTGTCTCAGTGGGGGCCCCACCTTTCATCGACACTGCTTTTGTAGGGTATTGCATCCACTCTTTCTCATGGAACTTCAATATCAATTTACAATCAGATTTGCTGTCAATTCGTCACCTGCCGTCTCCATTCAAACTCAGCTGGGGTATTGTTCAGTGGAATTTTCTTCGACTATAAGGAGGCTCTTACCCTGACGATTGGCACCGTGCACGCTCATACACAGCGTGTCCCTGTGTATTTTTGTTATTCGTGGCTGCCAGGCTGATGCAAACCTAGGCCAACTTACGTGTACGAATCTGTCCCTTTGCTTGCGTTTCTGCTAGACCTTTCGTAGGAGAACTTGCTACTCAGCGAGCGTGATTGGGCGCGGACTCGTCTATCTCAGGACCTCGTCTCGGACCTCGTTACAAGTCCACGATGTGGATAGTTGATTTCCACCAACTAGCAGCGCTAACCACGTTCTGAAAGCCTCTTCAGAGACCATGCGAAGTGATGAATAGCGATGTTCACGATCAATGGAAAGATCACATAGCTCTAGGTACGGAAAGTTCCCATAGAATGCTGACGATAGTGTGCGGCAACAGGCTGAGACAGGGCGAAGAGGATATGTTCCCGCATCGGTGCATTGTTGGAGGCCTTGGGATTGTTGAGATCGATAGCGTGGGTTTACTACAAGCCAAGCGAAGCACCGATAGCACGCGTGACCAGGGAAGCGATTAATTCTTGCTGCCTTGTCTGATTTCGTTAGATCTCATCGTATGGTTTCGTTAGTGGAACTGGGATGCTTGAGGGAACTGGGAGGGAAGTGGTTGGTCGGGGTGAAACAGAAGCAAGCAAAGTCAGCACTCGACACTGCAGCTTGCGCTGCAGACAATGGCGGCGGTAGCCGGCGGAATGAACCTGAGAGAGAATCTGACATGCGAAGAGGATAAGTTTGCTTCATGGTGGAGCACAATGGAGTGCATCGTGATGCGTCCGAGCTCCAGGCGTATGGATCAACCATCCGAATTGCAGACGTCTCTCGAGTCGATGGTAAATTTCAAGTTGATTTCCAGTCGAGATTTCCAGTACCTGAGGCTTATTTGGAGGTGTCGGGAGGGAACATGAATTGCTACCACAACACAACATGAGCGTCTCATGAGGATCGGTTAGGCGCCCAATAGCACATTGTTTGTCACAAACGCGTGACGTAACGTGTTTCTTCTATTCTCCTCAACACCAACGCTCACGATGGGGATCAAAGGACTAACGCCGCTGCTCAGCACTCATGCACCCGATGCACTCACATCCCATGCGATAGCCACGCTCTTCAACCGACGTGTCGCCATCGATGCGTCCATGTCTATCTACCAATTTCTCATTGCGGTCCGACAGGCCACGGGTGAAATGCTCACCAACGACAATGGGGAAGAGACTTCTCACCTAATGGGTCTCTTCTATCGTACTATACGGATGGTCGAAAATGGCATTAAAGTAGTCTATGTCTTCGATGGACGACCGCCAGATATGAAAAGGGCCGTGTTGAAGGAGAGGGGCGAAAGAAGAAAGGAAGCGGTAGAAGGAGGAGAGGAGGCGAAGGAGGTTGGGACCGCTGAGGATATCTCGAGGTTTACGCGGAGAACAGTGAAGGTTACCCCCCAGCACAATGCCGAGTGCCAGCGCCTGTTGAAGTTGATGGGCATACCATATGTTGTTGCACCGAGCGAGGCAGAGGCGCAGTGCGCTGAGCTTGCCAGAGGTGGGAAGGTGAGTCTGCTCTCTTGAACTCCTTTCTGAATGATATATCAACGCGAACTCAGGTGTACGCCGCTGGGTCAGAGGATATGGACACACTGACCTTTGGGTCACCCATCCTCATGCGACACTTGACGTTTTCGGAAGCCAAGAAAGCCCCCATTGTCGAAGTCAACTTGCAGAAGGCGCTGGAAGGTCTGGACATGGACATGAGCACCGTAAGTGTTTTCTCCATTACTATACTATTGGTCTTGACTGACACTTGGGTTACGATCATGCTAGTTCATTGATCTCTGCATATTACTCGGATGTGACTATCTTGAGCCCATCAAAGGAGTCGGCCCTACGACAGCGCTGAAGCTCCTCCGCGAGCACGGCAGCCTCAAGAAGATTGTCAAACACCTGAGAGAAAAGTTAGCTATTTGTTCCATCCCTGCTGTCTCGCTAACAGGGTTCGACGTCTCTTAGGCAAGCCGAGCGGGAAGCGTTAGCCGTGGAGGAGCCCTCTGACCCCGAATCTGAAGACGATGAGAAGTCCGGTGTTGAAGAAGACAAAAACTCTGACGACGAAGACGTGGGTCTGGGGGACGATGTGCCTCCCACCTCTGACTTCGATTTGCCACCAACATCTGATGGCGCCGCCGATGTCGATATGGCTGCTGAAGACAAGGATGTGAACAAAGATAGCGAAGACGAAGACGCACCTAGTGAGAAGCCCAAGGGCAAATCAAAAGTTATCGCCAGCGACGCGAAATCGAAAGCAAAGACATCCAAGAAATCAAAGCCTTCTGGTAAAAAGAACGGAGACGAGGCGAAGGGGAGCAAGAAGGGGAAAGGCAAAGGCAAAGCAGGTATCACTATTCCTGAGGAGTGGCCTTGGGAAGAAGCGAAGAAGATGTTTGAGAAACCGGATGTCATATCGGCTGACAAGGTCGAGGTGAGCCCCTCCCGTTTACTGCTGGTCCGACGCTGACTCTCACTTTCGCTTGCTTTGTAGTTAGAGTGGAAAGCCCCCGACGTAGACGGATTGGTCCAGTTCCTCGTCAAGGACAAAGGGTTCAAGTGAGATTTTTTATCATTCCCGGATTTCCTCTTTATCGATATGCTCTCCTCTAATCACCGTTGTATGGATTCCTGATTGCTGGTTCTACAGTGAAGACCGCGTGCGCAAAGGCGCCGACAAGCTCGCGAAGTTCATGAACACGAAGCAGCAGGGCCGACTGGATGGCTTCTTCACCGTCAAGCCAAAACCGAAAGAACCCGCTGCCTCAGCTAGTAAAGGTACGTGCTACACTGATAGCTCCGCTTTCCTGACGGCTGACAATGTACATTGTACATTCCCACGTCTTCTAGGGAAGGGGAAGGGGAAGGTCGATGATAAAAAGTCGGGCGCAGAAAAAGGGAAGACCGGGGGTGTCAAGAGGAAGGTGAGTATTTCCCCGTCTCGCTGCTTGCCAGACGTAGAGCCACTGATAACGCGTGTGCGTCGGTATAGGGCGATGCAGAGTCGGGGAGCAAGAAGAAAGCGAAGAAGTAACGTCCCGTCGTTTCCCCTCAAGTTTCTCTTTGTTGATTCTGGTTCGGACTGTTGTTGCTGTATTTTATCCTTTGTAATCCACTATTCCATCCTGTTTTCGTTGTCTTGTGTACTTTTCTTGGGTCTTCGTCATCCTCTAATATTAACAGACAGTATCAACGAGTGGTCTTGCAGCTCCCAACAGACATTCGATACAGATGTGGAACGGGCCTCTTTTGTATTATTTCCTGTAGTCTTCCGTGAGTCCTTTCGTTGGTAAAAAATCAGGAGTTTTACTCACTACTGCACCGCAGAGCCCCGCGCCCCAAACCGTCAGCTACGCCAGAAGTGCAGGGGGTAGATGGATGCTGGGTGTGGGTGCTGGGTGGAGGCTAAGCTCCCCGGCTCCCCGTGCACTGCGTATTATGAACACCCCAGATGGTGAGGCCTCAGCACTCAATCGACCACGGTCGCCATCGACGGTGCGTCGCAACCGCGACCGTAGCCACGGCGCAGTTGACAGTGGTTTGCCGGGATCGACTCTCAGTTCCCAATTTCATGAACTGCGATGCAGCTGTTTGCACGACTAGCCCCGCATCCTGTACTCGCACGTTCCCTCGTAGAGTCATTGGGCTCGCCTGTAAGTAAGCCCAGTTCGCAGCCCCTCGTGCCCGGTGAACACCCTTAACATTCAAGCAAGCACGGTTGCCATCGACGGCGTATCGCATCCACCGCGCAGTTGACGGACGTTCCACCCAATCGACTATCGGTTTACACCACAGGTCGGTTCAATCACAGCTACTTACTGCGACCGTTTGCGTTGACTCATGCACATCCCTTGTGCAATCCTTCGCGCTCGTACGTAAGTACAGAACTCAGCGCGACGACATGTGCCTTTCATCCCACCCACATTCCGACGTATCCGGTATTTCCAGAATTCCATTGGCCCTTTCAATCCCGAGGTGGTATTCGCCACGAGAGTTGAAAAGATGAAACAACGGAATTTTCCCTGATTGTACAATCCCAGTATATACCTCGTTTCGACGACCGTCAACAATTGTAGCTCGAGGTCGAGGCTCAGTTCTATTGGGTAGGACGGGATTGGTATCATCACCCCCGCGCGGGTCGGAGGGACGTTGGACATTGGCTCGGTCATCGTTAGATAAATGAACCAGGTGAGCTGTGATGCATTGACTTGGATAGGTATTTACCCCACAATACTGCTGCTGGTATGTACGACGGATGGGAATAGTCGCGTGCCTGACCTTTCCAAAAGCTGTTGTTCAGAGTATGTTAGCCGGCTAGAGCGCCCACTATCGAAACTGCGGATATCATACACGCTTCAGCGTCGCGCCCAACCGCAGTTGCTATTACTATTTGTCTGTCGCATCTCCACGCATGCTCGGTCCTCTAAGGGCAGCTGAGATTTGCTGGTTCTAGCCATTTGGACTAACTAAGTACCTCTAGCTATGCAAGTAGGATTCGGTTTCAAGTATTTTGGAGTGAGATGTAAGATTACCTCCCCGCCAAGTCTCGTAACTGGTAGCCGAGGGAGGACTTGTATTACCCTATATCCCGTCGCAATATCCTCATCTTTAAGTTCTAGCCAGGCGCAGCCGCACTGGTCTGTGAGTCTGTGACTTGTGAAACATCCAACAAAGAGGAAAGTGTATGTCCAAACTGCGGTAGTTACGGAACGAAAGAGCAATCGATGGAGGCGCCAAGCCCAAGCGCGTAATTTCGTACCTGATTCCATCATCAGTCGGCACCTCTACTATCTTCATTCCACCACTCATATATGTAGAAACTCTCCGATAGCCTTATCTATCAAGGAAGGGTCAATCTGACCTAGAACATCGTCGACCAAGGCTACAAGAATGGTAGAGACGTTGCTTTGTCCCCAATTTAAATGGTAATGTATAAGCAATGTAGATGTATAGGGGCACAAATTTTCGACAAAGATCTAATCAGAGTGTTGTGTAGGAGCTACGATTAACGTTCAAACGTGCATTGGGATGATCAACGACTTGGTGGCGATGCGGTGACTGCGGATAGCTTTGCCTTGACTTTGCCTGTCTGCAACCGTACAACCGTACCCCGTCGGGATGTCCAGACAGGGTGCAAGTATTTCCGCAGCACGGAGGAAACTATATTTTAAGGGGAACAACGTTGCTGACACAACCCAGCCGTTCTCTCCACACTTCTTCTCCACCATCATGGATTTCGTCACAACCCTCCTACCACGCGCCGACGAAGAACTAAACTCGCCGTATGGATACACTCCGACGAGATATGTTGCCATCATTTTCATCGTGCTCTTCTCGCTGTCCACCCGTGAGTCCCAATATCACGTCGAGGAGTCATAGTCACGAGCTAACCATCGGAATTATTATTATGATGTCTAGTCGCCCATACAGCGCAGGCCAGCATATTTCGAACGTGGTGGTTGTTCCCAACAGCGTGCCTAGCTGGTGCAGTCGAAATCCTCGGCTGGAGCGGCCGTCTCTGGTCGAGCTACAACGTTGGCAACTCAGACGCGTTCCAAATTCAGTACGTCCTGCACCCATATTCTCTTTGATTGGGTCTCGCTCATCGGTGACCCACCAGGATTACCGCTACAATTCTCGCTCCTACACCGCTGGTAGCCGCGAACTTCATCATCCTCGGAAGAATTATCACGCGGCTTGGACCCGTGTACAGTCGGTTGAGCCCTAAGTGGTGTAAGTTCGCTCAGTCGCGAGCATCCACGTTATTCTGACACTCCTGCGTACAGACACCATCGTATTCCTTTGTTGTGTATGTGCATTTTATCTTGAGCCGTTGGATCTCTCCTCTAACACGTAGTCTCGCACCAGGATATCATCTCGCTCGTCATCCAGGGTGTTGGAGGAGGCATGGCCGCCGTCGCCTCAGACAACAACGAAGATCCCACACCGGTGAGTCGTTTCCGACACGCTGGTGCCACCCTCCACATGCTCATCAGATGCTGTATGTAGGGCGGCAACACAATGCTCGGCGGTATCATATTTCAAATGAGTAAGCTTTCGTCCCTTCGATATCCGTGACAGTCGCATTAAATACAATGTATGGAAACAGTCGCCATTGCCTTCTACGTTGTCCTCGCACTTGAATTCTTCATGCGATACCTGTGGGACCGCCCCATACGCTCGGTCGCTAAACCCATCCTGGGCGAACAGGAGGCCACACGGGGAGTACTTGACGGGCGTCTCAAGTTGATGAGCAGCGCCCTAGTCTTTAGTACACTGGTCCTATTTATCCGGTGCGTCAGCCGCCAATAGACATCTTTGACTGACTGACTGACTCCGTCTTATTCCGGGGTTTAGAGCTGTCTACCGAACAATTGAGTTGTCCGACGGTTGGGATGGCCGAATCATCACCACGGAGGTGTACTTCAGTACGTAGCGGTCTCGCCCACTCCCTGCCTTCCGTCGTTGAATTTTAATCATAATTCAGATGTACTTGACGGAATGATGGTCATATTTGCTATGGTAGCTATCAACATCGCTCACCCAGGTCTCCTCCTACCGACAAATCATGGCTCCTCGTACGTTATGCGCGAGAAGAGTGCAGACGAATCTACTCGGACTCTGGCTTAAATCCTTTCCGCTCGCGGATCACGGTTGGATCACGGATTGATGTTTTTCACTTTCAATCAAATCACGGACTTTACTTCATGGACCTGCGCACACTATGTTGTTAGAAAAGTACTTTCGTTTATCGGCCGCACATATCTATACTATGATTCGTTGCTAGTACATTCTGGGACATCATTTCTACGTACATAGATGATATACAAAATATGTCCCGAATCTGTCCTTAGGCCGTGAGACAACGTAGAATGTCTGATTCCACATAGGTCTGATAACGTGGGGCAGCATTATAGTCTATCTAGAACTATCGCCTGCTTGGAGATATTATTCTGGGTGGTAAAGGTAAATACTACGCGTCGCGCCACTAGGTTTTCGGACATCACATGACAGAACTCAGGGTCAACGTGACGCGACGACGGTCGTTCGATTCCGAAGCCTCGAATCTGTTGCACAATGTCCTTGCACAATGTTCGTGCCATTCAAGTTGAGTCGAGGCGTACTGAAGACCTTTGCCCCTCCGTGAGTACCTCAACCCTTCAACATCTCCCGTGTGCCCAACCATCGCACCAGAATTCCTCAAGCATACGCCTGGGCTGCAAAGTATGTCCCAACCATCGAACGTCCACTTTTAGATATGGCCCAAGGAAGTCCTGGATATCCGCCATCGAAGGACCTACTGGATGCGTTGAGTCTTGCAGCGTTGCAGCCTTCAAGTTCGCGATACTCTAGCGTGCTTGGGGACGTGCCTTTGAGGCGTCTCCTGGCTAAGGATATGGAGATTGTCTATGGGGAAGGAACTGAGATTGTAGCAGGTGACATCGCATTGACAGCAGGCTGTAACCTAGCCTTTGTAGCTGCGGTGATGAGCTTGGCTGATGCTGGCGACGAAGTCATCCTTCCAACACCTTGGTGAATTTCCTTCCTGTATCCATGGACGATCACTAACTTTTCACCTCAGGTACTTCAACCACCAGTACGGTTCTCATGTGAGACCAAAGAGAAACCCGGCTAATCTCGATGCAGGATGACCTTGGATTTATTGGGCGTACAGACCGTTTCGCTACCCACAAACGCTGCAGAGGGTTTTCTGCCTTCTGTGGAAGAATGCGCTAAGTTGATTACCCCGAAGACCAAGGCCATAGCGCTGGTGTCTCCAAACAACCCGGTTCGTTTGTACTTCCGGTTTCCCGTCGACACCCCCTGAGTCTTACTCTATCGCTTAGACAGGAGCTATCTATCCCCCAGCCTTGCTCGCCTCATTCGCTAAACTGGCCCATTCCCATAATCTCGCTCTGATTCTCGATGAAACGTACCGCGACTTCATCCTCGACTCGTCACCGCATGGTCTTTTCGCGGCACCGTCGATGCCACCGTGGAGGGACTACCTTGTTCATCTATTCTCCTTTTCCAAGTCGTACGCCATCCCCGGCTTCCGCCTCGGGAGCATCGCAGCCATCCCAGCCTTCCTCAAACACGCTGAGACGGCGTTAGACTGTCTCCAGATATGTCCGCCTCGAGTCCCCCAAATCGCGCTGGCCACAAACGATCTCCTCCCCGCTCTCCGACCCTCTATACGAACCAATTCACTCGCTATAGCCGCTCGACATGACTTGTTTCGGAGGTCGCTGCCCTCTACGTGGTTCATCGGTTCACAGGGAGGGTATTACGCTTTCGTCAGACATCCGTTTGATGGCGTGAAATCGGATGCCGTGTGTCAGCGATTGGCAGAGGAGATGGGTGTGGTGTCGCTCCCTGACAGGTTCTTCTCCAACTCGGAGGTGGGGGAGGTTGTAGATGCGGGGAAATGGATAAGGTTCTCGGTGGCGAATGTGGACGATGAACAGATTACCCGCGTCTGTGAGCGGTTGAAGGAGAGCGAAACAAGGTTTCTCTGGCCAATGCGGCCGTGAGTAAATTGACTTTCGTTTGTCTGTACGTACTACTTTTGAGACGTCTCTAGATAATCAAGAGCTTACCCGTGTCCGAGATATACGCTGGGATTGTCCAAATCGAAATGACTCTCCAGATCGAAATCTGTAGTCAAGGATCCTTTTCATCGGAGGGTCTGCTTATGAAGAGGCCCGAATCCTCGAATTGCGCTGAGACTGGCTTCGATGCCGCTACAGACACCGTCGATCTTAGCAGTCAGACTACACTGTCGTGGTTAACTCGCATCGTCGATGCGATGCGGCCGTTCGGCGCGATTGAGCGCGAAAACGCGCTCCAATCACGTACACTCCTTTCGGAATTCCAACTGTTGGATTATGTGTTTTTCTATACTCCCTTTCTGTCACCTCGCTGTAGATATTTGACGTGGCCTTCTCGACTCTCACTGCTGGCTCTCTGGTGTCTCGTACATGGAGCACCATCTGCCGACCGCATGTATTCCGTACGCTCTCTTTGTCCTGCCAGAACGCCGATGCTCGGCTCTCCTAGCCCCACTTTGAAGCCCACCCCACCTCAGTGAATATATCCGCGAAGTTCACCTCAGTTGGGACGATGTTTGCTACGCCATTCCGGAGTCGTCCCAAGAGTGTTGCCGTCGGTTCAAGAACTTGCGCGACTTGTACATTGGGGAGGGGACTGTAAACTTGGAGATGACCCCAGCACCGCTTGCCGCAGGGATCAGGTCGATGCTTGCCGCCCCTCGCCTTCGCAAACTGAGCTTACATGGTTGGGCATTTAGGATTCCTCTGACCTTCTCAGCATGCTCCCTATCGCACTCGAGGAACTATCGCTCAAGAAGATCCTTATAACAGATACTGGCGCGAAGGCACTCAGACCATCTACCATACGTCTGGAAGCTCTTCGGACTCTCCAGTTACTGGATATATTCCACCCAATGCTCGAACCAGACACCTTTGTGTGTCCTAATCTCGACTGCTTGAGGATTGAACGGCGTCATGGAGAACCTTGGGATTTTCCATCGTGGATTCCTGCGAGTTTATCAAGAACTCACGCTAGACAGTGTGTCTCCACTATGTTCGTTTGCTGCTGATTGACTAATCCGCCCGCTTTAGTTGACTGTACGTGCAGGACATATGGTCTCCCTTCCTGACCATCAATCTGACCTCAAGTAACAACTCGTATCCCTTGCACTGCAACCACCACGTGGTGGAGTGCGTCCTGGCCTTTCCGTGGCGCAAGGGATTAATCGTCGCCTCACAGCGACGAGAACTAACAGGACGTCCCCTGGCTGAACACAGCAGGGGTTTCTCAAAAATGCCGTGAGGCCCCAACCGATGGAGCGACCATCGGGAGGCAGGAACCGCTCGTACGAGATGAGCGGGGCCACCGAGGGGCGCCGACCCCGAGGGAAAACCAGCGATACAACAGCAGGCCACGACGCACCGCGAGCGCAAGGCAGCTGCCCAGCTACAGGACGGGCAAACAATGCAGAACGCTGCAAAGACAACACAACCAGTCGGGTCGTACAAGGGAACACCCAAACCCAAAACTAAGAATAACACCACAACCGCAGCCAAACCAACACAAGGAAGACCCACAGGTGCCCCCCCACACAGCTAGCTGAACCAAACGAACACTCCGCAGACCTCAACGGCGAGGCATACGCAACACGAGGAAGAGAGGAGGCCAGGCCGCCTAAGCCAAACTCAGGGTAGCCACGAAATAAAACCCCCTGGCAAAAAAAAGAAAAAAGGAAAACCCCCCAAAGAAAACCCCCACCACACACTACTACGAACGACAACATGACGAACACCTCCACAGCCATGGACACAAACCTGGCCGGGCCAGCAGGAACGATGATACTAGATGCCCCCCCCAACGCAGCCGCCACGTCCGCGAAAACCACCAAAAGAAAGCGTCCCAATGCCCTCGAAAGGGAAGATGGGGAGCTCGATGACGAAGGGGGAGCCCACGAAGGCGAAAGCCAGGGCGACCCCCGCACAACCAACCCAACGAGCAACCCCCGCCCCCCCCCCACCAAGGCGCCCAACCCACCGCCCACCTAACGAACGAATACCAGCCAAACAACCCCCACGCCCAGACAACGCGCAGGGGCCTATCCCCCCTCGAACCAACACAATCCCGAATAGCGTACACCAAAGCCACCTACCCGAGGGTCGTGAAGTCCCTGGACAGCCTCCTCGCTGAAATAATGGAGACGACAGCCGGCGCCGTCAGAGCGAACCCCGACAAGTACCTAGCCCTCCTCGTATATGGAGGCGGAAACAAAATCAAGGAAGAGAACCCCAACCTCACGAGCGACATCAAAGACTTTCTCCGGGGGCTCACCATCGCAGGGAACGAGAGGATTCGCGTAGTCGACCCACCGAAGAGAGACACAGACAAGAGGGGGGAGTTCGCCAAGCCCCACATCCTGCTGCTTCACCACGGATCGCCCGAACTCCGGGCGTACCTACTGTGGTACCAAACCTTCGCGTTCCAAACTGAGGGAAGGAAAATAGCTTTCTCCGCCCTCCGTTTCGATGCCAACGTCAGACCCTGGTTCATAACAGACATTGTCGGCAGAGCAGTATCCGACGACCCCGAGGCCATCCAAGAGGGCCTAACAACCATCACCTCAGCCCTTGCGAAGGACACCGACTTCAGGAACCACGTCGACGCATGTCTTGCGAAGGTGGAAAACTCCAGGTCGATTGACGAACGCGTGCAGGACACGCTCAAGAGCTTTGAAATCCATAGCATGCGCGTAACGAACAGAGAAAAGAAGGAGATAACCATATGGCAACTCTTCGCAGACCCTATCGCGAACAACGGGCTGGAGTTCAAGGAGTGGCTGAGAATCATCACATCCCGGCGCTACATTATTGATGAGATCGACGAAATGTTCATCCGGAGCAAAAACCTCAAACCCTACGACCCGTGCGCATTCTGCAAGAGCGAGATTCACCCCGAAGAACAGTGCCCCTTCCCGCTAGTAGCCGACTGGAAAGGCCCCATACCCAGAGAAGTAAGAGCTGAACGAGCCAGAGCCAAGGAGGAGGCAGCGGCGAGAGACAGAACCAGGGAATGAGGAAACCCACGAGGTAGCCGGGGAGGGAGTAGAACTACCAGAGGCAGCACCTCTAACTCTTCTCGCGCCCGTCCGTACTAGTCACTTACTCGTTACGATAGAACCGCATGGAACTACAGACACAATCCGAGACCGTAACATTGCGTGACCCACTCAGACCCACCCCCCCTGATCGAGCAAAAACCCTAGCCGCCAATATACTACGTCCTAGACTAGCGAACATAGCTCCCCAAAAACATAGGGCCCAGACCGCGGAAGCCAAACCCGCCACAAAATAAAAATAAAAAAGACACCATTAAATGAGAATAAAACACACAGGTACCGACACAGCCAGCCACCCCCCGAGTAGCGTAACAGTCAACGTCCAGCAACGATGAAGAGAGCGAAAAGGACTAGAGACGACGAACCGATCCCGCGACGGATAGAAATGCCCAATGGCGACCTACCCAAACGGAAGGTCCCTGAAGCCAAAAGGATGCGCATGCAAGTAGACGACCCGATAGACCTCTACGCAAACGGGAAGAGGATGACCAAGAAGCTCCCCAAGCCCAGAGCAAAGTACAGACCATACGCCCCGCCAAATTTCGACTGCCTCGGCCCAGAAACATACCAAAGCATAGCCGCAACACGACACATCGAAATCGTAAACGTGGAACCAGGCCACGACGGCTTCCCAACGAAAAGGGTAGAAGCGAGGCTCCGGGGATGCACCAGCACCCCCCTCCCCCCCGAACTCGTAGCCCCCAACCCGCACTGGGGCCAAATACCAGAAGACACCCAAACCACCGCTACAACGATCCCCTTCACGACTGCGCCCCTCCCCAGAGTCGCACACAAGAACTCCACAATGATAGGAAACATGAGGGAGGGTCTGAAGAGAAGGCTGGAGCAGACGAAGGGCATAACGATGCTAATAATCCCCTTCGGCGCAGGCAACAGGTTCACCAGGGAGAACCCCAACTACCCAGGACAAGTGACCGCGTTCCTCCAGAGCCTCAGAGGGGCTGGCACGAGCCAAATCGTAGTGGTCCCCCCATCCCACCAGTTCACCCCACCTACGAGGGCGCAGTTCGCCATGCCCTTCGCCTATGTGGCTACAAACATCCCGCCAGAGCTGAAACGCCTCCTCGAACGGCGGCAGACATTCGCCTTCCAAATCGACGGCAAAAAACACGCGTTCAACGCAGTAGCAGTCCCCAACGACGCGCCAACGTCCTGGGTGATAGCAAACTTCGCGGGAGGAAGCATAGCGGACAACCCCAACGAAATGAGGAGTGCACTGGAGGCGATCATCAACACCCTCTTCGAGGACGCCTACGTAACCCGCGAAATAGACAAAGCGCTAGCAACAAAAGGAGTAGGCGGCTCAGTGCAAGAGAGAAAAATCATCGCCCTATCATCACTAAGCCTAACGCTCATCCAGCGAAAGAACGAACGGGGCGAGAACTCACCCATATGGCAACTAGCTGGGAGACCCATACATGATAACCACAAAGATCATCGCATGTGGCTCAAAACGATACGACGGATCACCTTCGAACTCGACGACATGAAATCGCTCTCATCGACGACAGAAACAGTCGGATGTGTATGGTGCAAAGCTGAGACCCACAGCAGCGAAAGCTGCCCCTTCCCCAAACTGAAAGACTGGAAGGGACCAACACCGGACGCCGAGGAATTCGTGAGGCCTGAGCCGCCCTACAGGCCCGACGCAGGCAAACGAAAGACGAAACCTACAGGAATAGGTAAAAAGGGGAAGAAGAACCGCCGGAGGCCAGAGGACAGGCAGCCAGGACATACACGTAGCTAATCTAGAAAAGACCTAATATTATCAAAAGTGCTGCGCAGTTTCGGGACCGCACAATAAAGACAGACAGGCAGCGCATAAGTGAAGGTTGAGGGCTGAATTTACTGACGGGAAACCGGACAGGTAAGCCACAACCAGGTAAAGGCCGAGGGGGGGGCCGGGTGAACCAAATCACCGAAGGAAAATACGAAGTACCTGTACCCGAATACAGGGAAAAGTACCACCACCCCTAAAGGCCAGAGGGGCTAGCAGACCCCCCTGGTCGCCTCAAACCTGCTACGAACAACCACATGTCATATGCGCAAGCAGCCACAGGCATTATGAACCGCACTAGCAGAGGGGAAAGCAGCAACGTAGCCGGCCGCAACCCCAGGGAAGCAGGGCGGAGAAGCACACCAGGCAACAGCGATTCAGAAGAGCAAGCCGCTCCACACACACCCATGCCGGGTCATACAGGATCGAGCCAGCATGCCGCGAACTCGAATCCAGCCCAAGACGAAGGGCCCACCAGCGATAATAGGCGAACGCGTAACGCCCCCCCAACCGCAGCTAGAGGAAATGCGGGAACAACGCCGAAAAGGGGGAAAAAAGGGAGAAATAACCGAGCGACGATTAAAGTTGCATCCTTTAACATGAAAGGATACTCGACCCTGCAAGAGGAGGGCGGCCCAATGTCCAAATGGCTGAAAATTAACCAAATAATGAGGGAAAATAAGTATGGAATCATGTTCCTGCAAGAAACACATATGGACAACGAGAGGGAGCGAACAATCCAAGACCTGTTCGGGCGACGGCTTAGAATAACAGCCTCAGCCGACCCCACCAAACCGACACAACGAGCTGGCATAGCAGCAGTGCTGAACAGAGGGGAGTTCAACGCAGACCACGCCAAATGCGTAGAGATAATCCCGGGAAGAGCACTCCTGGTGAAAGCCCAAATACACGGAGGAAAGAAACTCTCTATACTGGGCATCTACGCCCCCAACAGCGTGGCAGAAAATGCAGAGTTCTGGAACCAAATAAAAGCATACTTCGAGAGCAAGCCCAACGAACGACGGCCAGACCTGATGGTAGGAGATTTCAACGTAGTTGAGGAGGCACTGGACAGAATGCCGGCTAGGCTAGAAAGAAACGCTGCGACTGAAGCCCTTGACAGGCTCAAGCTCGAACTGAGACTACGCGACGGCTGGAGGGCAACCTACCCAGACAGCGCAAGATTTACGTTCACGCAGACAAGGATAAGGGAGAACGACACCCCTGCAATGTCGCGAATTGACAGAATATACGTGACAAACAAAGTACTGGAGAAAGCGAGAGAATGGGAAATGAAACCGTCAGGCCTCAACAGCGCAGACCACTGGATGGTATCTGTCCGTGTATCTACCGAAGGTGCACCCGAAATCGGTAGAGACCGATGGACAGTGCCGGAACGAGTGCTAAGCGATAAGAAATTCCTCGACGATGCGTCCAAAATAGCCCAGAAATGGGCAGACACTGCCGCCACCAGGGGTACCGAGAGAACGAATGATACAAACCCCCAAGAACTATACGCAAAATACAAAAACGAAATATTAGCGACAGCCAGGGCAAGAGATAAGGCCCTCGTACCGCAGATTAAGCAGAAAATAGGACAACTCCAAGACGACCTCAGCGACCTAGCCAAAAAAGAACAAAACAGTGAGACAATGAAAAAGATAATAGACAAGACGAGAGAACTCACGACCATGGAAAGAAGGAGACACATTAAAGCCAGGAAGAGAGTCCACATAATGGACAGGCTCGAAGGGGAGAAAATGACACGGTCATGGATCCAAACAAACCGCCAGATCAAACCGAGAGACGTGATGTACATGTTAAAGAAAGCGACCCAGAACGGGCAGACACCCGAGTACGAGAAGAACTCGAGGAAAATGGCAGACCTGGCAAGAAACTACCACAACGACCTACAAAACGATGGGCGAGAGTCCAGAGACGAAATAACAAGGATAAGAGAAACAAGGAACCTTCTCCGCGGGATCCAAGCTGAACCCAACGCCGATGAACGAGAAATGATGAACCAACCAATCACGAAAGAGGAAGTAAAAGAGGCGCTGAAGATGTCGAGCAACCACAAGGCAGCAGGCCTAGACGGAGCAACATATGAGCTGTGGAAAAAACTAATAGCACACGAAGCCCATGACAACGCACAAAATGAGAACATCCTAAGCATGATGACAGCCGCGTTCAATGACATTGAAGAACATGGGCTCCTCCCTGACTCTAACTTTGCAAAGGGCTGGATGTGCCCCGTCTAGAGCACGTCGCGCTCTCCCACATGTTCGGGTGAAGTTCACCTGAATGGCCGAACGACACCCGAACAACACTCGAACAACACCCAAACAGAGTCCGAACACTAGCTGAATAAATTTCACTAAATATTCTATTTTACTGTTCAGCTATTGTTCACCTGATGTTCGGGTGACGTTCATGTCATATGAACTGTTCACCTGAACAGTAGGTGAATTCAGATGAAAATGATCAGGTGAAATTCACCTGATGTTCAGGTGGTGTTCATATGTTCATCTGAAATTCACCTGAACACCAGATGATGTTCATATGTTCACCTGAATTTCACCTGGTGTTCAGGTGAACAATACCTGAACAAGCATAATGACTATATTAATCAATAATCAATAATATCAGTTATAAATTGAAATAAAAAAAAACATCAGAAGGAATTGAACCCGCGACGCTGTGCATAGTTAAGCGCCCAATAAGCGCTACAGCTTCGCAAATTACCACTGGGCCATAATGGCACTGACTGGTATGATACATTTATATAATATGATATCTCACAATTGTCTTATCTAATCGTTATCTAATCGCTATCTCATGTTTATCTAATCACACCGCCCATCGCCGAAATAAGCGCCGGAGTCCAGAAATGGCAGGTGGTTGATTCACTGCCACGTCTCTTTCTTTCTCACTACCAGCACCATCGATAACGCCCCCGAGCATGCACAACAGCGACGACAACGCCGACAACATGCAGCGACGAAGCCAAGATCAAAGACCCCCAATGACACGCAGCCAAAGCAAGAAGGCTCCCAGCGTCGCCGTGAAAACCAAGTCGACAAAACCCGCACGCAAAACCACCAAAGCAACGGATAAAAAGGAAGTGGACGAGCTGGGGAAAAGGTGCGTGTATCACCTGCTGCCTTCTTCCATTTACTGATATTCCCGCTCCCCCATTTCTTGTCCCCCGCGCTCTCTGGCTACCACGACGACAACAACGCCATTGCCACCACCACCACTCCACCCTTCTCCCCTGTGCTGTCTGGCCACAACGACGATGACACGACGACGACGCCGCTGCCACCACCACGCGCCGTCTGGCCACAACGACGACGACGATGCTGCTGCCACCACCACTCCACCCTTCTCCCCCACGCTGTTTGGCCACAACAACGACGACACGACGACGACGACGACGCCGCTGCCACCACCACCACTCCACCCTTCTCCCCCACGCTGTTTGGCCACAACAACAACGACGACGCCGCCACCGCCATGACAATGATGCAACCACCTGGCCACGATGACACGACGACGCTGCTGCCACCACCACTCCTCCCTTCTCCCCCACGCTGTCTGGCCACCACCACCACCATGCACTGTCTGGCCACAACAACGACAACGACTGACGCCGCCACCGCCACAACGGTGACGACGACACTGCCACCACCACCACCACCGCCACACCTCCCTGCTCCCCGCACTGTCTGGCCATCACCACCACCACAACAATGCCGCCACCATCACGACAACAACGCCGCCACCCCGCCACCCCTATCACCTCTCTGTCCACCACGCACGACAACGCCGCAACGCCACCACGCTGCCATGCCCACTCCCACACCATGCATGATGATGCTGCCACGCTGCCTCCCTTGCCTCTCCCTGTCCACCACGCATGACGACACTGCAACGCCGCCACAACACCACGCTGCCTTGCTCACACACCAATATAGCAAGCCTGCCAGCCGACGCGGCAGCACCAGGTGAAGAGTTCCACTCTTTTTAATTAGTAACAAAGGTCTAACTTGAGAGTAGGAGTAAGGCATCTGCTGTTCAGGATACTGAGGCCAGTATAACTACCAAACTAACCTTGTACGTAGCTTGTTGAATATGAATATACTTGAGTATTGAGACCCTGACAGTACTGAGAATGTGCTTGAAAAGAGTGGGGCTTCAATTGCTCCTCCTCCTCGGCGCCGATTGTCCGCCCCGAAGAATGTTTCTTCTGGTTCCTCACGCATGTCTCGAGTCCGAGTTGAAGAGTCAGATGAGGGTGAGGGTGAGGGTGAGGGTGACGATAATGATGACGACGAGGGTGAGGGTGAGGAGGGTGAGGATGATGGCGAGGGTGAAGGTGAGGGTGAGGGTGAGGGTGAGGGCGAAGATGAAGGCGAGGGTGAAGGTGAAGGTGAAGGTGAAGGTGAAGGCGAGGGCGAGGGCATGGGTGAAGATGCAGGTGAGGGTGAGGGCGAGGGTGAGGGCGAGGGTGAAGGTGAAGGTGAAGGTGAGGGCGCAGATGAAGGCGAGGGTGAAGGTGAAGGCAAGGGCGAGGGTGAGGGCATGGGTGAAGATGCAGGTGAGGGTGAGGGTGAGGGTGAGGCTATGGTGGTGGATACGCCTTTCACACCACCTAAGGTAGGCGTAAAGCGACCTATCACGTCCCCTATTTCTCCCACCCGTGATGTCAAGGCATCTCGCTGTTCCGTAGCACAAGTAACCACTCTTGCTACCACTACCGACACTCCGCCTTCGCCATCGTCACCTGAAGATCTTCAAGGGGCCTCTCGAATTGTTGGTGGATTTGCACGTGGTAAGGCCATTGGGAATGCACCAAATATGGCTGACCTCGGTATTTTTACTCATATGCTTCAATTCAGATTTACTAATTAATTTGAATTAGGTGATATTGGCATGGCAGCTCCTGTGGCTACAGTCCACAGAGGCAA